AAGACTTAACATTTTTATTCAAAATAACAAGGCTTTTATTTCCACTTTTAATTTTTACAGAACAAAAATATCAATCAGTTCCAAGGGCTACTGTTGCAGCTTTGGATCCAGTAGAGATATATATTCTGAACTAAAACATTTTCAATGTCCCGAAGGTGTAAAGGTCTTGTTAGAGGTGGCTCGATTGAATATTGTTGTTACATAATAATAGCAGTGTGTATATTCCAAGGTAGGCAAGTTGCTTAACATACAGACAACTAATTTGAGAGTAATAGCGCAGAACGAGGAAAAAAAACTGATCTATTTTACAGTTCTGAATGCGGTTCCCTATATAGCAACCTCGTTGCAATTGTAAAATGTTGTATAGTGCGTGGCTTTATAAACGACTATATTTGAGAACTGGCAGATATTCCCTTTTGTTCATTATTTGCATTTTACAAGTCATCAAAATATGTAATTCGGTGAATGGCTCTTCGGTCCTTAGCCTGGTATGAGTTTGGTAAAAAAGTGTCTATGTGAATTTAGAAGTTCATATGAGGGAGTTTTATTAACTTGCAAGATAAAGTGCCGGGCTACTTAGGCATATTCAAAAGATCAGTGTTTATAAAGCTGTAGTCACTGGCCAATTTAGGTATTTATTGTCTAATTATTTTTAACGCGTATTATGAGCTGAGATTGTAAAAAAAACTACTTTGTATATCTGTTCTTACAGATGTCGTTGGGATCAACCCTGATCGAAGAACCCGAATAAAAAACAAAAAAACATACGTAAACAGAAAGTTTCTTCAGTTAATTGACACGTGGAAATATAAATGAAAATGCAAATAGATATAACGTCTTTTTACTTTTCTTTGACAGCTCGGTCGCGAATATTAAGGCCGGTTCAGACACTTGCGTTTGAGTGCGTTTGACTGCGTTGCGTCGTGTACCGAAAGCGAGTCACCGGCACATCTGTGCTTCGTATGAAGCGTGGAATCCAGTTCAAGGAATCATCTTGGCACGCGATATAAGCAGCAGGGATGTCCTGGTTTCTCGCTACCGCAACGCAGTCAAACGCAACTGTCTGAACCAGGCTTTAATGCATTGGGCGCTGCAAGAGCAGCCGACCTCGCCGCAGACAAAAATTTTCTGTGCATAACTGCTTATTCACTTTAGATATGCGCGATTGAAGTCAGTTGAACAGTGCAACACAACAGCTTCAAAATACTCGGCCGACCTTTTTTTTTACGTTGTATATTTTACTTTGTTCAAATGACTATAATGGTGGGGTCCAGTACCATAATTTTCAAGGCTTTACGGTCGCATAAAAATGGACCGTAAAATTTACGGTCAAATAAAAGGCAGCTGATGCTGCCAAAATTGTGCAGTAAAAATAACGGTGCACTGTAAATCTGGTTTACGATAAATTTAAACGGTGACCGTAGAAATCTACGGTCGCCGTTTAAATCGCACCGTAAAAATAACGGCGCGCTGTGAATCTTCTTACCGTAAATTTGAAGGCCTACCGTAGATTTCTACGGTCCCCGTTTAAATTTATCGCAAACTAGATTAACAGTGCACCGTTATTTTTACTGTACAAGTTTGGCAGCATCAGCTGCCTGGTATTTGACCGTAAATTTTACGGTCCATTTTTTACAGTGCACAAATGAAATAATTTTAAAAGCTGAATGGGAACTTTCGAAACTGTGACACTGGTCCAACGAGGACGGTCTAAAAATAAATGCAAATAAATCTAAGGCTATTTTATTCAAAACTACACATAAGCAGACACAAATAACACACGATTTACTACCCGGTGACACTCCTATTGAAATAACCGACACAGGATCCTTGGAGTTACACTGCCAATATGACACGGACAGATCACACTGAAGCTTTAGCTAAGTTCTTATCATCGGCGACAGGAGCCAATTGTCACGATGTCAACACATCCTTCCAGACAACGCAACACTTCAAATTTATCACGCCCTATTCAACTCAAACATAGATTACTGCACGCTCGTATGGGGCACGACCACAGCAGGAAACATGCACACCAACCATGTTCTTTAAAAGAAAGCGATTCGATATATTGCTAATGTGCCACGCTTACAATCAACCACACATTGTGGTATAATAAGCGTAAAAGATATTTATGAATTTTATTTATTGCATTCTCGCACCCGCAGCTGTGACAGGTGGTTAGTGCCACGCCGGCGCACTGAATACTTCTCCCAGTCGCTGAGATACAACTTTCCTTTATTTTAAACAAGTATCAAGAACAAAATATAAACTTTGATACAATTACTAGTAAAAAAAAATGCGAGAATTTTTTTGTGAACAATAGACTATAAACCATTAGTCTCTATCTTGTTTATGGCGAAGTTTTGGTGTTCAAGCCTTTTTGTCATTCTTGCTACATTGCAAGTCATCTGGGAAAATTTTATCTATATGTCATTTATAATGCCATCAACTGCCGATAATTTTTTTTATATAGTGCTTGACATGTGCCATATAGAATTATATACATTCATACGTGCTTAACTCGTGTTGTTACGCGTCATATTTGTTGTATTTTTTCACAAAACGGTGCTGTCTGTATGGGCCCCCAGGCACTCTCAAGCTGTCAACGACAGTTTTTTTCGTCCGGGGACCCCCAACACTGTGTTCGAAAATAAAATTGAATTTAATTATGGGACATTTCCCCGCTAAATGAGTGAAGTCTTCAAATTTCCTCTTCAACTCGCGGCTTTATTTCTGCCTTTGACATATTTTGTTGTAACCGTATCTCGAAACCGATGGCTTTGGCCGGTTGAGATTCTTCGCGGGCTTATCGCGCGCCTCCACCACAACGCATGCACATCCGTTCACTCTTGCGACCGAGTCACACCGACAGAGACCAGACCGGTTTTTAAGCCTTTTGCAACTTCTTAGGACCGGATCGGTCGCAAGAGTGTGAACGGGCCCCGCGTGCAAAGCACAACAAATCAAACAAACGCGGAGAAACACCGGACAGAAGGGTGCACACCATGGGGGTGGAAAATAAACAAAAAATAAAGATGTCTACGCAGGTGGTCACGTGATCTTTGTTATCACGTGACTGCCCCGAACCGGCGTGCAAAAAAAGGCGTCCGACCTCAATCTTGCTGTTGTGTGTGCCTAGCCCGCATCACGGGCGCGCTTCGCTGTTAGTTTCGGTTTCGAAGCCGCGTACAAGGGTGACATTTCTCGCCGAGTAGCGCCCGCTACAATTTTTGTTTAATAAAAAGTTCACGTCACGGCTAGACTATAACGAAGACAAGCGTCAAATATCCAACTATATTATTAGTGTTGCGGTCGAGTTGGGTGATGTTAGAGCACCTTTTACGAGCGGTAAAAAACATCATTTCCTGGAGTACCGGCGTGCTCTTCGTTCTCATTCATTCTGGTGCAAATACTACGTTAAAATTCATGTACTGGTCTGTTAAACTTAGAGATTGTGCTTATTTACCTTCCAACTCTTGTGTAACCACTTCCTTGCGTCCATTACGAAGCATATTAAAATTCCAATAGTAATTTAAATGTGCACATCAATGGCGTCTTACGTGTAGGGATAAATGATGGAAATAAAGTCAGCACGTGGACAATTAATGTCTTCCAAAATCTAGCTGAACGTACTAATGTTATTCCCAAACATTCGCCTCCGAGTTAAAGTTAATTTAGTTCTAAACTTCGCCGACTTCATCCACGAACAGTTAAACATAGAAGTGTTAATTAAAGCTAACCATACAAATTAAACATACGGAACGACCCAGGTACACTTAATCAATGTGATTCATGAACCTATTTTTCAAGCGTTACTGCAAGGTAAATGTCGTCGCATCAACATCCACCATTGTGTGAGTGTGTGTGTTTTGACACATTGTGATGACCCATTTTCACCCTAAAGTGCTTTACCCTTAGCTGTGCTGCGGCGAAGCGACATACGCAGGATCGCATGTCTTTTCTTGCGGGTGTAGCCCCTCTGCAATGCAGTGCAGGGCGAGTAGCGTACGGAGCCGATTAAACAAGCGCGGGAAGACCACGTAAAATTAGAAATATCACAAAACTTCCCGAGTGCTCATTCATGTTGAATGTGAAGATCAAATCACATTATTAATTCGAGCAAGTTTACCGGAACAATCTGGCAGTGCGGCGACGCTTGAAATTTTCGTTTCCAAATTTGTTAAATGAACTTTCCGCGCACTGTATGCGTGAATCCCTCATAGTGTGGTGAAATAGAGCATGAGCTAGGGTAAGCCCTTTGCTGCAGTTTGACGCAGCAGTCCCATCACTGCGCACCCAAATATCTAAATTGAAAAAAAAAAGTTAATCCCTACAATTTAGTTAATTAGCCAACTAAAGATTCAATATATATTGCCTCTTTTCCAGTGATTGCCATGGCCACCAACATAACGCCATAACGCCCAAAACAAACAAAAAAGAAAAAAAACAAAAAGCCTAGCTAATGCTTTTTTTTTTTTTCATTTTGGATTTACTAAAAATTAACATCCTGTTTACTGAATACCTTAGTAACCACCGGTTAGAAAATACCACATCTCTGCCCAGGACCGACAAGGTTTTGGATTCCAAACCGGAGGTAGTACTTTCCAGAGCTTCTCCATCGGATGCTAAGCTCTCGCTCTCAATTCAAGTCTGGGATCACGTGCGTAAAGCGTCCAATTTCAAAACTATGAATAGCCTCAGCAAAGGGATCGAGGCACCGTGCGGATATATAACGTTAATAGTTCACCAAATACATAACAAGTAACACCACTAGCGGTTTAGCGTTCTGATAAGACCTTTCAAATGTGTATTCACCGCCGTGCAGGCACGGCGACGAATGTCAAAGAGAAGGGTTCTCCTTTTTTGCACAGTGGGTGGCTATTCCTCCTGCAGGTATCTCTGGCAATGGAACACATGATTGACAGGAAGAATGTTGGCAAGTTCATCCTAATCCCCAGGGGATGCCGGAGGAAGGGCAGAGGAAACAAACGACCAAAGAAGTTAGAACCATCTTTATTATAAAATTACAAAAAGACGTATCAGGTGCCAAACAACACGATTTCTCACAACTTAGTTGATGGACAGACAAGGGGCATCAGAGTTCGCTGTAGGATGACATTATGATAGTATGACTACACGGCTCCACTACAAGACCCTTCCATGCCCAATGTTAGTTGAGCAATTCTCACGGGGCGATATAGAGTAACAACAGTGGGAAGATTAGTACACTGTGCGACACTGCTAGTGCAAACACATCGGCACTGTTTTTTTAAGTTTTACTCGGGCAGAATACTGATGCACTCTAAAATTTACAGTAGAGTTCCTTCCATCAATGTGGACTAGATGCCACACTAGGTAGTAGATTTTGATTCCAGGCATAGTATTTTAAGAGGAAAACAGGGGAAAAAAAAGGTGCTCGCTCATTCATGCTAACGGTGTTGCACAGTGTAGGAGCGAGACCTCTCCACTTGGAAATGGCTGAAACGAGGTGCATTTCATGCTCGCAGGTAACGTCGATTTCTGTTGGAGAACGACCTCTTACTATTACCTTATCGATTCATCCTTGGATCAGTTGGCTGGGTCCGTTGGCCCCTTGACCAAAGTACAAGACTTGGTGCAAACCTACTGCAGTGTCGGACATGCGTGCGTGGTTCGTCTAGTCCAATGGCTCTCATGCTCCTCAATGAAAATAAGGAATAAATCTTTTTTTTTTGTCATACTAGATGACACCTGACCCTTTTTTGTGATGTTTCCCTCATATAAAACGATAAAACAAGTCTAGCTCACTCTAGCAATTACCGTATTTATTTGAATACAGGTCAACGTTTTGTTCGGCACTGTTCCTCGACATTGGAGATCGGCTTACGATTGTAACCAAAGGATGTCAACACAAAGCAGTGAAGCTTGCAGCGCAAGCGCCATGGCTTGCTCATGTTTCATCGTTCTGGAAGGTCGGACAATTTAAAAATAAGGGTAGACTCACACTCAAACATTTTCTTATTACTTCCCAAGGGATCTTAGCATAAGGGTCGACCTATAATATAGTAAATACGGTAGTCCTGTTAATTTATCCTCTCATCACCGTAATCACCCAATACCTCACCGTAAAGGGAGTCCCCCATCGCTTTCGTTGAAACACAAGACTTCCCCGACGCGTTGGAGTTTGAGGACCACTGTTCTAGACAATCCATTCACGAGGTACTTTGAGTGTGAGCTCAAGAGATGCGCTTCTCCAGGATGTCAAGTACTTGGGCGCAGCCAGTTATTGCTGCCTGACGACATGCTTCAATTTCTTCCATCACCTGCGGAGAGAAAGAAAGAATCATAGAGGCTACTCCGTCGACACTCAACATTTTCCAGTTTAAAATGCTTACTTAACATGCCACCGCTATGGCAAACACAAGTTGGAAACCATCTGTTTCTTTGGATGTACAGCATGTTCCGCCAAAAAATTGACAGCGTTTCTTATGCTCCCCAAAAATAAACTGCATTGCCAAATGCTCAGTCTCTCCCAAATGTACCGCTAGCAGTTCGGACCAGATGCCAGAATTCAAAAACTTAACCGTTATCTTATTTTCTTATTCAAAAGATAGAACCTGATTTTTTTATACTTTTAACAAGAAAATGGGGTCTGTTCTCTGCGTAGTTGATGGCATTCATCCTCATGAATTCATAAGCTTCGTCAGCAACCATTTTCTTGTTGGAAATTTCCGAAAATTGCTTATAACGTTTTAATAAGAAAACAGTTCTAAAGCTCTGGCATCTGGTCTGAACTGCTAACACTAAGAATGGGCAGGGACTGAGCGTTCGGTAATGTGTAGGTTAGGTTATGCAATGAAAAACACGCTGTAAATTTTTTTGGGGAACATCTTTTCTTTTTGATCGTCCGAAAGCCAGCCGGACCAATGGCGCAGACCATGTCTTCGATGGGCATGGTGCTCAGTTACAAGCTGGACCGCAAGCTGAAGGACTCCAAGGCCCGTTTTCGTAAAAACCGCCGCTCGGCCCACACTGGCGCCAACCCCTGGAGCCCGCCCGCGGGGGTGATAAATTCCCTGTGTCGCCGGTAATTCGGCCGGATACTATGCAAGTCGGACGCGCGAGGAGCCCACTCCAGGTGCTCGAGACCGGCCTGCTAGAAGTAAGCAGCCAATGGCAGCACCGCAAAGACCACAACCGCGAAGAATGGTGTTAGGCCTAACACACATATCCTAATCATCAGCACTTTCATCTTGTATATTACATCATCACATAATCCCCTTCACTAGACGCGGCACCGCGGGCCTCCTTGGTACAAGCTGTTGCCTTTCTGCGGTGCCGCGGCTCTCCTGAGCAAATAAAGATTATTATTATTATTATTATTATTATCTTGCACATTCATTTTTTTCTGGTCTCTCTATCTTTATTCATACTTTCTTTCACACTCACATGTTGTGGGTTTCAGAATAATCTTTCACAATATTTCGCCGATCTTCAGCCAAGTTATATTTAAAGAGTGAGTGACTGCTGCATGGCTTGGGCATCCTTTAAAATTTACTCATCATCACTGCTGCTCACATATTGACTGGGTGCAAATGAATGTGCTTCTTCAGTTGGTTATCAGGCACGGTGTTTATCTAGGCACCAATTCTTGGTCTGTCCCAACAACCTGGCACCCAGATTTAGGCACAAATTCTTATATGGCTGCCCCATAAACTGTGTGTACTATCTTAAGGTTTGTAAAGATGACGAAGCCTAGTCATCAGAAAAGGTGTGAAAGCGTTTCTTAAGGTTCACAAGACACAGCTGACACAACTGTGTTCACTAATAGGTGTTCTGACTATTGTGGAATACCAAGCAAGTGTCCAAAGAGAAGTCACAAAATAGTTGACATTTTGGGTGGATACCTGCATGGTTCAAACATATATGTGTACTTCTCACTCTAGACAATGTTCAGGTTTGTGAAAAACAAATGATGGTGGGCGCTCTCACACCAGCACGACATCTTATGGTAGTTATCTAGTCCAAGTTTTACAAGCACACTGGTCCTTGACAAGCTTGTCCTTGTCCTTGCTTTGGACAGCCTGCCCCAGTCCTAGTCAAACTTCTCTCTGATTAGGCACGTGTCACGGGAACAGAAAACATGAGCCAACAACGTAGCTCTCCCGCATGGATAAAGATAAGCGGCTACAAGGCTGACCTGCTCGCTCTCCTGAGTGAACGCTGGTAAATGCATTTGCATAGGACTGTGATCGACTGGGTTAGGACCACTAGCCATTTACCAGGTAGGCCTGCAACCCTTTTGATCTGCATATAGTAACTAGATTTAAGCTTTTCAGTATTTGCGAGATGAAATCCATATACCATTTACGAGAAATGATTCTCGTAACATGATACCATAACACTGTCAAAACCACTTCAAGCTGATGGTCAAAGAATTATTTATTCCAAGGTTATGGGAAAGGGGGAAGCCAAGAGGGGTAATGATTAAAGAATAAGGCGTAACATATATGCACGTCGGAGGTGTTCTGCACATTCGATAGATGGCGAAATTGTGCTGTCCCGTTGTAAGCCGCCACGGGCGGTCGTAGTGTTATCTCAATCGCAGTTAACAGAAGCACGGGAGCGTGTGGTGTCGGGTACTATCAAAGCACTCAAACAATGCCGCAGTTGCAGTTGCACGTCTGCTACCCGATGCCATGCGCTCTCGCATTCCCGCTAACTGCGATTGAGATAGTGCAGTTGAGCACAGTCAAAAGTAAATGCGCGAGCCGACTTTAACCTTTTGACGGTCAATGCTGTACATGCATAGCCATGATTACACATATGAAAGTGTTTGCCTAAATGTGAAACTGCGCACACCGTGGGAAGTGTTGCTATTTGTTATGTCTTTGGTAAACTATAAACATTATAGTCGCACATTGTTTCGCAATGCTGGGCCTTTTAAACCTTTCAAATTAGACGCTCCGTGCGTGTGGTGCTCACTTCATATACCAGCTGTCCTGGCTCTTCTGATTCAGACTTCCAATGCGTTACGGAATTGAATTTAGAGGATGAGAGCTCATCATCCGACAGAGGAACTCTGTAAAGTACCTTCAGTTAGGAATCTGAAGCCACTGGAATGTCGCGGAAGTAGATGCGCCAAAACAAAACCAAAGAAAGAAAGGTGACAACTTTTTGCGTCCAATATTTTCATTTGATGCTTCTAAACCTAAACAGCTTGTAAGCACTGTAGTGCTCCCACTAGATAATGAAGAAATAAACCTGTGCATTGACCCTTTATACCATATTCCTTTACAAACAAAACCTGACTCCTGGGAAACAACTTTTGGGGGGAAAAAATCGACCGTCAAAGGGTTAAGTGCGTGATACTCACCTGGTTCTTGTAAACTTGGTCTTGGAGGCCCTGGCAGTTGAGGATGACGTTCCAGTAGGCGCCAAACACCCCAGTCTCAAGGCAGCGGGCACCGACCTGAACACAGCAGCAACCGGGTTCCCTTTACTGGACTGTGAAGGGACCTTGGCACATGAGACATGGTAGACAAATTCTGCTGGAAAGTCAGTTTAACTGACTTTCCGGTTAATGGAACACAGTTAAAATACTCCCTCAATCAACTTCTTTCTGTTTGGAGATAACCAAAGCTCACCTTTAGCAGCATATTTCTGGTGTGTCAAGGTTGTTTGGGCAATTTCTCCAGCGCCCAGTAGCTGGTAATTCAGTGTGCTGTCTCTCTAATTTTATTTGAGTTCTCACTTTATCTCAAATAATTCTTTGAAGTGAAATAGCGTTGCATAAAATTTACAATTTCTCTCTTGAAAATTCCGTTCCTTGCAGTGCCCCACAGACTTCCTTAGAACCGGTTGAGCAGTTATGAATCCTTTAGGGTGCTTGTTGCCATTTGTGAGAAATGAAAGCCTTGAACAAAGGCTGGTGTACTATGCGAGCTTCAAAGCTATTTAGGCCTATTCAATTTTTAGCGAAGATTTCTGGCTTGTTGTTTGTGCTGCATCCGTTACTCAAGAAGGGGGAAGCATGACACTGGGGTTTTCGAGCAAACGGCAGCTTTTAAAGCAAGTAAAAAGCTGCTGACATCAGTTGATGTTTTACTTCATTACGATTTCAAGTTGCTGTAGTTGCTGTGCTGTGATGCATCGCCATATGGAGCAGCGCTGGCACGTAGAGTGGATTCAGGGGCAGAACGACTTGTGGAATTTGCATCACGTCGGTTAACGGCAGTCAAAAATAACTGCAGCCAACTGGAACAAAAGGCTCTGGCAGTAGTGTTAGGTGTGCTGAAGTTTTACCAGTTCATGTGGGGAAGGCCAGTTGAAGTGTGAATGTACCACAAACTTTTCTTGTGTCCGATCAGGCACCACTGTCGCATCCCGCTACAGAGTTCACAGCGAGTGCTGCAATAAGCGTTGACACTGAGAGGCTACAACAAGAGGTTGTCCTACAAGCCAGGAGCTAGCTTAAGCACGCTGATGTACTAAGCTGACTGCCGCTTCCTGTCACCGCTGGAAGAGCCAAACGCCCAAAATGTTTTTATGGTGGAGTCTACCGGTGACTTGTTGGCTGCCGTGGTCGAGGTGGCAACTGGCTGAGATCCGCTATTAGCAACATTGCATACTGCAGTGTGGTCTGGAGAGCATCTGCCGCCTACAGCTGGATGGCAGCCTTCATTGCAAATTGTTTGGAGGAGTTCTTTGTGATGAAGGGCTGTGTGCTGCAAGAGAGCCATGTGGTTGTGCCGGCTTCGCTGAGGGCGGCTGTGTTGGTCCTGCTGCACCACAGCCACCCAGGTGTCGAGAAGCTGAAGCCGGTGGGTCGAAGTCATGTTTTTGGTGGCCGGGTACTGATGAGGACACTGCGACCAGGGTGGGCACATGCACGATCTGCCAGGTACGTCGCAAGGCTCCAAGGACAGTGCAGCGGACGCCATGGCCATTTCCTGAGCGCCCTTGGTCACGTCTCTGTGTGGACGTCGAAGACCCATTTCAAAGTATCTACTTTGGTACTGGTGGACGCTTACTATTCGAAGTGGGTGAAGGTGATTCATGTGTCGTTACTTTCAGCAGAGGCAACAGTTGCATACCAGTAATCCCTCGCTATAATGAAGTCAACGGGGCGGCAAAAAAATTCGATAAAAGCGGTAATTCGATAAAAATGCGAGAGACATAAAAAGAGTAACAGTAACTTTGAAAGTACACAGGAACAGTGTGGAAGGCTTTTACGAATATATATTCAAGGAAACAAACCTTACTGATTATCCAGGCTTACTGAGACAGGAAAAAAGACGGGAGATCAGTTTGCCGGGCATTTTTGCCAGGTGTTAAAGAAGCCTCCTCCAACTGCCTGAAGCACCGCATGAGGCCGTCATCACCGCCACCGCACTCCACCTTGTTGCAAAGACGACGAAGCACGTTCCGCGTTTCTCCAGTCGTGGGTACGTCTTGGGGTTCCTCATCCGACGGCTCTTCGTCTTCGCCCTAGCCACACACGAAGTCCATGATCTCAACATCCGTGACGGGAGCGACAACCGAGATGTCTGCATCCACAAGTGCAAACGAACTGAAGTCGTCTTCGGGGAGTTGCACCGACAATCTCGTGACCCAGATCTCAGTGTCATTTGCTGGCCCATCAAACACGCGCGCGCGAGAAAAGCCATGACCAGTGTCGATGCCGGGATGTTGAATTCTTTCGCAATTTCCAACTTCTTCGGTCGACCAGCTTTCTCCAGTTCTCGGACCAGCTTTACTTTGTGTTCAAGGGTCAAACACTTCCGCGCAGCCTTTGGCAGCACCATCAGCGGTGAAGCAGGTTGCACGCTGCCAGTAATGGGCAAAATACATGCAAATATGTATCCAAAATCAAAATACTTTGTCAAAAATGTATTTAATTACAAATCTAATTACATTTTCAAAAAAGCATTTAAATAAAAGATACAATTACAACCAAATGTATTTGGCCTCCTCCAAATACTTTCCCAAATACATTCCTTAAAATTTGCGTCAGCGACTTCAGGGCACCTGCAACGGGTTTCTGGGTATCTCATTTTAATTTTGCACCACACACTCGGGAGTTAGTGAGCGAGGCTCTAGTAACGTAATAGAAATATAATCACAAAAAAATGTAATCAGCTTGGACGTAATAGCTAAAAAAGGTACAGAGCTTCAAGCAACTTTTTTTGTCGATTACATTTTGGTAAAGACCAACAAAAAACCGAGACGACCAAGACGCGTAGCACTAGCTAAAGAATTTTTTATTGTTGCAACTCGCACCAGTTACAAAAGTCTGGACGACCCGCGCATTTAGAACGTTCCAGGCAAAATATGGATGGAAATCAGGCTGGAAAGCAACACAAGTTGTCACAGGCACTTATTTAGCCAGTATGCCTGTGAACGTCAATTTCGTCCCTATTCTTGCCCTGGACTAGCACCGTTATCACAAAGTCACCAAACGCTTGTGCTTGATTGAGAGATATTGCATTCGCTGCAGAACGTAGTTTTCTTCCTGCTCTGGGCAGTGACATTAAATTTGAGGGATGTATTTTCGCCCACAAAAGTGTATTTAATTACAATTGTATTTGAAATACTCACGTTTTAGTATTTAAATACACACGTCAAATACATTACGCAATTTGTAATTAAATACAAATGCAAAATACACGAACTATTTGAAATACGTATTTCAAATACTTGTATTTGAGATACTGCCCATCCCTGCACACTGCTATACTATACACGTGGCAGACTGGCTGTGTTGCCTTCGCAATGCAGAACAAGATATCAAAGACGCTGCCTTGACGCGCACGCGATCCGTAAATACAGTGTCGACTCAAGCTGGCAAACACAGCAATCGCATGCATCGCGACAACCAAGTTGACCAAGTCAACCACAGCACAGCCAAAGCTACAGAGGAGAGGGTAAAAAAGTAGCCCTCATACGCTCTCTCCCCTGTAGCTTTGGCTGTACTAAACGATTTTAGTGAGACGGAGTTTTTATTTTTTATTTTTATAGATCACTTAGGACGGTGCTTCCAAAGAGGTGGGCACCGGCAGGGGATGCGCTTTCCTGACTTGATTCCGACAAAAGCCGGCCGCGGGCACCACGGGCACCGTGTGAAGTGTCTAACTGTCGCTCAACACGGCGACGCTGCCGCATTCCTCTGCACGCGCAGAGTTCCTGAAGTGGCGATCTCCTGCCTTCTTTGCTCTCTTGACTTGACAAGTCGGAATTGAGGGGCAGGTGCGTCGGGGCTCCAAAGAGGTGGGCGCATGCAAAGCACGCGCTCCTCGCGCATTTATAGCGGCGAAAGACGATATACCTTTCGCAGCTAATGGCTTTTTGCGCACATCTTGGAAGGGTTGCGCCGGCTTACATACTGTACTTTCGGTGGATCATCCTTTGTATCAAGCATGTTTGGCCGTCGATACACTTAGAATAATCCAGTCCAATATGCATGCATTACGATCGGGACCGCGCCAAACTTAGAAAAATGCGATAATTCGTAAAAAGCGATTTCGTTATAACGAGGAATTTACATACCACCAATTGCAAGCCACGGCTTGCCAGATATGGTCATGAACGACAACGGTCCTGTATTTACAAGTCCACAGTACGAGGTGTTCCTGGCCCTTACAGAGTGCGGCAGATCCTGGTGACACTATAGTATCCAGCATCCAATGGCGCCGTTGAGAGTTGTCCAGACAGTGAAAGAAAAGCTCAAGAAAATGCAGTCTGAGAGATTTTGAATGTCGGATTGCTAGGGTGCTGTTTGCATGCCAAACCACACCGCATGGCCTGGCAGGACGTTCCTCGGCAGAGCTGCTCACGGGTCGGTGACTCAAGACTGCATTGGATCTGCTGCAGCCAGACCTTTGGGGCAAGGTACAGTTTCGACAACTGCAACAGTGGTGCACGGTGACCGTTCCGCAAGAAAGGAGCCTCAGCCTAAGAACGTGGGCAAGGAACTTTCAGCCTGGACCTCGCTGGGTACCTGCTGTTGCCGGCAAGGCCACCAGCGCATCACCAACAGAGGCGCGACTTCCAGATGGCACGCTGTGGAACCTCCTTGGAGACCATCTGTGTAATCGGGTCAGCAATGCAGAAATGCAGCCCACAAGTGAGGCTGACTGCATGGAGCACCAGCCGCAAGCATCTACTCGACAGCATTTGGATGAGGCAGATGGGGTAGTTCCAATGGTGCCCAGCAGCCAGGAAAACTACATCCCTCTAGGCTTCACAGCAGTGCCTATGACGTTGACCTGCCAGGGAGGCGGCATCTCTCCAAGGGTCTCAACTATGCCGCAGTCCCCCGCACTCCGGAGGTCTATCAGAGTGAGACAACCTGTGCAGCAGTACTCTCCTTGACTTTGGGAGGAAAGGATGTTACAGCAGCAGCTAGCACCAAAGACCTGAGTGGCCGCCAGGGGGCACGCTGACTGCTATCACTATATTAAGCAGCACAGGGCATTGCCCCATCATTCGTTTGTGGGCCAAGCTGGCCCGCACATTTCAATAGACATGCTTGTTGAAACGTGCGGGCCCCAGCTTGCCCAATGTCGTTAAATAAAAAAAGTCCCAACGGCCCGCAACAATGTTCACTTTAACACGCCTAACTCCACATCAGCTCGTAGAAGGCTGCTTTTTATTTGTACCTTTCTCATTAATAAAAGTTTTCTTTCATGAAGCTCTCACGAAACAAACACACCGTGTAGCCAGCCCTTTTCCGTAAGTTATAAGGTCCTATCGTGCAGAGTGCTTTTTACAAAGATTTAAAACATGGCAAATATATATATATATATATATATATTCATTTTTACAAAAAAGAAATTGTTTTGTTTAAGGTTGCATTTAGCTTCACCATTATCTGAAAAGTATTTTTACAAAATTTCATGTTTTTTTCTGTTGGATAGTTAATTTATTATAAGTTGTTTTTTTCCCATCATGAATTTTATTTTAGTCAATCTATCATTTGATAAAAACAGAGAAGGCCTATTCTTTGTTTTTGCTGATTAAAATTTAATAAGAAACGTACCTGTGAAATTGATTTTTTTAACTTTATCAGGACCTTAACCTATTTGCTACCAAAGCCGGCCAATCGCTGGGTGTGCCGTCAGGGGCCATATTGCCAATGCCGGCGATTAGCCGGTCTGCATGAATTTCTGTTTTAAAGAGTAATTCATAGATGGAGCGCTATGTAGACTTGTGGTAGTGCAGTTGGATACATTGCCAACAGATGGCGAGGGTCGTTCTGTACGTCCACTGTGTTTGTTTGAGCTTGTTCTTTTGTGTGCATCTTTCCTGCTCGATTGCTGCCTGTTTGGAGAAGATGACAGCGTCCAGTGTGTGCCTTTCTGACGAAGAAATCATATATATTCTCTTCAACAGTGATGATAACGAGGCGTCTGGTGAGGATAGCGAGCTTTCGGAGCCCTCTGTCGATGACGGGAGCGATTCCAACAGCATTTTGGAGTCCGAATCACGACAAAAGCGCACTGGTTGTGCGACACCTAAGCGACCGAGGATGAAGTGCTTTGAGATCTTTCATACGAGGAAGAATCTGTGAGAGCCTATTGATTTAAAGACTTGAACAAACCACTTAAGCATGTAAATAAACATGTTTTACGGTAAAAGCTTATTATACAAGCAAAACAGTCACGCCCAGTGCGGCCCTGTTTTAGGGGAAAAATGTGTGGTACGAACAAACCGGCAGCACGCGCGGTAGTGAATGGGTTAAGTAAAAAAAAAAATGCTAGGATTTTATTGAAGGCACAGAAGGCCTAAAAGCTATTTGGTCCCACAGAACGATGTAATAAAAAACAAATTACTTTCTAAAAAATCTTTTTCATAGCTGCACTCCACTTTGAATCTAAGAAAGAAAAATGTTTGACATCGTATGGTTTCTGTAACGGCAGGAGGGCAACTCGCCTGTAAGTCCGCCCTGGCCCCAATGTTGATGATGGAGGCGAGCTCCTTGGCCGTGTCCCAGAGCTGGGTCACCGAGCGGGCAACCCCAAGGGGCACAGCAATAGCCTTCCTCAGCCCCGCTTGCATGGCCACCTCCCGCCTGCAGTTCGGGAGAAGGCGGGTTTAGTGGACTTCGCACGGCGTCTAACCTCACCTCGACAATGGTGCTGCCGCGTACAACATGTGACAGGTACCCGTCCGCTTAGGCCCGCTTCAGACAGGGCAACTTTCCCAGCAATTTCACTGTTACTGGCGAGTTGTTCCCTAGCTTTCCCATGATCCTAAATAAGTTGCCAGGAGAAATTGCCCCATGCGAAGCGGGCCTTAAAAAGATGAACTCGCTGCGATTCGTCGCTCTAACGGAAACAAGATGGGAAGTTTCTCAATTTCACCAGCCATTGCAAGATTTCTATTAGACTCGGGTGTCGCAGAGGGAGCGTGCTGCAAAAAACAAACCTCTTTTTCAGGACAGCAACCGCTCTTAAGACAAAGAAAAGAAGCGAGACAGCACCGGGTTTCGAGCAGCACAGTTTGCCAGCTACAGCCGAGAGAGACTGAGTCTCATTGGTGCTTACTCGCGACTATGGTGGCTGGAGCGAGTCTCCGACCGGTGCGTTTACCACGTCCTCAAAAGTGGTCCCTCGATTTCCGCCACATAACATTGTAGAAATGTCATGTCGCCGTCTGCCGAGATCCTGGTGCCCCATCGCTCCGCAGTCAGACAGTCAACAGAAACCAGAACAGCCGGGAGTTGGACGCGACGATGACGGCAAACCTCACTTCAGCTCAACTTCTTTGACGGCGTTCCTACAACCAACCGCTAGGATTGCAATATCCGATGGCATGACACGCCGACTATTTTGACGTCGTTTCTTGCCACTTTTGAGGACACCAAACACGCCGGTCGAAGACTCGTCCCGGGCGCCATGCTCGTGACAGACGAGGGGGGCGGGGAGAAGGTCGAGAGAAACTCACACTTCCTCTTCCTCAGGGGTGGACTTGGGCAGCTTGTGGGCAGCCTGCGAGGTTAGGAGTTCCACCAATCATTGTCTTAAAAAAAAAAAAACTCATTTTCAAAAGGAAAGGAAAAAAAAAAATTACAGAACCTCTATCGTGCCGACAAAGACCAGGGACCGCGAAACGTGAACCACACAAACCACTGCGCGGTACGACATCGGATTGCTCTCACCGGCGCGTTTCGCCGGGAGCACGATGCTTCGGGGCGGCTGTACTTTGCAGCTCGGTAGCCGTAGCATCCGACTGTCCCTGCACGTTCCAGCAGTCGCCCCAGCAGGTTCAAGCCCCGCTAGGGCGACTTTCTTATGTTTCTTCTTCTTTTATATATTATTTTTTGTTAATTACTGAATAGTGTTGTTTTGTTAATTGCTCCTAGCGTGTCGCACGTTCCCGATGCTCCTTCGTGACAATTTTCTCGTAGAAAATGACCCATAAAACACTTTTTGTGTTAAAAAGGAGCACTGGAAAGTGTTGTGGGCACCCTACCACGAAAAGTACCCTGCACTCCACTTGGCATGTGACTGAGTGCAAGGCCGATGGACCTTGCTCTCCGTTTTGCCTCAAGCGTAGTGGTGGCATGCGTGTGGTGCACCCACAGATCTATCTGGCAGGCACTCGAACTGGAGTGACAAAACTCCTACCAAATCGAGGCAGGTCTACGGCGTCTTTAAGTGAGGCCAATTCAGTGCTGGGTAAAGTACATCTAAAAGGTACTTCAAGTAACGAACAAAGTGAATGAGACACGATGTACTTTAAGTAAAGTATTAAATAGGCTGGTTGCGATGTACTTTCAAAGTAAAGTACAAGTATTTTAACACAATCTTTTATGATGCCCTTTCATTCCCCTCCCCTATATAGTGATTTTTTCACTGGTATGCGTTGCCCAGGTCCCAGGGGTAATCAGGGGTGCATGGCCAATTTTCAAAAACGGCGGCGAATATCTGATAAAGTCAAGTGGCCACAGAGTCGTCATTTTCAGGAATGGAGCCAAATTCAGAAGTACCTCTTCTGAATATGGCGCCCCTTGCACTGGATTGTTGCACTCAAGGGGGCTAAATGTACTAGGAGAGAGCACGACGTCGGCCCCGAAGCTTCCGCAAGCAATTCTCTCATAGAGGAGTGTCCTCTCCTGAATGCAAAAAACAGTGAGTGTGAAAGCGCACTGGTGATAATTAATCATAATATGACACCTGAGATTGGGGTGCGAAAAGAATTAAGGAGCTTTCAAATAGAAGGAAAAGACAAAAGAGAATGTCTCAAAACATTGTGACGTTCACCTCTGTTGTCTTTTACTTCGACTTGAAAATTTAATTGTTCTGCACCACAGTCTCAGGTGCTACGTACACTATGATTAATTTTGCTCTCCCAATATTTGAAACCTCCCCGCTTGCGCTGACCAAACGAGAAGTAGCGAGAGTTCAAAAGGCTACGGGAAAGCCGCTACCAGAACAAATGGAGCAATGCGTCGTCTGCTCACGTTTCTGGCAATAGTAGAATGTCCCTCCTACTATTTCTTCGGAGTTGACAAAGCATCATTTCGTGATACAAATTTAACAAAACCAAATTTGGGAAATGTACTTTGAAGTCGGGAATCGTACTTTCCTCGGAAGTACAAGTACATGCTCGGAGAATGTACTTCAAGTAAAGTACAAGTTTACTAAACCTACTTAAAGTAGTACTTTAAGTACAATGTACTTAAAGTACTTACCAACACTGGGTCAAGTGAAGCAAGCAATGTTCTTGTAGTTTCCCTGCAGCTATCGTCCAAGTGCTGTGCACGCAGTCAGACTGGCTGATAAAACAACACATGTTGGCAGATAAGACAAAGTCTGATAATTGCTTTCAAATGAGTGAAAAGGGGAAATCTATAGATTTCAGGCAGTAGAGTAAAAGTACATTCCAGAAATTATAAAGCACATCCCCAGAAACCTCTCTGCAAGTGATCTTTTGAAAAAGACCTACGGTAGAATACGGTTCCAAAGCTGGGTTTCCTGCTTAGAGGCCCTTTCACAGAAAGAGGCACCAAACTTCTTCAGACCAGTGACCCTTTTTCTGTTAAAGGGTTGTGCCATCCAAAATAAATAAAGTATAATGTGTTTTGTACTGCAACAGTTAAAGCAGACGAATAGGAGAATAAACAATTGTAGTCGGTAGAAGGACAATTAAGACACTACTGGCACAATGTTCGATATGGTTTCTTGAGCATGGTTGAGTGTCCCCCCGTTTGCACATCTCTGCATTAAAAGTGCCACGATGTGTGCACTCAGCTTGCAGACCGATCGAACGTCTGTCAAGCGCCCTCCCAACTAGTGCTGCCAAGGGACTAAGAAAATAGCAATTCGCTGCCATCAACTCGGCAGCCAATTGACTGCCAGATCTGCAGGCTTAGTGGCCTGGGTTGAGGAGAGACCAGGAAGTCCGAAAGTGAGCGTACGGCGGGAGTGCCAGCCACTCCGGCAAAGTCAAATTTACCGAAATTGTGACTTTGGTTCTGACACTCTTAATAAAATCATAATAAGCTTGCAATGCTGACACTTGAAGCAATCCAGCAGCAACGACTCTGACATAGCAAAGAAGCACTCGATATCTACAGTGAGCTCTCACTATCTGACAAAGCTATGAATGCAGAAAAAACAGTAGCATAAGTTCAAAGTGCTGGCGCACGCAAGAATGCAGCAACAATGCTGGTGTGTTACGCCACCCTGTAATGCGACCAACAACACCTAGAATAATCGAAGCATATGTACTACAATTCTGACATCATAGCAGCGAGATGGAGCACAGACACAGATTGGACACAACCGCTGCATCGGCATTTGGCCGACCTTTGGGTCAAATCAATGCGTCGAAAAACGCGTCAGGATCCAGACCCTTGCGAAATCCACCAAGCGCCCCGGGTCGCACTCGAGGAATCATGGGAACGGTGTTCCTTCAATTCCCTAGTGATCAATATTTCCGAACAATTCTATGCTTACACGCTTTTGAGTGTAATCCAGAGTCATCCCAAATAAGTGTCATGTAGAGTCCAAACACCTGTCATATCACTGTTAAAATTTCTCAACAGTGTCAGAGATTTTGATACTGTGACAGCTATACACCAGTGATTCTCAAATAGAGGTCCGCAGACCCTTTGGGGTCCGCGAAGGCATTGTAAGGGTTTGCGAAGCCCTGCCTCATCAGTCAAGCACAGCAATAAAAGTTGTCCTTTTTCAGATTGATAAGAAACGTTCCAGTTCTCGGGCTAGTTTTTTCAAGTGTATGTCAATGAGAGAATTCTACTTCACACAGCCCTTAGTTATACCCGTTTTTAAATCTTTATCATAATTAATCGATACCTTTTTCTTCCTCTCACCACGAACAGGATCCTCCATCATCTCCCCTAATCCACAAGAGGTCCGCAAAACATCAATCGTTGAGAACCACTGCTATACACAATTCAGTCTGGCTGAGCTGCAGATATTTCTTAGAATATTATCATTCTTGTACAGCTTCAAAGACGCTGATATTAACTTAGAAATGCTAAAAATGCTATAAACAGTCCCGCTGACTCCGAGCTAACTCCTGGTTTTGGTTGTTGCGAATTCTCGGCTTTTTAAGGCGAGACGCGGGTCTTAAAATGGTAAAAAATCGCGAAATTTGGGGTTTTTCAAAAATCACATGTTTGGATAGAATATAGTCTGAAGTACCTGCCTGCGAAGTTTCAATGTCCTATTCGACGTCTAAGTATACAAAAAACGATAAATACGATGCCTCCGCGACGCTCAAATCGCGAATCCAACGCAAAAAAACAGTCAAACTGCGCGCCCGCGTCGCTTCACGACCGATCGTCGGATCGCGGCCATCTTGGTCTTGTTGGAGAGCTGGTTCTCTTCCCTACGTCCTCATCCCACTCACTATCACGACAACCTTGGAGAGCGTCCGCATTCCGCGGGTTTTCACGACCGGAATAACGATTGCTCATTGGCCCGCGCGCGTACGTCACGGGTACGTCGTGCCGCGCGCGCCTGTCATAGGCCAAGACGCGCCCCTTTACACTTTTGCTCCTTTCCTCCTCTTGGCGCGCGCGCCTCCAGCAGCGCAAGGGGAGCGTGGAGAAGCGTCGTCTGCTTCGTTTTGGCCCGTCGCTTTGTTCGTTCCGCGGCTGAGTGCACGTTGTTTCGAAATCGTTTACGTTCGCGCGTTCGCGTCGGACATCGTTGGTTTCTCGCTACGAAGTTGCGGGAGTTTTATTTCGAGCGATCGAGATGCCGGGGGACTCTCGATTGAAAGAGAGTACGCGGCGGACGTTCGGGAGGAAGACGCGACGTGCGTGGAACAAGCGGAAGACATCACCTGCAAGTGCGCCGCTACGATCTGCGCCACTGCCGAACGCATTGGATCTGCCGGGACCATCGGCTAGCCTTCCCGTTGACGATGCTGCGGCCTCAAGCTCTGGTCCGGATGGCTCAAGTTTTGCCGGCACCACTCGCGTCGACTCTACCTACTACTCTACGGCCGAGCAAGCGCAGCGCGCCGAGCGATCGGAGCAAAGCAAGCGCGTTTTATCGGAGAAGTCGGCGACCCAGCGGAAGTTCGATCTGCTTGAAGTCAACGGATCATGCCAAACAAGCGATGCCGGGACCCAGTTTGTCATCGTCGACATGAAAGTCCTCAACGACCTCTTCGCGCACGCGAGGTGTGGAAGCTGCGGTGTGGGATCTCTCACGCTCAGCAAGGCCGCGGACAAGGAGTACGGCTTGGCCGTCAAGCTTGTGCTCGTCTGCAGCACTTGCGACTTCCAGAAGAAGCAGTTCTCCTCTCCCAGGGTTGCTGGAACAGCAAAGATCACTCCCTTTGAAGTGAACATGAGGGCCATGAAGGGGATCCAGTCCATTGGCAAAGGAGTGACAGCCTTGGCAGACTTCTGTGCCTCCATGAACATTTCTCATCGGGGCCTGCACCACAAGACGTACCAGGGACACCTGAAAACGCTCGTGCGGGCATGTGAGAATGCAGCAACCGACAGTGAAGCCGCCAGTGTTGCTGTCATCAAGGGGCTCTACACAGGCTTTATGAACCCCATTGGCAACATCGATGTCATCTTCGACGGATCATGGATGACCCGAGGACGCAGCTCCCACATTGGTGTAGGCTGCATTGTGGAGTTGTACTCTGGCCTCGTCATCGACCATGTTGTGTACTCCAACTTCTGCCTTGGATGTGCCTTGGGACCGGAGCCCGAGGACGATGGCTACAGCGACTGGTGCGCAACCCACGACTGCCAGAGGAACATTGACTGCAATGCTGGCCGTATGGAGGTGGAGGCTGCGCTCACAATGTTCCAGAGGTCTCTGACCAAGCATGGTCTCCGCTACACCACCGTCCTTTCGGATGGGGACAGCCGGACATTCCATGCCTTGTCTGAAGCGAAGGTTTACGGCTTCATCAAGATAGAGAAGAAGGACTGCGTGAACCACGTCCACAAGCGGATGGGAGCTGCCTTGCGCAACGTTGTTGAGAAGAAGAAGGCACAAGGCGAGTCACTTGGTGGGAGAGGAAAGCTGACTCAGGAAAAGATCAAGAAGATCACTAACTATTACGGCTATGCTCTCAGGAGCAACAGCCATGACGTTCCAGGGATGAAGAGGGCGGTGGAAGCCACACTCCTGCACATGACCTCCACAGACGGCGCCCCAGACCACAGCAAGTGCCCCGAGGGAGCGGAGTCCTGGTGCAAGTACAACAGGGCCTTGGCAAACAGTGAGCCTCCGCCGCCGCACAAGAATCCTCTTCCGGATTGTGTTCGGGCTGCACTGGAGCCAGTGTTTGAAAGGCTCAGCAGTGAAGACCTGTTGGCACGGTGTAGTGAGGGAAAGACGCAGAATGCCAGTGACAGCCTGCATTCGGTGATCTGGACGCAGACTTCAAAGAATGCGAATGCCTCCCTGGACAGCGTGAAGAGGGCTGCGGCTGAAGCTGTTGCTGTCTACAACCAGGGAAGGAGAGCGACCAACGAGTCCATTGCTGCAGGCCTGGGCTACGCCACCGGTGACTGCCTTGTCCGCCGAAGCATCGAAAAGGACAGTCTCCGTTTACGTAAAGCAAACGCGGTGCACCAGAGCAGCAGTAGCGTGAAGGAAAGGTTCTCCAAGCGACACCAGGCAGGAGCAACAATCTCAAGAATGATAACAGTGAAAGAGATTTCTGCACCCAAAGTACACACTAACTCCGTTCACCCTTAAGCTGAGACTAGAAGCTCCGCCTTCAGCGTGAGCTCGCTGGTTTCCGCAGTGCTTTGGTCGCATGCTCCTGCGCATTCACACTTGTGCTAGCAAGGGCAGAAAGCTTGCGCTGAAGACGGAGCTTCTAGTACCAGCTTAAGGGTGAACGGAGTATAGATGCTTTAAACACTCGCCAGATTGAGCCGCCATTGCTGACCTTCTCTAGTGTTACCGAGAAGGCAAACCACTGAAGTGGGCGTTAATGAGCCTCCACAAAAGCTTATGCTAGGGAAAAAAACAGAGTAGCACCCAAGTGGCAATAACCTGCCCTGCTGTGGCAATGATGAAGTGAAGCGAACGGAATAAGAGAAAACAAAAACTGAAGGTCAGCTATGGCGGCACCCATGCACAGCTGCCTGAAAGTGTCTATAGTTGGGTACAAATGCTATCATCATCATCCCACAGGGGTACAGTTGGGTACAAATGCTATCATCATCGTCCCACAGGGGTACAGTTTCGGTTCCGCCCGCAAATCGAAAAATTCGTATTGTAAGCTTTTCCTTTCTTTTTTTTAAGTAAACATTTATTTTTAGATTTGCCTATCCTTTCAGGCAAAAAAAATAAATATATTTTTATCCTAAGTTTAGTGTTTTCTTTAAATGGAATGGAGTACAGTGTGATGACTATATGGAGATAGAGGAGGCTGTTCGGGGGCTTCAGTTATTCCAGGTGGTGTTGCTCCGGTGCCGACAGACACGCACCATGTAGTCGTTAAAGGCCCCCGTGTCGGCGTCCACCATCGGTATGAGCTCGTCCATGGCCCGGTGCATGATGGGAATGAGCCTGCGCATGTGCTCGTCGTACTTCTCCCACTGCCGCTTGCCGTACGTCATCTTGCCCACCATGGCGCCCAGGGCAGCTCCCTGCGACACCCGAAAGCCGAACTGAGCGGGCTCGTCGGGGTGCGATACCAAACTAACTACAGCCAGAAATGTGTACTTTTCTGGCTGCAGCTCAGAAAATGCTGCGGCGGTTTTTCGGGCTACTCAACTCATTTTCCGAGTACCGATGCTTTACTCTTTGGCATTCTATTTATTAGCCCTAAATTTAAAATAGTTTTACTGAAAAAATGGTAAATAAAGGTTCTGCCAAAAAACCAACAGTCAAATTTCTTCGTTTAATATAAATTGTGCCTCAAAGCACCCTAACAGGGCATTGTATGAGGGGGAATACAAATATTATTGCAAGAAAAAAAAAAGCGGGCAAGGAAGCACTCGATGAAGATAGCCTAATAGACATAAAAAAAAAAAAAGATTGAACAGTCAAGAAAAAAGAAAACATACATATGTACAAGATGTCATTGATATAACACTTGTAGAAATAATTCCGCTGGTATTTCCAGAACTCGCCACTAGGCTGTCGTCACACATAAAACCTGGAGGTTCATGGTGCGTAAACACGCCAAAAAAACACAGGGGCAGAGAAGAAGTACACAGGACCGAGGCGTACCTTGCAACTAAACTTTACCGAAGGAAACATATAAAAAAAAAAGAATAAAACCGCACATGTGCAGAGATGATGGACTCTCATTGACCACCTGGAAAGCCTACCGTCACTGTTGAGTGAGCGTAGCTTGACCGATAAAAGCCTGCTCCTTATCGGATAGGGCAAAAGAAGGAGCACTGATATGCACATTTGTGCCATGGGGCACATTTGTGCCATGGGCCCTTATCATGAATGGCTCATGTATCTCGCATTCCAATTTCGTTTTGAATTTTCCCACAACCTAGGTACTAGTGAACTTGGCCTGGCACTCACGCCTATCACAATGTACAGCCAAGTACGCAAGATACATGAGGCATTCATGATAAGCGTTCATGGCACGAATGTGTGCATCAGTGCTCCCTCCTTTTGTTGCCCTATCCGATAAAGAGAGGCTTTTATCGGTCAAGATACGCTCGCTCAACAGCGACGGCAGGCTTACCAGGTGGTCAATGAAAGTCCACCATCTTATCACATGTGCAGTTTTATCCTTCTTTTTACGAGTTTCCTTCAGTAAAATTCAGCTGCAAGTTATGTCTCGTCCCGTGTGCTTCATTCTCTGTCCATGTTTTTTTGCCATATTTACCGCCATGCATAAGTACCAACTAGCCCAACTCACACTGTTAATTAAGTAAACAGACTAAATGAAAAAAAAAACACTATGTCGCAGATGTTTTTTTATCTCTAGAGTGAGTTTCTTCAGCACTTATTTTGCACCATCAAACTCCTTCTAACCTATGCAACTTGCAAAACATGACCAATGATGCGGAGAACTTGCCACAATGTTTAACAGGATGTTTAACATTCTCTCATTATAGCCACAGATTTGTTTTGAAAATTTTACTGTAAGGTAAATATCAGCACCTACCACCTTCATTTTCTGTATCTAAACACATTACTCGTGGATGAACACCATATCGCTCTGAAGATGTGCTCTCCTTCTTGCTTGCTCAAAAGATCTTGCTTTGCTACAGTGCATCTGCACTGTAGCAAAGCAAGATTCACAGGTTTGTAGCGTTCATTCAACATGTATCGCTACTCTGCAGTGCACAGTGCTTAGACGAAAGACCTCTTAACGGAGCTAAATAACCCGCTGCAATCATGACCCTGCCAACACTTTGAAAAGTGAGAATATTACAGTCAATCTCAAAGTGAATGTCGAACCTGATAAACTTCAAAGTTACCGGGTCTGATTGAGAAAATAAAACCCAACTTTTCTGCTCGCATAAATAAGCTGCGCATCGCAGAAAGCTGAAACTCCGTAGGAATGTGGCGCTGGAGATAAAATGTGAAAATTTGAAAACATGACGTTACCAGAACCAAAAGAATCGCTAGCGAGACATTCTCACACAGTTTCACCAGGTTTCGCTTTCTCCATTGGTTGCGGTACATATTAGAAAACTAGAACATTTGCGAAACCCTGTACAGGACAGAAAAACACTCTTAAGTAGTTCCCCACTGCCTCGTCAATGTACATGAAGACAACTTCATTACATTTATATTGCACTCCTCATGCTAGCAAGAAACAGCTGGGCCTCGCAATAGCTGCAGCCGTTTGTTGCGACAGCAAAAACTCCTTATTTAAGTGCGAGGAAGCAGAGGAGGGGGGGGGGGGGGGGTAATTTTTCTTTTTCCAGGAGATTTTTCTGTCAATCATACAAATTAGTCGAAATTCAGGAGTCTCCCAGGTAATACAGGAAATTTGACAGGTATGGTGCTCACCCCTAACAGGGGCTGTGACAGGTGCGGGGTGAAATTTCACATGTAAGACGCTCACGTAAAATATACAATAGAAAGCAAAAAAATAATAAAAACAGTACTGTGTGTTAGGCCTACAATAAGCCCATAAAAACAAAGAAGCACTATAACTGAGACACCGTACACTTCATTAGTACAAAAAAGGGTGACTTTTTTGCCAGCAATGTGCCAAGTAAAAGCGATAGCTGTAGCATGTTCGCGCAATGAGGGCAAAACAGTGTCGTCCCGTATTTGAGGACGGTATGCGACGACACCATTCTGCAACTCATTGCTATAGCTATCGCTTTTACTTCTTCGCACATTGACGAGGAAACCTGGGACAATGCAAGCAAAGGAGCAGGTCTTCCCGGTGTTGTTGAGCGGTGAAGAGAGGGAGTAATGTTGGTGTTCAGCGACGAGCGGAGGGGGGGACGCATGCAGAGAAATGAGGCAAGGCTTTGCAGGAAAGATGGGTGCAAGGCGACGAGCTTTGCAGAACATGTGTTACGTTTTGAATTGGGTTGGAGAGGTAGAGATGTTATAGTGAAATCGAATATGGTGGAAGTTTCTAAAACCCTCCAACATTACACGTAGCAACTGGATGCAGCCAAAGTGGGATATATGTAATGTGACTATGTTTGAAAACACCTATAATAAAGTTATCATTAGCAGACGATCGGGAAGACGCTCTGCCAATGTTTCCTCATCTTCATACCGTAATTAATTTCTGGGTCGTTGGGGCTCTCCTCTCTTCCCTCTTTGCACAACGCGACCAATAAGAACACCGGACTTCTCTCCCCTCGTGCCATGAAGGGAGAGGAAGTTTTACCATCTCCGCTGCGACAACAGACAACAACGAATGCCGACACCGAAATTTCTGCGAAATGTTGCCCAAAAAGTATTGCTTTAAAATAAATTGGAGCAGTCAACACTAGCTGTTATTCCTTCCTGTGACGAGAACAAGAAGAACATATTTAACAGGTTAAACCCGTCGTCAACCACAAAGCGCAGAACACCCAGTGGATCGGTGGCTCACCAGGGAAGCGACGGCTGCGGCCACGGATCCACCCCCAGGAGTGGGGGTTCTGGCACCCACCACGTGAATGAACTGGGACAGCGTCTTCTGGGCCAAGGGTCCGGCACGGTCATTCGGCAGCATGTACTCGATGATCCGCTCGGACGGGTCAAAGTGGCCAATGGAGTTGAGACCCAGGCGGTTGATGGCCTGGCACAGAGGGGTATGCCTCATGCCATGTGTCTTTGTTCAAGGAAGCCTTACCAAAACACCCTCCCCAGAATATAATGCATGTAGGGCTTAAGCGTATCCCCAGAATATAGGGAATATATGGGGAAAATATTAAGTATAGACCTTCTTCGCAAGGGCGCAGCCATCATGAATTGTCGTCACTTCCAGTATGGGCGAAAACATTGTTTTGCCGTCGCCACGCCAATAGAAGGCATTTAGGACAAAAACGTAACCGGCACACATTCTCGTTTTGCCTCCCCTCTATTTTTTTACTATTTGCAGGTTGAAACGTTCTAATATTTTTTCGTCGCCCATACCGGATATGCCTACTTGGCGGTCGGGGGCGAGAGTAAGCAGAAAAGGTCTATAGGTTGTCCCAAGTCACCAGGCTCAATCTAAAATGGACCGTAAAAATCTATGCCTGCACGTAGCAATCGAAACTTTGTGTCAATGGTGTATTTCACAGGTCAGCTTTTTCTTGTAAAATTAATAAGTGTAGCTCTCTTTCTGTAAAAAATAGGGCCAACAAACTTGCCACGGTCAACGGCGGGCGGTGACACAGACGACCAAGTCGAGTAGCGGGGTACGTTTGGCACGCGTATTGATAGATGGCATCTGGAGCAGCGTCCGAAGGTGTAACCGACCAGCGAAAGAAAGCGGATGACACGCAGACGAAATCCGTTGGTAGCAAAAGTGCCGTCGTTATGCAAATGCATTTTAATGCGAAAGCATCAACTGTCTCGCAAAGCGAGCTGACTTCATCAGTCTGAAGCGCGAAAACGGCAGAAAGTTTCCTTCGGTTCCATTGGCTGGCGCGCGTCGACAGGGCTCCTATTGGCCGCTGTGCTCGTCAGTTTCCACGACCGCTCACCCCATGGTGCTGCATGTCCATCAGCGCGGAGCGTCCAAAGTCACCAGGGGAGCACGCGCGCTGGCCGGCGAAGAAAAATACGCAGCAGACGAAAAAGGGAGCAGATGAGCGGCTTGCATGCTTTCGCATTCATAACTCATAAGTAATGCTTAACTGTACCTCGATATTTTTTTCCTTTAAGTTTTTGCTTTTATTATCTACATTTATTTTTTAACCAAAGGTACATTACAAAAAGATTATGTTTATTTGAATAAACCATGGTGCTCGCGAGCAGTATCATTAAGAAGGTAGCGCCATCTATCAATACAAGCGCCAAACCCGTCCCGCTACTCGAATTGGTCGTCTGCGTCGCCACCCGCCGTTTACCCTGGCAAGTATCTTGGCCCAACTTTTTACAGAAAGAGAGCTACGCTTCGTAATGTTACAAGAAAAAAAACGACCTGTGAAATACACTTTTGACGAAAAGTTTAGATTGCTACGTGCAGGCGTCAATTTTTACGGAATAGATTGAGCCTGGTGACTTCAGACAGCCTATATATCCCCAGAAAATGGGAATATAGGGCTAAAGTATGCACTAATACATAGGGTGTCTACAATGAATCTTGGCGCTGTAGAACGAGCCGAAAAATCGGCACTTGCACAGACAAAGCTGAGGCTCTCACTGAGTGTGCAGTTAAGGATGCACTTCACCTGATAAAATTTCGATATAATCATTTTTAGGAGAAGCCCCAAGATGAAGATGTATGCAAGAATAAATTGACTTACACCTAAAATAGTGTGCACTTCCCACACTCTAGGCGGGCTGTGGCCACTGAAAAAATCCGCCTAGTCCAGGATTTGATCTAGGAACCTCTCCGAGACTAGAAGAGCACCCTACCGACTGAGCTAACCAGGAGCTAGGGTGCAACAAACGGACGAAAAAGTGTGTTGTCTGCTCGCTGTGCCTATCGGGAGATAGTGCCACAAGTTAGAACCGTCGCTACTTAGGTCGTCTTTTCGAACATGTTTGCCACTAACCCTGGCAAGTTTGTTGGTCTAGCTTTTCACGGGAAAGAACCTGCACCTTAATATTTTACCAGGCAAAATGCACTGCCTAATTGTGCATTCGGTGAGAGTTCGAGCTCGTTCCATGCAGGCACCAATTTTGCCGGCTTGTTTTACGGTGCCAAGATAGATTAAGATTCACTGAAGACACCCTAAGTTAACTATGCAGTAGAAACTATGCGCAGTGTATCTAAAGGGATGCTGAACCGAAATCTGGATTCCACAAAACACACGGCAAAAGCATGCAATGGGATGCTACAAACACCAAAACATCACTCATACAGCGATATAATAATAATAATAATATTAATTCCTTTATTTTCCATCGAAAATGAGGGAGGTGGAGGAAAAAAGCTGCTATAGAGCTCGAACGGATGACCATATTTTTCAAGAAAATGAGGCGCATTTGACAGAAATGCTGACGTCATGTTTCTCCAAGAAGGAGAAGGAACGGCCTCGCGTATTCTCCGCCTCGCTACCTTGAGAGGGCGAAGTGACGAGAGGAGGAAACTAGGTATCTTCACGGTCACGCACCTCGTCGGCCTGGTTCAATCTCGACCTCTTTTTCCCAAAACACGGCCGTCCATTCGAGATATCGCCTTACGAGTAGTGCTGTAGGGATTGTAGCGTCCCGCCTACATCTCCTGGATTGTTTTTTCTGAAATCCAAATTTCGGTTCACCATCCCTTTAAAGGCTGCACTGCGCTCGGCCATGCTCAGATGCAAATGTTAAAGGGCCCCTCAGTACAAGAAAAATGTTTTTTTTTTTAAATAGTTTGGTTGGAACATGAGTGTGAAAAAACAAATTTTATGTGAAAAAAGTGTAGATGGTTGAGTGTGTTGGTTATTAATTTACGATAGAAAAAACTTTTTTTTTTTTTTTCAGAGCAACATTAACAGCGCCAAATTTATTTCAAATTTTGTGCACAAAGTCCGTGACGTCACGGAATGATCATACACTCTCTCCACCTCAACGAAATGGTCATACGATGGCCAAGCCGATCCAGCTGTCCTCCACGCGCCCGAAATACCGAGAGAGAAAACAAGTGGAAAGGAGGTGACTACCGACTAAATCGCGTCTCGCGCCGTCAATATTGCTCTAAAAACTTTTTCTTTTTTGTTGTTTTTTGTGTAAAATTAATTTTTTTGACCCGCGTGTTTCAACCAAACTGTCTAAAATAAACTTTCTTTTTTTTTTCAGGTGCTTTTTGATTGTGGAACACTATACGATAAATATACCCTACGACTGCTGGTCGTAGAGTATATTTCTTTTCGTGATTTTTTTTCTTGTGGGTTTGCTTTTGACAATATCATAAACAACTGTTTCTTGTGGATAGTATGCAAGCTTGACTCGGAAAATACTGAAAAACCTTCACCCTAGTTAAAAGCGGTTCCAGGGCTACCTCGCAGATGGCACCGGTGCGCTCTCTTGTCACAAAGCGAGACAATGCACTTGGTTGCCACCAAATGCGAGTGTGCGGACTAGCCTTCAAATGTGTCCCCTCGAAGGCACAACGCCATTTCCAAAGCCACTCCGTAAGCTAGAGCTTAGGTGTGCCGCGAAACATGCGGGCCGGTAAAGCAGACAAGGTGCATTTTGCCATAGTGCTCCGAGCGAGCGTGACGCAACGAGTATGGGGTTCAGCCGGAGACGTCGGCATGACCCGCTCACCAAGTGGACTTTCTGGTCCTCTTCCAGAACAAAGAGGCTCTCCTTCTCCATGTAGAACTCCGCGGCTGCCAGAATGGCCTCGAGCGGAACGAGGCCCACGATTTGCGACCCGGTCACGGCCAGTTTCAGGTCCCTGGCATTGCGGGCAATCTGCACGTTTGAGAATGATGTGGCAGGTGTTTCCGAGGGGCCACGCCACGACCCCCTACGAAAGTTTCCGGCGAGGGCTAGCTTCCGCAGATTGGCAAAAATACTACTGCTATCAAACCGACTTCCAGAATTAGCCATTGTCCAATCTTCTCTTCGTCAACATCTTTCCTTTTACATGTGCTTGACATTCATTCAAAATCATAACCAGAAAGCAAGCTGCTTTTAATCTATCAACCTTCCATTTACATTAAATAAGAACATCTGTGCCAGGTGAAAACTTTTTTTTAATATTTACAATAGTTGAATGACAATGCCACAGTTTATGATGCCATCTCCTTGCTATAAATCTGATGTTATTTTCTAAAGAGATCGTTATTTATGTTCTGGATGCAACACACATGCAAGAAAAAGACATGTTCTTGTGCATATGTGGGGCATAGCAACAAACCTAAAGAATTATTGAAATACTACGACCAACCAATCCCTAAATCAGGGGCCCAACGTTTCGAAACCGGTTCGGCTTCTTCTTCAGGGGCGACTATGAAGGAAAGGAGCCACAATCTTCTTTTTCCTCTATGACGGAGGCGAATGTGCACGATCCAATCTTCTTCCTCTTTGATAGTTTTTTGAAGACAACTGGTGGAGTCCGTTCACATACACAGATGGCAGTGCACCAAGAGACCTATTAATGTTTGTTGGCGTGGTCTGAATGTGCCAAGATTCAAGGAAGGGCCTCCGGCGAGGATTAGTTTCGATGTCCAGGATACATGTGTTTAGAAAGTCAATGTGGTGGTCATTTTTTTCACAGTGTTCAGCAACCGCGCTGCGCTCTTGATCGAAGTTGCGCACATCAGCCTTGTGTTGACGAATCCTTTCATGATAGTTCTTTGTTTCCCCGATGTACGAGGACGGGCACTCCGCGCAGGAAATCTCGTACACCACACCTTGCGCTTTCTCTTTAGCGGGCCGATCTTTTGGTCGTGGCATAAAGCGTCCAAGAGTTGAAACTGGCTTGTGGGCCATCTGATTGCCCTCCTTTGCTAGCACCCGTGCCAGCGCTTCACTTGTTCCCTTGATGTATGGGACGCTGATGCGCATGGTTGGCCGGCGTTTCGTATCAACCTGCGACTGGCGGTGTTGTCGACTTCGGTTTTGACGACGGGCAATGCGGTGTATGAAGCTGCCCGTATATCCGTTCATCTTGAGGTCCCAAATGATGGTTTCTTCTTCTTTTCGTCGGTCAGAATCAGTTGAGCAAAGGTTCTTTGCCCTTAATAGGAGTGTGGTAACCACCGATACTTTATGGCTCGTTGGGTGGTCCCCCTAAAGAGAAAGCGCAAGGTGTGGTGTACGAGATTCCCTGCGCGGAGTGCCGTCCTCGTACATCGGGGAAACAAAGAACTATCATGAAAGGATTCGTCAACACAAGGCTGATGTGCGCAACTTCAATCAAGAGCGCAGCGCGGTTGCTGAACACTGTGAAAAAAATGACCACCACATTGACTTTCTAAACACACGTATCCTGGACATCGAAACTAATCCTCGCCAGAGGCCCTTCCTTGAATCTTGGCACATTCAGACCACGCCAACAAACATTAATAGGTCTCTTGGCACACTGCCATCTGTGTATGTGAACGGACTCCACCAGTTGTCTTCAAAAAACGATCAAAGAGGAAGAAGATGGGATCATGCACATTCGCCTCCGTCATAGAGGAAAAAGAAGATTGCGGCTCCTTTCCTCCATAGTCGCCCCTGAAGAAGAAGCCGAACCGGTTTCGAAACGTTGGGCCCCTGATTTAGGGATTGGTTGGTCGTAGTATTTTAATAATCATTTCCCCAACCAGACAGACTTCTGTCTAATGTTTACTTTTAAACCTAAAGAAGTAATGTAATATAATCTCCTTTGAACCTTATGACCCACTGAGTGCAATGAACAACAAAATAATGTATGTGATGCCTCCTTCTTTTTGAAATAATTGAAGATCACAAAAAAATATGTTTTTAAATGACTGCCAAGCATTTCTTAAAACTTTTCTAACTATATAAATTGCATACATTGTAACTGAAGCTCGATAGTTTCATTCCACAGCTCCTAAAGCATTTGAATGCCAAATTTGGTTGTGTAAGGATGATATTAAGAACAAAAATTCTTGCACACAAACTGTAAAAATGCTCTAAAACTACAAAAGGATAAAAATGCATTATAAGATTATTATACATGCGTAGCAACGTCCTTTCGCGGCAGGAAAATTATTTTTTTTATTAACTTTTAGCAAGAGGTGAGGGCTACTGAAGAATGCAACAGAGAAAAGATGACTAGGCCCATTTCTGAAAATAAATGTGATGGCGGGCAACGCCACAATTTAAAAAAAATTGCACATGAAAATGCCGACGTTATGCCTGCTTGGGTCACCGGGAGTATACATCAAATGCGTGCCTCGACTAATCTTACAATTATATCTGGCCTTTTTTTTTTTTTTTTTCATAGGGTCAAGATGAAGGTTTAAAGATAACAAAACATCCTAGAACCCAAGATTTAATTCTTTTTTTTAAATACTGTTGTTCTTTCATTTGCATCTCCCCTTGGACGTTCAGCGCCAGAGGAACAGAACTATGACCAGCTTAGAAATTCCTCGCCTCTTCGTAGACCACGTGAACGGGAGTGATGTCGTGGTCCAGGACGTTCACAGAAACCTGGGCAAGGTTTTCCTCCTCCAGCCACCAGCCGACCGCCTGCACGCTCTTCAGGGTTCCCGGCTGCAACAGAGCAAGGCCACAGCGTGTCCTATACACCAGAGCAATCCGGGTGCACAAGTCAGCGACGGGTTAAAAGGGAGGTAAGGGCTCTGGCGGCTTTCAAGCTAACAAAACTCATTTTCGGAAAGTACAGGCTTGGCTCTTCCTGGCGCGATACATATTACCTCCAAGTTCAAAGCAACTATTGAGAAACCGGCAAATAAGGGCGATGCCAAAACCGGCATTCAAATTTTTCTTTGCATCGGGGTAATGTCATGTGTAAAACTTGTGAGTCAAGCGGACAGTCTAAAAAAAAAAAAAACGGTGTTTGCACGTGGCTTTATTGTTCTGCTCGTGCACGCTAAACCACGCGTTTGTGTTACATCGTCAAACTTCTTGCAACGCGTTGGGAACAAGCTGCGGTGTCCTCGTATTAGCCCCACATATTACAACATCCGATGTCACGTGTTTACTGTTGCCAGGTGAGCGCGTAACCCTCTTGGACCAAAACTAAAAACTTCAAAAACTTGTAGAAAAAGCAATTCTTTTTATTTTCTTATTTAAATTTTTAGTTCAGTTACTATTATTAATAAAGTCTTATCATTATTATTTTCATCAATATTTTGGAGCATCTATACTGGGTTCTCTTGAACTGTCACCAACTGTAGAAGATGTCCCCAAAAGAAATTTACGAAGCTTTTTTTTTCTCTGCACACATAAACTATGCATCGCCAAACGATTGGTCTCCGCCCTAGTGTAGCGCTAGCAGTCCGGATCAAATACCGAAGTTTCAGAGCTTGTCGTCGATTGTTCTTAAAAGTTACGGGCAATTTTTGGAAATTTCCTATGAGAAAACAGTGGCCGACAAGGCCCGCAAACACGTGGAGGTGAACAACGTCATCTACCGGGATTCTTCTCCCTACTTCCCCGTTGAAGCCGCACATAACCTCCAAATAACATGACGGTTAGTTTCGAAACTTTGGCACCTGGTCTGGACTACGAGCACTACGTTCGAGCAGAGACTGAGCAATTTGTTTTTGCGATGAAAAAAAACGCAAAACATTTTGGGGAGAAACACTGTAGATGAGCTACTGAAGTACCGGAAAAGCATGCAACAAATACCATGTGGAAGTAAAAGCCCCTTTAAATGATTTTTAAAAATTTGCTTTGCATACAATGGCAATGTAGTTTGTCACGAAGGTGAGGCTAAGTGGTGAATTTGTCTCGTGACAATATATGGAAGGGAACACTTGCCTTATTGAGGAGTTGCACAATGTTTCCAATGCCTCAAAATTGAGCTTTTTTCGAGCCCGTTCTCGTCGACCCCTCGGGCATTCGATTAGACAAAAGATGAAAGAGACGATAATTCGAGCCGATTTTCTTTCCTACCTTTTTTGTTTTTGCTAAATCAAACGCCCTAATGCAGTGCTTCCCAAACTCTGCCACCCTGCGACCCATCGAAAACATAAAGGATCTCGTCACGACCCCCACAGCTTTCTGAAATGCTGCAAGGTCCTCGATTTCACCGCACGAACCACGATACACAAAATTAAAGCTGAAATTTTATTTCAAAGTTAATATAGTCCGAGAGAATCAACTAAGCTAGAAACCATAGAGAAAAAAGAAAAAAAAAAAGAAATACATGCCAGCAGGAGTGACTGTTCCTAACGACTAAAGTGAGCTTGTTTGTTAGAGCACAGTGCCGATCAGATCGAGGGCAGAGCTTGTGGATCGGACACCGCGACTCTAGCTCGATTCCGAACCGCGATCCGCACTCCGTTTTCGTAGGTGCCACCGCAGGGAAGACAAGGCAGCATTTTTTTGAGTGTGGCCCATAAGGTCTCCCTTTGTCGCGAGCCGTTTTAAATTGTTTCTGAAGGACAGAAAAGCGTTTCCCGCGGTTTCAGACGAGTCTTCAGATAACTCGAAGATGAGTCTTCAGATTCGAAGATGAATGTGAACTAGAAAGAGTGCCTGTAATGCCAAACTTGGCGATTACTCACCTTGGAATCTTATCGTTACTACTAAATCTAAATGTGAAATAGTTTGCTGGACGTGATGGAATCTCTGGCACAATTTTAAGGAGATATGCAAAGTGGCTCTCGCACTATCTACTTCTAATTTTTGTTGAGCCACTGCAATCCTCACGGCTACCGGATGATTGGCGTTGTGCTAAGATTGTCCCGATTCACAAGACAGGAAATAAACACTTAGTCACTAACTACAGACTGACTTCACTGACAAGTATGACATGCAAGTTAATTGAACACATTATATGCAAGGCGATAACTAAACAGTTAGGCCCGCTTCAGACGGGGAAATTTCGCCCAGCAACTTGACGTCGCAACTCCAGCAACACGGGCCGCCCGCATTCACACGCAGCAACCGAATTGCTACAACTTGCCATCATCATCATGAAATTTGATTTTTCTTACACTATTTAGACGCACAGCTACACGCTAAAAACATGTTTTTATATCTTTGAATGGTGTTGAGAATGCTAACTCATCTTTCTGAAAAAGTTTGTTTCCGAAAACGATCCATTTCAAGCCAGAACCAAGTTTATAGCTGCCATTATCACCACCACAGGAGTGTCGCATGAAAATATCGCGTCCCTGAATGGCTGCAGCCGTTTCAAACGTCTTTGAATTGCTCCGAGTTGCTCGCTCGTTCGAGCCGGACCCGATCTCAGCAATTCGTGTCGATCTAAGGAAAGCTTGGGAACAACCCGCCAGCAACCTCAAAATTGCTGGAAAAGTTGCCCCATCTGAAGCAAGCCTAAGAAGAAAACAATGTTCTTTATTCACATCCATCAACACGGGTTCCGGGCAAGATTGTCTACGGTAACGCAACTCCTAAAGGTTACCCACAATTTTGCACTTACTATTAACGATAGACAACAAACGGATGCCATTTTTAAAGACCTATTGAAAGCCTTTGACTGTGTGCCCCACGAGAAATTAATAACTAAGTTGCAGTCAGTTGGCATTAGTCACCCTTTGATTTCCTGGATTTATGGTTACCTTGTCAAATGCAAACAGTATGTTGTACTGAACGGTAGTACCTCTGGTATGCTGGATGTGTTTTCCGAAGTGCCACAGGGGTCAGTGCTCGGCCCATTGCTATTTTCGATTTATATAAATGATTTGCCAGCTTGTGTTGATCCAACTGCAAAGGTGAGACCCTTCGCCGACGATTGCGTCACATATACAACCGTAGCTGGACCTGAGAGTCAGATAATTCTTAAAAAATCATGGCAAAACATAAGCCTTTGGTGTAAGAGATGGGGTATGAAAATCAATCACGACAAAACTGCTGTTATCATAATCAGTAACAAGAAAAACCCATTAGACTTCTCATATAAGTTAGATAATAAAAAATATTAACAAAGTAAATGAAATAAAGTACCTGGGAGTTACAATCTCGAGTAACCTTAAGTGGGAGACACATGTCCCAAACGTATGCAGTAATGCATTTAAGACATTGGGCTACTTGAGAAGAAAAATAAAAAAACTCTAAGCCTGCAACTAAACTGTCAGCATACAAGGCACTGGTCAGACCAGTGTTGGAATATGCCAGTATTATCTGGAGTCCGTATCAGGATTACCTTGACAATAAGCTGGAAGAAGTTCAGATTGCAGTAAGGTTCTTCTATTATAATTACTCGTGGAGGGCTAGCGTTACCGCTATGCTTGCGAACGCAAAGTTGGACACCCTAAAAGATCGAAGAAAAATTGCTAGCCTGAAGTTTTTGTATGCACTGTACCAACAACAAATAAATATAGCACAAGAAAAATACCTCAAGGCCCCCTTCGTGCACCCAAAGCGAACCAACCATAGCCAGACGATTGGGCCGTATTCAGCCAAAAACAACACATTTAAATATCCCTCCTTACCCCGCGTTATTGATGAATGGAATAAGTTACCAGAAGAAATCGTAAATGGTACATCAGCGCAGTCTGTTGCCGAGACTCTCACTTCTATGCACTAGCATAACATTCCGCTTATACGTTTTCTTTTTTTGTTTTTTTTATTACGAATGTCTTATACCACTGTGGTACTTCTTGTCTGTACAAATGTCCACTTCTGTATGGGTCTTCAATGACCTAGAGTACTGATAAATAAAAATTTAAAAAAAAACTGGCAGCAGTGACTGTGAGCACCGAGATGACTGAAGTGTCATTACTCCGAAGCGTAGCTTATTTATAGTCACCGAAAGAGGGCGCACCCACCTGTCCCTTTCCCCTGCCCTCCTCCCGAATGTCCAGGGCGATGCGGTGGGCCTGCTCCTTGGTGGCCAGCAGGTTCACGTTGTAGGCGATGAGGAACTTGCGCGCTCCGGACATGGTGGCCCCCCAGCGTGGCACAAACTCGGCCGGGCCGTAGTCGGGCTTCCACTCGGGCTTCCCGATCTGTGGGGTAGGCGGAGCCAAGCGTTGCACGCGCGTCCACGGTGCATGGACCGCGGGCGCAACGTATGCGGTGTGACGCGCTTGGCACGAACGAACCACCTGCTCGTTGCTGCGTTTAGGGCTATTAGAAGCGTGCGAGGAGACGGTAGTGCCACGGTGCGGGTCCTAGCAGAAGCGTTTCGCACTGGACACGGCCAAACTGGCATAGACGTCTTACGTGGCAGCCAACCTTTCTAATCGATGTTGGCTTACCCGAGCGCAGCGCTATACAAAGCATTCGGGGCTGCACTTGGCGCAAACTCTTTTTGCGCGAGGCCGGGTAATTGAGAACGCAGATCCCATCTGTGCGCCATCGAAGAATGCTGCAAACCTCTCGAGCCCGGTACGTCCGCTCGGTCCGCCAATGAGCAAAGAGCGGTCCCATAATAAGAGGAGCGAAAAGTACTTCTGGCGTAGATTTTATCGGTTACTGGCACCCAACGAATGTCGTCCCCTAGCAACTTTTCGATTGCCAAACAGACGCTTCGTAAAGGCATGTTCTGGCTTACAACTGCGGAATGCGCGACTGAAATCGAGCTCCGAGCAACTCGTGCGGGTCGAAGGACGTGAAAACATGTGCGGAGCAACGTTGGATGTAGGTAGGTTTTCTTCAACCAACATATTTTTCAGAGTTTTAAAGCCCCAAAAAAAAAAAATAAGCTTCATATTCTTTTCTATATTTAGTATTGAATGTGTGCCTAAGATGAACCACGACTTTGAATATATTTGGTACGCTAGTTCGAAAGACACCTGACCATGGAAAAGAGAGTGAGCTTGCCTCAAATCGGCCAATACTTAACCAGCGGTTTTCGGGCAAAAAAAAATTGAATTTCGAGCCGCAAATTGTTTTCTGGATAGCTGGGCGATAGTAAGTCGCGTCCAAATAAAAACCTCAGCAAGCATAAAAACCCCGTCAGTGCCACTTTAACCCACAACAGGCTGTAAAGTTTAATATAAAAAAAATCCCCCCCTCCCCCAAGAAGTGCAAGAGAAAAGTGTAACCTGCTTTCCCTGCTAAATTTAGCGGAAAAATCTTAATAGGCCGTTTCCGCAATTGTGAAATGATGCATAGATTATGCGCAGCTGCCTTTTCGATCAGAGTACGCTCCGAATGCTGACAAAGCGCTCGTGCCTAATGCGTGCTCAGAGTGCACGGCCAACTAATGGCAGCTGCACATATTCTACGCATCATTTCGAAATTTCGAAAAGAGTTTATTGCAGTGCAATTATATTCACCTCTTCTAATTAAATGGTATATGATGATACCGGGTCTAAAAAAAAGACATATTTACTGCTAACTTAATGCCATCTTCACTATATGTTTTTCGAGCTTGGCGGACATTCGAGGGGCAAACAACCGTCACTGTCTCGTGAGTAATTAACTTAAATTCGTTAATTAACTTTTTAATTATTGAAAATAGACACATGGTTCCATTTAGAAACCTACTGAGCGTCATTGAAAGCCACTGAATCAACTCTTTTTAGAAGGACTTGAAGCTCGTGGAAAACTCGGGGGCGTGCCAAAGTTACCATTTGTGAAGCAGGCGGAAAGCCAGCATTGGCGGAACGCGGATGATTGATCGTTATTGTGTTCCGCAACTGCTAGCTTTGCGCCTGCTTCACAAGCGCCCCCAGTTTACCATGAGCTTCAAGTCGTTCTAAGAAAAGTTGATTTAGTGGTTTTAGATAACGCTCAGCAAATTTCTAATTGAAACCATAAGTTTACTTGCACTAATTAAAAAGTTAATTAACGAGCTTAGTTAATTACCCATAAAACTGTGATGGCTGTTGGTCCCTCGAGTATCTGCCGAGCTCAAGAAACATATAGCGAAAATTCCATTCATGTAGCAGGAAGGACGCTTTTTAAAAAAATCTGTTTCGAATAAAAAAATATCACCCGGCATACAGCAATTATACACTCTGTCACATTCAAATGCAAATGCGTGTATTTTAGCCTTTAGAATCAGGCGGGACACGCGTAACCGCTCGTGTTCAGTGGCGGTTCGTACAGCACGATGGAGCCCACCTTGTCGGCCAGGCCCTCGTACTCCCCGGAGCGGATCTGGGGCACGCTCCTGCGGTGATCCTGCTGCGCAGCGAAGCCGTACAGGTAGACTGCGGGAATGCCAGACGACCCGTGACCCAGCCGCAGACAACCGCAGACGGCCCTCTCTTACCTGGAACGCCGAGCTCCGCCGAGAGCTTCTCCCCAAACTTGCGAGCGCAGTAGACGCACTCCTCCATCTCCACCCCCTGCACCGGGATGAAGGGGCAGACGTCCAGGGCACCCAGCCGCGCGTGCTCCCCTGCGCCAATCGGCCGGGGTCAGCCCCGGTCTGGGACACCACGGCCACTTCTACAAGGAGGGCCCCTAAATTACTCAAATTTGTTTCTTTTTAATATATTTTCTTTTTCAGATTTAGTGTAGGGTAATTTTTTAAGGGTTTGTTCGCTTCCCACAAATACGGTGTTCTTCTGTGTCTATTTTCGGCGCAGGGCGAAATATCGGCACTTATGTTGAAGAGGTCAGGATGGAAGCATGGGCTTCCATCCTGACCTCTTCCTCTGGGGAACATGCGCATGGCCTGAATTCGTGGAAAATTTCGCAGCACCGGCAACAACAGCCTCACGCAAAATAAAGTTGTAGATAAAGATCTCATTCCATGAAGCTCGCATTTTCCTTACTCAAAGAAAGATCCGCTTTGGCGTCTTCCAATTTTCCCCGATATTGATCAAACTGGCTTTAGCGTATGTAGTAGGTTCTTCGGTTCACACCGAAAACATGGAGCCCTACCATCACCTCCGACAACAACATGAGTCTTTTCCAGGCAACTGAAACAAGAGCCAAGATTAAACAAATATGGCACTCTCCTTGACTAGTCTTCTACTGCCCATCCCCTTAGAGCTCCGTCGCACAATCAAAGCAGCTTTGAGAGGCCCGACAGAGTGTTAGCCTTCAGCTAATCGGCCAGTCGCTTTGTTTCTAGCATTAGCTTTTGCTTGCGCAGCAGAACACTAGAGCACATGAATCAACTGTCAACGCACAATGTAAGCACGAGTCAATCTTGGTCCCAAACTGCAGAAGTAAACAAAAGCTAAAATTCCATTTCTGAATCCCCTCAATGGGGTGGACACGGTAACATCAACCTTGACTCTGGGCTGGAAAAAGCGTACCAACCCCTTAACCTGTGTCAGTTTGTCAGTCAAACTGCCTGACTGTAATACCACTTGGTGCCACCATTTGTAATGATGTTTAAACCCTGAGACTGGGAAGGAAACTTGAAGATACCTTAGAAGAAACAGACGAAAGGTGACAGACAAGGAAAACATTAGGATTAATACGCACCAGCTCGCCTGCACATCGACAATTTCTCCAATCTGCAACGACGTCTCCCAATCTGGAAACACTCGCCGATTCCCCCCACCCCAAGGTAACAATTCTACGGAAACACGTTTCGCCCATTGTTGAAGGGCTGGCTACAGAATACAACCTGCTAATGAGAAATTAAACAGTTTTAAAGGCAAAACTTCTCAACCTGTTCTTATGATCTGTTTATAACAGTGATAGGCTTTTCTGACAAACGTTCTAGTTAACTCTCGCTCCCACAAACTGTTAAAGCTGTGGCTGCTTATGACCGAGTGCATCAAGAGCTCTTGTAATCTCCTACGACGAGAGAACACACTGGCATGCTGGCACCATCTATAAGGCGGTCCTGGAACTGCATTTCACTAGAGCAAAGGTTTTGCGATATTTGCGAACTCAAATGAATGTGTTAAGAGAAACGGTCGTATAACAATTGGGAAAAAATTTTTCGAACCAATAGTGAAAGAACAATGCGCCAGAAAAATATGAGACATACGGCCTCAGGTTAATTTCTGGTGACGCTGACGAACATGTTAGCTGTCAACGCTGTTTGTCGAATACTAAAAAAATATCCTTCTTAAATCATTGGTGAGACATTGAATGAAGGGTATGAACGTCTAGCTTTTGTAGTGTGCCCCTCGCCTGATCCGGTTAGACAAAACGGAGGCTTCGGCGAGTTGGTATGGAGGTGGTGACGTGTGTTTGTGTGTAACCCCCGCTTGCGCTGTTATTTTGATCCGATTGGTTCCTTCTTGGTGCCAAGAACGTGCCTCTCGTGGTCCAATTCATCTTTAGGGAAAGCTCTTCCACAGCAGAAAAGCTCCCCCACCCGAGACATCTAGGGACCCAATTAATGCATAGTCCAACAAATATTCCCCAAAGCTGTCATTTCTGTCGCAGGCTCGTTCTGTTGTTCCCCTTGCAAATGAGTATGTTAAATGTGGGCAGAATATATGCTTGTTGGCGACACGATTGAATCGAGTCGAGAGGGCCACGACGGATGAGAAATTACTGCCAACTACCAAGGTAGTACTGCTTAAATGATGAGTTTCCTTTCCAATATTTTATGCTGGAATGCCAAAATAATTATTCGGACAAAATTTCATTGGGAACCCCAAGTTTTAGCAGCAAACCAATATCTTCCCATATGATGACAGAAATAGGTCAGGAGTAAACAGGTGATGAAATGAGAGAGACCTTGAACCTGTCTTCCCCCATCATACCAACTTCCTTTTTCTTCATTTATCTCTCGTTAATGACCTAGCTGTCTGGGCTAAAACACACAAGGGAGAAATGCAACAGGTTCACGAACCCGGACTGTATCTGTCCCTTTTATTACTCCCTCCCCGAGCTGCTATCTTCAAGGGCAGTGCCTGGTTACTGCTGCTTGTAAAAACCCACAAACACCCTCAACAGCGGCTAGAGATAAGACAAGAGACGGCCAGGACAAGCCCCCGAGCCCCCGTTGTGCCCAAAGACCCAAAAACCTGGGTGTCTGCCAAAATTATGTTTTTAAGATCTCCGACCGTTCACGGCTTCCCACAACTATTTTATCGAAATTCCCTGACCAACCCTAAGACGTTGCCTGAAGTGAAGTTTTTTTTAAAATATAAAACACTGGTACATCTGACGCTGGCTTCCCCAGTTCTAACTTTGAGACAATGTCACCCCACCAGCTGAAATAAACTCAACGACCACGCTGTGAACAGCCCATAAAAACAGTCCATTTACAAGGATCGACCATGGATGACCAAGACTTTTTTTTTTTCATAAAGAATCGCAGAACACATATAATAATTTATATTTCCATTTAAAGAAAGAAATGGAGGAGCAAAAAGGAAAAAGCTTCAACAAAGAAGCTTGACTGGCCCTCAGCCCCATCGGCAGCCACTGAACAACAGTTTTCGTACAATGAAAAGAAAGAACAATCATAGACAGAACATTATGCACTAGCCAATTGAAATAGCAGAAACAAGACACAGAAAGTTCAAATATGTGAAAAGATGCTACCCAACTCTTTGGGAAATATTGTTTCTAGATTTCTGTTGTTTTTTTTTTTTTTCTCCAAAGCTGTTTAGAAGCTTAGGAATTAAATAGAGAAGCTTCTTTGCTGCCCATCATTTGACCTGCATGTGGGAACCTTCTAATATTCAGTATGCAGGTCAAGTAAACCATATTATTTTTTTTCTAGTGCAGCTATCTCGTTTAAAAGAACACATTCTTTTTTGTTTCATTTTTAATGGTGATTAGAAGTTTATAATCAGAAAGGTTATGAATTTTTAACATATGAAATTACTAAACATTGTCTCTACTATATGGGAGTCATAAGGTGCATTGAAGATGGCTCTCAACAAACTAGGTAAATTTTGTTCAGGCTGGATGCCACGGTTGTGCCCCAGACAAGGTTGCAATAACTCAGCGAGTAAAACAAAGAATATTCAATAATTATTTTCACGCAAGCATGTAGAATTTGGCTGTGGCGGTATGTTAAACCAACAACACGTGACAATTTGGAAACCAAATAATTAACGTGGCTGTCCCAAGACATATTTTCAGACAAGAAGACAGAGTGTTTTAAAATTATCCAGGATCCCCATCGGACTTGACCCAAAAATCATAGGCCTCGACATAAAAATTTATATATTTTTCGGACCAAATGAAATAACCTTTGTCTTTTCAGTGTTAATACATAGTCCATTTTCCCTTGCCCAAGCCGCCAACCTTGACAAAGTAAATTGAGCAGCATCTACAAGTTCATCGCCGTTTAAAAAGGAAAGAAATATGCTAGTGTCGTCTGCATAAATTACAAATTTTGCAACAGAGTTTATATTCAAAATATTGTTTATATAGGTTAAAAAGAAGGGGCCCTAAAATACTTCCTTGTGGAACCCCTGAAATAATACTTTCTTTATCAGAAGAATTACCACTAATGTTAATATATTGGAAGCGGTGATTCAATTATAAACTTAGGAGTGATAACGGCATCTCTCGAATACCATAATACTCAAGTTTGCAAAGCAGGATGTTATGATCCACAAAATCAAAGGCTTTAGTAAAATCTACAAACACCCCTTAAACAGTTATTTTTCCCGCAAAATTTTGTAATATATATTCTTTCCGGGACAAAGGGGCTAATTCTGGGGAACTTTTTTTTTCTCAAACCAAACAGTAAGGATGACAGTAACTCACGCTTATTCACAAATTGCACAAGAAGGGACTGTATTACTTTCTCGAGGCCTTTAGAAAATAAGAGGAGAATAAAAATCGGTCGATAATTGCTGGAATTATTTTTATCTCCTTTTTTGTGAAGGACAGACACTTTTGCCACCTGCATCGCCATAGAAAATACTCCAGACGAAAAGCAAAGGTTGAAAACATGAGTTATGTACGATATGACACCATTATCTCAATAAGAAACTTTAATGGGCGTATTTGCATATCATTGCAGTCACAGCTAGAGCTGTTTTCATAATTGCATAAATGTATGAAACACCTCAGCATTTGTAACAGGTTCAAGAAAGATAAAATGAGCATTTCTGAATTCTATTTATTTGCAAGGATCATTATTACTACTATTATTATTATTATTATTATTATTATTATTATTATTATTATTATTATTATTATTAAACGACTGCAGACTTCGCAGGTCTGTAGATTTAACAAATATTTAGTACATCGCATTCTTTGTTTTCATTCTTTCAAGTAAATCCGATGTTATCCACGGTTTCCTGATTTTTCTAGATGCTTTAAACATTTAGTATGGAAAATGATGACTATAAATGCTTTTAAATAATTTTAAGAAATGTCCATAGAATTCATCAACATCTTCTGAACCAAACATATCACACCAATTGGTTTCTGCAATCTCTTGTCTGAAAGCATCCAACCTTCTGGTCATATATATGTTGAAACGGGTACGATACATTATTTATAATTTGATTAAGGTTTCTTGCTTTCAAACACATGATTATCAAAAGGTGGTCACTTAAATGGTAGTGTAACGTTGAAAACTGAAACCGAAATTAAAATAAATAGTTGACTAACGGGTCAATACACGACGCCAGCGCACTATCCCCCTCGCCCTCCTTTTGGGGAAAGCGGGTTGCTCGATCCCCCAAGATTCCAACTTTCGTGGCAATGAGGGGCTTAATTAGGAGCCACTCAAAGGGGTGTGGGGAGTCGGTTCCTGGCTACAGCCAGTGATGCGTCTTGACCCAACCTTCGCCGGCTGAAGCATTTCCTGAAGGACTTAGTCGCGCTGTCGCGTCCCTGTGAGCTGGCAGCTCTGTCGGCCTGGAGGCAGTTTTTCTTCAGACTTGGTGTCCCAAAGCGTATGTGACAGTAGCTTATAACCCTGATTTTATAATTGTACTATAGGCATTACTAATAAATTGATCAACTAATGTTTCAGAGCTTACAGTGACTCTAGTTGGAATATTTATTGTGTTAATACATCCATTGGTTTCCATGATGATATTCATTTCCCTTTCTAATATAGTATCTTTCAACATGTCAGTATTAAAATCACCACCATAAATTGCGGTATAATTATTATCACTGACAAATCGAAGGTATGTTTTAAAAAGTTCCAAAAAGAGCTTGCTATTTCCATCTGGTGGCCGATAAAACACACTTATAATTTTACTTTCGCAAGCACTGTTAATACTTCATAGTCCTGGGTAATACATGAATAATCTGACAACGTACAGTTCACAGTTAACTGTGTCCTTAATTAGTAAACACACCACACCACCCCAGTGAATAGTATGGTTCAAGAATAAGCTACACTATCTAGAAATTTTCAAAACATCAATATCATTACGATGCCAGGTTTCTAATAACATAATGCATAATGAAACTTGCAGAGGGCAATAACATCTGCCTTTTTGAATATATCCCTTGCACAGAATAATGTAGTGGACACATGCGCAGCAGTTCCAGCTATTATGACGGTGAGCAATCCGTCTGTAGCTGTGGAGCAGCGGTGCTTAATCAAATTTATGGTGAAGGAGAAAGTTAAATCGGCTGAAATATTGATGAGACTGCAAGCACAGTACGGGGGATAAACGTCGTCACAGACAAGAGTGTATGAATGGTGTCAACAGTTTGGCGAAGGACGACAGCCAGTGACAAACAAACTGCACAGACACGTTTGTCCAACTGCAGTCACGCAGCCCAGTCCTTTCGACGCTAAAGGAATCGGGGCTGCCCAAACCATGGCAGAAGTGATGGGACACACAGGGGGAATAGTTAAACACCGACATAGTTTAAAGATTGTGGGATTATTCATTATCTTTGTAGGAATATAAGTTCAGGTCAACCATGAATGACCCTTGTAGCAGTGAGTGGAAAAGTTAAAAAGAAAAGCTCCCGCACTGTGAAGCCACTTGGCAACAGTGCCGCAACCAGGAACAGTTTAAGGATGCAAACAAGAAAAGTTTGTCACGGTATGCGTGTTTCAAGACAAATTGATTCGAGTCAAATTGCCAGGTTCGTTCCCCCCCCCCCCCGAGACTTTAAAGGCAGAGCAGAGATTTGCAGAATTAAAACTTTGAATTGGGCTAGTTGGTTAATTATGATCTAGTGGACTTAAAAGTGCAATGAACACGGACGAGGAAGAGACACATACAACAGGGACTGGCGCCGACTTTCTATCAGGGCAGTCAAACCAGCACACATGCGTAAACACTCTTGCCTATCTTGTCAACACCTTGTTATAAAGGCTATCGTGAAACATTCATATCAGTTCAAAAATGTGTCTACACAAAAACATCTAGAAAAGAAACTTGCTTGTCATTTAGTAAAATCAAAGCCGTTCTGACGCAGTTGTCACCTAGGGATTTGATAAATTACGCTTCAACTACCCTTCAGTTTTGTCATTTGCTCTTTTAATAAATTTGGTTTATTCTAAATCCTCACCGCATGCAGTGTACTGCAAGATTTCCCCCGATTTTACTAAATGACGAGGAAGTTTCTTTTTTCAGACGGTCTTGTGTAGACACATTGTTGAAGTGATACAAATGTTCCCTGACAGCTTTCATCACAAGGGTTTGGCAAGACAGGCAAAAGTGCTTACGCATGTGTGCTGGTTTAACTGCCTCTATTAAATAAGTTGAAAGTTAGCGCCAGTCCATATTGTATGTGTCTCTTCCTCGTTAGTTGCACCTTTAAGTCCACCAGAGAATAGCATCGCTAGACATCCCGAAAGACTGCACCTTTGTGCTTGGTCATGTCAATGCGGTTGTGGGCCACTCTGGCAGCATTGAGGGCTCCTTGTATGACGGCGTCCGGGGACCCGACAAAGGTGTACACCGTCCGGTTGGTCGAAGGCCCAGGGTCCACGCCCAGGAGGGACACTCCGCTCGTCTCCCGGATGGCCTTGGAGATCTCTTCGATCACCTGGGTCATGTTACCGTATCGATTCAATTGAATTTATTTCAATCTTATATCCAACACAATGTTAAGTGTCCCCAGACAAAAAGCTTCGCAAGGCGGGTTGAAGGCCAGTCCACACACGTGCAGGTGTTTCCAAGCGCTGGTTGGGAGTAATTTTTTTTTTTTTTTTTTATAAACAAATGAACGGTGTGCGATGAAACCTTTTACAAACGTGTCTGTAGGTAATGCATTTGTCATACTCAAACTTTATTGGTGCAGGTTGTAGGCAAAAGAATTTAAGCCTAAAATATCCTGCTTTTTTCCCCATGCACCGGAAGGAAAACGGTGAAAATCTTCTGGTTGATGCTGCTAGCCAGAGATAGCACAACCTACAGCAAAAACGTGAAAGCTTCTTCGATATGAATGCTTGAAAGCAGATCCAGCAGATCTGCATGTTTATGTGAGTAGCAGTTTCAACCAGGCAGTTGTTACCATTTTCGTCCGTGTGCAAAGAATAAAAAAAAACAGACTTTTTGAGGCTTGAATTTTTTTTCCTGATATGTATATGTTGGTAAAATTTAAGTATGATCAATTTGCCACCTAAAAACACACTTGTGAAAAGTTTCGATGTGCCCTGTTAATCGGTTTATTTGCGTAAAGATATTTTTTACGCCCGAACAGCACTGATCAACACCATGGTCTGCTGCAGGCCTTGAGAGTGTCTGGGGGCTCGGTACAAGCAGCAGCGTTTCAATGAGGAATTACTTTGGCGTACATATGCGAACAGATGTGGCGATGTGCACCACAAACCACTTTTCAGTTTCCTACAACAAAGGTGCCCAACATTAGGTATGAAACCGCTCATACTTTTGTCCTCGACAAATTAAACTTTGGGGTCACAATTTTTTCAAAGCATTTGTTAGAATTTAGAGGAAGTGATTCTTCAGTGCTGTTAGAGCAGAAGAGAAAATCACTGCAAGACAACGTGGACAGGTATGCGAGGGGTTTTACTACTAATATTATTTAAAATACTTTACAACAAATGTCTCAATATATAACAACACAAAGACCCGTAATGTAAAGATTGTTAGAAATGCTATAAAACATAAGGTTCATCCAGAGACAAATAGAAGTGTAGGTGAGCATGCATGCTAATTCGTTCAAAAGTTGGCATACAGTTTCATTTTACCTGGATAACTACTCTCTCTATTTTGATAAATTTCCTTTACGGTGTCCTTTTTTTTTTTTATAGTTTCATAAATGTCACAAGTCTAAAGATTCTACGACATTATACCTTTCTTGATTTTTCTCCCATTTTTTAATCCTTTTGAGCCCCTCAAGGGTACAGTGAATGAGTGTGAACAACACATTTTACTATAAATCACAGCTGAAAATTTTCAAACTGATGTTGGTGAGATTGTCCTCACCTTTTCATTTCATTTGTGATAAAAAAAAAAAGTGTCATGTGATGCCCACGTGCAACACAACAGTAAAGAAAACTATCTCGTACCTTCTCATGCAATACCAAAGTAATCTATGAAGAGCATTGCTTTAGGAGAACCAGTGCCAAGAATAAAGTTGTCCTGCTTTCATGTAAGTGGCTTTGCTATGGCTCCAGTCCTAAGATCAAACGATGCCATCATCTGTTCTGGTCAATATGCTGGCTCAACCAAGGTCTACTTGCGCTTTGTACACAATTCTCTACTCGTTAACTGTCTAAATAATTGAGAAATTCTCTGGCATCTTTAAATGCTGCTGTATGATAAGATGCACCCTCCTCTATGGGGACATGCATATGGAAACCACGTCCCCCCCAACAAAAGAAAAATCTAGTTTTTTTCACTGCAAAGAAGTATGCCTCCCCAAACACTCAATCTCTGCCCAAACGTAGCGCTAGCAATCTGGACCAGGTGCCAAATTTTCAGAAGTAACTGCAACTTTATTCAAAGGTTCTAAGTGATTTTCTGAAACTTTCAATAGGAAAATTATCTCTTGGTAGTTTGTGCCACCACTGAGCCCCATGCATTCATGGGCTCTGTTGGGCATCATTTTACCACTGAAAGTTTCCAAAAATTGCTTGTAACTTTTTCATAAGGTAACAGTTTGTTCTGAAGCTCCATAGCTTTAGAACGAATTGCTAGCACTACATTTGGGCATAATCTGCGCATTCAAGGATGCATACTTTATGTTTGCGATTAAAAAACACAGTACGTTTTTTGGGGGAACACCCTGAATGTCGTTATCAGAGGTGCATCTTATTTTTCTGGCAGTTCTGCAATGCACTAGACGTCACAGAGACTGCAGACATACCAATGCTTGCAGTTTTTTATCTTTAAATATTGTGTTGTTGTCTAAAAAAAAATGCTCGTCAGCATCATGCTGGTCAGGTATGAAGTCTGTGACACTAGGGTACTATAGTTAGCATATTTAACTGAGAATATTATGTGGCATCTTCGATGTAGGTTCAATTTAATACTGGGCAAAGAAGAAGCAAAAGTTACTCAAACCGCATCATTTAAGCCTCTGGTCAGTTGCGTGCCTCAGGTAAGGTTCTCACATGAACCGATTTTTGTGCACTACTCACTGTTTTCTTCCTGGCTGAACAGTATGTGACCATAGCAAAGTTCATGTGTCAGCGTTGATCAACATCTAGCTGAAAGCATTGGGACAAAACCTATGTTTGTAGACAATACTACAAGACCATCGTTACAGTGAGCTTGGCACACTGCGCAGGCAAAACCTGGACAGTGTCTTGCTTCAGCTTTGGCCCACAGGCACAGATGCAGCAGGCAAAATGACTAGTCTGGAACACATGTGGACCTGCTGCCAACCACTGTCTCATCGACTAAAGTCACTGGATCCTGGGAAAGTAGCACCATTGCCTTCCCTACCTGCTAGCCGGACACAAACGGATACTAACATACAGACGTCCAAAACCTCGCAAGGCGATTGGCTAATCGGCCTACGTTGCCATGGAAATTGCCATCTTGGTCCATTTAAATCTTCGAAGCTTTCAGGGGGTCGTTCTAAACCAGTCGCACCAAGATCATCATGAAGCATCATCGTACTGGAAGCGTTCCTTTTCAATATAAGAGTCGTTGGCACTTTGTATGCGATCAACTTATTAATCAGGCCCATCTCCATGGATCTCTTACAATTATATTGTTCTTTTTGCGCATTTCAAGACACTAAACTTACTTTTCAGTGCCTCCAAGCACCGACACAGCATCTGGTGGTGGTACGAACGTGTACGGCTGTTTCGCCGGTGTGTGGTTAGCAAAATCTCGGTATACAAAAAACGACTCAATAAAGCTACCCGTCACCAGCGAATCTAGATAGGCTCACCAAGAACGGCGGGGTCAAGGAGAAATTGCTCATTTCATGGACCAAGATGGCGACCACACGCGGAGCTTGGCGTTACTTTCCCAGGATTCAGTGACTTTATCATCGACCAGCCAGGGAAGCTCCGAGGGACTTTGGAATGTATGCTTCAAGTGAACCCCACACACACTTCAGACATAAAATTTGGGCCTATGCCCATCGCACATGTGACACCCATTAATGTAGCTTTGTCGCATTGACGGTGTTATAAAGCGACCAGGTACAAAAAGGAGGCTCTTTTTAACGCATTTATTTCGCTTTGTGCGATGCATATGGTGTGGCCGCAGCATTTTTTTTTTTTTTCGTTTCTTGTTTTGCTTGTACCAATTGTATTGTTCTATCGCCCACTAAGTGGATTATATAGATAACCATTGTGCTCTTTGTTTAGATAAGAGACGCGACCTTCCGTCTGGGAGAAAACGGATAGTAAATAGGAAGAAATTCGAGCCTTTTATAACTTGCCTCTTCGCAAAAGACAACGCGCGTGAACAAAAACTAATGCCTGTCCCATGCTTGAATTCATTAAATTATTATCCTGAGTAGAGCAGGTTATAGTTAGCCGAAGAAGGTGAAAATCAACTCATAGGTCCGTTCAAACGATGTAATCAAAGCACGCAATGTTCCTCCCAATGCGTACACAGATGAAAAATGTCTCGCAAGAAGGAAAGTAACTGTTCCGAAATGTGGTCCGCTGTGACAGATGTTGGCACGACCAAAGTTCAAGAGCACGTCCAGTGCACGGCGGAGGCGCTAACGGGGAGCCCATAGGCGCTCCCGCAGAGCCAGGTCGGACGGCGGTGTGTTTCGAGTCAGTAGAATGCGATTCGTGAGAGCAAGAACGCTTACCGATTCGCAAAGCGCGCTCAAAGGGGGGCTCATCCGCTTTGACAGTGGTGATTTCAGCGCCTCGCTTACCTCTTCGCTTTGACCCTCCGAGAAGTTTGGGACGCATTCGACGATTTTGGTGCGCATGTTGGAGCCCTTGGTGCGTGCAGCGCTTGAACTCTGTCCTCGAACCACTGATTTCTAACTGAAACCGATGGAAGACTGTTATCGTCTGCTGCTGGCGCGGTAGCCACCGCCGTGCTGCGCCGCCAGCCGCCGCGCCGCGCGCTGCCTGCGCCGTGTTTGAGTGCGTTTACTTTTTCACCCTCGAAGTGCTCGAATCTCTGTGACGTCCGAGCTAAGAAAAATAGTATTCGCCCAAGTAGGTCAAATTTCACGAGTTGGTGTCTGGATGGACCAATAGTCATATGGCCAGAGCTGTGTATGTAGAGAGTTTGGCCATTCGTTGGGAAGTATAGGAGACAAATGAAGCGGCGCCATTGGCCAAAAGCGGGCTGGGCGTGTTCCTGGGCGTGTTCCAGGGCGTCTTCAGAAATTCGAATGTGACCAACCAGAAGCCGGAAATAATACCCTGGCGGTGGTCGCGAGAAGCAAACCCAATTGCTGGATCGCGCTTGCCGCTCCCGCAAGTGAAGCCACCGGGCCTCACTCGCTTGGGATACGATTTGCCGTTTTTGCTAGCCTTTGCTGCGGTTTTCCAGCGTGCTGACGACACGTTTTCTACTCGTTCGTCGTCATTCGCCGAAGAAGTTTTTTGAAGACTCTGTGTATTGTTGAGACTTGCCGTTGTGAACACGTGGAAAAGTTTACGAAAGTGCAGTGTCGCAGGAAAAAGGCACAACGCGTCGAAAGGAAGGGCTGGCGGCGTGTTCAAAGCATCCTTGGCACGCCGAAGTGCCGCGTCTCTGTGCCTTCGCACGCTTGGATACCGACCAAGAACCGACGCCGTGTGTATGTGTTCAGCGAGTGCAATGTGCGTGAAGCTGTTCGTGCCTCTGGATCAGCGTCTTTTCCTCTCGCGGTTTAGGAACGAGCTTAATCCAGCGTTTACTAGCGACGGAAGATGGGGAGAAGGTACGTCTTTTTTTCGTCCTTAGACGATTTCCACAATACCGTGCACAACAGCTCCTCATCACTGATCAGTGCTGGCTTATTATCAACCCACTTAATTCCACTTGACGTTTGAGCGCGGCTCGCCTAATTGTAATTGGTCAACAAATTGCACACGACCATATCGGCCGCGCTTCAAAGATTTTCATTCTCGTCGTCTTGTACTTTTGCTTTCGAAAACCCCCTTGGCTCCACAACGTTGCCCTATTCGTGCTCCCACGGAATCTATTAGAGTAGATTTGGGACATAGCCATGGTTAATATAGTACATAAGAACACGTACAGATCTCCCCCTTTTATTGATAGCAACTCACCGGAACAGCTGGACGATCCAGAACTCCGTGGCCGATATATATAAATGATCTAAAGGCATCTACGCGCGACACACGTTCAGAACTTTGGCGCGGCGTCAATTCTTGACCGGTATCCAAGCGTGCGAAGGCACAAAGATGCATCACTCGGCGTGCCAAGGAAGCTTTGATCACGCCGCGACACCGGCGACACGTTTTCGACGAGTTGTACCTTTTGACACGGCTTCACGCACATTGCACTCGCTAAACACATTCACACGGCGTCGGTTCTTGGTCGGTATCCAAGCGCGCGAAGGCACAGAGACGCGGCACTTCGGCGTGCCAAGGATGCTTTGAACACGCCGCCAGCCCTTCCTTTCGACGCGTTGTGCCTTTTTCCTGCGACACTGCACTTTCGTAAACTTTTCCACGTGTTCACAACGGCAAGTCTCAACAATACACAGAGTCTTCAAAAAACTTCTTCGGCGAATGACGACGAACGAGTAGAAAACGTGTCGTCAGCACGCTGGAAAACCGCAGCAAAGGCTAGCAAAAACGGCAAATCGTATCCCAAGCGAGTGAGGCCCGGTGGCTTCACTTGCGGGAGCGGCAAGCGCGATCCAGCAATTGTCATTGAGATCAGTGGACCAAACTCTCTACATATACGGCTCTGCATATGGCGTCATTTGATTGTGAACTACAACTAATAAGTTTTAAATAAGAGGTGACTCGTGCTACCTAGCGGGTTATTTTTAATTTACACAGAAAAAAAAAAAATTTTTGACAAAAACCCAAAAACTTGTTTTATATTGTTGAACGCTGTTGAGAACGCAAAAGAGGTCGTGCAACCTCTTTCAGGAAAGTCTTCTTTTTCTTTTTTGTCATCAAATAACACAGTATTGGTTTGCCACGGTTCCACTGTTACATGAGAAATGAATGAAAGATATGCGCCTTAATTTTGCCAAAATAAATGCTAGTGGACCACCATGCCTTTGATCCATTATGGTGTCAGTAGACTACCCAATGAATATTTTGCTACAGCGGTAAATTCATTTTTAATAAAGTAAAAAAAAAAACGCAACTGCTTGAAACCGAAACTGAAACTGGACTGGGGTAAAGGAGAAATAAAAAGGAGGAGGAAGTTATCCGAAGTCACTAAACAGCGCCCAAAACGTCAGAGAAGTTCCTCCGACGTTTTGTGCGCTGTTTAATCTTAGTGATGTACCAGCTAGCTCAAATTACCACTTTACTAGAGCTTATCAAAAGTCACATAACTGTGCAGCTTTTTTTTTTTTTTTTTTTCAATCAACGTTTTTGCAGTTTTTTAGAAACCATAAAAAAAAAGTTTCATATTTTTAGTCTATTTTTAGTATTGAGTGTGTGCCTTCGATGGCCTGCGACTTCGATCATGATTGGTGGTTGTGTCTAAACCATATAGAAGGCGGCACATGACCACGGAGAAGAGAATGAGGGCAACTCAAAACGGCCAGTTCTCGATCGGCGGTTTTCGGGCGGAAAGAAAAGGAATTTCGAGCCGCAAATTGTTTTCTGGGTAGTTGGGCTCTCACATGTCATGCACAACTGAAAACCGTGAGGTGTTTTGACTGGCGTAATTTTGTACACCATTTTGTTGTTGTGAGCTGTCTGTCGTGTGCAGGTGCGGATGCAGGAATTTCCTGAGAGAGGGGGGGGGGGGGGGTCAGGCGATGGTCAGCGTACCATATGTTTAGGAACCCTCTTCCCCTCTCGTTCGTTTTACGCCCTAAATTTTACACATTCAGAAATCAGGAAGGGGTTCAGGACATCCAGAACTCCCCCCTCTATATCCGCCCCTGGACGCGTGTGCCGAAGACGAGCATTTCGAGGATTTACATGACCCCTCAAATGCATAAAGCAGAGAAGCTTATGTCTTACCACGCGGACACCTCCTCAACACCCTCAACAGGTTGCGATGTGATCCTTCAAATTAGTAAATTTATTTGAAAAAAAAAACTAACAACAAAATGGCGGGTTGACGTCATGTGAAATCTGTGAAATCAGCCGATGCAAGCGCGAGCTCCACGTTTTCGGCGTGCTTGCCAAGCACTTGCGCTGGTGCAGCGCAAGGTCCGTTCAGGGCCACATGATTTTGCTTGTAACATCGGCTGCATCTGGACTTACACATAAACAGGTGTTTTCATATCTTTACCATTTTTTTTTCTTGGGTTAACTCAATATGTTTACTAAAGCTATCCACCATCTCATTACACCTTCGTGCTACATTAGATCGCTATCTGATAAAAGAACTGTTTATGCAGTCACACTTCGAAGAGTCAACGCGCCATCTGGCTCACCTTGTGTTGGTCTCCCAAAACCGGTACCCTCAACCTTTCTTTCCATTTCTACCCAAATATTGAAATATAAGTTTTCTAGTTTGCTTCCTCCATCTTGCATCGATTCGACACCATGGAATACAGAGTACGAGAAAGAACCACCAAAGATTTTTAAAAAATATTTATCATGATTCACGAATTTTATTTAATGCAACCATAAAAAGCCTTGGCTTGAAATTGCGCCCTTCAGATGTGCAGGTTTATATCATTTCGTTGAAACCCATCTTGTGGACAACATTTTACAAACCCATTCACCAACAAAAAAAAACAAAAACAAAATAATCGTGAGCGTTGTGCAGACCGCACTACCTGCGGTCTGCACTCGCTCCACTCAAGGAACGTTTAAAATAATCTCGGGCCCGAGCTTGCAACAGGCCTTATGGAAACCACCGAAGGTTCGGCAAGCCAGGCTACCATCCAGATGTAAAATAGTTTGTTGTTGGGCGAGTGGGTGAACGTTTGGAATCATAATTTTGCGCAAAAAAGACGGACACAAGAGAGAGAAACAAACACGAGCGCAACTTACAACTGTATTGAGGAAACCTTTAGAAAACATACAGATATATCGTGCATGCGTGGATCCGGCATTGAAGTCGACGATATATCTGTATGTTTTCTAAAGGCTTCCTCAATACAGTTGTAAGTTGCGCTCGTGTTTGTTTCTCTCTCTCTTGTGTACGTCTTTTTTGCGCAAAACCATGAATCCATACCATCCAGATGCCGGTGACCACAGCGTGCATAGAAAGAGATCGACAGACGTTTTCAAGGAAACGTCGCTAGGCGTTGATGAAACAAACGCGGGACCCTTTTGATCGCTTTGTGCCCCTTGTGGCTTATCTTTAGGGTTCCGTGTTTTCGGATAAACCCGAAAAACTACGAAAAACACCGGCCGTAACCCCCCCCCCCCCCCCCCCCCCTCTTAAAGAAAGAAAAAGATCTGGAGTTACGGCAACAGATCATTTTACTTGTTGGTCACGACCACCCTGGTCACGACAAGCCACAGTTCCGTTTTCCGGAACTGGGACCAAACTCTTTGTGCTTCATAGAAAGAGAGAGAGAGGGGGGGGGATCAGCCAGAGTTGCGCGTTCATCCCCGTAGCGCCGGCTTTCCTGTGCATGGCCTTTGGAGATTTGGAGTCTGCTCCTCACGCGACTGAAGTCGGCGAATAGCAGCGCCGCGCGTTCGCGGCGCGCTCTTTCTCCGCACGTTTAAAGCAGGTGTACTGCACTGTCTAAATTGCTCATCTACAGCGAGTGACTCGTCCTGACCAACTACATGCTGTATAAATATCCACACAACCCCCAATTTTCTTCACGCAACATCTTGGGGGTATTCTTTTCGGAGCCGATCACGGGAATTCACCACGGACAGTCACTACTAATTTCCAACACTAATTAATGTACAAAACAACTCATCTTGAAGTACAGAAAAGCGAGCGGAACAAACATATAACTGCAAAGGAATCGCACGGCGAAAGGTTCCCGCAACGCATTTCGTCTGCTTCGCGAGAAAAAAAGAAGCACACGTTGAGCGGTGCCATGAGACTTCCGGCTCTCTCTCCGACCTCCGTACGGAGGTTTCGGTTTCGGTTTTGAGCAGTTGCGTTTTTTTGGCTTTATTAAAAATATACGTGACTCTGTAGCAAAACATTAATTGTGTAGTCTTCCGATACCATAATAAATCGCCTAGCAAAAAAAAAAATCTTGTTTTTTTTTTTTTTTGTTTTTTTTTTTTTTGTTTCTGTGCGCGCGCGTTGGTTAGTTTTTGGGACAACAAAATGTTGTCCCAAAAATTGCGTGTTTCGTGACGTTTGTGCTGTTTCCAGTGCGCTTTGCGCGTTGGTTAGCACGGTGCGCTTTCGGGCGAGCGGAGAGCATCTGCGCCAGACAGCGAAGAAACGCGGAGCCGAAACTGGTGAGGAGCGCCCTAGCGGCCCTACGCCCTACTACGTCACAGCTCGTTTCCAGCGCAATTCAACTTTTTTTTTTTTTTTGCGCGCCCCGAAAACGCAAAGAATTGACCCCGTAAGTGATGACGTCACAACAGGGTGTCTGGGTCCAAACAAACCGTTGCTAGGGGCGTTGCTATGGACTAATGCATGGAGACTCCACATGAGGCTAGAGTTTTGCTTATAAGTAAGTAAATCATTTTTAGTAAGCAACCGAACTTCTTGATATCTAATTATGAAGATGTTCTTGTCATCTCAGCATCGTATTGCAACGATGAAAGCCATTTCTGAAGTATTCCACTCCGCTTTGCTTCGGTAGCAGACGACACGATAGATTTGCTGCATGCAAGTGCATCACCAAGGCCGCAGATGCCTTCGCAATGCGCCTTTTTGTTTTTTCTGTGAAGAACCCAGCTTTGTTCAGAGAGGCGAAAATTCCGTAAAATCAACCCGCGTCATGCAGATCATTTACGACGACGACCTGAAGTGCATTACCGGCGTAGTGCAGGCCAGCATGAGAAACAAATCGTACATCGTCGAGGTAAGTTGTTTGTTATTATTAATATTGAGGTTCTCAGGTTATTAAAATATTGCATGTCTATCGCAATTGCGCATTTTTTTTTTGTATACATCAAATTTAGTGGATGTGCTCTTTCGGTGAAGATCTCTATCGATGTAGGTAGATGATAAGGAAAGAGGAACATTTAATGTCTGTTTGTCTTAAATGCTCATCTTTCCTTATCGCAAATCTCCATCGAACTCGCGATGAGAGTACAATGTATAATAAACTCACCTTATGTTTTTCATCCAGTTTTTTCGCGTTTTGGGGTTTTGCGGAAATCTGAAGAAACTGCAAGAATCTTTCTCCACGCGATGGTTACAACCAGGTACGAAGCACCCTCCCATAGCGCGAGTCCGCAAACAAAATTTGGGATCTCTACCGATCACCAGGGCTATGTTCCAAATCTTACCCGAGTAACCTGCCTCCTACGTCAGCGGGTAATACCAAGTGACATCGCGAGTAAACGATCCGCGACTCGATTTTGGAACGGCCAGGATAATCACCTGGATACTACGCGGATTGGCTTCGTCTTGGGCGACGGCAAAAAGAAAACGCAGCAGCGATGGCAGAAAATAGCAGACGATCCTTTTGATCATGGAGAAAGCAATCGAAGAACGGTAATGTTAATGACGACGCGGTGTATTTTGAGGTGGATCCACCAGCTCCTTTTACTCACCTTCGTTTTGAGCTGTATATTGAGATCAAAATTACTTACTCCTTACAGCTAGACATAAAAAAATGTGTTTTTATTAATCAGCGCGATCGCTGCAATTCTAGTCACGGTGCCCTAAACGCATATATTCCACGCATTGTAATTTGCACCGATTATGTTTTGCAGAAATATATTCCACACGGTGTAGCGGTCCAGCGCGAGGGTGCTTTCTCCAGATTATGAAACTCACGTTCGCTTTGACGCGAATGTGATTACAGTGAAATTTTCGAAGCCTTCACTGCTTTACAAACGTTATCCTCTCATTACACACACTCTGGAGGAAACAAAAATATTACATTATCATATAACGAGTTCAAACATTTTCGGCCTTGAACGTGAGATTACGGCATCCCCCAACGCCGAGGACGAGGATGCGGAGAAGCTCCTGTTTACGCTCGCACTCAGATAATAACAAGTACACGTTCCCGGGGAAGGTGGACGGTCTGGATGTAATGCAGTCAATCCCTGCGTTGACAACAGCAAATCGCAATAACCACACATGCTGCACCTAATTCTTTGTCATTTCGAACGTCCGCCACCAAAACCAACGGAGCAAGCGAGCTTCGACGGCTGTCGGCGCAGAAAGCAGACGACGAACAGATCACGTGACGTATTTACTCGATTTGATCCGACTTTACCCCCCGATCGAGGAGGGTAGCGCGAGTAATTACTCCGGAGTGAACAACCGGAACAACCCGCTTCTGGAACGCGAGTTCTGACGTCATCGAGTAAGCTCGAGTAAGTTTTGGAACGCCACGGTACGAAACTTTTACTCCGGAGTCGGATCGAGTAAATTTTGGAACACAGCCCTGAAGTGCTTTTCCCACGGGTGCATTACGATCTTTTAGCAGACGATCATCTCGATCGACGCCCGGACTTTCGATAAACCATATTTTGCATCGCACCCTACTATTAATTCTTATAAGTGTCTGAAACTCATTATATTTCAAACAAATGCAATATCAGAATATCGTCTTTATTCACCTGATTCAGACGCCGGCGCCGGCTTGGTCGGCGGGCGTGTGGCAGACGGCATTCTTGCATTCGTCGTCTGCTGCAGGCATCTTGAGGACCGGAAGTTGCAGTCGTAAATATTTCAGAAACAAGCGGTTACCGGCACACTTCTGTCGAAACATATATGACATTCAAGCTTTCTACATCTGTGATTTTTAGAAGTTTAAATCCTACTCCTGATTTTTGAATGGTCGGGTTTCCGTAGCGAAACCTAGCCATGTGTATTTGTCCACAGCAACGACCCTAGCAACGGTTTGTTTGGACCCATGACGTCACACTTACGAAGTCAATTAGCGCGACTTTGTGGACAGTGTGGCCAGACCTTGATACAAGCATGTCTAGGTTTGGAGAATTTCTTTTTTTATGCAAAGGGTTATTTTATTGTGTAAACAGCTGCAATTAAAAGGAACTAATTCTATTCACTGAAGAAGTAATTAACTTAAATTTTAGTACTGTATTGACTGAAATAGCCGATCAGCGCTGCACTTAATTCATTTCTTAGCCATTACCATCCAATCCGAAGCCAACTGGCCAGCCCGTCGCGCATGCGCACACGAGTCGAACCTCAATACAAGGTTCGACTCGTAACTCTCACGTAATCGGCTCAGACAGTTACGTTGTTTCGCGTTTCGTTTATGTAGTACGGGTTTCATTCTTTGTTCGAGCTTTGTATCAGCACAGAATGGAGTCGATTCTCGAAGACTACGTCAGCCCCTCGGACTTGAAGGTAAGTCGCTTTCAATGAAAGGTTCTGGGGCGTTCCCACGGACTCAACGCGCACTTGCTTGTAGCATTGATGGCACTGACAGGAACAGTCGACCGCGTAAACATGACTCATGTTCTCGACACGTTTACGCTGCTCAGGTATTAGTCGTTATCTCATGCGTTGTCGATTGCACCCGTACATGCACGTCATTCAATGTTGCCGATTTCGGATTGCAAGGTGTGACGTAATTTTGCTGGTCTGCTTGTCCCTCCCCCCTTCGAAACAGCTGGCACTGATGTCATTGGATCTGCTATGCTGGAGGTTTTTTTCTGATGAATAGAAGTCATTTCGCCTTATCGGAAGGACTTCATGTGTAAGCGTTGAATTGGAGTGAACAGAGCATTCCAGATAAACAACCGTGCTAAGTGAAGCGTGTTTATCGGCAGCCGTGTGCGAGCACGTCCTTGCTGGAGAGTGGTTATGGAGAACGTCCATGGTGTTTATGAAGCGTGAATATCACACCATCAAGATTGCCGTTCGTGGTCGACAGTAAATGGAAACTCATCCTGGGCATGTGAGGCCAATGATCCAGGCATGTTTAGTAGTAAAGCATGTTTCAACAATATGTGCTGTGAACAGCTCGCTCAGGAATGCTGTCTATTAAATATCACGGCCATAATCTTCACAAAGATAAGTTGATGTTATTTACTCAATCATAACATAGTTATCTAATGAAGACTTTTTTCAGCAAAAGCACATATAGGTTGTTTGCACATGACGTCAATTCGCCATTTTGTTGTTAGTTTGTTTTTTCAAACAAATTTACTACATTGAAGGATTACTTCGCAACCGGTTGAAATAATGTCAGCGGTGCTCTACGGATTTCAGAAGGCATGTAAATCCTTGAAATGCTCGAGTTTGGCACACGCCAGACAGTTCGCAACAACAAAATGGTGGACGAAATTACGTCAGTGAAAACACCCTATAAGTGGTATTCACTGCACAGCTATAGTCCCCGCAGGGGGCACCTGTGAAAGCAGGTGTTTGGAGAGTGGCGTCTCCACGGACCCCGAGCCATGCGGGTTCGCCCGCCCACGTATGGCTGTGCGTGGCTTTCCCGTGTCCGGGGAAAAGGGCATCCTGGTGGTTGAGCCGAGCCCGGGGTAGGTTTGGACCCTTCGGGGCCCCCCGGGCGAGGCAATACACCACTTCGGCCCCTGCTTCTCGTAGACGGGAGTCCTGGTAAGGCCCGGCCAGGATGATTCAGTCTAGTCGCCACTTCTACTATCCCCTCTCTACTTTCACCCTTGTCTTCTCCTCCTTTTCACTCTTCTCATTTCTCTTCTTTCCTTTTCAACTCCTTTGGCGGCAAGGGCTAACCTTGGGTGGCGACAGACACCTTGTCCAGAACCACTCTTGGTTATAGAGACATGGCAGCACTAATAGAGTAACGTCTTCAGCCAAGCCATTCTTGTTATGGAGCGTTACCTATTCCCTTGTTGGGCTCGGTGGTGGGCGGTGCACCACAGTTTCTGAAAACCCTCCCCCTTTATATGGGTTCCAAACTTAAACCTTTTGATCGGCCCCCCAAAAGGGGCCGCACCGAAGCTCAAGTCACTCCCGAAACATCCAAAGCACTCGAAAAATTTCCAAAATTCCTGGTCTTACACTCTGAAGAAGAAAAACCACTTGCCAGACTGTCTCCTTTCTTAGTCGCCAAGGTACTGGAAGGAATCGTTGGGAAAGATTACTCTGCTAAAAAGATGCCATCCGGTGATCTTCTTGTTGAGATCAGCACCAAAAAGCAAAGTGATGCCCTTCTTTCACTCAACGCTGTGTCTGAATACAGAGTAAACGTTACTCCACACCGCAGATTTAATACAGTTCAAGGAGTTATCTCGGAGGATGACCTAATGGACTCATCTGAGGAAGAACTCGTTGAAGGCCTTTCAGACCAAGGAGTTGTTGCCGCTCGTCGCATCACCCTTCGTCATGAGGATGTAGAGCGTAAAACAAGGCACATTATACTGACCTTTGACACCACCACTCTCCCAGAGGCCATAAAGGCAGGCTACCTCCGGTGCCGTGTTCGCCCCTATGTGCCGAATCCCCAGCGGTGCTTTAAATGCCAAAGGTTCGGCCATGGGTCACGGAGCTGCCGGGGAAGTGACACTTGCGCAAAGTGCTCCAGTAAAGAGCATGTTGCTGACAGTTGTGAGAGCGAACCGAGATGTGTCAACTGTGATGGCCGTCACCCAGCATACTCGCGCTCTTGTCCAAAATGGAAAGAAGAAAAAGAAATACTTACTTTGAAGACCACAGAAAACATCTCCTACCATGAGGCTAAAAAACGTTTCTCCTTCCTATCTAAAGGAGGGTATGCCGAGGTCGTGCGCAGGGGACCCACACGACCCGTAATGGCATCGGCGGGAACACAGACCCCTCCTGGGGGGGTGTGTCTCCCGTCAGTGTCCCCTCTAAAACCAGCGGGTGCAATGCCAGCTGCACTGCACCCCAACCACACGGTGGACGCTGTTCCGTCAACGTCCACCTTGAAGCAAGGGACGGCAACCCCCGCCGCCCCTGCCTCCCTGCCTCCTCGAGGCCGGGGACAACCCCGCGTCTCGACCCAACAGAGACCTAGTGAGCCGTTAAGGCTGCCTACCCCACCAAATCTCCCTCCGGCTCCTCCTGAGGAGCCTATGGACGAGGGTGGACCCAAGTCCGGCGAGGAAAGTTTCCTCGCTGGATCTGACTCCTCTCTTTCTGCCACCAGTGACTCCACTGGCCAGCAGAAAGAGGCTGCAAAGAAGAAAAACGCCCCGCGCAAAAAAATAGATTTTAAGCCATAGTCACCTCATTTTACTTTTTACCAGTTTTTATATTCACTTTTGCACTGGCTAAGCATATAGGCATTATGCAGTGGAACTGTCGCGGCCTTCTACATAACATAGATGACATCAATTCGTTTTTTGATGAGCTCCGTCCTGTTGCTATTTGCCTACAGGAGACGTATCTTACTGATTCGCACACGCAGGTTTTGCGTCATCAACAAGTTTTTAGGAAGGACCGCCATTCCTCAACCCCTTCGGGTGGTGTAGCAGTGGTGGTTCAAAGTGGAGTGGCATGTGCTGAAGTTCCTTTACAAACTTCACTCGAGGCAGTTGCAGTTCGCATCCTTCTTGATCGCCTCATCACTCTAGTATCACTCTACTTACCACCTAATGTTCCGCTGCATCTCCATGAACTTCAAGCACTCATCAAAGAACTTCCCAAACCTTTTTTAATTCTTGGTGATTTTAATGCCCACCATCCTTTGTGTGGACGCTCTCGTCAAGACTCTCGAGGTGGAGTTATTGAAAGGCTTTTATTATCAACTGGAATCTGCCTGCTCAATAAGAAAGAACCAACATTTTTTAGCGCTGCCCATAACACTTTTACATCGATCGACCTATCACTATCATCACCATCTCTACTTTCATGCTTTTCATGGAACGTTTTAGACAATCCTTTTGGAAGCGACCATCTACCCATAATTTTAGAGAGCGTTTTACCAGTTTCATCGATACCAACCCGCCTTCCACGATGGAAGTTGGAAAAGGCCGACTGGTCTATTTTTGGTCTAGAAGCTACACTTGATCCCTCTTTATGTCTTCATATGACTCCTGAAGATGCAACGCTTTACGTTACGGAATGCATTATAAATGCTGCTTCTGCTTCAATTCCACAGACCTCAGGAAATCTTCCCCGGAGGTGCAAGCCCTGGTGGAATGAGGAATGTACTTCCACTCGGAAAAGCCAGAACAAGGCGTGGGGAACTTTTCTTCGCTATCCAACTTTCCGTAATTTGATAGAGTTTAGGAAAAAAAGAGCACAAGCTCGGTGGACGCGAAGACAGGCCAAGTGGGCTTCATGGACAAAGTATGTTTCATCCTTAAATAGTTTCGTTACTGCTAAAGAAGTATGGGATCGTCTCAAAAAAGTTCGTGGGCAGTACCACGCTTTCAGGATTCCACTTTTTCCTTCAATCTCAGCATCTCTAACAGGACAAGCAGACTTCCTCGCAGAACATTTTCAGCATGTCTGCAGCTCTTCCAATTACAGTACGGAGTTTTAAAAGTACCGGTCTACCGCTGAGAAGCAGAAAATCACTATGTCAGGCTTCAACTCTGCTGCATACAATATACCGTTCACAATGTGTGAACTGGAAGTTGCTCTCAGCCTAAAAAAGCAATCTGCACCTGGGCCAGACAGAATTCACTACGAGATGCTTAAGCACCTGTCTCATGAATCTTTGTCCCACCTGTTGTCCTTTTTCAACTACCTATGGGAAGCTGCTGCTTTCCCACATTCTTGGAGAAGTGCCCATGTTATACCTTTGCTGAAACCTGGGAAAGATCCCTCTCTGGCTACCAGCTACCGCCCCATAGCACTTACAAGCTGCTTGGGGAAAACTTATGAAAGGCTTATAAAACGCCGCCTCATGTTCCTTTTGGAAGAGAAAAACTTTTTTGACACTAAGCAGTGTGGCTTTCGTGCTGGACGGTCCACCATGGACCATCTGGTCCGACTTGAGACCGTCATACGTGAGGCCTTTGTACACCGGCAGCATTGCGTGTCGGTGTTTTTTGATTTAGAGAAGGCATATGACACTACATGGAGGTATGGTATCCTTCGAGATCTATACAACTGTGGAGTGCGTGGCCGTATGCTTCGTTGCTTGCAGAATTTTTTAAGTGAGCGTACATTTCAAGTCCGATTAGGCTCGACTTTATCCAATGTCTTCTTGCAAGAAAATGGTGTCCCCCAAGGCGGAGTCTTAAGTGCCACCTTATTTGCAGTTAAGATAAACAGTCTGGCTCAAGTTATACCGTCATCTGTTTCATACCCGCTCTACGTGGATGATGTGCAAATATCTTTTTCGTCCTGCAACCTCTCCAGTTGTGAACGGCAACTGCAGCTCACAATAAACAGAATGACCAAGTGGGCAAATGAAAATGGTTTTAAGTTTTCCCCAGAGAAAACTGTGTGTGTGCCGTTTTCCCTGCGACGAGGTTTGACTTTGGACCCAATCTTACAATTGAATAACGTAGAAATATCGGTGAAGCAGGAACATAAATTTTTAGGCATGGTCTTCGATAAAAAGCTTACATTCAAGTCTCATTTAAAGGAAGTAAAGCAAAAGTGCTTGCGATCCTCAAACATTCTTAAGGTTCTGTCACATATATCTTGGGGGTCTGACAGACGATGCCTCCTACGTTTGTACAATGCTTTAGTTCGGTCACGTCTGGATTATGGAGCGATTGTTTATGGTTCGGCACGACCTTCCACTCTAAAGATGTTGGATCCGGTTCATCACCTCGGACTCCGGCTAGCCACTGGGGCATTTCGCACGTCACCCGTATTAAGCTTGTATGTGGACACTCATCAAATGTCTCTGGAAAAATGCCGACAGTACTTGAGCCTGTGTTATTATTACAAAGTGCTTTCGGATCCGAAAAATCCTGCTTATAGTATTTTACAAATTCCTCAGTTCTGTAATTTGTTTGAAAACAAGCCAACAATTGTGCGCCCCCTAGGTTTTTGAGTTCAAAGTATTTGTAGCTCTCTCAGCCTCCCTGTCCCTTCCACAAGTGGTGTTAACTTGCTAAAATCTATGGAGAGAATTGCCCCTTGGAACGAGCTACCCGTATGTTGTGACTGGTCTTTTACCAAATACAGTAAGAAGACCGTGGCTCCACAGTTTCATAGCAAGAGTTTCTATCTTTGCAAGAAAGGATATCTAGTGGTTGCGCCGAATACTACACCGACGGATCAAAATCTTTATGTTCCGTTGGTTGCGCAGTTTATTCTAGTGGCTTTGGAAGAGCTGTGCAGCTTGACTCAACGGCAAGCATCTTCACTGCAGAGCTCTATGGTATTTTATTTGCCATTGAGCATATTCTGGATAACAGTGTATTGAACGCAGTCATTTTTGTCGATTCACAAAGCGTCTTAGCTGCTATCTCTTCCAGAGTTTCCACAAAGAATGTACTTACACAACATGTTCGTTTTAAAGTAAACAGAGCTCTGCGCCTTGGAAGTAATATCAAATTTTGCTGGGTACCAAGTCATGTGGGAATTGCAGGGAATGAGAGTGCAGATCGCTTGGCTGCATCTGCCACAGATTCAATAGCATCTTTTGGCCTGCCCTATCAGGATTTTAAACCACTTTTAAAGAAATCTCTTTTAAAGACTTGGCAGCTAGAATGGGACACTGAAACCAACAATAAACTCCACGTGATTAAACCAATGATAGGCGTCTGGGAAAGTTCATTTCACAGAAACCGTCGTCTCGAGGTTATGCTTTGTCGCTTGAGAATCGGCCACTCACGTCTGACACATATGTACCTCCTCTGTGGCGAAGAAGTTGCACTTTGTGCCCATTGTGGGGAATTACTTACAATTTTGCACATTCTATGGGAGTGTAGGTTTTATCATCAACTGCGCATATTATGTTTTCCTGAACTTTTTAGAAACTATCTACCCTTTCATCCTATGTTTTTACTTGGTGACAGTGCTTTAGTACCACTTAGACGAGTTTTTAATTTTCTTAACAAAACTGGTTATCTACACAAGTTATAAACATCTTCTCTAGTCTAGCATCTGTTTTGCTGAGTTTTAATAAACATTTTGTTTGGCGCATTATGGCCTCAGTTGCTGCTGCGCCATTAAAACCTTAATCTTACTTACTTGCACAGCTATAGTATTCAAGGTATAACGGTAGCATTGTAGAAGCTCATTGCCAGCATGCGTTCAGTAGCAATGGACCCATCTATGGCGGCCAGTCTGTGCCACCTGACCTATGCAGTGCAGTCCACTTGTAACAATACGAGAAAACCCGAAAATGCAATCGTTATAATCAATTCTTGTTGTATCTGGACGCAGAAGTGCGTAGACCTGTGGAAACTGATCGTTATAAGCAGTACTTTGTTATATCTGGTTTCGGTATAAGTGGGTTGCACTGTAGGTGGTAGCAGTGTCTGGTAGTATCCACTGGCTTCCATTGCTTTGTCTGCTGCTGCCACCGAGCTTACGTCGACAGTAAGCTTCTACAACAACTTTCTCGGGGTGCATTTCACACTCAAGAAGCAAGACCATCATTCTTGGCAGACTGTGCAACAGCTGAATCAGTTGCAGTGGCGAGTGAAGACCACCTATTGCTTGTCGGCACATAGTTAAGAGGGAATAGCGAGCAGTCATGGTTCAAAAAGAGACAAGCAATGGAGCTGTAGCCAAACAGTAAACGCAGTGCTTTATAGTGGAGGGAGAAAAATTAAGTGAAGGACCAGTCTCTCCTTGTTCCGGCATCTCTGGCCAAAGACCTGTTTGCAACGTGCTATGCTGTGGCATGCCATGCCACGACATAGCACTAGGACAGATCCCAGTCACAACACACCCTCATCCATCTCATCAAAACAAAACTGTCGAATCTCGTTAGTCAGCGCAGGCCTGCAACACGGCTGGCACTCCGCCGTTCATATTTATTTTGGCCACGGCTGTGCACTTTCAGCAGCCACTGTTTGGGCGAAATATCCATGGTGCGTGCTCGGGGCGTTAATAGAGTCACTAGAAGGCTACACTCCGAGTATCGGCACTTTTTTCACTAATCGTCCAATGCCGCCGGTCATTTGTCCGTTCGCATGACATTGGGTTACGCAAGTGCCCCGTGGATGCCGCCATTTTGGAGCATAGAGCCACACAGATCCCGTTTGCGATGATTGTGGTTCTGAAAAGTAGCTTTGAGCAGTAGATGTGATAATGGATCATCACAGTATTGTTTTGCCCTGTTGTGAACTGTTTTAGCAAACGGGACTACGGAAAGCATTTGCATTCTCTGTTACAGTGTCGGCAGAAGCTGGTGACAGCTGGCAACATTTCTTCCATGCAACAACATGGCTAATATGTTGTGACTCTAAAGCATAGGTTCTCAAACTGGGTTACTAGGAATGGAAAGATTTCCCAAAGCGTGCCCTTTAGGGTTTCCCCAAGCTTCCAAAATTGCCCTATTATATCCAGCCAGCCCTTTATAAAGTTTATGAGCCAATCACTTCCTCATTTGTGAATTATTGCTTAGAAAGCCTGTAGGCTTCTGCATCACTTTACCGTATTGAAGCCAGGACCAAGAAGGGCTCCTCGGCTGTCAATAGAGCGAGATGGGCATTCCTCGAGGCTAAAAAGTTTGAGGCTTTGTTCTAAAGCACAGCCTGTTCGGTGACTCTAAGGCGTGCCAGTTGGGTCGTCGCGCGTGTGCCAGTCAAGTTGAGCTCCCTGCCTCAATGGCGTCCGACTCTCCTTTGTCCCGGTGCAGTGTTACGAGCAGCAGTACCACGAAGAGATGAAGAAGGGCGAGGTGGCACCCAAGACACAGTTTGAGTATGCCTGGTGCCTTGTGCGGAGCCGGTACCCAGCCGACATCCGTCGGGGCGTCATGCTCATGGAAGGTGGGTACCCCCGAACATGAAGTTCATATAATAATCCCGAAGAAAAGGTCCCATGCATTTCGGCCGCCTCAGGATGGCAGGACGTAGATGCAGATGTCGGTGATCCCAACGGGACCATATATCCGGCGACGTTTTAGTACACTGTAAACGACTTAATTTTCGAGAATATCGCGAATCGCCTACAATTCGCTAAAAATTGGTCCCGCAAACAATTCCGGTAAAATGTAAACACATCGGAGTCGTGTTGCGAAAATTAAAAACCCACGAATTATTCCAAAACTTAACTTTAACCTAAATCGCGAAATATTGAGCCCGCAAAAAATAAGTCGTTTGCAGTACTCACAAACAAGCAGCCTAAACGTCTCATCCAAGGTCTGTCTACTTTGTTTCTAGCTTTATTTTGCAAAATAAAAAGACTGGCGTCATGCGTCATATTAAAAGGAATAAAGTTGACAAGTACTCAACGACTTGGAGCACACGAATGCGTCCAACTTTTCGGCTGCTTTCATGGGCGTTGGCAGGATTTTTTTTTTTTTTTTAAGGGGGGGGGGGGGGGGTCGGGGATTAGGGAGGCAAACTGACAGCCTTTTTTGGGCGTGTTCGCTCAAGTGGAAGGGGGGGGGGGGATCCCACAGTACAATACGAAAGAGCTAAATACAAGTTGCAAGATACACATATTTTTTTATGAAACAATTTTTTTAAAAAGTACAAGACATCAGTAATTTCAATATAAGAAAAAAAAACATTTTTACAGATATGTACAGGTACACTGGAAAAAAAAAATGGAACTTAGTCTATGACGTGGCAAAACAACAAAACAGTCCACTTAGTTAATAATTATCTTGGAGATAAAAAAAGCACAAAGATTTTACAGACGAGTATTGACATCATATATGTACCGTACACAATAAAATAGGAAGACTGGGCACGTAAGTCACACGCACACATAATAAATTGTCGCAGCAATGGACAATATCCTTTCATTTCCATATTTAACAATATTTGACATTTATACAAGTTTATAAAAGCTACCCCAAGTTGGCCTCTGTTCAAATTTACAACACTAATTTGCTGCACAATATTTTCATTCATTCGCCCAGCGGAATGCATGGGATGGCATCTAAATTTAGGATATTTCCTTTTATACCGCTGGCTGTGGCAAGAAAATGATATACTGTTTTTCCTCAGTGGGTTAAGAAGCTAAGAAATTAAGTTTTCTCAACGTATGGCCACAAACTTTTATTCAGGGGAAAAAGAAGTCGGCCCGTAGAAGACGACGCATAGCGTCAACAGTGCTCGGCGTGCCGACAGCGTTGTGTCAAAATGGTGATTGTCTCCTCTTTGCTTCCTTCTTTCTTTCTTGCTCCTTCGGTGCTTTCATCAGGCCGTAGCACTCTTCTCATGACGTCGCAAAGGAAGGCCATCGGGGGCGCGCGTCGAAGCGAAGGCAACGCACGTGAATCGACTGTCATGATGCGCTTTTAGTCACATACGCATGTCTTATCAGCTAAAATCAAAGCTGCACAAAGCAACGGGTCTAAGAAACACTTTATTACACGGGCCAAACATTACACCGCTAAATAATCGGTATGAAATGGCACGAGGTATGCGTAGAAGACGTCTATAGAAAAATGTGATTGTGTGACTCGAAAACATCGAGTCACGCAATTATTGCTGTAGAAATGCATATTTTTTTACAGAAATACTTCGACAAAATGGCGAGACACGCAGTGATTAGACACAGCAAAACAGGTCACAGTTAAAAATCAGGTAGACATAGTCAATGCGGACACGGCTCGACAAGTGTCAATTACAATCACGTAAGCGACGTTATCGCATGCAGTCACTGAATTAAAATTGATGTAATTTCGATCGAATGACAATATGGGGTCGACAAATCAGCTTACGACACTTGTATAATAACTCAAGACAGCGAGCTGATTAAATCCCACATCGTTTAATGAAAATATATTAACTTTTCCGTGTGGCAGGGGTATTAAACTTGCTATTTACAGTCAACTAATTTACTTCTCCCTATGGGCTCAAGCTTCCTAAGAACAAAATATAACCTATTTCGTGTACAATAATACTATTACCTTAATACAGTTAAGATTGTAGTATAAATGCGGTAAAGGCAAAAAAACAAACAAAAAACTTTAGTGTAAATAAACACATAAGCACAAACAACGCACTTTGAATAATCACACAAACTTGTTATTTACCTTCCAGTAAAAACTAGAATATTACCACACATATTGACAAACGTCGACGCAAAAGCACACGGATAACGACGAAGAACGCGATTCCATTATATCACGAAATAAAAAACAAACAAACATCGACTGCGGCATTTTACTTGCGTCTTACATGACCAAGAAAGCCCGTAAATAAGTTGTTTCTCACCTGTCGATGGTATTCATACGTCCCACAATATCCACCACGAAAACATTTGAGCACAAACTTCAAGAAGTCTCTCTCTTTCGAAAGAGAGGTCATCGACTAGTGTCATCGTTGACTAGTTGCCACACACGTCACTCAAACCGTAGCCAGGACTGGTTCCGCGAATCCACGTAAATGCCGTAGTATCAAGCAAATACAAAAAAACAAAAAAAAAACTACCCGAGACTGCGGTGACGACAGAAAAACGCCGGGAAGGAAACAAGTCTTAAAAGAACCACCCACGAGAGCACCGGCAGCAGGACGAAAGGCTTAAACGTTGTCAATCTATCTCTTGCTCGTGTGCGCTCCCAGCAATGACTGGATTTTTTTTCGGTTCCCATCCCTTATGAAATGTCTCGGCGTTCCTTTTGAGACAGTCAGCAGCTCGCACACAACGTAAATTTACCAGAATCGTAACCCATACGAGGGAAGAAGATGTCGCATCGGAGCCGATTCCTTCGAAAAGTGTTGGGATCTGCAGGATTGCACATAGTCCCGCGGTTACGGGGATGATCATAAATATAAATTTGGTACTTTCAACCTTGGTAATGCATTGTATCTTACGTTTATATTATATATATATAATAAATTGTGCAAGACTGAGCTTTTTAAACATATATTAATGTCGTATAAACGCGCACGAACACAACGGCGCCGCTCAACAAGCACCATTCTTTTCACACCGATACCATATATTTCTCACGTAGTTGCGCCATGGCCTTCCTTCTCCGACATTGCGACGTAGCAACTCGGAGTGCTACGGCCTTATTTCTAGGAGGTGTTGTCTCCTCCCTTTCCTTCACTTTTCTTCTCTCCAGCGCCTTCGTCGCCACACCCACTGGCCAGATTCTCCCAATATACAGCTCCGAGTTGCCATTGTAACTTTCCGTATTTCCTCGACGCGGTGCTCGCTCTGTCTCATTTCAGAACTGGAGTAAAATTTTAGCCCGCTGGTTCTTATCTTTATATTGCTTGTTATATATCTGATCAAGCTCAGCTTTGCATGAATACTCCCACAGTTAAAGACGAGTTTGACATACCTGTGAGAGTCGAGTTGAGGGTAAAGCCAATGTCAAGCTGGCTCTTTAAAGGCGGAGGATGATCAGGAGTGACAGAGACAGCAGGTGCATCGATAGATTCCGGGTCATGACTCGGCTCTGAGGTCACATGCTTCTTCGTTGCACAGGATGTATTGTCATTATCACTGTCAGCTTTCCGTTTAAAAAAAGCTTCTGCTGTCCATTTTCACTCCTGACCCATATCAGCCCACGGTTATATAAAAAAGTGGGATTGGGTGTTGAATGTGGCCCTTTCAAGCAACTGGGCCAGGAAGAGAGAGCCAGCAACAGCAAAGTGTGCCACCCTGTCACAGATATTCGACAGTGTCATGTGTGGGAACACGGTGGTGTCAACGAGGACGGTTTGACACGCCTCTCCCGCGTGAGTGATGGCCCGGGGGAGTATCGTTGTTGACATGGTTCGAACAGAGGTTCGCAGAACTGCATTGTCCAAAAGAGGACGCCTGGCCCCGATTTTGACCCCCTCTTCTTCTTTCCCATGACCGCAACGTGCTACGGGCAAAAGAGAAGAAAAACCCAAAGTCACATATACAAAACAGAGCACTGGCGTGAGCCGTGGCGTAGACAGTGGGGTGGTTTGGGGGATCGAAAAACCCCCAAAATGCCAAAGCTACTCCCCCCCCTGGGGGATTCATCTCAACATGAAGGTGAAGCCGATCCACCTTGCTTCCACGCACTTTAAATGCCGAGAGAGAAAACAAGTGAAAAGTAGGTGACTACCAACTAGATCGCGTCTCACGCCATCAATATTGCTCTAAAATTTTTTTTTTTTTTTTATGTAAAATTATTTTTTGACACGCGTTTCCCAATTAGGCTGTTTACAAAAAAAAAGGAATTTTTTTCTTATTAGGGGCCCTTTAAAAGGGTGTTGCAACGTTGTAAAGAAGCAATAAAGAAGCAGATTTCGGCCAATTAACTGTGGGAATCGGTCTGTAGCACCTATAGAACATAAAACAGAAAACCCTTTTTTTCTTGTGCCAGCTAGCTTTTTATTTAAAAAAATTAAACAAATCAAAGGACGGAGTTTCCCACAACTCTCAAACCGTCTTTTGAGGGATGTCTCTGGGAGGCCACCCAGTTTTCCGTAAAATTCTGTCTTCGGGGCCCCCAGCACTTTCTCCGTGATTCTCAACTTTTCAAGGATTGACACCGCCAAAGGTTGTGGCTAGCGATCGTAACAAAAGACGATTGCTAGCCGGGGAGGGGGAACGTTTTTATTGACTTCCGTGTACTCCCAACGACTGGATACCATGGGTCTTGTAGCCGCCGCGCAGAGCTGCAGATCGGCAAATAATGCATTTTTTCCTTTGCGATTATGCAACGGTATTGCAGTCGGGGGTAAAGTGGCACGTTTTCTCTCACTTGTGATACAATAATATAGAAATAACAAAATCTGCTAATGACAATCGGACTTTTGTATTGAACGGGTGGCTCTATTTTTCATTCCCAACGGCCCATTCCAACAAGCGCTCGAAGAGCAGCCACCAGAGAATGCGATGCGTCTCGTTAGATCCAACACCTCCGGCTAGTTCGTGATGTCATGTAAAACTTCACGGGCAAGGCTACAGGGAGGCTGGCATTGTTGTGAGCTTTGCCACTAGGTGCCATCAATGTTTTACAACCCGGCGGTTTGACGTGCCTGATGACTGATTCAACAATTCCAGCAGAGGCAAAAAAGTGACTCACCTCCACTTCAAGCTCCTTTTTCCCTGCTCCCTGCAGGAGTTGAATAGGTGTGGGAGAGAAGGGAAGCCCAATCCGGCCAAGTTGGACAGGGATTACACGGACGCAGCCTGCCGTCGTACTTCCGCGGCGCTGCTTCTATGGGAATGGGGGCGTAACGACATTCAAAGTAGCATTGGGAACATCTACCAGGTGTAATCTGGTAATCGGTTTATTCATTTGAAAGAATGTGTTTGTGTCTTGTCAAACACAAAATTGGTGTCTCTGAGGTGTGGCCAGGACGTGGTTGACATTTAGACAATAAAATGGGCCCTAGAATGTTGTTGCAGTACACTGTTTTAACATTTCAACATAACTTACAGCACCGTAAGTTATGATGAACTCTTACCAACTTGCCCAATTGTCCATTTTACTGCTTCAAGATTTCCCGCATTCTGCTCCAGTCTTTAATCTGCCTGCCTCTGAAGGACCTCGCTGAGCCGTTCTGCGCTCCTTCGGTGCAGGGGAGGCCTGCCGTCCGTTCCAAGCCATTGTTGTGCCCGTGCACTGTTTCCTCAGAAGCCTCCCTTCTTCTTTCCAGATTTGTTTCATCACGGTGACACACAGGCAAGACGGGACTACTTGTTCTACCTTGCAGTGGGAACCACAAAGCTGAAGGTAGGTCTCTTCCAGCTGAAATTAACCAAAATCGTTACTTCCAGAATGAGAGGCACATCCCATTTATTGGATTGTCCTGTCACATTTTGGAATACTGTGACAAATAGTGACTTGCAGCACTATTTTCGTTGATCTGGAAACGTGTACACGGTTTAAGTGCATCTGAAAGAAGCTCGAATGACACTTCATCGCCCCATTTGTGCACTACCATAATATCCCGAAATAGCCCACCTAAAATCAAGAACAAATCGGGTGAAAATAAGGAGTTGGTTACCTTTCATTGTAGTCGCTGATCGATTTTTCGGACGCCGATAATTCGGACTTGTTCTATATTTCAGACGTAAAGGAAGAACCGTGACCTACCTACCCGATAAAAAGAGTGCATATTCCACGACCAATGTTTCGGACAGCTTGAAGCCCAAAAGTTCGATTTTTCGGACAAAGTCTTCGCGAGCGATCAGTGGAAAAACCATAGAGAAGTTGCCATTTTGGATTCTATGTTGGCTGCACACGGATTGGCTTGATTTGGCAGCGCTGCTTGAATACTGCTAAGTCCTACCACTAAGCGACGCTGTGAGGCTTTTTTTTTTTCTCTAGCTGCACTTCATTATCATCAACATTGTTGTTACCATTTTGCTTTGTTCATTCGCCGATTTACTCATGGACTCTTGCGCCTCTCTATCTCAGTCTTTTCTCAGTGAATCATATTTTCAAACTATGCTGTCTTGGATGTCATTGCCCCATCTGTTCTTCCACCGCCGCAATGTGTTGCTAAGAAGTGCACAAAAGTACTCGACCATAACGCTAGAAAAGAAGGCAGTGATTCTCAAGCTAATGGAAAGTTGCCGAACGCAAATGGAGGCATAACCTGAAATGAGGCATGCAGGCATAACCTGGAGCAAGGCACTATTTACGGCTTTTTTGAGCCCGCTTAGTTGTAATAAAGGCAAGTATTTTAGTCCGCTGGTTTTTCGGACTGCTCTATTATTCTGACATTTTGTTGGTCCCTGTGAAGTCCGAAAAATCGGTTGGCAACTGTGCTGTCAACAAAAATTTAATAAAAGTTATTTTTACTTTTTTTTTTGCCAAACTTGTTATTGTGGCGAGTGACAATGCAGCAAAGATGACTCTACTTCCCAGTCAGTAATGTTTACTTATATATCTTGCCATAGCTAATGTGCCACATTCACGCCAATGTCATCACTGATTCAAGCACTATGATTACTAGGAATATGCTATCTTTCGGTGTTCAAAAAGAAGACTAGCAAATCAAGCCAAGGTCAGGGGCGGGTTATCTTTCAGGGGTAGGGCATCTCGGGGTATAACTGTAGTCAAATACAGGCGAGAATCCTCAATGTTGGGGTTGCTGATTGTTGGAAGTTTCTCGGTTTGTCTACGCTGCACAAGCGAAGACGACGGAGAGAAGACTTGTGAGCACGTGTAGACTTCAGTCAAATCTTCCCCTATGCACATGTAAATATTTTCATAAATAAAAAAGTAGATGGGTCGAAAAAGATTAAAAATAAATGCTAATTAAGCAAGCTTGTGCCTGCAACTAAACAATTGAGGTGCTGTACATCGTCCTCAGCAGTCGAACAAATGCTACATGTGCCGCAATCAGTCTGGGAAGTTCCAAAACAGTCGTCAAATTAGAAAAGTATGACTTCTGTGCCAATGTTGAACGCACATACAACTTGTCTGTACTTGTGACAACCTGTAAAATTAAATGTTTGTCTTGTTTGAGTCGATGGATCATTATCGAAAAATTTCCCACAGTGGCCATACTCCGATAATACCAATAATATATGTACAATGTCCCAAGAGATGATGTAAAGGTGATGTTGCACACAAGTCATAATTCTTTAAAGGTTTGAACAAAAGCTTAGAATTGTTTGTGCTTCTGCTAGGACAATTGTCTCCAGACTTCTGGAGCAGGTAATTACTAGGGCTATGCTCTAAAACTGCCCGAAATATGCACAAGTTAACACCTTCAAAATATACATGTGCCCTAAAACCTTTGGAATATTCCGTCCTGATACCTGCTTTCTTGACGCATATAAAACTTCTATGGCATGCGTTGGTTAAAAGAATGTTTGTGATGGGAAGCCTCGTAAGCACGCTCTTGCAGCAGTGCTGGGCTGCAGCACTGTTGTAACCACATTAGCCTTGGCAAAGTAGCATAAAAAGTGACGCCACTCCCACTTCCACGCTACTCCAACATTTGAAAACAACTTTCCTTTGAACCTGGCTGCTGTAAAAAATTTCTTGCCTGACCCATGAGCTCAATCTGAGCGATTCTGAGGGTGCCTACAATCGCTGTCTCTGCCACATTCCGTTCCCTCGCGGGACTTGGCATTGCTTGTTCGAGCTATTTTGTGTGAGGTGCCTGATACACTGATTGGAAGAGTTGTTGCAAGGACATTTGTCACTAATGTCATCATCTCCATAATCATCTTCAGTTACTCGTACCCCTTCCTTGTTGAGCCAGCACAAATCGGCGCTCGTGCACTTCAATATTTCAGAACCGCTCTTGGAAATATCCATCCTACTTTCTTGCCACCATTATAATTTTTTAAAAATTTCTGGGCAACTTTTTAGTTTTGTATTTGAAGTACCGTTTGCTTGTTGCTGCATTGCGTGCAAACTTAACCTGCTCTCTCCTTGACCAGGAGTACTCCCAGGCCCTGAAGTTCATCAAGGCATTCCTGAGGGTGGAGCCAGCCAACAGACAAGCGCAGGACCTTGAAAGCACCATCAAGAGCAGAATGAAGATGGGTGAGTGATGCCCGGCATCCCGAGGGATCGTGCAGAAATTTAGAATGGAAACAGATGCTGCACAGCTCTTGCGGATACCCCGAGACTCTTGCGAGCAAGGAGGTCTTCTCACAACGAGGCCTGCGAGAGCTGTTCGGCTTGTGCTTCGAAACAACCTGGGAAAGATTGGACATTAATGTGCTTGGCCTTTGTACTCTTTCACTTGCTGGTCGATGTCAGCTTGTGTACAGCAGCAGAACAACTTGAAATTTCCAAACTAAGCATGGGTTGTCGACGACTTTTAACATGAAATAGCAGACAATCACAATTTCAGCCTGCGTCCGATTTTGCCTCGCCGCAATGCTCGGGTCGTAACAGACCCGAGCACCGTAATCTTTTGTTTCCAGTTTGTTAGCGGATAATGTACAATGTTTTTTTTTCGTTTTACTTCCGTCTGCAAATGGCGCTTCGTAGCAGATGAGCAGCATTCTTCGCTTGCATTATCAAACAAACCGTCTACAAACACTACCTTCGCTCGCTCCGCGAGAGGCAAATTTGATCTCGTGGTGACCAAAATTGGATCTTTGGTCTTGGCACTGATGACATAAAGCAATGCAAAAGCTCACAGACCTTGTAAACAATAGTGCACATACAAGGTGGGGAGTTTTTGGTTCATAGTTATGCATCAATGGATGGCTCAGATCTGCTCAAGATAGTGCTTAATCTAGAAAAATGCTTTACTTAGGGGCAGAGATGGTCCAAGAAATTTGGGAGCCTGGGTTCCCTAGAGTTGCCTAGGGAACCCCCAAATCCCTAAGAACCCCGCTCGAGAACCCATGCTACAATGTAACATCAAGCATTATTTTGAATTGCATCATTTTCCGAGTTCCCAAAAACTTTGAAAGCTTGTAAATGAGGGAGTTACGCACACCTACTGGTGTGCGTAAACAAGATACCGTAAAATCCCGTAAGGACGCCCACCCAAAATGAAGAGGTGAATGGTGAAATCATGGGGTGGGCTATCTTTGGGGATGCCACAGCAAAACTTTATCAAACATTAATGATAAGCGTCGGGACACCCGCTACAAATCGCGTGACGCGGGAACTGATACTGAAGATCGCGGACACGGCAAATTTGCGTTTCACGATGCGATAAATGCGCGGAAATTCGCTACAAACTCCTGTGTCATGGGAAAGGATACCGCAAGTGGCCGATGCAACAGATTCACGTTTCACGATGCGAAGGACTCGCGGGAGCTCGTTGAGATTTCGCATCTCATGGGAACGGATCGTGGACGCAGCAAATTCAAGTTTCATGGTGCAATAAGGATGTGGGAACCTGCTACAATCTTGCCTGTCACGGAAACCGATATCACGTGCACAAATCGCGGACAAAAACACGGAAATACACTACGAACTCGGGAACGGATACCGCAAATAGTGAACGCAGCAGATTCGCATTTCACAATGCAATATACACGTGGGAACAACTAGAGTGTTACGCGAGCGATATCACGCGCAGATCGCAGACAAAAACGCGGGAACCCGCTTTGAACTCTCTACTCGGACACACCGGTACCGTCGATCACGCCATTAATGCGCGATTCCCGTCCGACATCGCTTGACGTCCAACGGGAACCGGGGGGTGGGCGGCGTTTCAGAATATTTATGTTACAGATATGTAGCCAGAAAAACTGGATGGGCGATCTCTCGGGGGAGGGCGCCTTTTTAAGATTTTACGGCAAGCAGAAAAAAAAAAAAAAAAGTTTTCCATATTTAAGTGGGATGTGGACGGTCCTGCCAGATCTTTTCTTTTTCATTTTCTCTATTGTCTTCTGGCAGAAAAGAAAGGGAATATGAGGGATTGCATTGCTTCAATCTCCCGACCAGAAACGTCCTTGACGTTTCTGGCAGGGAGACCAAGATAGCACTGAAAGGCAAAGAGCTTTTACTCTAGGCTCTCGTTACACATTGGGAATGTCTCCTTACATTGTATCAGTTCCTTTGAGAAGCCGCCATGAGAACTTTGAAATTACCTGCTATGGAGTCGCCGACGTGCCAATGCTAGCGAGCTCCGACCGAGAACAACCGTTCGCACGCAGCTTGAGAGGTAAACATTCGTTCCCCCGCTTCGCGTGTAACTTGAGTGCCTCGTACCAGAGGCGTTTTTCTTTTATTTCGTTTTATATTTAATAAACGAGACGTCAGTCTTCGGCCTTACTCCGGCACGAAAGATTGTCTGTGTGTTCTCTTCGCCAAATAATGTAAAACGGAACATTACCTTTCTTTTTAACTTCTGTGGCCAAATTTTTTGGATAGCGAGTTTGTTCCCTGCCCCTGGAGAGATACTTGTTGCTGTTTGTTTTGCAACACAAGAAGTATTTAATGTCTCAGCTTGAGGTCACAAGCTATTGGCAAGTAACTGCTGAAACCTAATTCAGTGGAGGGATTTTTGTTCATTTCTTCTCACAGACTGTGATGCAACTGGGTGCCCTATCGTCAAAGACCGTTAAAATTGAAATGGTGGCATAGAACTATACATAGCAAAATTGAGAAAGAAAAAAAGAAGTTATGTTGGAGGAAAAAAAATAGCATGAAAAACTTGGTCATGTTGCAAATGTTTTTAAGTCAAGGTTCGTTAGATTAAAGTTTGAGATATTGCTGGGTTGCTGGAGCCACACTTCCAGCATCATTCGTCAAGCTAGGTAAAGCAGTCGCAATCTCTCGATCTATACTCTTAACGACCGTGCAAGGGTTATATAAACCAATTTTACTGTGCAGGCAGCGTGTAAGCACAATGGATCATCGATTTGATTCCTGACTTCAGCCCACCCTTCCCTTTGTCTCCACTGCCTGCAGCGTCATACCTTAGGGGGATCAGCTGTGTGTAGACATTCGTTTAGTTGCAGCAAAGGTAGGGGGTCTTCTGGCTCACTTTTAGGGTGGCTGAACTTTCCTTGAGCACAAAGTTGGAGAAAATTCCTGACTTGTATTGTGCGCAATGCACAGGTCAGGTTCAACTTCCTTTGGAAAAGGTCCTGATCCCTCTCATTTCGGCAGCAGGGATAGAAGTGGCATTCTTTTGTAGCAGGCATCGTAGCAGGCAAAGTATTGATTTGGAGCAGCCACATATGTGAATGCTAAATTCAGCTAAACGACAAGGAATTTCATGATGTATTTTAGGTATTTTCTTTATTAGGAATCAGTGGCCAAGTTATCTTTGTGCGAGGTGGTTGATGGTATCCCTGACCACGGTGCAATGCCCTTTTCGCTTTCGAATAAAATTCTGAAACACGACGGAAAAACTTTTGGGGTGCTCGACTTTGCTCACGCCGATGACACTTCAATTTTATGATATGCTTGATTTAAGGTACAACAAATTTTTTGGAACCTTTGCGTTAGTCCAGCTCCGACGTGAACGAATTGTGGCTTAGGTTTAAGAACATAGCGAATCATTGTATTAAAAAGTATCATGCCAATTCGAACTCAGAAACAAAGCTGTGACAACCTATGGGTTACACGTGAATCTATTAATTTAAACCGGCGACTATGGTGCTTGAAATCAAGCTGTAAAAAAAGATGCAAGTCAGTCTCTTAAAGATAAAGTCGCAGACCTTGCCTGTTGATTAAAATAGAGTTTAACCTCGATTTAACGAAGTCACCGGGAACTGCTAATTATTTCGTTAAATTGGGAACTTTGTAAAATCGAGGAAGTATGAGAGAGAGAGAGGTGACGTGAGAGAAGTAGGGAAGGTTGTTCTAGCGGGAATGCTGAATTGGTTCCCCATGAAAGACAATAGAGAGAAAGGAAAGGGGAAGGAAACTAGAGAAAAATAAAAAAAAGACGTGAACGCGCTGAGAGTTAATGTCGAGTTATTTTACAGGCGGTTTGTGACACCGGATCCGTCGAGGAAGTTCAGTAACAGGTGTTGTATTATTTGGCGGCGACGGGCTGAACCACTTGGATAGATGATGTCCTTGTCGTCTGAATCACAAAGTCCACTTCTGGCGAGCTCAGTGATGAGCCGGTGTCGTGGATCGCTATATTCTTCGCACTTGAAGAGAATGTGGCAAATGTTTTCTTCATTGTTGCAGTTCGGACACTGGGTGCTCTTTATTGCAGATATTTTAAAAAGAAACGCATTTGTAAATGCACTTCTGCTGCGTATTCTTAGGAGGAGAGTGCTCTTCTTTCTTGCAAGACCCTTTGTAACGCATGGCTGATGTTTGGAGTATGTGGTCGGAGAAAGTTCAGTTATGTAACTTTTGATGGACTTTTGCGTCGCGTTGAAATCTGTCCATGTGCCGCTCCTGCGAGCTTATCGGCTTCGGAATTACCAAACAATCCTACATGCGAAGGCACCCCTTGAAACAGAATGTTGAATCCAGAATAGTGTAACTGCTTCAATGTAGGTAAGTTGTATGGTGGCCTTCGTTTCGTCCATGGAGTCAAGATTAGCTAGGCGTTGAAGGCCCACTCTTGAATCGGTGACCAGCACTACAGTGCTGGTCACCACTGCTGAAGTGTGTTGGTCACCAGAACACTTCCTATCCCCGGGCTTAAAGCTGCTGAATCTCTCCACAGCTCGTCCGAGGGCACAGATTCGCTACCGACGACACATGATTCTTGAGAACAAGATAAATTTCAACTGAATATCTACCAACCAGCATTTCAGGAGCCAATGGAGAAAATTTTGTGAAGAATCGAATTCACGAACCTCTTTTGGCAAAGTCTGCAGGGTGATTCGCTGCCTAAGCGGCAACAGACGTCCGGTTCGACCCTTTCATACATTAGCGCTTGCTGAACAGACAAACTGACCTAGCCAAAGAATTTGGCATTTCATACTCTAACCAGGCTCTTGCATTGCTACGGCCAGCTCCAGTAAACCGCAAGGCCAGTTCTTTGGATGACCCGTTCACAGAAAATGAGCTGACAGTGGCTCTACAGAAATGCCGTCGCCACAGCGCCACTGGCCCGGACGGAATCTCCTACCAAGCCTTGCAAAACCTTCCTCCCTGTGGATTTTCTTCCCTGCTTCGCTTGTTTAACAAAGCCTGGGAATATGGAAAAGTGCCAGATGAGCGGAAACTTTCAACGATTGTCCCTGTACAGAAACCTGGAAAACGACCAGAGCTGCCTACCTTGTACAGACCAGTAGCACCGACTTTATGCGTCGCAAAGCAAAGTCGACTAGCTTGGTTCCTGGAACGTCAGAAGTTACTGCCAGACGAAATGACAAGGTTTCATCCAAAACTTAGCGCATCAGATAGTCTACTGGATTTTGTCAGCAGTGTTGAGCATGAAGGGATGACAGGAAACACAACACTTGCTGTTTTCTTCGACGTAGAAAAGGCTTTTGATAATGTAAGCATCTCATCTGTCCTTCAAGAACTTGACAGAATCAGCATCAGCGGGCGTGTCCAGACGTTTTTGTCTGCCTTTATGAGCGACCAATGTTTCCAAGTACACCTTGGGAACACCCTAATTAAGTGTCACAGAAAAGGTGACCTCGCGCATAGGCTGCACAGGGAATCCGAATTTGGATTCCTGAAACTGACCTCCCAAAATTAGCCAATCCTTTCAATGTTCAATTTAAATCTGTGTTCACATGTGATGATGAAATTGCTACTCTTTTTTACAAAGTTTGATTACTTACCTACCACCCCTTCAAAATATTTGTTTCAAGGCCGACATACATGTCGTGCTTTGCACTTTTGCCCGCCGCCTCCTTTTCATATCTTCTCCACTTTTTTCCCTTGCCCTAACTTGGCTCCCATCACAGATGAGGAGAGGGGAGCACCAGGAGCATTATTACCTCTGCCGACAACTGAGGTTGTATGCCGGCCTTTATTCAAAAATGGGATTTTTAAGTTGATCTTAAACCTGGATCCACGGTTGCTAACTACAGGCCTATTTCATTGACATGCTGCATCTGCAAACTCCTTGAACACATTATCATTAAACATATTTTTTTTTAATTTCTAGAAAACCATGATGTTTTGTCAAAAAGGCAACATGGCTTTAGACGAGAATTTTCTACTACTACTAAACTAATTGAAACACTTCATGACCTCACATTTGCTCTGAACAAAAAGAATCGAGTAGATGTCATATTTATAAACTTTGCAAAAGAGTTCAATAAGCGGTCACATGTAAAGCTTCTTGCAAACTGAGAAACTACTTTAAAGAACGATCAGATAGCTGACTGGGTACAGGCTTATTTTACAAACCGTTGCCAAGATGTAGAATTTAACAATGAATGCTCATTCACTTTCGGTAGATTCCGGCATCCCCCAGGGGATCGGTACTTGCATCTCTTTTATTCTTATTGTATATTAATATCATCCCCGATAATATTTCCGTTAATGTAAGTCTATGCCTACGATTGTGTTATATACAATGAAGTTATCTCAATGATGAATTAGACAAGGTCATGAGATGGTGCAATATACGGCAGATCTGTGTAAACCATGATAAAAGTGTTTGTATGACTAGCAGAAAGGAGCCTCTTTCATTTTGTTATAATCAAAACTGAAGTTTAACTAGAATCACAGAGTTTAAATACCTGGGTCTCTGGATCGGCTGCAATCTTTGATGGGATAAATGCATCAGCATAGTTTTCGCTAACTCCTTACGAAAACTATTCTTTCTCAGACGAACATTAAAATCAGTCACTTGAGCTACTCGACTCTTGGCGGGCAATACTTTCATATATCCAATTTAAAAGTATGCTAACATCATTTGGGGTCCATTCACACAAATAGGCATTAACCGCATGGAATGGATAAACATGATACGGAGTGTCGTGTTTATTTTTAATGCATATAGAGTGTCAGTATCTCAGCATTCCCAATGGGTTGGGTTTGTTTCAGTTCAAGAAACATGCAGACTTGGATTTTTATTTCATCTAATTAAGGGTCAGCTTAAAATTAACAAGGGTTAATACATAGCTTTTTCTACCGGCTATGCCACCTGACAAAGGCATCCACTTACCGTAAAATCCCGAGAGACGCCCCACCCCCGAAAGATAGCCCACCCCTATTTTTGGCTTGATTTACTATATTTTTTTAAGCACCAAAAGGTAGCCCACCCCTAGTAGTCATAGTGTTGGGATCAATGATGGCCTGGAGTTAAATGCAGCTAGTTATCTATGGCGGGATATAAGCAAACGTTGCTATCTGCGAAGTACAGTCATCTTTGCATCGTTGCCCCTCGTCACCATAACAAGCTTGGAAGGGACACACGACATAAAAATTGAATTTTTTAAACTTTTCTTGATTATACACTGAAAGTTAGCCTTCATATCTTCACCCGATTTGCTCTCGATTTTAGGTGGGCTATCTCTCGGGATTTTACGGTACCTTTTTACCCTACCAAACACGTATCAATAGTTTTAAGTTTTCCTTTTTTTTTCCTCTGACAGTTTTAGGATGGAATTGGCTTTCTTACGATATTACTGACCAAGATACTGCTACCGTGCCAGAAAGTCCCCCTGGGGAGACACCAGGATGGCTCCATTGTGGTGTCTTCTCAAAGGCCTTCCGTCATGCCAGGAAACAAACTCGGGAGGTCTTCTTCAAAAAAGACAGACCCTGAAAGGTTGCAACCATAGCTGGACCTCTTCCCACACTAACCTGTTGCAGCAATCCGGTTCGTGGCTCAGAAGTATGACTATGCAAAAGTGACTATCCATGTGACTATGACTAAAAGTGACTGACCAAAAGTGACTGACTATCCAAAAGTCCTGTATACATGGAAGATGTGCTCTCTCTTTCTAAAAGGAGCTGCACTAGAACCTTTTAATTTAGAACTTACTGGATAAATGGAGTTTTGCAGTGTGTGTTTGGTTGCCCGTACCTCGGAGCGACCCAATAAATGAAGTATTTCTCGGATTTCTCAAAGGTGCTGGAGCCATTACAGCTGCTGCTTGCTCTAGCATTCCAGTTTCTATTGTTGATGCTCTTCAAAAAAAGAAAAAAGAGAAAAATATTTTCTTGTCTTTTCAGAGGGCATGAAGGGAATGGCGATAGTGGGAGGTGCTGCCCTTGCTGTTAGCGGACTCGTAGGACTCGGGATTGCCCTGGCCAAAAGGTGGGTGCCGGGCACGCCAACGTTGCCGTCGTTTCGAGTTTGACAACGCCTCTTATGCTTTTTCAGGTAAAAGCAGCAGCGAAACCATTCCTCCAGTCACCAAACCTTTCCTTCTTTTAGCAGACTCGTCGCTTGAATGTAACGAAAAGAATAAACTGTGTATTTTCTTCGTACGCTACGATTTTATGTGAAACACAAAGAAAAGGCTTTTTGTGTTCAGTGTCACCGATGGTGGCCGTATTCAACCATCAAAGTTTTTCGTTTCTGCGTAAGCTTTATTAGAAAAGCATTCAAAAGCGGAATGCTTGTACAAAGCCCAAGACAGATCTAAATAGAAAATAAACATACAACAAATGCCTAGAAAACACATGGGCTGCAAATTACGTACGGCATTTCACACTCCGAAATTCCTGGCATGCCTGAGGCGCCTGCCCTCGCACACTCCATGGACTACTGACTAGCATCAGTCCGGGTTCATCGTCAAGCAACACACACCACATACAGAACAGGCTGGCCAACCACGAACCGCTCGCGCTCCCCTTCCAAACAGACACCGTAAGCAACATTCGCCTACAAACAGACAACATAGTCTACTTTAGATAGCAAACACGTAATAGTCTATTCGGAACGACATTGCACATCAATTAACGAGTGCTATTGCCCTATAATCTCACTAGAAACATCATTGGCACATCAGCAATAACAGACAGGTACAGATTGCAACTAACACCTCTACGAAAGCGTGGCTCGCTATCGGCCCTGTTTGCCTAACACAGCAGTTTTCAGTAACGCGACACAAAGGAAGACGCTGCGCAGGCACGAGATACACCCACGCACGCAGCTAAGCCCGGCTGCTGGAAACACATTGAGACAGCCGTTTCTGCGTCTTCTTGCCGAGGACAGATTGTTGTTGTACTTCTACGAATGGACAGGGGGACTGCTCAGGAGCCCCCATTGCCATGGACTACAGACGTCCCAGAAGAAAAGCTTGGCCGCGCAGCAGCTCTCGAGGAAACCGACAGAGGAATGCTGCATGCAGACTTTTGAAGCATGCAGTAACCAACGCAGGGCACTGGCTACGGCTCCTGTAGACTCTAGGAGAAAGGGAAACTTTCTTCTTGTACTCTGCAAGTTAAGCTCTATGGCACGGACAAATAGACGCCTCCAGAAAACAACACTGAGGAATGTTACAGCCAGGCCAGACCCTAAAGGGTCATTCTGCAAGGGTGTCTGTGGGAAATACTTCGTAACTGGCATCGAGACCCGTCTGCCACGCACAGCAATTTGGCGGAGCTACGATGTTCTACTAGACGAGAACAATCGCTGGACTAGTTTTTCTGCGTTGTAGAGACGGACGCAGTTGGCACAAGCGAGCCATCCCTTTAAGCAGTTGCCAAAATCGCTTGCACGGTAAGGACGTCCAATTTGGCGGTAAAAGTTTGCAATCATCCATACATAATCGGAGCCAATTGCAAACAATGTGCCCACATTGTGTTCGTGCCAACTGCGTCGTAGACACAATTTTCCACTAGAAAAGAGCTGTCCGAGCCAAAACAATTATAGATTTGGATGCGAGGGGTAACCAAGAATGTTTGGTTATTTGATCTGCACATTGTATATAAGCTAGACTCTTGGTAAATGCACTGGATGGAACCTGTATTAAGTTACATTTCACTACAGTTTGTCATCAACAGATAGATGGCGGCCAACGTTACAACTTGCCCGAGGACAACAGGGAAGCAAGCCGAGTAAAATAATGTCTAGTTAAATCCTAGAGGCTACTTTTTGAGCTTCAAGCTGTGTCCAGGGTAGGATCGGAAGCAGCTTGTCTGGACAACTGAAAGACTAGCAACTTGTCGGACTAAAAGTTGATCTCGGAATACTGAGTCGCATTCCATCCACCAGTCTCTCCTTTCGAAGACAGTAAAGGTAGCACAACCTAACAGGCACAAACAGAGAGGAAACACTGTCAACGCTTTGGATGCTAGCTACGGAGCTTGCACCCCATCGTAGAACTGCTGTGGATAGATGTACGAAAGAAAAGGAGGCTAGCATGTAAAGATGTACATATATAGATCTACACCCAAGCTTTCTAGTGGCACACAACAACAAACACTGCCTCTAACATCACAGAGATATACACAGTTTCACTAGATCTGCTTGACAGCTTCAAGATCTTTGGCTCCATGGTGCAGTTGGCACAAAAGCCTGTCGTAAAGAGACAATTGGCCAGTACGGATTAGAAGCAGCATACCGAGCATATGCAGCAGTGAATTGGCTTTCTTTCCTTGCTTGTTTTAAGTTATTTCGCTCTATCTTCGTCCCAGTCAAAATGCAGCTAGCATAAAAATGCCTGCACTTTCAATGTGATGGCAGGACCAAATCCTGCGTAACAAGTGCTTCTGCGAATGTCCGAGGTAACTGACTGCTATAACAGATTTTAAATATATGAAGCACATTTGATGTACGGGAAGAACGAAAAGTAGCACAGGGCTGCCACCCAGAATGGTGTTTCGTTTTGTTGCAAGTGCACTTTCTCTTCAATATTTTCACGTCTTTGCGACGGGTTGGAGTGTTGTACCTTGCAAGACCATTTTCTGCGATTTACCGAGAGCGGGTTCGATTAGCTTTGCCCATTCTAGATGTTGGCCAAGCTTGTGCCACCCACGAGACCTGCCAAGCCGAAGCTGTTTTCAGCATTGATAACATTAGCAGAGCTGTGGCGTGGTGGTGGTTCTCGAACGCAGGTACAAAATGCCGCAAGAATGGCAGCATTGTTGGCTACCGGGGCACGCACACTGCCGTTTTCCTTCTCTCTCACTAAAAGATTTAAAAAAAACAACAACGAAGGCTGGCAGTTGTCGCCGCTACACCAAGACCCAAGCATGCAAAGCGAGTTTCTCGGCTTGGTACCGATCAAACGAACCTCGGATCGCTTTAGAGCCTCGTGCCACTCTTCGTCGATGTCGACGGATCTGTCCTAACTGACCGTGAATTTGCGCATCCTTTTCGTTCCGTGCCGCACGTGTCTGCATCGCCTCTGTTGTCGCTGGAACGACACTGGCAGACCCCATGGTAAGCGCCGTCGACCTTCTATGACCACCGAGGACGCTTTTGTCTCGTTTGTTCGGATATCCCTTGAAACGTTTTCTTCACTACGTCCAAAGAGGTAGGGGTAGAGGATCTTTCACGCCTGCCCGATCGACGGGAAAATCTGCGGCACGGCCAAATCGTACCGCCTTCGTTCCATTAAGCCACGAGCCGGCATTTGCCAGCGAGCGAGGGATGCCCTCTAGCACCGGACACTTGGACAGTGACCGCCAGTGGACCACCCCTGTACTTTCGCAGCAATTTTGTGGCACGATGCTGGCTCCATTCTATCCAACCTCCCTGGTTCTCGGAGCAGCCGAGAACAGTTAAAAGAATGTGAGGAACGTTGGCCCCAGCCTGGCCAACGATGCAGCTACGAGCTACTGAAAGGTTGCGCGGCTGGCGTCTTCGGCGGCCAGCGCGAGCAGCGACGACCCAGCCGCGCTGGGCGGGAGCCCGTGAATGGAAGAGGCCCGGGTGGGGCGGGGCCGTCCCTCCGGCTCCTCCTCGGCCAGCGGCGGGGGCGGGGCATCGTCCGGCCCCGCCCCCTTGTCGGGGGCCGCCCAGCCGGCGCCCCGGCGCGACTTGCCCAGCCGGAAGGTCTTGCGGCTCTGCGCCTTCTGGCGCTGCAGCCGGTGCCTCGGCTTGTGGGCCTCACCCCCCTCGCTGGGGGACTGGGGACGGGACGCGGCAGGACTCAGGGGCTCGCCTGCGGGAAGGAATCGGTCAAAGACTGGCCGGCACGACCAAGGAGCACGTAAACCCTTGCTAACTCTTTCTGTACCATGCCCAGAGGCCATCGATCCCCCGTGATTGATGGCTTCCGTGCACCGCCGAGATTCGAATTTGGTGCGCAGGAAGAAGTTGCGCTATCTCGTAAAGAGTGGAAGAACAGTTTCAGCTTCAATTTCATTTTGCGCATCCTTCTAAGCTGAAGCCATCGGAAATAAACCTCTCCATGGCAGTGGCACTTGTCAAACATGGCATCCTGTTGACATCGAGGACCATTACAAAGACGGCCTCAGTTTCGCGATTTAACTGGTTTTGCTGCTTGTATTTTTTAGATGATAGTGGGGGCAGTGAGGACCGTTAATGATGTTAGATACCTTGATTTGGGCTGCTACAGGGACGTTTCATCTCTGAGGCACAGAACATCGACGGGTGCTCATTGGAAAGCGTCGTTCTAGCTTTTTAGGTTGTCCTAAGCAAAGCACATATTTTATGCGTGAAAAGAGTCAGGAAAACAGTGGCAGAGGAGAAGGTAAAGCAGTGCTATGACAAACCGAGGTCTTGCGCAAGGAAAGTGTCCTGGAGGACGGGCACCTCCTCAAGTACCAGCTTCTCTGAATGTCGCGACGCCGCAAAAGCACAAGTGGCGACGAACCAAAAAAGATGGTAGTATCGGTTGAAGCTAACTTATTGAAGTGATAGTGGTGGGCATGTGGCACGCTTTGTATATTTAGGACCGTTTTTAAATCCTATTATGATTTGATATAGATGTAAATGTTCAAGCATTTTCTTATCTTTAGCACAAATGCCAAGTTCCGCATTAAAGGGGTATTTCAACAAAATATGAAACATGCCCGTCGTGTTCACAAATAGGCTGAATATGATCCACAATATCCGTAAATGACAATCGCACATTTGTATTGCGAGCCTGATGGCTGTATTTTTCATTATAAATGGCCTAACGGCCCACTCTGGCAAACGCTCGAAGAGCAGCCAGCGAACAGCACGTCGCATCCGCCGCAATCGTGACATAGTTTGTCTCGGGAGCTTATGTCTGTACGCAGCGGACGCCCTGCGAGCTATCCCGGCCAATCCCGCTCTGTGGACGTAGCCCATAATACGCTTTCCGCGCGTCGCTGTGCCCCTCTCCAAGATCACATGACATTCACACGGCCTTGGATAGGCCCCAATGGCTCGTAGCATCCGCTGAAAGCAGCCGAAGCACACCAGCGACCGCAAGTAACCCCAAAGCTGTCCTTGTACGAATTCTGAGTGACGGGTTAATCTTCCGTAATCTTGTAGAGGGACAACAGCGAGAGTCTCGGGAAGAGGGGAGTTCCACCTTCCCCTCTTCTCTCGTCGTGGCCGGAGGCGAGACTGTTACCGTCACTACCTGTCAAGGTTCCTAGACGGGCATTACAAACGAGGCGTTAGCGACATCCACCAGGTACTCTTTGCTAATTGTTTAATTTATTTTAAAATTCCTTTTTGTGTCTCTTTCATGAAAGATTGGTGTGTCTGATGTGATAACGCTCCATTGAACACGAATAGAGCAAGAAATAAATGCCTAAATTTCGTTGTAGTATCCCTTTAAAATATGAAAGAACTTTTTTCTGACATCAGTGTGAACCCTTGGTTCTTCAAAGGAGCAACTCCTTAGCTATATAATTTGATGTATCATAATTAGCCATATACCAATAAGTTGTGGAAATTAAAAAAAAGTGCATAGTTTATTCCTCAAAAGGCACCGGTCTTCCCCATGGTATGGAAAGAATTAAGGTGTCTGGAATGCATCTCTGACTGGTGTGTTTAGCATCCTATACTGCACATGTATCAAAAGTGATCTCGACGTGGCAACGAAGTGACTTTGCAGCAGCCAGTGTGTCACACCGTCGAATGTCACAATCTCAGTGGGGGGGGGCCTCGTCGTAGAAGTTCTGGCAAAAAGTACAAACAAACGCGAGAGTCGCCGCGCCATCGTCGCCGCGTCCCGACTTCCACTGCCAAAGTTTCCATGGACCCCAAAGCTGGAGTGCAACCCGCAGCGGAACGGGCGTTGTGCCCACCTCCACTGCCGTGCCACTGCCAGGATCGCGGCAGATAAAAAGCAAGATGCTTCTCCGCATCGTTGGCAGAAATCGAGGAACCGCTTTCGAGGACACGGTAAAGGAATTGGTCGGAGACGCGTCCCAGCCACCCTTGTAAAAGGGAAACGGGCGGGCGAAGGTCCACCCACCGGTGGAGTCGACGCCCTCCGGCAGGGAGTCCTGCAGGGTCTCGTCGTCGGTGGTGGCCCCGCCCTCTGGTGCTCCGACCGAGGTGAGGCTGCTACTCCCCGTGCTCTTCTTGCTGCCCTTCTTCTTGATGAGCAGCGTTGACTTGCGGAACAGCCGGGGCTCCGACGACGCGCTGTGGTCGAGGTCCATCGCCTCCATCGGACGGTACACTGGGGAAGGGATGCGCCCGTTCGCGGGAAATCTCCGGAACTGGTACTAAACACTCCGGCTGCTGGGCTGGCAGTACGTCCGTCCGCGCGTGTTTGTCTTCTAATTTTTGACTGCTCTAACTTACGGTAAAACGATAAACAGTCGGCACTAGCCATACTTTACCGTCGGTAGAACCATGACGGTAAAGCAGTAAGTAAAGAGAAATATATTGCTGCTCTCGACGAGCGAGCGAAAAAGAGACCCTGTGTGCACAGTTGTGCATGGCAGGCGAAAGCCTCAAGCAGAGTAGCGCCGTTCCCAAAGTGCACTTTGGGAAAGGGACTTGGTGGGCATTCTCAGTCCCGTTCTGTCAGCGCAACTACAGCGCCATGTGTCCCCCTTTCGCTGGCCAAGCAATCGCTCGTTTGCGCTAATCTCCTTTAGTGCCCAATTTCCGTGAGAGACAAGAGGGGCACAATGTACAGTCGTAATACTGTGCCCCGTCCCGGGGGGCAGAAGGGGGGACAGACCTTGGGAGGCAGGGCCCTCTTCCTCCGGGTAGCTGGTTCTGCGCAGGAAGCGCTGCATGACGCGGCGTCCGCTGCCCTCCCGAGAGTGCAGCCGGATGCTCAGCCCCCGCTGCTCCCTGTGCGATGCCCGCTGGGGGTCCCGCTGCGACTCGGAGCGGGAGGGCGCCTGCTTGGGGGCCGGGGGAGCGCCTACGCCGGTCCCGGGAGATGCTCCGGCCTCGGCTGCACGTGGATCGGGCGGCTCAGTCCCCGCTCTTGAGCCCCACTAAGCGTTTCAATCCAACGATTCGCGGCGCAACTCGGGGCCAGGGGTCTGATTTTGACCACAGTGACAGCGAGGGCAAGATATGATTTGGCTCTTGTAGGGTAAGCTAAGATATTGTCACAAATAAAAATGAGCGGATAAAATTTAGGACTGAAGATAAATGTTTCACGAGGCAGACAATTGTGTCTCCGACTCAAACGAAAAAAAGGTACTGCGTATCCTGCCACCGTGATGAAAGGATGACTGACTCAAAGCAATGTGCTGCTGCTGCTTTGCTGCACACACTGTGCACTAGAATGTTCTTAACGAGAACACACGATAACGGACGAGAATAAACTACAGTCCAGCCGGTTATATCATACTCGGGTATTTCGAATTATTGCTTATATCAAACAGTCCAAGCATCCTCTTGAAAATCACATGTAAAACTAAAGGAGTGTCGTCAAACTCCCATGGCGGAGACACTCAATATGGTGAACGAAGCCCGGCCTCCCGTTGCTTTTCCAGCGATCCAATTGCGCCGGTGTCAAGCACATCACTTGCGTTGTGGGGCTGGCAGACCACCAAGCCAGCATACACGTTGTAAGATACGCAGTAAAAGAACAATTGCGAAAAAAGAAAAACAATAAACTGTAAAAAAAAGTGGAGGACGGCAAAAACTAGGGGAAGGGCACGCGCGCCTGCGTAGAGAGACCAGGGAGTGCCCACTCTCGGAACGGTATCCTGCGCACTTTCCCTGAACACTGCTGATGCTGCGCGACGCGAGACTCCATAGCCCCAAAATAAAGTGAGCAAAAAAAAAAGAAAGTCTTTGGAAAATCGAGTGTGTTGACAACAACAGTTGTGCAATCACACTTTCAACCTTTTTCTTTTGCCGTTATTGCTTTGACAGCTATTTTTCTTTTTGTGTTTCCTTTTTTGCTGCCTGAATTTTTCAAGCTTTTTATTGTTGCTTGCTTAACTTCTTTTATGAACTTTTTTTTTTATGCGTCTCACGTTTCCGTATTCTTTTTTATTTCTTTTTTTTTTTAATTATTTTTATTTTTGTGTTTTGTCGCTCATGCTGTGTGGAGGTCCCAGCCAGGTGCGCGTGTAAGCACGGCAGTGTTTGCGGTCTCTGCCAACTTCGGTCTACTGTATTTAGCGGCTCTTGGATGCTCTATCTGGCAAGCTCCCGTTTGCCGTGACCTTCGGTGCTAGCAGAGATGCCAGGAAATTTTAACTCGAGCTTAATTTAATTTTAATTATTCATATATCGAACTATTTTACGATCCCCTTTGACTTCGATATATTCGGGTTTAACTGTAGAATTTTCGGAAGAGAAGAAATTTCCAGGAGAGACAAGGAAGAACTGGTACGGCGGGAATTGAACCCCGTACCGTCATGTGCCAGCTGCGGGCAAAGCCAACTCTGCTATGCATGCAACAACATTATTAGCAGATGGTTCATCTACAAACTTGAGCAAAAAGCAGGGTTTGCCCACTATGAAGCCTCAACTGCGGACGAAGATAAAATAAGGCGACACCTTTGAGTCGTTCGCCAACGAAATCGAAAAAAGTAGCCTTCTGCTACAAATTGAGTGCCACAGTGAAGTGATGATGGAGAGGAGATCCAACCGGTGTGCCCTTATTTGCTAGGTTGAGAAATACACCCGTGGGGTCGACAACGGCATCATAAATTATGTGCTTGTGCTTCTGACACATCACTCGGCTGACATAGAGAATGCTGCATCAGTGTTCGACTGGGGCTCACGTTTGATCAGCGAAGCACTAAATGAACACGACTCCCAGCCGAATGTAATGATAATTGTGATCGTGTGCCTCCTCCCTCGTGTAACTCCTTGCAGGTTCTCAAAGAAAATGAATGATGATGACAATGATGTCTGCTATTTCGCATTCAAAGCGACCGACAGCCTGCACTTCTTTTGCAAATCTCAACAAGCCCTGCCACTGTGCACAAAATGAAATCCACATTCGAGCATTCGAGACAAGCATGTTGGAAGCTGCAGGAACTCTCTCAACATCCGTACGTTGATAATTACCCTCTCCAAAACGCTGCCCGATTGTGGGCCCGCAAATGGGTAAAAAATTTCTCCTTGGTCGATAACGCCTGCTCACCAAAAGGCTGTGACGGGACATCCAATCAGCTGCCAGAAAGGTGCTCGCTTTCACCAGGGACCAGAATCAGACCCCACAAGAGATGCCATCGTGCGACTTACTCAAATATCCTAAACCTCTTTTTGCAAGCTAACAATACTGATAGCTTTCAAATTCATTCGATCGCTCGAGTTAGATACGACTTCAAAGTTACCACGAGGCTACTAGAACACGGTTGACCTCACCTCGTGTAGTTAACAAACCTTGAAGCAACGGGCAGCCACACTCACGTGCCTCATCATTAAAGATTGGCTGCTAATCTCGCGCGAATTTCAGTACGAAGGAGGCTCGAGTAAAAATTATACGAACTTGTTCGTGCCGACAAAGACCACAGAGCACAGGACGAGTGCCGTACAAACTGCACTCTCTGTGTCGTTCGTGCTAGTTTTTTTTTTTTCACTCTGCACCACAGCTGTTAGCCCCAGGGCAAGACCCAGTGAAACGACTGCACCGCGAGTGCACATGGCTCTTGCAAGCCATCAATGAGGGGAGCGGTCGCACGATACGGCGCTGCTCTCGCCGGCACAATTTTCCGAGAGCGTAATCCTTCCGGACCAGCTGTACAACACAGCTCAGTAGTTATGTGGTAACCGACTGCCACTGCAACAACCCACGTTTAAGCAGTGCAATGGCGTCTTTCTTGCGTTGATTTTACATGGGCCTTTGTAAGCTTTTACATAACCTAAACCACTTGTAATGCTCCCAGCGTGTCGCTCGTTTGCGACGCTCGTCCATGTTGGTCGTTCCAGACGCCCGCTCCCGACGTTCGTTCGTGAAACCCATTCACGATAGTTTTCTCGTAGAACACTAATCGTAAAACACATTCCGTGTTAAAAAATTGGTTGCTGTATTTCGACCTAGTGACTGAATCATCTGTGCAGAATTGCAATGTGTATAAAACGTTGTGAGTTTTGAGACATTTTTGATTGGCACATCGATTTAATCGTGTGTCAAGTAGTGGTGTCGGGCAACATTGCATCCTGTAGCAGCACCACGTGACGTCGCGACACCGCTGCTCGACACCTGACGTTGCTAGATCCAATAACATTGACACCACGACTTCGCAATGACACCGTAATGTCACGTCACGTAAAATACCACACACGCCATGGACAAAAAAATCTGAGTTAGCTTTCATTAGAATGCAATTCTGCATTAGAAGTCAACTGCACTCTCATGCTTTTGGCCTTGGATGCGAGGCAGCACATATAAATGCGGACATACAACTTTTCTAGATCAACCACACCTAAACTAGAAGGGCTAAATCAACGAGTTGATGCCACAGTAGCATGTTTCACGAAAAAAGAGGAGAAAGTCGAGAGGCATCATTAGTTCAGACGGTGTTGGCTAGGCTGCATCCGCTTCCTCCTCTCTCAAACTTAACAGCAAAAGAGAAACTCGACTGTAAAATGGTTAAAAGATGGCCAGAAGTCTTTGCGGTATGTGTGGAAGGTGTTATAAAAAGCAACCCCGCTTAATTCCGAAGATTTCGAGAGAATAAACGATTTCGCATTAAAAATCCTTAGTAAAAGACACTACGTCATTTGCTTCGCAAAAAATGGGATATATATTTTTAAATCTAGTTTTAAACACGAACAGAAACCGAAACTTCGGCCACGTCCTGCAACATTGGCCTTGGATATCATGAGATATCACAAGAACCTCTACGCGACGACGGGTAGGATTGGGGCGGGCGTGTGCCAGGCACGAGTGTTGTCTGCATTGCACTCTTTAACACGTTTTCGTATCTACGACATTCGACAATGTCTGCACAACTGCGGCGTAAGTCTGCGCACGTAGCGTCCGTAGTGCGGATGAAACTCCGAGACAATAGTCACAAAAGGTGAGACGATGACGGCAGTTTTGACATGGGAGATGGCAATAACAACGGGACCATTGCGGGGCAGCCGTTGGCTCCCAAGAAGCGCGCTGTGCAGGCGTGTTACACCAATCACGCAGACAGCGCCCAGAGGTAATGTAGCTGACGTAACCCGTTACGCTTGCCCGGAAAAGTAAAAATGAGCAAAAGGGAATAATGATGATGACGTTTGGTTCAATGTTGGCTACGCCCACGCCATATCCTTGACTGCGCTGTTGGCTGCGCCTGAATTCGCCCACTCGAGTCAGCCGATTTCGGCAACTGGCAAGTTGCAAAGTTTGCCGGGCCGTTTAAGAAACATTTAGACAGAATTACGTCATAATGTGGTCTTCCTAGGTGATACTGAAGAAAACTGCATTGTTTTTTCTTAAAAACAAAAATGAAGCGGAGTTTTTCTTTAAGGTGACCCAGCCCACCCCCCTCACCCGGCTGGAGGGCGGCCATGCCCGGCGGGCTGCCCAGCCGGGTGATGCTCTGCTGGTCGGGGGTCAGCTCGGTGAAGCTGGGCCGGTGGGTGCCGGGGGGCCGGGAGAAGCTCACCGACTGGGACACCTCGCTGCTGGGACCCTCCGTGGTCGACGACTTGCACCGCTCCAGCTCGCCCCCTGAGAAGGCACACAAAAAAAGCGGTCGGCACACCCGCAGGAAACCTCTTGCCGCGAGTGTTCGCAACTTTCAAGGCCTACTGACCAATGGTACTACCTAGAAAACAATTGGCCTGCGCATGATGTCATCACTGGTAGATCCCTGATCCACCCGAAGTGGCATACACACAAAAGCTCGACGACAATCACCGCAAAATGGCAGACATGTCCGCCTTGGCATCGCCGCATGCTAGTGTTTCAATCGTTGCGAGACACAGCAAGACGTGCTGGCGGTGATTCTGGCTGCCGCAACTTTAATTTTGTTAAATACGAGCAATATTGGAGCCTCACTTCACGTTTTCACGTCTGGCAGCTGTAAGCAAGAACCTTCATTGTGAGGTCGATCATCCAGGGAGTGCAATTCATGCACTGCAGTACCGTTGTCGCCAGAAGTTGTGAATTCATGTTAGGCTGGTGGAACAGGCTGGGGCTGAAGTACTAGCTTACAATTGGTGTTCCGTGTTTTCGAGGTTCATTTTTCTTTGAATTTGGGGGTGTTTTATTCCGAGTTTATTTTATCCCACGGATTCAGTGTTCTTCAGTGTCAACGCCGGACAAGAAGTTGAGAGTTAACACGCTCGCCCAGTAATCCCCCCCCCCCCCCCCCTCGCACATACTGGGACAACACAGAACAATAACACTCAATTCCTGCACCCTATCGGAAATAAAACTTGCACGCATTACAAAAAGTTTGTCTGCAGGTTTGATAGAAGAGGTATACAGGATGAAAGTTTTTGCCCGTATCATTCGAACCAAAGAATGTCTAAATATCTACGAGGAAAGCTAGTGCACGCATCCCTGCCTGGCAGCAGTGATCAGGAATTTCTATGTCTACCCACTCGGCAAATCATTGTGTCTACCCCCTCCGCAAAGCAAAGCATTCGCAACTTCCAATTCAAGCGGAGTTACGCGCCGAAACACTTTCGCGCCTCATTGTCGCTGGTGAGATTACTAGGTACTTCAGCTTTCAGAAATGCATGGTTCATTATTGTGATATAAAAAAAAAAGCTGGAAATTGTTTCTTAAAACACTTCATACAAAACAAATGGATCTCTCCAAAATCCATACATCCTTTGCTTCTTCGATCCACCTCTCATAAAAAAAAACTTTCAACCTTTTCACCCTGGGAAAGAAGGAAGACCAGCGAACCTGGTCTTCCTTCTTCTTGGACGAACTTGGACTTCTTCTTGGACTTCTTGGACAAACTTAAGGACGATATCTATGACGACGTCTAGGACAACATCAAGGATGACGTCTAGGACGACCTCGAGGACAATGTCTAGGACGGCCTGAAGGACGACTTCTAGGACGACCTCAGGGACCATTTCTAGGACGACGTTTAGGACGACCTCAAGAACGACCTGGAGGATAACATCTAGGATGACCTCAAGGACGACTTCAAGGACGACCTGAAGGATGACTTCTAAGACAACCTCTCGGACAACCTCAAGGACGACTTCTGGGATGACGTCGAGGACGACGCCTAGAGAAATGCAGCGTGTCCACTCTGGTGAGAACCAGAGTGGAAAGGCTGAAAAGGTTGCCGCCATCTATGAGCCAGGCCGGCAAGCCGGTTGTCTGGTTGCCGCCGTCACTCATAGATGGCAGTAGCTGTCCAGAGTTTTGTGTCTACATTTGTTTGGTACCGGACACGATCCTGGGGAACCTAGCTTTTAGAGGGATGGTGAACCGAAATTCGGATTTAAAAAAAAACAAGATGTAGGCGGGACGCTACAATCCCTACAACACTACTAGTAAGGCGAATCTCAAATGGACGGCCATATTTTTGGAAAAAGAAGTCAAGATTGAACCAGGCCGACGAGGCGCGTGACCGTCAAGATGCCTAGTTTCCTCCTCTCTTCGCTTCGCTCCCTCAAGGCCGCGAGGTGGAGAAGACGCGAGGCCGTTCCCTCTCCTTCTCGGAGAAACATGACGTCAACATTCCTTCCAAATGCGCCAATTTCTTTTAAAAGTACGGTCATCCGTTCGAGTACTGCTGTATGAGTGATATTTTGGAGTTTGTAGCATCCCGTTGCACGCTTTTGCTGCGTGTTTTGGGGAATCCAGATTTCAGTTCAGCATCCCTTTAACAGCTCCGCTGTAAAACATCAACAAAAAAAACTGCTCTGTTTCACCATAAAGGGTCCAAGAGGCGTGTCCCTCGGTTCCTCCCAGATGCAACAAAGCAGGTTCTTGCTCGAGGCATTGCAAGCAGGATAAGGAAGAAAAATGTGTCCGTTGTCATGAAGTGTTCAGAACACCAAAAACTATAAGGTATTAGAGCGGATACCCTTAAACAAAAGAAATATTTTGCAATTTCATTTTATGTGCAACGACTTCGAGAACAATAATCATTGTGCGGCGCATGTTAAAATAAGTGCTGCTTCAAACATCGATAAAACTGGCATAAATGCAGATTAAAGTAGTTCATAATTTTCTAACACAACGCCGTTCAATCTGTGCATTGGGTCAGACACTTGGAGTGACCTTTAGAAGTTAAAAAACCAATAGTCGCTGGCAGGATAAGAACGACAGGAAGTGTTTTTTGAACGTGCGTCTTTAGAGACGCACTCTGTGCCTCCCGTCGTGCTTTGGTCGCATGTGCAATCTCGAAGCACACGAGAAGCCGAAGTGGTATCTAATGCAGGAAACTCGTGCTGGAGGCCACCACAAGACCTTCCTGCTATTCTCACCATGTCAGTTGCAAGAGACAGCTTCAGCTTAGTGCTGCTAGTGCAGTGCTGGAAGCAGCACTGTTCTTCCTGATGCAACACTGACTTTGTGCTAGAGTAGAGCTACAGCATTGATACAAATCTACATCAGTACTAAGTTATGTTCAAGCCAGCACCGCATCAGCACAGTTCCTAGAGTTGCTTTAGTGCTGCAACGTAAAAGGTGTCTACAATGGGTCTTGATGAAGCAAAAAAAAGGCCGGAAAAATTGATGCCTGCACATCAAGCTCAAACTTTCCCCGAATCTGGATTTAGGTGGTGCATTTTACCTGATGAAATTTCAAGGTGTAACTGCCTTCCTGCGAAAAATGAGACCAACAAACATGCCGGGGTCAACGGCGGACGTGTCTGCAGACGACCGAGTTAGCGATGGTAAGGAGCCTAAATTGAAGAGATGGCCTTCATCTCAAATCATTGGGAGTGTTTACAATGTTAATGGCAGATGCCTCCTGCATCGATTGGTTAAAAGTGCACATGCGCTGCACTGTCGTGCGGTGAGAAGGAAAGCAGGCGGAAAGGTGGAGACACTCGCAGACAATCAACGAGTTCGTTACCTCCTCGCAGCTTGTATTGCAACCGCGACCTATAAACCACGTGACCCCAACTGAGCAGTTGGAAACTCCCTGTAATACAGGTTCTCCAACCTATGGTTCTAACTCGTGGCGTCATCTCTCAATAAGATCAATGAGCAGACGACACACGTTTTCCTCTGCTCGCTGGTCTTACAAGAAGATGGCGCCACGAGTTACAACCATCGCTAACTCGGTCGTCTGCAAACGTGTTCGCCATTGACCCTGACACATTTGTTTGCCTCACTCTTCACAGGAAAGGAGCTATGCATTGAAATTTCTCCAGGTAAAATGCAGCACCTATATGCACATTCAATGAAAGTTTGAGTTTTCCACCTTTGGGCGCCATTGTTTTAGGTTGCTTTTACAACGCCGAGATCCACTAAAGGCAGAATTAAGCCGGCCTTAAAATGTGCCACCCGTCTGCACCCCGGGCACAAAACGACGGCCTCGCCGTGAATGGCCCACCGAGCTTCCAGGCGACGAGGTCCTCCTTGAGGGTCTTGAGCTCGTTCACCAGGTCCACAAACATGCAGCCGAAACTCTTGGGGGTCGGCAGGTTCACCCCCTTGATCTTGTCCCGGATCAGCTGCTGGTAGTAGTACTCCTGTTCGTTGTCGCAGATTGTCTGCAAGATCTGCGCACAAGGTATACTCTGCTCGTCCACTTCGTTGCAGATCGCCACAGCGCACCGAGTCTCACGGCCATTTCGGCTGTACGTTCGCTCGGCGCTCTATGCTAACAGCATTCTGTAGCTTGGAAGATCAAACTGCTGCCGAGCGTCGGCACTCACCTTGTACTTGATGAGTGGGAAAAGCAACACAAACAGGGGGGTCCGGTGTGTCACAACAAAGTCCAGGAAGCTCCAGAGAGCCAGTCCACCTGAGGAGGGAGACGGGGCATTGGATCCCAAGGCAGTGAGCGCTCTGGCCAGCACCTAATAAGTTACGCTTCAGAGTGACGACACTCCAGCCACTGAATCGGATTGGATCGTGTTGGCCACTCCCTTCATGTCGGGTAAACACGGTCCATGCCCTGCTCCAGCCAGAAGTAACTATGTGGTAACTACATCTCCACTATTTCTTGCTCTGACGCCAACGGTCCTCTAGTCTCCTCTTGGTGCAACTGCACCTAGGTGCAGTTGCCAGGTGACAAAATGGAGGCGCACAGAAGACAAGCGGGGAATGAAGTGTCACTGCCCTAAGCATAGCCTGCTTATTGACTATAACTGGGGAGAGGCAGTACTCACCCTGAAGCCTGTTGCCCAGTTCACGAATACAGCGGGCAATTCTGTGCCAGTCGCCAACCAGTTGTCTTTCGTAACACACTATCAAGATCTTCAGCCCTGTGGAAACATTTTGAAAGGATGGTTTTTAGTTCCAATGTCTATAAGGAGTACCTCAAATTCCTTTGTTTTCAGGCGCATCCAATTTACTCAATTTCGTGAAGTGTCGCGTTCCAGGAATTTAGAGGCATACGCAAACTTGCACCGAAGTTTGCTGGAACTCGCAAGTTTTAGCGGGCGTAAATGCTCCCCTGTAATGTAAACAATGTTAGCAGCACAAAAGTGTTGAAATTTAGAGCAGAGATGCGCAAACATCAGATTTTGGACTGCGAATTGAATATGAATATTAAAATTTTACTACTAATCAAACTGAATGTTTTCAAATACACATACTGTAAACGAGTTAATTTTCGCAAGAACCTAATTTTTTCGAATTTCATGAATTGCCCATAATTCGCGAAAAATAGGTAGGTCCCGCAAATAATTCCGGTAAAATGTAAACACATTAGAACCTATATTGAGATCCCACCATGTTGCGAAAATTAGAACCTGCAAATTTTTTAAAAACTTCAGGTTTGACCTAAATTGAAAAAAATAAGTCGTTTACAGTATTTTACATTGAATCTAAATTGATCGTGGATATATTAAATCGCAGCTGGAGCTGTTTCTCAGCAAGCATACCCATACTTCTGTCCAATAAAAGGAAGTCCCTGATAAAACGTAATGTAAGACTGCAAGCTAAGCAACGGCTGCCTCATTCGTTCAAGAACAGATTGACTCGTTTTAATGCATGAAATGCATTCTGACAGAACTAAACCTCCAAAATATGACCTCCGTTCAATTGTTTGCCCATCGCTGCCTAGGAAACGCGCACGTCAACATCGTCGCTGACTAGTGGCGCACGCCAATGCGCTTTGGAGTGCTGTTTGTGCTACATGAACACCATATGAGCGCCGTACCGCTTCTGTGCCACCAATTGTCAGCACAGCAGAAACTGCACAATGCTTTTTTGAACTACCCCAAAATTATACAAGCTCGATCGTGCCGACAAAGGCCAGGGAGCACCGAATGTGTACCTGGTCTTTTTCTAGCACACAATTCAGCACAGTGTGTGTGTCGTTTGTGCTGGATTTATCTTCTTTTATTATCTTTTCTTTTAAAATATGCCACTCTTGCCAGCACGTTTTTATGCAAACAAAATTTTTACTCTTCCTGAGCGGCTGTGCTACACAGCTCAGTGGTATTCGACCGCTGCCACACCAACCCGGGTTCAAGTACCGCTGAGCATCGTTCTTACGTTAGTTTTATATGGGCATTTGTAAGCTCTATATATAACCTTAATGAATGCTTGTTCATGAAGGTTTTCAACGTAAACACTTAGCAAGAGCCTTTCAGTCAACCCAAGTCAAGGCTCAGGATGCCGAGTCTACCGAAGCAAAAGGAAGAAATTTTGGAGCTAAAGCAAGTGTTCTGTCACGTCAGCAGGCTAGGAGAAGACCCGTGGAGTTTAATGGCGGTGGTGGCGTCGAGTCCGTCGCATCATGCTGCGGCCATTGTGCACATCCTCAACAAAACAAAAGGCATTTCATGGATATGGTATCAAACTTTGGTGCAAAGCATTTCTGTCCAGCACTGTCCTCGAAAATTAAAAGGGTCGACCCGTACCAAAGAAAGCTGACTTTTTTCTGAGCACATCAATCAGCCAAAATGCTGCATGGCACCCTGCTGTTTCTCCACGCATGCTAATCTTAAGAAGTGAAGCGCGATTCAAAAGGATAGGCATAACGCACTGAAACTTGTCGCTAAAAATTGGGAAAGTGTACTGACCTGATCTCGAAGTGCAAGTGTCAAAAGAATATTGTTTGTCATATTTTCTGGATTATTGTCCACAGATTATATGTGCTGAAAAAGTTAAAACTTTACACAGTTCGGACAAGAATTTGTTTTTTCAAGATTGTCTATTATGACAAGACATGACTGCTTTTGTGGATGACAAATGACATTAATATTTCCGCATGATACAGGCTTCTTTGAATATGCTAATAAAACACGAATTTTTCAAGGTGGGCCACGTGAAAGTTTTTTTATGAGCAGACTATGCAACGGCTGCAAACTATAAAGCAATAAATAAGCTCGAGGCACACCTAAGCATTCTTAATGAGTTGTGAATGCGAAAGCATGCAAGCCGCTCGTCCGCTCCTTTTTTCGTCTGCTGCGTACTTTTCGTCGCCGGCCAGCGCGCGGACTCCCCAGGGCACGCTGACCTTGGACGCTCCGTGTTAACGGCGCGCTGATGGACACGCAGCGCCATGTGGTGAGAGGTCATGGAAACTGACACGCACCAGCCAATGGAACTGAAGGTGAAATCCATCAGCTTTACTTTGCTCCTTTGGGATCGGGGAAACTAGCTGCCGTTTTCGCGCTTCAAACTGATGACGTCGGCTCGCTCCATGGGACAGTTAATGCTTTCGCATTAAAATTATCCAAGACCATGGTTCTTAAATGGTGTCCGCGGACCTTTTGGGATCTGCGAAGGCATTCTAGGGGTCCGTGAAACCCCGCCTTATCAGTCAAGCCCAGCAATAAAACACAATTTTTTTAAATTGAGATGAAACATTTCAATTTTCAGGACAGGTTTTTCGCGTGTACCTATGTCAATAAGGAAAGTTTACTTCACACCCCTTAGTTATAGCCATTTATTAAATCATTATCATAATTAACCTATACTTTTCCCTTCCCTTCACCACAGACAGGGTCCTCCATCATCTCCGCCGATCCACAAGCGGTGCGCGAAACATCAATGGTCGAGAACCACTGATCTAAGAAAACAAATAATTTTTAGCTGAAATTTGTTTTTGCAGATATATATACACCAGATGCAGGCTATAGCCCAGAAAATATAATACCTACTTCAATTTAACCTACTGCACATATTTACAGCAGAGCTGTTAAGGGCTAGGTTTCCCAGAATCGAGTCAGGTATAAAACACTAGTCGACAAAAACGCCCCTGGACAGCTACCACCATCTATAAGCGACTGCGGCAAGCACACAACCAGTATGCTTTCCGCCGTCGCTCGTAGATAGCGCCAACCTTTCCAGCTATCATAGAAGAATGGATAGTTGGGCGCGTTGGTGAGAATTCATCGTAGGAAACAGCGTGAAAAACAGATGACGACAAAGAAGAAGCACGCGTAACGAGCGCAGAGGTCGTCACATGTGTTTTTTTCGTCCTCGTCTGTTTTGCACGCTGTTTCCTACGCTCTTATCAGTTTCGGTATGAACTTAGGATGGGTCGGCCGCGTGCCCTTTCGGGGAAAGAAGACTGGCTGCGGAAGGAGCGGCGACGTATGCAGCAGCGCGAATGGGTCCGCAACCGCCGCAAAGCCGCTGTCGCCTCGAATTCCACTGCGTTGAGCGCTTCAGATTCCCTCGCCAAAGAAGAGCAGATCGCTTGCCTGGAAAGCCTCCGCCGAGAACAGAACCAGCGATATAAAGGGCGCCGGCGGGCCAACGCCACGGACGACGGTCGTGCCACAGAGGCCAAGCGCAAGCGCGAGGCCCGGCGACGACTGCACTCCACGCCGGCTAAACGGTTCCCGGGCGCGACGGCCAGGTTCCAGAGGGAGTTCGTGGATTAGGCGTCACGTGCACTGTGTGCGACCAACTCTGGTTCGCCGGAGACGTATCCACGATCGGCGGCGTGTCGGACGAGAAGAAGCAGGAAGTGGGTGCGTGCACGTTGCGGCAGTGTATCGAGTACACAGCTCCGCTGGTCTTCCTTCTTCATGAGAGTGAAAAGGCTGAACGCGTTTTTTGCAGCAGATTTCCATGAATGTTTTCTAGTGAAACCGAATCCCTGAATGTTGTTACAAGGGCCTAGAGTAACCGGATTCGAGCACCACCGATAGAAGATCAGTACTGGTGACCAAAACTCGCCGACACCATGAGCTTTGGGGTTGTGAAAGGAGGAGAGACTTGCCTAGAAAACCGATCTGGTAGAGGGAGCTCCTCAGGCTGGTCGAAGCCTTCTCCTGGGCCGTGTTCTGCTGCGCCTCCGAGGGCAGCTTCCCCACTGCACTCGCCGCCGGATGGTGCTGGTGCTTGTGCCCTCCAGCCGGCGACAGTGCGTTCAGCACCACGGTCAGCGCAAAGGAGATGTCCATCTGGCGCATCTTGGGCACGTCTGCAAGAGCCAAGGAGGAGCTGATTGGCAGCTGAGGAGCACCTCGTAGTCTCGGCATTAATGCAGTAAAGCGGTGAAGGTTTGAGACCTTGTAAACTGCAACGCACATACCGGAAAGTGTTTCGGCATTGTTATGTATCGCTAGATGGCTCAGATATTCTAAAAGTATGCTTAAACTAAAAGAATGTTTCACTTAAAGGCAGGGACCAGCCGAGGGAACATAAAAACAGCAGTATTTTGAGGTGAACGAATAGTTGCAGGAAGATGCCCTGTTGTCGCATTCTGAGGTCTCGTAATGGCAAATTGCAGTCTGGATTGAACAGTCACATGCTGTAAGCAGATATTCACATCCCACCATCGTTTTGAAAAGTATTGTCTTCAAGGGAGTAGACCTTTCCCTGAAAAGGATGCACCAACTCGAAAACAAGTTGCCATAAAATCAGGCAAAAAATTGGCCTTTTTGCGATCAAAACAAGTGGTTTTCATTAGCAGGGATGGAACTGGACAAAGCAGCTTTGGAGCAGTCTAAAAACGAGGTCTTGGAGCAAGTTCGGAGCAGCATACGAGTTTTCAGACATTCAGAGGCTAAATGTCACCTGGTTTTTAAAACTCAAGGAAATATGGCCTGCACATAACTCCATGTGAACTTAACGATGGTTTCAATTAGCATTTGATTTTAAACATTTTTTACGAAATTACATGGAAATTACGCAAAACTGCAGGACAGTGTGACGCGTGATGGAAGCGACTTGCAAAGAGGTAAATATAAACAAACAGGTAGAAATAGCTTTCAGCGTGCACCTTGCTCCGTCATTTGCCTCACTGCTCGCTTGCCTTTGTTACGTTGCCATGTCTTTTGTGCAGGGCATCGGGGCGGGCCATTGCGGGCTTGCAATACACCTTTCCATAAAAGCGTATTAGGGCGCGTTCATTGCTTCGATTGTGTGTTACGCGCGCACAGTTTTGTGACTGGCCACACTAGACCTATTTCTAAACTACCCAAGCATCAAGAAGCATGCAGGGAACGTAGTTACACACGCTGCGCTTGCTCGCCTTTAGCTGTATTAAAGATTTTAAAGAAATCATAATAAAAAGGCGTCTGCAGACGCACGTGTGAACTGCCAGTAGTTTTAGATTTTTGCTTAAAAAATACTACTGCCAACACCAGCACGCGCAGCGCATGTAACTACGTTCCCTGCATGCTTCTTGATGCTTGGGTAATTTATTAATAGATCTATTGTGAGCGAGCGCTAGCTGGACTGTGATTTTTGTAGACAGTGGCAACATCTATAGTCATGCAAGTCCAAAAGGACTTGCGTGACTATAATTTAAAGGGCAACTCCGCTCAGTTCCTAAGATTTAGGGGTAATGAGCGATTTCGAATTAAAAAGCCCTAGTAAAAGACACTACATTGTTTGGTTCACGAAAAATGGAATATATATTTTTAAATCTAATTTTAAACACGAGCGGAAATTGAAACCGAAACTTCGGCTCCGTCTGGCAACATTGGCCTCGGGCCGCCCAGAACATGGCCATCACGTGGTACGAGATGTCACGTGATCTTCGGCCCAACGACGGGCGGGATGGGGGCGGGCGTGTTGCAGGCACGAGCGTCGTCTGCACCGCACTCTTCGCCACGTTTTGGTGTCTATGGCATTCAACGACATCAGCACAACTGCGGCATAAGTCTGCGCACATGGTGTTTGTAGTGTGGACGAAACTCCGAGAGACAATAATCACAAACAGTGAGACGACGACAGTGGTTGTGACGCGGAAGACGGCCGGACGGCTCCCAAAAAGCACGCTGCGCAGGCATGTTACGCCAATCATGTGGACACCGCTGAGCGCCTAGAGGCAACGTTGCTGAAGTCATGCGCTACGCTCGCCCCGAGAAGTAAAAACAAGCAAAAGGGGGCCATGATGATGACATTTAGCTTAATGTTGTCTCCACCCATGCCGTAGCCTTGACTGCGCTGTTGGTTGTGCCTGAATTCGCCCGCTCGAGTCAGCCGATTTTGGTAACTTGGCGAGTTGCAAAGTTTGCCGGACCGTTTAAGAAACATTTAGACAAACTGCGTCATAATATTTGACGTGCAGTCTTCCTAGGTGATACTGAAGAGGACTGCATTGTTTTTTCAAAACCAAATATGAAGTGGAGTTGCCCTTTAAATACATTTAAGTTTATCGCAATATGGCGGTGCTGTTTGCTCCACTATTCAGATGAAGTGACTCCAGGACTTTTGAAATGCACATAGCAAAGGCAGCTATACTTCGTTTCGGCTTATGTCCATATGCAGCCGATGCTACAATCGCCACCACGTGGCCTTGAACAGTGAATGCACAGCACGAGCGCGCGTTCTTGGCAGGAACGCTGAAAATCCGTAGTTCGCGCTTGTAGCATCATCTGCATGTGGACTTCTAAGAAGCAAAGCGACAGCGAATGGCTTCAAAGAGGTCTGGTAGCAGAAGCATCGCAATGAGGGATGCTGTAACACCTGTTCTAAGCTTTCACTCCCTTTGAGCCGAAAGTTCTGATGTCAATGTTGCCAACAGAAACTGGGAGAGGCTAATTTCGATGAGGTTCGTTTATAATTTCAGTTCGTGGTTTCACCTGTTTGCATCCAACAGCTCAAGTAGCTCTCAACTAGTACAAGAGAATGCCCTTCAATTCCACAAAAATGTAGCTTTTTACAGCGGAGCAGTTAAGGGCTAGGTCTAGGTTCCCCAGGATCGTGTCCGTGTATGTCGACACAAACCTACCTGGACAGCTACCGCCATCTATAAGCGACGGCGGCAAGCACACAGTCAGTCTGGTTGTCGCCGTCGCTCGTAGATGGCGGCAACCTTTCCAGCTATCATAGAGGAATGAGTAGTTGGGTGCGTTGGTGGGAATTCATCGTAGGAAACAGCACAAAAAACAGACGACGACGAAGAAGAAGCACACAGTGTATCGAGTACAGCTCCGCAGGTCTTGCTTCTTCACGAGAGTGAAAATGCTGAACGTTTTTTTAATAGATTTTATGATTCAACCGGTCAAAAGCTTTTGAGGAATTTATAAAAATATGTGATTCGGTTACATGCTATACATTGAAGTCAACTCGGGTATCGTGCTCATCCCCAGGAACTCGTTTTGCACATTGTTTTTAGAGCGCAGCTCTTAGGGGCCCGTTTCCGGCTTGAGTGGCGTCGCCGTCAACGTAATCGCGAAATCACAAACCCCCCCCCCCCCCCCGAGGTCACGTGACCCCCTCCCCCGGGGTCACGTGACCTCCCCGACGTAACACGACCACCCCTGAGGTCATGTGACCTTAAGGAGTCACCTATCCCTCAGTACGCTTCCATCCTCCTCAAGAGCTGCGCTCCAACCGGCGTTAAAGGGAATTGTAAACGGCTTTCATTTTTTTTTTGTTACAGAACTACTATGTTTATGTGCAAAATACTACTTGTGTACAGATGAGTTAAGCTTATTTCTAAATGTAATAAGGAAAGACCTCTCCTTCAGTATGGAGAGTATAAAAGATCAAATTTTCTTTCTCCAAATGTGTGCAGACAACACATCAACCCACCTTTAACTCCGCTGCTGACCCGTATGCAGAGCGGAAGAATGAAATTCATCAGAAAAATTTCTGTCTTGTCCGTGCTTGACAGGATAGACGATCCTCCACAGATGCTTTCGAGAGAGAGCGACTCCTGCACCAAAATCGGCCCACGTTAAGATCGGAATGCATATGTTGTGCCAAAAAATAAAAGACGTTTATAAATCTCTGTAATGCGAAACTGGAGGAGAAGGGAAGGGTACGGAGGGAAGGGTATGCCCCTCCTTTTCCTCCGTACCCTCCTCCTCCCCTCCTTTTGTCTTAACTCCTACTCCCACTAAATTTAGCGAGTTAAGTTTCCCCGCCAAATTTAGTGGGGAAATTGACGTCACGTGACCTCAACACCAATTCAGTTTCCCCGCTAAATTTAGCGGGGAAAATGACGTAATATGACTTTCGTGTCACGTCACCCATGAGCAAATTCAGTTTCTCCGCTAGAGCTAGCGGAAAAATTTATGTCACGTGACCTCAACACCAATTCAATTTCCCGACAAATTTAGTAGGGCGGTACGTCGAAGACGACGCCGCACAACGCGGAAACAGGCGCCCACGAGCTGCGCTCTAAAATGCTTAATTGTAATGTGACCTTCGATCGATTTCATAGCCTTTGCCCCTCATAATGAGATAATGATCACACTCTGCAAAAAGTAGCACATTTTGGAAACCAGAGGCCTAGTACATTTTTAGACAATGCTTCACAAACTTTTATTAACATTAACGGGCTGTAGCCAGCACTCAATCACCAAGGAACGTACCATACCAAACTGTATAATCCATTGCCAGAGAAGTATATTGTTAAAATATATTAGCGAGCCCGATATTCTCTGAACACTGCAAAGGAGCTTAGCCAGACGGGTAGTTCACGACACGGCAGCATCATTCAATTAGCCGCCACTGGGAATTAAGAGCAACACTCTTGGTCAGTATTAGCTAACCCATTAAGGAAAACTAGAAATCCTTGCACCCCAACTACAAAGCATCGTATAAAAATAGTGGTTGTAAAATCCTTAACTGCAAACGTTTTTACTTGGCTAGTTACATCTTTATGCATGGTGTGAAGGAACCCCCAAATCATGACTGACACGCTTTCTAAGGACGCAAGTGCCATAGCAACAGTCCAAACTAGGTACAGCAATATGTGAAAACATCTTTGCATTTAGCTCTGTGCCGTCCCACTCTCACCCATTCTTCGCTCGAGCCCTACACTGGTACCACAACAGCCCTAGATTGGCAACATACTGGACATAGACCGGCTCTACAAAGAAAATATGACGGCCCTACATGGTTACCACAGCGGGTTGTTCTACACCGGCCCTGTAGAGACACTACGCCAGCCCTGCACTAGCATTACACCGGCCATACATTTATGTCACACTGGCACTACACTGGCATTATAGCAGCCCTACACCGGTACCACACTGGTCCTAGAATGGTCCTGCCTAGGCACTACACTGGCATTACACCGGCCATACATTGATGCCACACTGGCATTATAGCAGCCTTACAGCGGTACCACACTGGTCCTAGAATGGTCCTGCCTGGGCACTACACTGGCTTCACACTGGCCAAACTACCGCTCTACTGCTCTGCTGTGAGAGGGAAAGAAAGTCACCCCGAGGGCGATCATCTGCATGGTGACGAGGCGCACGGCCACCGAGCAGAAGCCCGGAGGCGGGGACTGAGCCAGGGCTGCGGCAGAGACCGACACGTTGCCGCTGCTCTCGGCTACCAGCGAGGCGTTCTGATCTCCCACGATGATGCTCTGGCAGATGGCGACCAGCGACTGCAAAGGAGCCAACACAGGCCGATCCCGTCCACGCCCAAGCCACTACTTGCAGATGTTCCGAAACATGTTTGCAACCACGTCAGAGAAACATTCAAATTTCAACAACAACAAGATAATTGTTTGAGCTGTCACTTGACACAACGATGAATCCCTGGTTTGCACATGCATTGCTTGAACCCGCACAATCGGTTTGAATCTTTTCTTGCAGGGAAAATGCGGGGCGTGTCTACGTTCAGCACTCAGTAGCTTTGCCTCATTTGCTGTAAAAGCTTTGTTCAAATATCCTGGGTGATTATAACCAGTTGTGGTGGAAAACAGAAGCACACATAAAAATCCAGTCACAACCATGGTCTTTAAGAAAACATTAAACTCCCCTGATTTTTTTTTAAAAACATGCCTGGAGAGAAAACGTATGTCATAATGTATGTCACATACATCATAACGTACATAACGTCCTAATGTATGTATGCCACATGCACGTCAATTTCATGGTTTTATTTCGGGTCCACGTGCCAAAAGAGAAGCTGCATGTTTTGGAATCACCACTCACTCAAAATGAGTCTCATAACATTTTGCAGATACTTTATTTTGCGACATATGTGCCCTATACAGACATTTACGGTGACATGCGACATGTTCTGGATGCAAATCACATGAAAAAAAAGAAAGAAACATGTTCTCGCACGCATGTGGGGCATCACGCATGCATGTGAGGCATGACGTCACCCGTTACGCTTGCTTAGAGAAGGAAAAACAAACAAAAAGAGGCAATGGTGATGACGTTTGGCTCAATGTTGGCGATGCCAACGCCATGGCGTTGACTGCAGTCTTGGTTACTCCTTGATTCGCCCGCTAGAGTCAGCTGATTTCGGCAACCTGGCGCATTGCAAAGTTTCCGGACCGTTTAAGAAACATTTAGATAGAACTAGGTTGTAATATTTGACATGTTTTGTACCTAGATGATACTGAAGAGGCCTACATTGTTTGTTTTTTTAAAAACAAAAATGAAGTGGAGTTGCCCTTTAACAAAAAAAACTCTGAAGACCTGCAAGTGCACTGGACTGAGGGTAAGGCTCTAGAGGAACAAAACGGCTAGACAAAATGTGTGAGCATTCAATAGCCAAGGCAGCCCTCACCTTGAGGTGTGGCAGATGGGCAATGTATGGGTGCTTGAACAGGGTCATGTAGACCCCCTTGAGAAGGTTGCGAGCTGCTTCCCAGTCCACCAGCCTCTGCAACGTCGGGACAGAGTGCTTCAGTATCCATCTTGTGTATTTCTAAGCATGAAATGCTCACAGCTGGCCTTTGGATCATCAACCTACACACAACGCCTACATTCTTTTTCAAGTTCAAGCAGACATTAAAATAGAAGGCAGGAAGGCTAAACTCTGCTTATCTCTAAGTGATTTCAAAAATTATAACCTGGATTTTAGTTTGAGAATTGGCTTCAGACGCTGCTCCAATCTGGACTTTGGCTTGCCTGGCTTTTAACAGAGACGCTTTGGCATCCAGTAACACTGACATGAAAAGGGACCACACAAATTTTCCAGTTTAACGAGATTCAACTACCATAGTACTTTTCTTTGCACGTCCCAGGAACCTGGAAGCAAGCATGAAACCTTGCACCTAATATTACTTTGCAAGCGACTCGGACGGTTGCTTGCAATATTCAGTGGATCTGGTGCATTACCAGACCCTTTGAATTTTCTTTTACCGCAGCCCCCGCTGCAACGCACGCTCTCTTCACTGAAGAAGGGGGAGGAATCGCCCTATGTCATCATTTGTGTATCCCTGATGTGCCAGTGGCAGATGCATGCATCTGGTGCTGCTGCCTGCTACCGTGGCGCTCGTCATGAGACGCTGCAAGACGAGCTTGCGGCGACGCATTTCACTCGTCACTTTACCGCCCTGACCAAGACGGGCAGACGCCGAATGGGGGCCGCACCCGTATGGCCGGCTTCTTGGCGATCTTGGTGAAGGTCTTGTCGAGCCGGCGTATGACCATAATGAGTGCCGGGCGCATGGCCTCCTGGGCCCACTCCGACTGCGGGAGCACCTCGTTGAGGTAGCGCCGCAGGCCCCGGCACGCCATCGTCTGGGGGTCGTAAGGGGCCATCTTGAGCAGGCTGTGGGCCACTTCGGCTAGTCGCTGCAAGATGCAGGGAAAAGCCAAGCCGGGGTGAGTTGGCTGATCGGTGCGGGTATCTCTCTAACACAATTGACCGTTGGGCTAGCTGGTTACCCATCACGAAAATCAAAAAGCGCAAAGCTTGTCTTTGTTATGGGGACTTTGCCGCACAACGTTGGCTCCAAGGACACATTTTTTAGAACCAGCAAAGGCTGTACAACGGTGCTGCTATACCATAGGGTTATCACAGGATTAGTTTCCTACCACGGGCCATTAGCTCACGAAGGAGTACCAGCAGACAGCACTGCTGTTGGCAGTTGAGAACTGTATGCACAGCACATTACTGTGAAGCCCAAAGCCCTCAGACGAGGAAGGTCTATCACAGCGAAAATAACGCGAGGAAAAAAGCGTCTAGAGAGTCGGTATATATCTTGGTGTTCAACATTGTGTGACGTCCTGGCAGAATGTTTGCGTACCTATTTGTGCTGACCTTATTTCGGTGGAGACGGACTTTGACCTTGCATCTTTGAACTTATGCTCCACGGTTACATTTGAGGATATGGGGTGTTTGCTGACCTTGAGAGATCTGAATGGGCTACTACTTTTGTTCTCGTTTAGATTTTTTTTGTCTGGACAAACTTTTTTGTAAGCAAAACAATTTTCTTTTGTTATTTCCATTGTTTTCCTTTCGCATGCCAGTACTTCGATATTGGGGTTGCGGAAAGTGGGGAGGAAATATGTCAGCAAAGTGAGGTGTCTTTCCCTTCTTTGTTTTACTTTGTCATGGACGTCCTCCAACCATATGGTCCATGGCTGTGTCATTCCGGTAGGATGAGTAATGGAATAATGTTTGTGGATCGCAGAGTTCGCGTTTGGGCCTTCGTAGGGGTGGGTGAACACTCTGTGTTTTTGCGGAAATCAATATTTGCCCAAAAAGAGGTGGGCAATGACTCGGGAATGGAACATGACTCTCAATATTACGGTAAATATAAAAAAATATAATTTGGACCAGGGATGGGCAAAATACATGCAAATATGTATCGAAATACCAATACAAAATACTTCGTCAAAAATGTATTTAATTACAAATCTAATTACATTTCCAAAAAAAGCATTTAAGTACAAGATACAAATACAACCAAATGTACTTGGTCTCCTCCAAATACTTTTCCAAATACATTCCTCAAAATTTGCGTCAGCGACTTCAGGGCACCTGCTACGGGTTTCTGGGTATCTCATATTAATTTTGCATCGCACACTCTGGAGTTAGTGTGCGAGGCTCTAGTAACGTAACAGAAACATAATCACAAAAAACTGTACTCAGCTTGGACGTAAAGGTGAAAAAAGTACAGAGCTTCAAGCAGCTTTTTTTGTCGATTACATTTTGGTATAGACCAACAAAGAACCGAGATGACCAAGACGCGCAGCACTAGCCAGAGAATTTTTTATTGTTGCAACTCGCACCAGTTACAAAAATCTGGACGACCCGCGCATTTAGAATGTTCCAGGCAAAAGTATGAATGGAAATCAGGCTGGAAAGCATCACAAGTTGTCACAGGCACTTATTTAACCAGTCTGCCTGTGAACGTCGATTTCGTCACTATTCTTGCCCTGGACTAGCACCGTAACCACGAAGTCACTAAACACTTGTGCTTGATTTAGAGACACTGCATTCGGTGCAGAACATAGTTTTCTTCCTGCTCTGGACACGTCTTAGGATGAGCAAATTGAGTCGTGACAATAAATTTGAAGGATGTATTTTCGCCCACAAAATTGTATTTAATTACAATTTTATTTGAAATACCCTCGTTTTAGTATTTAAATACACACATCAAATACATTACCCAACTTGTAATTAAATACAAATGCAAAATACACAAAGTATCTGAAATATGCATTTCAAATACTTGTATTTGAAATACTGCCCATCCCTGATTTGGACCTTCATTGCACGATCTGACGTGAAAACAGCCTGTATAGACAAAAGCAAATACCAGCCTAACTTTATGACGTACACCCAGGTAGGTAAGGAGCGCAAATTCACTCTTATTCGTAAAGCCACGATGTCAGTAACGCCAGGGAAATAAGTGGAAGCGAATGGCTGGCATAAATCCCCTTGAGGGGCATTTGCTGCTGAATTGTTAACCTCTCATTGACTACAGCATGGGTATTAAAACTGGGCTCCTAGGAGCCATAGGATTCTCCGAGATCCCAGATTTCCTTGGTTGCCCCTGGCCTCCAAGTGTTCTCCCAGTTTAATCAAGCTGTCCACTGATGCATAACTATGTGCCCAGCATTCTCTAATATGTGCATTGTTCTTCACAAAGACTATGGGCTTCTGCGGCACTCCATCGCATCAATGACAAGACCAGGAGGGATTACTCGGCTACCGTGCGACAGAGATAAGAATTTCTCAAGATGAAAAAGTTTCAGAACTCCTCGGGCCTCAAACTCCTTAACACAAAGTTGGGGACAGAGTTTACGGAGCGCACCGATCAAATACTTGAGACAATTACGGCACACTTTTGTCTCCAAAGACCAATCGGCGTGCTACGCCAACTTTTGGCTTCAACTTCGTGTTTGATGAGTCTAAAGCCTCTGGGCTGTGGCAGCACCCCAAACATGCAAACCGAAAAGATACCCGGCAGCTGCGTCCACGTGACGCCACCCAGGATGCAAGGCTCGGGGTTTTTGCCCAACATCACCAGTTGATCCACGCAGCCCCGCCTAGCTTGCGTCAGCAACGCTGCCAGTGCGTCTCGTAACGAGCGTGACGCCAATGGGCAGCGACGCCAAGACGAAATTGACTGCCACTTTTCTGCATCTCTCGTCGAGCATTGGCGTGCCTGCCACTCGGGGCAAGTCGGCAGTCTGCTAATAATGACGTCGTGCAGAGGCCTCATCTTCCAGGCGGTATTGTGCTGCAAAGGAGGACCGAGCGGGCGACCCACCAGGTGACACTTGACGTCGAGCAACTCGGTGGCCTTGCTGGGCAGGTCCGGGATCTTCTTGCTGAGGTCAGCCAGGCGGGCCGAGCACTTGGTGAGGAACTCGGCCACCACGCACAGGAGAGTGTCCCTCGGCTGGCGGAACTCCAGTCGCACCAGGTCGCTGTCCTCGTCCTCCCCACGCTCGTAGCCCAGGGCGGGCTTGCGCGCCCCGTACAGTGTCTCGTTCACAAACCTGCAGGGGAACCGAGCATGGCTTCACCCTAAGTGTCCTAGATAACGAGAAGGCTGCACCAGATTTTTTATTTGACACACCACGGGCCAGCGCAGGGCAGGTAATGCAGAAGCTCGAAATGAAATGTATTGCAAATGTTTGTGTGCGACGTTGGAGGAAGTCTTTATCTATCCATGTCTTTGCACCAAACACAGCACCAAATGGTGGGGTTTTGGCTTACCCTATTTCGAGTGTCGACAGAGTTGCTTTCAGTAGTAAACACCAGAAAGCGTCGTTCCGTTATCTATATCCTTTTTCAGGAGCGAAGCTCCTTAGGGTCTAGCCTTGTCTGTCCGGCGTCCATGCTCACATCGATTGCCATCCCATCTGTCTTCTTAAAAAAAGAAAAAATGTTTGCCCAGTCGACAGGATTCGAACCTGTGCGGGGAGACTCCAACGGATTTCTAGTCCATCGCCTTAACCACTCGGCCACAACTGCGGGACGAGTTGGGGGCTCTGAGATGTGGTAGTAACTCAAGAGCTGGGGTTTCTGTCATGGATGAAACGTTGCATGTAGTTGCTTAACGTCTATACAGGAGAGGGCGCTGCAGTCAAATGCGTATATAAATTGCATTAAACTTTGCATGCATTGGCTCAACGTTTATAGACGAGAGGGCGCTGCGGTCAAATGTTCAACTGTGTATATAACCATGTTCCATACCACACACTCTCTTTCTGACATGGATGAAAACGAACAAAAAGCTCGGCATGCTGCGGCTCAGCGTATCAGCCCCACCAGAGCTTCGCTCCAATCAACATCATTCACCACGTGGAGATGCGGTCATTTTTTTGCTATTAACCCCTTTTACTTCACGTTCCACAGTCACATTCCTGGACATTTGAGTGTTTGCTGCCGTCTCGATCCAAGAGTTGGTTACAGCTTGTGTGTTAGCAATTTTTCCTTTTCTTTGTCTTACTGAAAACGGACTTGCTCAAGTTTGCTGACAAAACAAAGCTTTATTCTGTTTTCTCTTATTGCTCTTCTTTTGCACAGACGTCCTCCGACCTTGGGCTCGCGTTAATCAGCGAGGATGCATAGACAAAGTAAAGTTTGTTTGTTGTGGACGTCCATTAACCTTATGGTCTCCGATTTCAACAACGGAAGAGAATGGGTGTTTGCAGATCACAAAGTTCACGAGGTATTTGAAGGGGTGGGCGATGACTCCAAGTTGTTTTGGAAACTGATTCATTTGCTTTGCCCAGAAAGTCGGGTGTGTGATGGATTGGTGTTGGGCAATGACTTAAAATATTAGTTATTTGTTCAGACTAATAAATCGGGATCCTAATAAAGCGAGTTACCCCGCACATTAACAGGCGATGGCCTTACGAAGCACGAGTGTTTAGCACCTTCTAGACAGCAAGGCCGTACCGCTGAATATTTTATGCTCTACGGGACGCTAGTACAGGGCACAAATCGAGCACAAGTGCTACGTCAATGTTCGGCCAAGACTTGCGTTCAATCCCACAAATCCCAGCTTAATGCTGAAGCAGAAATTGTTTCCAATCTTTGCACCGAACTGACCCCACTATATGACATAAAAATTCAGCAGTATGGCCTTGCTGTCTCGGCTGTTGGTACATCGCGCAAACTGCTGGCATTAAATTATACCGGTTCCGAAATTTGAGTTTAAGTGTGATCAACTGCATTGCAACTGCTTGTGACCGCTTACAATGACAGAATGCACTGGTACCACCTATCGGATTGCTCTGGAACACTTTCGATGTATGCATATTGTTGGTATATCATGTTGTGTTGTTAATGTACATCATGTTGGTACATCATGTGAACTAACACCATGATAGATGGTGTTAGTGTGTTCTCTCGTTGTAAGCTGTTGCAAGCAATTAAAACGGAATCGATCGCACTCGAAAGCATTTGTGCGAGCCAGCCTGGAAGTAGGCACTGAGTCAGGCTTCGAGTGCAGCTGTCTCACCTGGACGGCAGGTCCTCCTCGACTTCGAAGGGAGGCGAACAAGCACCTCGTGAGGCATTCTTGATGCTAGAACCCCTCAGGTCAATCGCTTTCTGAGGCCCCGTATAGTTCCTGCAGAGAACAAGGTAAGAATTAAAACTGACAGGCTGCCTTTCGCCTTGGCTCTGGCTGTTTCAGCAAAATAAATCGCCGAGAATGGGCCATAAAAATTTGCAGTTGCATTTCAAACAATCGATTAAATCGCCATATGCGGAATTGTGTTTTATGATAGATGCAGTGGATGCTAAATCCAATCTTGGCCTTCCGGGCATGCAATGCCATGTCTAGCACTACTACGTCCCCCTTTTGTAATATTCATTTTCTTTTTTCTCGTTGCTTTTTGGAAGCTTTTGCAACTGCCAAACCTTCTCGAAGTGTCTCAAAGTCTTTTTTTCCTGCCGCTTCAATTATTTTTCTTTGCAGTTGTTTTGCGTGATTGGCAGAAGCTTAGGGTACAGTTGTTTGGCAGGTGGCTAAGAGTTAAATGATTCTAAACTTTTTTTGTAGGCATGGGCGAATAGAGCATTTGGGGTCCGAATCGAATTCGAAGCGAATAGTGATTTTGATCGAATAATTTCAAATCGAATAGTTCAAATAGTACAAGCAAAAAATACCGCAAGATATGTTTAAACTATAGTTTTATATTTTCCTTTATTTGGCATTAGATATACTGTAATTGTTAATTCCAAGTGTATTGAGTCCGGTAGCACGAAAGAGTCGAAACGGTCGGAAGCTTGCGCCACCTGGTTGTAAATCCAAGCCAGAGTAAGTCAAACCCGTTTATATTCAACTCACAAAGATACGTCTACCAGTTCGATATAGCAGGTAATTCGATATAAAAGTTTTAATGAATTTGACTCTCAAAAATCCACTTTCTGCTGAAATATTACACAATGAAGTAGTCTTGCATCTTCTGCTGCTTTTTCTTCATTGCAACCGCGATAACAATATTTTTCTACACTATCGACGGACTCCAAAACGCTGAGGCCGTTGCCTTCTATATTCGCGCATTAGCGCCGAACTATGCCGAGAGCACGGAGCACGTCCAACGGGACCACCTTCTGCAGAGCGCCGTTTTGCTTTGCAAGTTGGCTTTCCCCTAAAATGGGTGGTTGTGTTGGGGGAAGCCAACTAACAAAGCAAGCTGGCTTTTATTTTTTTTTTTTGGGGCGGCGTGCAGCTGCACATGCGCACCGCCAGCCTTATTGTTGAATACTTAAAATTCGATTCGAAGCGAATGCCGAATAGAACAGAATTCGATTGGCTATTCGTAATAACCGAATATTCGCCCATCCCTACTTTTTTGCCTAAATTCTGTCTAGAATTTTCCGCCCATTTGTTGTGTTACACAACAAAAATAAAACCACACTTAATTTTCGTCTTTCTGGAGTCATTACAGGGGCCACAGCATGCTCAGTCCCCCCCGCTGTGCACGCCTATGGCTGCCAGATAGGTTAGTTGAAGCTTCCCACTGCTCACTCATTTTTTTTTATGAACTGATGTTATCATTGTTGCAATGAATTACTGTTACTGCTGAGCAGCGCTGTCTCGTTTTTGGTGGATGCGACAAGCTTCAATACACCTTAGTCCTATCAAAATACATTTAAGTTCAATGGTGAAGCAATGTCACTGTGATAATTTTTCATTGGTGAAGAGCTATCCGGTATAAATTGTTATCTGGACATACGACACACGATGTCAACGTGCAGTATGCATTCCCAAACTCGGAAAGTGGGTGATGCAGCCCTGCGTTCATCGGCACTTACCTGGACGGAAGTGGAGTAAATTTAAGACGCCAGTATCATTGGGTTTTGTAAAGAAGATACCAATGCATGGAAGTTAGGATAAGATCCACTTCCACTGAAGAAAACATGTTCTCAAAAGAGCGTTGGAGACCTTGCGGCAGCGTCTCACACCGTTAATGCCTCGCTGGCGAATGTCAGCTTGCGTCGCCTGTGAAGCGGGTGCCTGAAGGCACGATCGAAGAGGCTCATCGTTAAAAATAATTTCTCAACAACAAAAAGTACTTTTTTAATATTTTAAATCTTAAAGGGATACTTCAACGAAATTTGAAATATTCCTGTCGTGTTCAAAAATAGGTTGAATATGATCCACAATATTCCTAAATGACAATCGCACGTTTGTATTTTGAGCCTGGTGGCTGTATTTATCGTTATAAACGGCCCACTCTGGCAAGCGCTCGGAGAAGGCCCAGCGGAGACCACGTTACATCCAACGCAATCATGATGTAGGTCGTCTCAGGACGAGCAAAGCTACGGCGAGGCTGACATCGAGAGGATGGCCTAGTCGTTCCAGCCACCGAAGCGGCTGCTTTTGTACGAATTTTGAGTGACGGGATAATCTTCTGCAATCTTGTAGGGGGACGATAGCGACTTCTGCGACACACAAAAGGCATTCTCGGGAAGAGGGGAGTTCCTCCTGCCCCTCTTCTCTCGTCGTGGCCGGAGGCGAGACGACCTCCGTCACTAGCTGTCAAGGTTCCTGGACGGGCATTACAAGCGAGGCGTTAGCGACATCCACCACGTGCTCTTTGCTAATCGTTTAATTTGTTTCAAAATTCCTTTTCGTGACCTTTTTAAACAAGATATTGGTATGTTCGATGTGATGCTGCTCCTTTGAACACATATAGACCAAAAAATGAGCGCCGAAATTTCGTTGTAGTATCCCCTTAAACAGATGAGGTGAATTAAAATTTTTACAATTTCGAAAGTTCCGGGCAGTGATGCCCACATTGCTTTTAATGCAAAAGCATTAACCGTTCCATGGAGTGAACGGACATCATCAGCTTTGAAACCATGCCAAACGTTGGCCAAACGGCACCTAAAATTCCTTTTCCCAAGTGAAGCCGAATTCTGATGGATTATGCTCCCATTGGCTGGCGCGCATCATCAAGGAACCAAGCTCCCATTGGCTCTCGTGCAACGTAATTTTAAAAAAGGCCTCCATGGCGACGCAGCGCACGCAGCGGTGTGGCCGTCGGTAAGGGGAGGGAGCGGTGGCGGCAGAGCCAGAGCCTGTCCGGGCAGACTCCAGAGTGGCCGCACAGCCGAGCTCAGCGCGGCACAGCCATTTCAGAAAAGCGCGCGTTCGGCCATTCGCCGGCGACATGTGGCCGTCCACGCCACTGCGCTGCAGACGAACTAAGGGAGCGGAAAGACAACATTCATGCTTTTGCATTCACACCTCATAAGAAGTGCCTGGGTGTCCTCGGACTTTTTCTTCTACGATTTGATGTTATTGTTGTAAGCCTTTACCATTAATCTTGTTTTTTGATTTTTGCACTTGTCCTTTGCAATTTGTTTTTGCATATTTTCTTACGGCCCCCCTACTGTAATGCATCCTGGAAATCATAGGTATCAAATAAATAAATAAATTGGGTGACAGCTTGAAACACATAGCCTGATGGTGGCCAGACGGACATATGCAAAGAACCACAAAAAATAACAAAGTGAAAAATCTCAGTAAAAAGTGGGGAGGCGTGGCAGTTCTTGTTTTACTTTTCATCTCAGTTGGTTCCCACGGCGAATTCCACTCGCAAAGTGATTGCTCATTGCCCTATGTCAAACTTGCCTAATTAGTGCAACATACGTATGATGGCACAAAGGTGGCAAAACACTGGCTGTCATTTATTTCTCAAATTTTTGATCTTGAGGAACGCCCATTTAACTTGTTCAGAAGTCGGGGAACCCGTCTGGGTCTTGGCATTGATGCAGTAAAGCAGTGCAGGTGCTTACAGATCTTTTAACCAATAATTCACATACTAGGAAGCATTTGGCACATAGCTCAGTGAAAGGATCAGATTGTCTGCACTAGTGCTTAAATTGGAAGAACACTTTACTTAGGGGCAAGGACCGCCAAAGAAATTTGCGAGCTCGGGGAAGCCCCGAAGGTGCTCTGGGGAATCCCTGGGCTCCGAGGGACCCTCGCTATACATAGTTCCTTCTGAATGTGCGGGTGAGGGGGAGGAGGGCGTTTCGGTTATTAGGGGTCCTCGAGCTGCACGTGGACCCTCGATGAGCCTCATGATGCTCGCAAACCGCAGCTTGGCTACCCATGACCAACCCACTGTATCGATTTTAGCAGGCTCCATAGCGGGAGGCAACATTTCTGGATCCAAGTCAGTCAACGGGCTTCCTAGAATGCCTGGTGCTTTTTCGTGGCGCGTCCACTTGGCGGCACTTGTTACGCTATCAGCAAGGCCCATATGGAAAGGAGTGACGGAACCAGTGGAACGTTGGGATGCCCATCGTCTGCGGTGGAAGGTGGTTCTAGTGTGGTTTTTATGGCGAACACAAAGTTTGCACAAAAAGAGCGTCGTTTGAAAAAGGTTGTTTTCCGTTGTTCGGGAGGAGCTATGAATGCTATCTGCCCGTACCTGCTCACGTTCGAGCAACAAAGAAGGACCGTTTCAAAACGACAGCTGTTATGGGCTCTATCCGCAACTGGAAATGACATCCGTCGTTGATGTTGCAGTCATAATTGTTGCCGTCGTTGATGTTGTAGTCGGCCTAGTAGGGCGTCCGTAGATGTTACCAAATCCTTAAAGATCACCCGCCGCCTGTGGGAATCGAACCTGGGTCCACTGTGTGCAAAGTGGAGACGCCACCACAGAGCTGCGCCGCAACGTTAACCACCCACTTTAAACTTGGGGTTCTTGTAGTACCCAGTGCCCACAGCACGTGCTCTCTGAAAAAATACTAAGGAAAAGCCAATAACAATATGCCGTCATAACACCATCAATGCCAAGACCTCGTGCCGGGATACACGTTTTCACAAGCTCCGGAGCAAAAAAAGAAACAAAAGCATTCGGAACAAAATGGTCAGATGCCTATTTTGTTCCGAATGCTTTTGTTCACACATCCCATGGTGCGTGAACATGACGCTGATGCCCAACGACTTCGCCGTGACGTGTCCCAACTATCGTTGTGACTGCGCTGTCGATTAGCGCGGGACTGCTCAATGTTTTTTTAACGATGCTCTTCGTGGATCTTGTCATCCGACAGATTTAAGAGCGTCGATGGGAAGTGCCCACCTGGTGAGGGCTTCACAGTTGCTGATGAGTGTCTTCATGCAGACGGACACGCTGTGGATCATCTGCAGCTCCGTGCGGGGACCCCCAGGCGTTTCCTTCCTCGTCGTCAGTGACTGCAGATGGTGCAGGTAAAAGGGCAGCACCGCCTCCAGGATTGTCTGCGCATCCATTTCAGCACAGTAAAATACAGGTGCCATCAGAACTTCCTGGGTGAACTTAAAGCAGCGATAAGATAGAACTTGCTACTGCTCGATGTAACAAAAAGGCATAGAAATTAAGATCGAATGCATCGTATTATGTTTCGGTGCTACTAAATGTCTCCAATCTTCCAGTACCCCTAAGGTCTTCTACAAATCGCCCGCACGTGCAGACTACGATTTGTGAAGTAGATGGCATTTTTTCTGCCATAGTTAGTCCTATAATTTCGTCACTTGATGGTCCACGAAATGTGCAGCTACAAGAAGCTGAGGAAAACTAACGAGTCTTTCAAAATGTCAACGGAACCCAACGATAGGTGTGTTAGCTGGAACCTGCCCTAAAACACAGAGCAAGTTCCAACCCAGAATTTGGAGGCAATCTAAAAAAATTGGGGGATGGGAGCTTGTCAGGTCTACAAGCAAAAATCCAGAAGATGCACCGACAGGGCGAGCTTCGCCGCTTTGCACCAGGGTGCTTGGCGAAGCTGCCAACGAGGAGGAGCAACTCGGTTAGCTATGCTCCATTTCACCTTACGACAAACCGCAGCGAGTGGTACGAGCTATCCCAGCCAATCGAGCGCTGCGAGCGCACCCCGTGATTATGCACCCCCTCCGTCGTCACACCCCTCCCAAATGTCAAGTGACACTTAGATGGAACCAAACCAGCTCCAACGGCTCGTAGCATCTGCTGCGAACCGTCGTAAGGTAAAACAAAGGATAGAAGGACTAGGATGTCTGGGGTGGGTGCTAGATATGTCCTTCGGTCAGCTTTCAAACATTTTAGAAGTGGCAGCTGGGCACTATATTTCTGACGCGGGCGTCTGCTCAGTCTTTTATGGCATCACTATGGCGGCACTACGATGTTTGGGATGCGTCTTCGACCGGCGTGTTTTGCGACCTATATTGCCCGTGCATCCAAAAGGGATCCTGAAGTGGCAATGTATTACGTCGCAGGGGTCTACGTGTCATGCTGTCAGATGTCACAATCCTGGTGGTTGGGCTTTGCTCAACTGCACAGATTGAGACATCCAATGGCACATTCTGGTAAAAGGTACGAGCGAATGCGAGTACGTACCACTGTTGCCACAGAGTCTCAACTTTTGGCTGCTCAAGTTTCCACAAACTTCAGACCGGACTGCGACCTGCGGCGTAACTGGCGTTTGCCGTATACGCCTCCACTGGTCTGCCACCGCCAGGATGGTGGCAGGCAACGGCACGAAACTTCTACGCCGTCGTTGAGTGGAAATTGGAGGACCACATTCGAGAGCACGGTAAATTCACTGGTCCTCGCCATTAAATTGCAGATGCCCCCCGGTTTCAGTTCCTCCCTCCGTTCAATCCAGACTCTCTACCCACTTTTACGTTATAAAAAGAGCCGATTAAGCGTCAAAGGGCACTTCTCCGCCTGAACTCGGCCGGTGCAGCCACTGTGCCCCAAAGCAGACGGTACTCGTCAGAAACGCGAATGGTATCGAGGGCCTCCAACGCCCACCAGCATCTGGTGTCCCCGATGAGAGTCCGAGGCGTAGGACACGACGGTGACGCAGAGGGAGACAGCGTCCAGAATGGTCAGGGTGTCCGGGTCCATCTGGTAGCAGAAGTCCAGTGCCCGCAGGGGCTTCTCTGCATCCACCAGCTCCAGTATATCCAAAGGGTCTACAATGTACTGGGCCAGGGACTGCAGCAGCTGGAACAGGGCCTTGGGCTGCATCTGCGCACAAAAGGGCACTCACTTCATTTCAATTTATTGCTCCTCAAGGCCCAAAGGCATTACAAAAAGAGGAGCAGAGAAAAAATATTGGACAACAAACGACAAAGAATAAGTTACCGTGCTTATTCAAATATGTCACCTTTTCTTTTTTTCATAGAAATGTCAAAAATTAAGGGCTGACCTATAATTGCAACCAGAGAATTTTGACCTGCATTCGTGATAAAATTTTGCGACCCTGCCGAACGCATGGAGCTATTGGGTAACCGAGCCGGTGTTGCCGTAGCGCTGTTCGCGTTGCTTCTTGTTTCAAGAAGTTTATGGTGCACGAAAACAACCAAAACTGCAGCAGCCGGCGGCCTGTGATACGCCGTGGCTGCCACTCACGCGCATCCTTCGAGCATTGGGTTTCTTGCCTGTCCCCGGCCGGCGCAGCTCGCACGTGCCCCTTGCAACGCATGGGGGAAGAAGGGGGAGGGGTATGTGACACACCCAACGGCCCAACACGCGCCACGCTTGGCCACGCATCTTGCCCCCTCCCACCCTACCCCACCCCTCCCTCCACCCTTAATCTCCCACCCCCTCATGGATGTGCAGCAACACAAAATATGGAGGTTACTTTCGCCTCTTGCAGCTCGTGGCGGCTTGTGGCGTTGCTGACGTCTTCGCATTCGGCCTTTCGTCGCTTTCTCCATTTCCACTTCTTTCGTTTCTTGTTGTCGTAATTTTGCAACAGTGTCAGTGCTTTAAGGCGCATTCACACTGGCGATGCAATCAATTTGCGTGAATACTTCCATCGCAAAAGCGACCATCACAGAAAAAAAGTGATGCAATTTTTTTCCGCAACACGACTTTTTGCGATGCGATCTAGTTGCGGAGCGGCTAAGCCAATCAGCGGAGTTTTAAGCAAGAGTTTTCAAGAAGCAACCTGCCAACGAAGGTGTTGGACTCGCTGATCGCGCACGCCAGTGTGACCACCGTTACTAGATCAACTCAGTTATGGAACTTCCCATAGACGTTGTACATTGGAGGGGGTCCGAAACCGTGTCCGATTGTTTTGCAGCTAGGTGGCGCTGCCGGCGCATCATTCCACGTGTTTTCGTCTGCTACTACTCCGCGGCTGCTTGCGAGTCCCGACTCCTCTCGGGGTTCAGCATGGTTTCTGGTTAATTTTTGCCCTTTCGCCAGTAAAAATTACAATTTGAGCATGAAAAGCGCTACGACCATTTTGGCACACGCTTTGCATTATTGTAAAATGCTGCTGCCTTAGCTGTGCTGACAGCGCGAAGCGTTTCGAGGAACCCAAATCCGTCGGCGCCACAATCCGGTGGCTACAATCAGGGCAAGTTTGTACATACTGTAATAGTAGATGTGCCGATGACTACCAACTGCAGCAAAACAATTTGAAAGTCGTCTGCTACTGTCAGAAAAAGCGTCACGAACATCCGTAAGCTCAGTAGGCCAGATGCAACGGCCATGACGGCCATGTACGATCTTTATGGCAACGGCCACAAGTGCGCTGTCAATGATGATGACAGCGAGTATTAATGCGGAGCGCGCGCCCTCTAACAGGCGCCACGCAAAGGGACCCCCCTCCCGAGCGGAGTTCCAGAACTGAATTTGTTCTAATAACGTTGAGTGTGACCACCGAATTTTTTTTCGATGCGATCTAGTCGCATCGCGCGACTGCTTTACATCACCGGTGTGAATGTGCCTTTAGACGAAGCTTTAAACGGCGATGATGTGCCCGGAACTTCTGACGGCAAGGAAGTTTTCAGCGTCACGCTGTGATTTAGCTGTAAGCGCTGTAAATAAAAGTTTGTTCAATTCTTTAGCCGAAACTTTTCTTAAAAAAAAAAGGCAAGCCTATGTTTGATTTTTTTTTTCCGGCGATTATAAGGCATTTATTTATATTCGGTGTCAACTTATATTGGAGTAATAATGGTTGGCAAAATCAACAAGAATATATAATTATTAATGGCAGTTCTAAAAAACTCAGAGTCCCAGTAATGTGATTACTGTTCTGGAACATACGGGGGATGAAAGACGATTGAAACATTGTCGTGATCGAACTTGGGATGCCGACCTTGTGCTGATGATCGAGACGAGAGAAAACATAAACAGGGCGGTCATCAATGGGTCGCGTGGAATAAAATTACGAAAAGTAATTTTATGAAATAAAGAAAGGCGAGCAACTTTTCGGCAAACGAACAAGGATGACAGTGACAGGGTGATTTTCATGCTGGTGACGCTAGCAGTGCAGTGGCAGTTTGTAAGAATAAAATGAGCAGATCTGTTCTGGATGGCTTTCAATGCAAGAATGAGTGGCTCGCCCATTGATACGGGGTTCGACTGCCACCGGCAGCACTGGCCACCTCAAACTGCAGAATTAGGTTTAGTTTCATCTTTCAGAACTTAGGGTTGCACACCATATAGCTAGGGTTTTGTTTAAGCATGGGCTTCCAAACTGAGTTCCTAGGAACCTAGGAATTCCCCATAGTACCCTCATGACGCATAGTGCGATTATTAAAATTCTCTAATAGTAGTTTCGAATAATACGCTGCTCAGTATCCGATTCGAGATGAACTGCAATATTGGTATTTTTTTTAACTATTAATTGCAGTGAGTTAGCCCCGTTGAGTGTGCTTCCTACAGCAACTATTGCGAGGATTTATAAATCCTCGCAATTAGGTATAGCCGGACACCTCTATTGGTTTATTTGTAAGTCAAGTCTGTTGTTTACTTGCCATCCCAACGTAGGCTTTGGACTTTCTGAGCCATGTTTTATAAATCTAGTTCAATTAATATTAACTTAAAAATGGCCAAGTGGAAGGTTAGGGATAACCTTCACTGCTTCAGCTGAGTTTTTGTTTAGGCATGTTGCAGTAGTGAAAGGCTTGGAAAAACTATTTGATATTCGATTCGAAAATACTCAGTCAGAACTACTATTCACTTCGAATCTGCTTCGAACTCAAAATCTACTATTCACACACGCCTACCCTCATAGTGTCTTTGGCTTTCAAATTTCTAGTTTAAGTGTTAATTTAGCAGGCCTAAGCCACCAAGTGATGAACTATGAGTGAAAAGCTAATTAGTGTGTGCATTATTGCTTCCGAGTTCTGTAAGCTTCTGCAGCGCTATACACAAACTCAACTCTGTTATGTCATGGCGCAGTGGTGGCACGTCGAGCACATTTCCGGTCTGGGGCTGTGGGTAGAAGTCACCATGCGAGACCTGCATCCCTTTGTTGTTTTAAAAGAGACCAGATAAAACCTGCCTTCTTGTCAAAATGCCGCAACTGAGGCTCTACCAAGAGTAAAGAAAGGTTTGAAAGTCAGTTTTCATGTGCTTGGTTCGTCCAAGAACGTGGATATGTGCCGTGCACCATCGGATCACGATTGCTTGGGCGGGAAGCACACTGGGTTAAATTCACGAATACTTCTGGTCATCAGATTTATTTGTTTTGTTCCAACATGAATGCGGGAAAACCGTCAAGTTGTACGGACCACCTGCGAACTACGTTCAGTGCGTCTTTAAGTTCAAACGGCCACCTGATCGTTCGAACTGTCGTCTGCTTTTTCAAATGTGTCTGTTGGTCGTTTGCTCTTTCAGACGACACCGACCCGTAGACCAAACGTTGGCCCAGCAATTGCGATAAAAGTGCAGGTCTCAAAAGACTTTTTAAGTTTGAAGCAGGCTCGGTGTAAACAGTAGATACAAAGAGATGTTGATCATTGTTACTAGTGGCCACCATCGACTTGTTATTTCTGATTCACTCGGTCCAATTCTGGTTACGATTTTCAGTATCCACGTCGACCATCCCAGCTACGGTTTACGCTTTTGGAGCCCGAGCAACGTCGCGACTGAAAATTGCGAGTGGAATTTCATCATGCGAATCAGGCTTTAGCGTCTAGCTCTTGTGTTCCATCCTGCTGCTACGCAGACTTCCACGCCTGCGACGCTCTGTTGTTATCTTCTGTATCCTTTTTGATTTGGCACAAGTTTGCCACATTAAATGTCAAGTTTCTTTTGTTTTTGACCGCTTCATCAATCATCATTCGTGACGCAATGCTCTTTGAAGTACTTGCCTTGTTTGCATCTCCGAAGTTGCTGTTAACATCAAGATCCAACAGCGGTGCAACGCTACCAAACATCTGCAAAAGATGCAAGATACAAGGTCAAGAAGTGCAGAAATGCACATAAAACGAATCAATGCAAACGTTTTTTTATAGCTTTGTGAGAAAATGCAAACCTGGAGAATGAAGGGTTTCCTGTGCATGATATAGAACTGCTTGCAGATGAACTCCACTGTTCTGCACAGCAGTCCATTGGTCTGATGGTTGGAGTAGATTTGAAGGATAGTCGGCATAATCAGCAAATAGCTGCGAGGAAAGTGGACAATGTTTGATTATGCCTGTTATGTGCACCAGGTTAAACAAAAAAAACACAAATGTGATGCGAAAATATCTTGGACACTTAAAGGTTTTGAAATAAAATATTTGTTACATCGGATGGGAAAGCTTTTATTTTTAATGTGAATTTCCACGTGAGCTTTCTTATAACAAAAATTTTTATTGCCAAAGGTGCATTCATGCAGTAAAAAGTGCCCCTCTTAAAGTGAAAAGCATATATTTGAATACCGTAAAATAGCGCGGAAGTACCTACTTCGTTCCAGACGCCCACTATTAACGTTTCCCAAACTTTGAATTTCTTCAAATTATTTGTTAAGTGCCTATGATTTGACCAGGGTCTTAATGTAATGTAAATTAATTTTTATGTTAGGCCATAAAGTCACTATTTTATAAATGCAAGACTGCATCACGCTTGTATATTCACATTCACGGGTGCAGCTGCATCTAACTCCCCATAACTCGCATTTATATATTTCTAACAGTTCACATAGAAGGTTAACGCCTCTGGGGTGTACATACTCGATCAAGCTGAAACTTCTCATGAACATGAGCCCATATTTTAGTGTTGAGAGAATATTCTAATTTTTGAGTACAGTCGCCAACCGATTTTTCAGACTTTGCAGGGACCGAAGAAATGTCTGAATAATAGAGCAGTCCAAAGAATCAGCAGATTAAAAGCTTGTCTTTATTACATCTAAGCGGGATTGAAAAAGCCGTTAATAGTGCCTTGTTTCAGGTTACGCCTGTGGGCCTTGTTTCAGGTTACTCCTGTTTGTGTTCGGTCTCTTTCTATCAGCTTGAGAATTGCTGCCTTCTTTCCTAGCATTGTGGTCAAGCGCTTTCCGCATTTCTTAGCGACACTTCGCAGTGGCAGAAGAACAGACGGGGCCATGACGTCCAAGCCTGCGTAGTCCGAAAACATAATTCATCGAGACAAGATGAGAGGCGCAAGTCCATGACTGCAATGGCGAATGAACAAAGCGAAATGGTAACACTGATGTTGATAATGATGCACAGCAAGAGAAAAAGAAGCTGTATAGCATCACCTAGCAGAAAGACTTAGCAGTACTCAAGCAGCGCTGCCAAACCAAGCCAATCCATGTGCAGCCAACATAGAATCCAAAATGGTGGCTTCTCGGTGGTGTTTCCTGCTGACTGCTTGCGACAATTTTGTCGAAAGAATTGAACTTTCGGACTTCAAGCTGACCGAAACATTGGTTGTGAATATGCATTCATTTTATCGGGAAGGTCGCAGTTCCTCCTTTAGGTTTGAAATATCTATTAAGTCCGAATTATTGGCCTCCGAAAAATAGGTCAGCGACTGTAGTAGTTTTGAATAATATGCTGTTCAGTATTTGCTTCGAGCTGAACTGCAATATTAATATTTTTCGAAGTGTTGGTCGCAGCGGGTTAGCCCCGTTGAGTGCGCTTCTCACCGAGCACCGGTGCGCTGCAAGAAAGCAATACCCGAAAAGCCCGTGAACTTTGCGGGTATGCACCGAGAAACTGAGGGGGAGGAGGAGACGCTAGCAGCCGTTGCCTACACCGCACTCGTCGAACGCATTCGCATCTGAGAGCCAGACGTCGGACGCCGGCGTTACACGTTCTAATGCGTTCGTTGAGGGCGGTGGAGAGAAGGACCGCATTTGTCTGCACTGCACTCGTCGAACGCATTCTAATGCGAAAGCCGGCGTTCTGCGTTATAACGCATTCAAATTTGAAGTAGAAGTATGCATATAGCAAGCAGATTTATAAATTCCTTCGATTAGGACAACTGCGACTTTAGATGCCACAGTTCATATATACAGTGCAGTCCACGTATAACAATAATGACAAAACCAAAAAATACAATCGTTATAACCGATTATCGTTGAATCTGGAATAGAAACTGAAAATACAGTTAGTGTGCAAGCGAGCTGGTGATAGTTAATCATGACGTTTAGAGGCCGAGACTGTGGTGAGGAAAAAATAGGAAATTTTGAAGTCGAAGAAAAAAGGCACAGAAGAAGAAAGGTACAGGAGAAAGGCACAGGAGAAGCTGAGCTTTTCTACTCTAGAAACTGATCGTTATATGCAGTTTATCGTTATATCTGGTATTGTTATAAGCGGATTGCAGTGCCGTAGTTATATTAAAATAACTGAGCTCTGAAGGGGAGAAGTGAAAGGTTGAGAACATCCTTCATGAGTTCAGCTGAACTTCCGTTTAAGCAAGGTGCATAGTAGTGATAGACAGAGAAACTATTCAATATTCAATTCGATTGACCAAACCACTATTTGCTTCGAACTCAAAATTCACTATTTCCGAACGATTGCCACATTTACATCAAACAAAATCCATAATGCAGATCCATAGGGAAGCATAAACACGGCATCCATTACTACAAGCATCACTGACGAGCAATGCGCCTCGTGTGAAAGCAGAATTTGCGAAGCCGAACTTGACAAGTAGTAGACAGTAGTAGAAATAGAAGACCCTCTGTATGAAACAGGGCAATCGCAGATGTAGACGAGGTACAGCGGCGTAACACTACATATTAGTGCAAACAAGTGATTGCCCCTCTTCCCTCTCTTCTCTTAGAAGTAAAAAAGCTGCAACAAAAACTGTTTGTGTGGTGGGAAGTCCTCATTCAAGGCACTTACCTAGGCGGTAATCTTTGGTGCCCACCAACACTCTGTCTGAGTGAAAAGCTGAGAAAAGTGCCGAAGTTGTGTTTGCAATAGCAGCGTCGCACAGTGCATTACATCCCTACAGCATAGGTTCCCAGACTCGGCTCCTAGGAACTTGGGGGTTCCTCGGAGTACCCTCATGAGTTCCCCGAACCCCCAAATTTCCTTGACCACCCCTGTCCCTAGTAAAGCATTCTTCCAGTTTCTTCCTTATTTTAATGAATCTGATCTACTTACTGATAGATAACCATGAGCCAAACATTCCCCATTGTGCACATTATTCTTCGCAAGGTCTGCAAGCTTCTGCACTGTGACCATATGACTCGAGAGCGCACAACGTCAAAGCGCCAATGGGAAAGAGTGCGACACAAAAGCGCGTGCCATTGGAGAACGTGACACGAGAGTGCGCAACCAGTCGAGTGTGCGTTTCGAGAGTACATGGGCACGCTATGGAAGGTTTCGAGGATGGTATTTGCAATTATGCAGCCACCCAAGCCAGTGTACCTCAGAGCTTGCTATTCGATTAAAGATGGCAGCATCCAAGAGGTCGTGTTATGCCGGCTCGACAGAAGTGTTGGGACAGTTCTGTGTGGGTTTTGTTTTCAGAAACGGTGCTTTTAGAAACTCTCGGCACAATGATATCTTGTATAATAATAACAAAAAAACTATTCATGTACATTTATATTTAAAATTGATTTCGGATGTATTTTCTGCCAATTAGGTATGAGCAAGAATTAAAAATGCCTCAAAGGTAACCTGATAGGGCAGAACGTAAGGGCGGGAGTGAGCTGGTGTATATTAAACATTTCAGTGATAAACCCGAGACTGAGGTATTGGCAGACGACAAGGAAGAGAAGGAGAATGTCTCGAACACAGCTGTGTTTGAGACATTCTCCTTCTCTTCCTTGTTGTCGTCTGTCATTACCCCAGTCTCGGGTTTTTCACTAAAATGTTTAACCTCATAGGTTATGGCCACCACCAGATTTCGACGCCTATTACAAAAAGATACCCCAGTTTGGCTAGTAATAACTCAATCTAACAACCTTGTCACAGCACAGGCAAGGGTAGACAGAAAGAGATCCTGGCCAGAATGATCCCGTTCAAAATGATCCCGGACAAAATTACGCAACGACATGAATCTTAGTCCATAGCGGTGGTTCTCAAATGGGGTTCCGTAGAGCCGCTGGGGTCCGTGAAGCCATTTTAGGGGTTTGTAAAGCCCTCACCTCAACTACGCCCTTCCCTCTTTTCTTTAAAAAAAAAAAAAAAGTTATTTCCGAACACTGGCGAGGTGGTGCTAGTTACCACCCATTATAAAGGGTATGTCCTTACCATCTATCCATCCATTCATCCTTTTACTTGACGACTCTCACTTTTCCTGTCTATAAAAGTAAAGGATGGAATTTTTACACTGCAATCAGTTGTCTTATTTTATACCTCCCCCCCCCCCTTTCCCCTTCCCCCGCTGGCATGGGGTCTCCCATAACATCGGCAAGTCCCCAAGCTGTCTCCGACACATCCATGCTTGAGAACCACTGGTCTATAGGGTTAGATTCGGCCATCTTTCTAACACATCGTACGATTCCATCTTGCACGTAACTGCTGTCACAAAAAAAAAATTTTTTTTTTTTTTTTGAAATGTTACAATTTATTTATTGGCCCCATTAGTGCTCTCGTGACTCAAGCTCAACTAGTTGTGCTCTCTTGTTGTGCGCCCTTAAGGCACTTTTCCCTGCACTGCTGCACTGCATCAGTGCTGAAACTAGCAGGGGTTTCCCAGTTGCCATTGAAGGCAGGTGGGGGTCCCTCCAGATCTAAAAGCTCGAGAACCCCTGCCCCACAGCACCCAGAAACAAGTAAGCAAGGTTTATACTGAAGCAATGGTGAGGGTGCAGGCTAGCTGGTGTTTTGTCCCTTGTCCGTATCCCCAGTCTCGGGTTTACAACTATGCTCAAGGTTTATATTGTCTCCAGAGGACAGCATGGGATAAACCACGCAGACGAAACGCCCAGGCAGACGAAATGCTCAGAGAGCAGGCCTCACCCATTGGAGGCAAAGATGTTCCTAAACTGGTGTGCCGCGTTGATGTAGGTGGCCATGCAGAGGCGGAGGATGGTGGCATCCTCCGGGTGGAGCACCAGCGCCCCGTTGACCACGTTGAGAAACAGGTGGATGTCCGACGAGTGGGCGAAGAACCCCGCCATCGCCTCGAACATCCGAGCCATCAGCTGCAAGAAGGGCGCACGGCCATCGTCGTAGAGGCAAGCGAGGTGGAGAGAGCTTTGGTGGCCAACTGAGGCACATGTCTCTCGACCCGTCGAAACAAGGACGACCGAATGTTTCCGGAGTACCGCATTGCATGGCGTCCCCTTGAGCTAATCGAGCTTTCTGATTGACGTATGCTGGCTATGTTGAGGTCGAGAAAAAAGTCGGCAACAAAGCATTTAGGAGAGAGCTCTGAACAGGTGGTGAATTAGAACAGCTCAGTATGAGACGCACATGGTCGTTTCTGCTAGGGCTTTTTACATCGATGTCCACGCAACCTGGTCCTGATGTAGAAAACCCGAGACTGAGGTAAAAGCAGGGAAACTTGGTGGAAGAAGGAAGACAGGGGAAAAGAATGTCTCAGAGACGTTTTTGAAACATTCTTTTCCCTGTCTTTCTTCTTCGACCCAGTTTCCCCGCTTTCACCACAGTTTCGGGTTTTCTACATCATGATCAACATCCACCAGCTCACCTGCACACTCACTGTTTTTTCATCGATAACCTGGTCCGCCAAAAAAAAATGCCGCCCCAATTCAATTGCACGGGGCCACCGTTTTGCAGCCACCAAGCTCAGCTCCGAGATGTGGTTCTGACACGTATCTTGGAAATCTTTGGTACACTGGAAACAATTAGTCGCCCCAGTTGACACCATACTTCGGACACTCCAATAGACGACAGGAAACCAAACAAAGCGTGCAAGGGGGAGAGTGTTGACAAGAAAAAGTTAAATTTTGACTCGGCTTGTACGATACACTCCTCAACACCCAGCCAACAAAATAAAAGTATGGCATGTCTGTGAAACGAAGTACAGTTTTTCTAAACCCTCAGCCAGGAAGGGGTAGTGTTCTTTAAAATAAGCAAGCCATAGGAGGGCTGCACTCTCATAAATTAATTTTTTCAATAAGTAAAAAAAAAAAACAGTTTCTTGAGAATACTACTTGGGATTTTAGTGTTCACTGGAACACAAGGCATCTGATACTAGAAATAGAATATTTAAAGTATTGCTATGTTTCTATTTTCAATATTAAAACAAAATAATCTCTAATTAATTTCACGCTATCCAATAAGACAAATAAAACATAGTAAAGTGCCCTAAGAGTGCAAGAAATACAAACGCTTCATGCTCACTTTCACCCAGACCATCTTGTGCAGTGTATCCATTCCTAGAAGTTCCTGTTGGAGGCAGAGAAGAAAGAACCAATAAAAATAGGCTCCATCATTCTCACCAACCCTCCTCATTAACCATGACAGGAGCTTGATTTGTCCTTCTCGAAAAGAAGGGCTCAAACTTTAAAGCGAAGCAGAAATAATGTCCATTATGTCTACGCGCAAGGTGAGAATACAAAATGTTCAGCGTCTTTGGAGCTGCACTCAGCGTTTATTTTTTATGTTTTCGAAGCTCGGGAATGTCTCTCCCGACTTGTCCAGGTTCGATTCCTCTAGCAGGATGCATAGATTTCTCTCTTTGTAACTAATTATTATTATTAATTACGGACATCTACTTTATTAGTTTTCATTGCCAAAGTAACTGTGTGACTGTTTTTCGTACGCTAGCTACGCTCATCTCGGGATACGGGCCATTCGTTGAAAGACAATCCATAATAGGGCAACTCACAGCAGGGCAATTCGTCACATGGGGCGATTCATCATAGGGATATTCATCACTGGGACAACTTGTTGAGAAAAATGACCACATCTCCACGTGGTGAATGATGTTGATTGGGGCCAAGTTCTGGTGGTGCTGACGATATGATTTGGTTTATAGGTAGTGCTGATGTCAGGAAGAGAATGTGTGGTATGGAACGTGGTTATATACGCATTTGAGCATTTGACTGCAGCGCCCTCTCCTCTATAAACGTTGAGCCAATGCATGCAAAGTTTAACGCGATTATATACGCATTTGACTGCAGCGCCCTCTCCCGTATAGACGTTGAGCGGCTACATGCAATGTTTCATCCATGACATCCCCAGCTCTTGAGTTACCACCACATCTCAGAGCCCCCTACTCGTCCTGCAGTCGTGGCCGAGTGGTTAAGGTGATGGACTAGAAATCCATTGGGGCTTCCCCGCACAGGTTTGAATCCTGTCGACTACGCAAACACTTTTTCTTTTTTTAAGAAGACAGATGGGATGGCAATCGATGTGGGCACAGATGCCGGACGGACAAGGCTAGGCCCTAAAGAGCTTCGCCCTTAAAACCAGAAATAATGTTTGAAGCTCTTGTTGCTCGTGTCCTAGCTTTTTTAGCGTTCAGTCTTTTTCGTTATTCAGCTTCAATGTAGTGTCATCTTTAGCCTTTTGTTTCCTTTTAATTTGATAAACATTTTAATTGACCTTGAAAGCATAAAATATAAAACTTTCTGGTCTCCTTTGTTAACTACCTCCAAGTTTTCTCAGTGCATGCATGACACAGAGACTGCACACATGCAATACGGAAAGAACGTAGCTCGTCCACGGGCATGACACGGACCAACTGCGCATGTGCTACACGGAAAGAATGTAGCTTGTCCACATGAGCGACACAGACTGCACATGCCCGACCATTTGCCATCCATTTTTCCATTATTGACTGAAAGAGGTGCCAAGATTGTGGTGGACAAGACATAATTAGTCAGTGTCTATTAGAAATTAGTAGAAGTCTCAATTCTTGCGTCGAGAAAAAAATAATTAAATCATGGAAGGGGGTCACTGGTTATTGTACTCACTTGGAAGAACTCAATAAACATCAGAAATGCTACAAAAATAATAAATATCTGTCACTAGTTTGACGAATTACCATAACGACAAACTGCCCTATGACGTATTGCCCTATGTGACGAATAGCCACAGCTTTCAGTTGACGTGCGAAAAATTGTTGTTCGACGAACGGTTCTACAGCCGCTCATCTCATAGAGACCAGCCCAATAACACATTCAAATTTAATAATGAGAGCCAGTCAGATGACGGAGGCAAGCTCACTTTTCCGAACTTGCCGGTGTAGAGCTCGAAGTCAGCCTCCAGGGCCTTCCGGGGAAACGAGGGCAGCTTGGTGAGCTCGTCGTGCAGGAACAGGACCCTCGGCGCCAGCTGGTGGCTGGTCCTCAGGATGGCCAGGCTCATCAGAACCTGCCACACGAGACCAGAAGTTTAATAGGAAAGAAGACACATGCCTTGTGACCTCGCAAGCTGCAATCTCACAAGGCATGCACTGATGTCTTCGTTGTGAGTCAAGCATGACCAAGACACCAGTGCATGGAGGAAGACACCAGCGCATGCCTCGCAACTTCGCGAGGCATGCACTGGTGCTTTTGTCACAAAACGAGCGCAACAAAAATACCAGTGCATGGAGGAAGACGCCGGTGCATGTTTCGTGACCTTGCGAGCTGCAACCTCGTGAGGCATGCACTAGTGTCTTTGTTGTGAGGCAATCACAACTAAGACACCCTTGCAGTCTCAAAGGGCATGTACTCCTGTCTTTGTTGCGAGGCAAGCGCAACAAAAACACCAGTGCACGGGGGAAGACACCAGTGCATGCTTCGTGACCTCGCAGACCACAACCTATCAAGGCATGCACTGGTGTCTTTGTAGCAGGCCAAGTGCCACCAAGACACCAGTGCGTGACTCACAACCTTACAGGGCATGTACTGGTGTCTTTGTTGCAAAGCAAGGCAAAGAAAATATCAGTGTATAGAAGAGACATAGAGTGGTGTCTTAGTCGAGGGGCAAGCGTGACAAAGAGACCAGTGCTTACTTTGTGGCAAGCACACACCTTATGCTTGCTTCATAACGAGCGTATGACAATCCACTGGCCATTTTGGGCCGAAAATACTGTGTTCTTTTACATTTTCGTGCAGCTGCCAAGCCTCCAGTATCCCTACCATGTCAGACCGTGATGCTGTATGCTGCCAGCTAGCTATTGCAAACACAAATGTCCCAAAATCTGACCTACCATCCTATGGAGACGCAGCTGCAATCGTGTCTGCCACGAATAAAGCTGTGTTTTTGGCTGAGATTGAGGTTATCAGAAACAAATGCAGCCGGCCAAACACAGTGCTGGATGATAAGGCAGCGACTCACGCAAAACCTAAAGATGTGTGACAGTGCAGTATTTTATTAGAAAATGGCTAATGGCAAGCTGAAGTGTGAGATGAAATGCAAAAATAAATGCCTCAGGGGATGGCCCCTAAGCATCTCGTCCAACGTCGCCATGAAGTGTGCACCACCCTCAAATTTTCTAATTAAATGACCTTCCCTGGTTTGCACGAACTATAAATTTCCCAAAAGATTTAGTGAAACAAAATGCATTCAACCTGACTAATGACATTACCGTAAAATACCGTGGGAGTGCCCACCCCACTTTCATTGAAAACTGTTTTATTCTAGACATGGGCTCTTGTCCGGTCAAATCAATAAAAATCAAGACGGCTAATAAAAAGCTTTGAAGGCAAGGTGAACGGAATTAGAACGAGCAAATTTATTGTTAAATATTATTCCCGCCATTGCTGTTGGTGGTCTTGTGGCTGCTGCAACGGAATGGATATGTTTGACATTGGAAGGGGTGGGCGCTTAACGTATGATTTTCAGAATTCCCAAGTTTGGGAAATATTAATAGTGGGCACTTGTACGAAGTGGGCGCTTCTGCCAGTATAGACCATTCCATTTAGCGCTCTCTGGGCGGCATCATTTTGTTCGACCGCAGCGCCCTCTCCACACATGCGGGAAGTTCAGCGGGTCCGGCGGGGTAAAACGAGAGAGAGGGCACGCGCCAGACTCCGCTAGCAGACGACAAACCGGGAGGTTGCCGTTCCCCATCTTTGGGCTGTATCGGCGGGCTCTACCGAACATCGAACTCTCGCTCGTGGCTGCCGTTGTGAAGTGGTTTGCGTTCTTAGAATAGCTGTGGCTACTCCAAAATCAGCCTATAGCTCTATGTTGTTCTATTTCGCTAAATCAACTAGCATATCCTTTTTCCGTTACTTAAATAGCAGTTGAGTCAGCCGGCAGTACTACCCTCAACTACTGCGTGTATTGCAGCAGGAGAGCACGTTTTATTTATTATTTCAGACTTCCACTCATGGTCGCTAAAGGCCTACACCAGTACAAACTTTGTATATTAAAAAAGGTACAGCAACCGGATTTACTTTTCGCCAAAGAGACCAACCAATCTGACACAGTTTTCCCTATTTTCTTTTTTATTTGCACGCAGGTAACAGCGCAATTGGACCCTGTGAGTCTTTTTATCTAGCATAGTATTACACGACAAGTGGCATACCAAAATCTGCGTATCTGCGCTTGAAAGTTCTAAAATGACGCGATTTTAAAGAGTTTGCACGCCAGCCGGACGCTAGCTACAGCCCACTCGGCGGAGTGGACGACATGCGGGTGAGAGGGGGAGTGCATTTTTTTTCTCTTTTACCCTCTCTGCTATGACCCTAATGGAACGGTCTATACACCTTTCCAAGAAACACTCGACCCAGAAGGCAACAAACCGTTTTTGAGCCCAGTCACTGGGTTTGAGGCTAGACTCTCACCGGCGTCCCCACTAACTCCAAATAAGTGGACTGTGATTTCAATAGGCGCAGTTTCAAACACTGCTGGTGGCTAAATTCTCGTCTTTTCCCACTGTATTTTGTGTTTCATGGTGTATGTATTTTCCTGACGACATTAAGACAGCATTGCACCCCAATTGAAAAAACAAAAAAGCAAAAAAAAAAAAACTAATCCATTTTTGTTGGGTACTCTTGCGACAGAATGAATGCAAGTGGAATGTTAGTTGTAGTTTTTTTTTTGTGGTAAGTTTCGACGGCGCCGTCCGATCAGCCACTTGTCAAACGACAAAGTGCTTAGCTGTTGAAAGTAATTTACAACAGGAGATAGCCGAAAGACATGCATTTTTCATGCTCACAACTAACGAGTTTACAGGTGGACGGGACATGGACATACAATTTAGCAAGTCTTAACATTTGAACAACATACTGATCGTACCACACGAGGCAGCATTATTTAAAAAGAATTTATTTGAGAAAAATCTCAAATAACATACCGTCACAGCCGACGACAGTCATATCTTGACGATCAGATAAAATCGAATACGACTTCATTTTGGGGCACGTTTTGGGGAGAGCTTCCTTTTTTCATACCAGCATCAAGGCAAAGGAACAGGCGCGACTGACTCCAATCCGAACATCTCTTTTTGGCAATGACTGAGAAGGACTCTACGTAGATTATTGCTGGGAGGAGGGAGAAAAGTTGCCATTGTTCACAAAATCGCATCGAGGGCCGTTCGACGTCCTTCCCCTCCTTCGTTTCCCGTGAATGTAGAGCAGAAATCCATGAATGGCAGGCACTCACCAGCCCTAATTCTCACAGTGGAAAATAACCCAGAAAGAGTATGCAGCATGCATCAGAAAAATTAAGTGGAAACTTTAAAGAGGGGCCAGAAAACGTTTAATGCAAAAACGCAATACACAGGTCGAGAATTGCGCTGAGCGGGTTTCCACAGTCCAAGAGAGTGGAAGAAAATTTCTAGCTGATAGAGGGCACGAGAGTCGCACCAGCCACATCAGCAACATGACGGCGGCCTAGGAGCGTGTTTTGGAAAGGTGTATACAGTCGCCGAGCGATTTTTCGGACACTCATAATTCGGACTTGTTCAATATTTTGGACCTAAAGGAGGAACCGTGACCTACCCGATAGAGATAGTCGAACCCGGATATATCGAATTCAAAGGGGATCACAAAAATAGTTTGATATATCAATAATTTGATATACAAAAATATGTTAAATTAAGCATGAGTTGAAATTTCCTGGCATTTCTGCTAATACCGAAGGTCACAATAAACGGTAGCTTACCCAACAGAGCATCCAAGACCTGCTAAATACAGTAGAGTGTAGCTGGCAAAGACCGCAAACACCACCGCGCTTACACGCGCCCGGCCGGGACCCTCCACACAGCATAAACGGCTAAACACAAAAATAATTAAAAAAAAACAATGAAAGAAAAACGGAAAAGCAGGACCCACAAAAAAAAGTTGAAAGTCACAAAAAAGAAAGCTCACTAAATTCAGGCAGCAAAAACAGAAAAGAAAAAAAGAAGAAAAAAAAATGGGTAAAGCAATAACTGCTACCTTCCGACTGTGGGCACTCCTTGCCCTCCCTACGTGCATGCATGTGCCCTTCCCCTTGCATTTGCCATCCTCCACTTTTTTTTTTTTTTTCTTTCTACAGTTCATTGTTTTTTTGTTTTTTTTTTACAACTGCTCTTTCGCTGCGTATCTTACTGCATGTATACTGGCTTGGCGGTCTGCAAGCCCCGCAACGCAAGCAATGTGCTCGCCACCGGCGCCATTGGATCGCGGGAAAAGCCATGGGCAGCCGGGCTTCATTCGCTATATCGAGTGTTCCCGCCATGGGAGTTCAATACGAAAAGACAACGCTCCTATAGTTTTACATGTGATTTTGAAAGGGATGTTTGAACTGTTTGATATAAACAATTCAAAATACCCCAGTGTGATATAACTGGGCTCGACTGTAGTGCATAATCACGACCAGTGTTTCATAGAGCTTAAAGATTGATCAATAGTTAGATTTTTTGGACAGCGAGAACCACCCCTGAGAAGCCGCCATTTTAGATTCTATGTTGGCTGTACATAGAATGGCTTGGTTTGGCTACGGTGGCTAGAAGGTTGCCGTAGTTCGGCAGTTTCTAGCCACCATAGTTTGGCAGCGCTATTTGAGTACTGCTAAGTCCTTCTGCTAGGTGACTCATTGCTAGAGATTTTTTTTCTTTAATTGCCATCATTATCGTTATCATTGTTACCATTTTGCATTGTTATTTCTCCATTTTGCAGCCGTGCACTTGCACCTCTCATCTCGTCTCGGTAAATCATGTTTTCGGACTACGTTGACTCGGACATCATGGCCCTATCTGTTCTTCTGCCACCATGAAGTGACGCTAAGAAGCATGGAAAGTACTTGACCATAATGCTGGGAAAGAAGGCAGTGATTCTCAAGCTAATAAAAAGTTGCCGAACACAAGACAACTTTTTAAGCCCGCTTAGACATAATACAGTAAAACCTCGTTATAACAAAGTTGAAGGAGCGGTCGTAATTATTTCGTTATAACCATTAGTTTGTTATAGCCAATGTCCATTTTTTCCCACTATTAGCAAGCAAGGGGAATTATGATTGCTTTGTTATATCCATTAGTAGTTTTTTATATCCCATTTTGTTATAACGAGGTTTTGCTGTAAAGGCAAGCTTTTAATCTGCAAGTTTTTCGTACTGATCTATTATTCTGACATTTTTTCGGTCCCTGCAAAGTCCGAACAATCGGTCGGCGACAGTATTACGGTAATGCGAGACTAGGTCCACATTTTTATGCATAGCATTGAGGCACAGCAATGAAAAATATTTAGGCTATTACATCAGCATGCAAGTAGATAATATTGTTCTATCATACTGCTACTATCCTACCGACTTTGCTTATTCGTTGTTGTGTAAAACACTCGCAAGGTATTCAGCAATGCCTCCGAGTAGCATCTCGTATTATTAAAACAATGCAGAGTTAGACATTCTTCACTACTGCCACAGTTCCAGGACTGCAGACCTGAATGCATGTTGACATTGCAGCATACAGTCAAACCCGGATATATCAAATTCAAAGGGGATTGTAAAATAGTTCGATATATCGATAATTTGATATACAAAAATTTGGTAACTTATGCTCTAGTTGAAATTTCCGTGTGTCTCTGCTAATACCGAAGGCCGCGACAAACGGGACCTTACCAAATAAAGCCGCTAGATACAGTACAGCTTAGTCGGTGAAAATCACAAACACCGCTGCGTTTACACGCAGTGTTTGTGATCGTTTACGCCTGGCCACGACCTCCAGACAGCGAAAACAACAAAACACACATATAATTTAAAAAACAAATGAAAAAACAAAAAAAGCGAGCCGTACAAAAAAAGAAACTCTCGATCCATAGAATAAAGTTAAGCAAGCAACAAAAAAGAAACCTCACTAAATTCAGGCAGCAAAAAAAAAGCAAAAAAAAAAGAAAAAAAAATGGGCAAAGCAAAAACGGCAAAAGAAAAAGGTAAACAAAGATTAGGCGTTCAAAGGTGTGATTGCTCAACTGTTGTTGTTAACACACCCGACTTGACGAAAACTTTTTTTTTTTTTGTCTATTTTATTTTGGGGCTAAGGAGTCGGGCGACAGCGGTGTTCGGGGAAAGAGCGCACGCTACCGTTCCAACAGCGAGCATTCTCTGCCGTCCCTACAGGTACACGTGCCCTTTCCCTTAATTTTGACATCCTCCACCTTTTCTTTTTTTTCTTTTTCTTTTTTTTACGGTTGTTTGTCTTTTTTTTTACAACTGCTCTTTCGCTGCGTACCCGTGCACGTATGCTGGCTTGGTGGTCTGCCAGCCCTGTAACACCGAGCTGTGTGCTCGCCGCCTGCGTTATCCGACTTCAGGAGAAGCGATAGGCGGCCCTGCTTTGTTCGCTATATCAAGTGTCCCTGCCATGAGAGTTCGATACAAAGAAACAGCGCTCCTATACTATTACCTGTGATTTTCAAGGGGATGTTTGGACTGTTTGATATAAACAATAATTCGAAATACCCGGGTGTGATATAACCAGGCCCGACAGTATACACAACATAAAAAAAGTTGACTGAAGGTGATATAAACATAATATGCGCAACACTAGCAATGTTAGTAAAGCAAACAAGCTTCACGACTTTAGAATCAATTATGTGACAGCGAACTACCAAGACCCTTTTCAAATAAGATCCCCATCAAACGAACACAGAGAGCCAAGAAACTCTACCTTGCCAACTTCGACGAAATGCAGGTAAAATGCCTGCTGCTGCCCCGCCTGGAACGCTTCCTCCGGATCCATTTTGAGGAGGGTCAGTTGAGGATACTGCGACCGCTTGAAGAAGTAGAAGTCTCGGACAAAGGCGCTGGGGTTGTGCATCTGATCTGCACGGGCGAAAGAAAGAACGCCACGGAGGCGGTAAATCTCAGTGAACGTGGCAAAGCATTTCCGCAGGGTCAAACTACAGCCACTATGATCACGGACGGAATGAGAACTCGTCCCGTCAGCGACTAGTAATAAGGTACACCTCAGAGTACTGACTCCTTGGCCATCTCATTCCTCAAATAATAGTACAAAGTTGTCAAAGGTTTCATCTGAAATGCCAGGAAACAGTTTTCCAACCTCCAGAAATGTTACAACAGTCGACGACAGAGCTAAACAGTGTCGTCCGAGCTCCCCGTCGTCGTATCTGGAAGTCAAGAAATCGCATATTTGAATCTGAAGTAACAGCTAACTAACAAAATGGCGGCGCCCACGAGATTATCGGGAATTTGAGTTCCGACACTCTGGAGTGTAGCTGATCTAGTGCCCATAGGTCAAACCAGACTTTGTGCAGAGACCTCACACCAACTTACTTGTCTTGGTGTCCACCAGAAAGAAACACTTGTGCTCGTTTTCTTCTATGCTGAAGAAGTCGAGGCTGTCTTGGAGGATGTGCAGAAACTGCGTGTCCTGCCAAGACCAAGAGCAGCGTTAAATCTTTGAGAGTGACTCTGCAGCGGCAAAAAGAGGCGGAAATACGGCCAAAAAAGTAGACACCTCGTGAATTGGGAACTGGGAAGGTATCCCGCCAACGTCGGGTCCGTGGACGATGATCTTTTTGGCGCTCGGGACGTTGGCCGTGATGAGCAGAGTCGCCTGCAGTTGCAAAAATGTAGAGGGTTCGGAAGAAAAAAAAAAATAAACAAGAAATGCACATTAATCTGTGAAGTTTAAAGAAGGCCCATAGATTTTAAATAACAAGAAAATGGTTTTAAAAAAGTTCTTCAAGGTTTCTGAAGTGCACCTAAGAATAGTAGTACACTGTGCTTATTCCAAGGGCTTATTTCGAATAACTAAAAGAAATTGGTAGACTTACGGTAAAATACCGAGCATCCACTCACTCCACAATACGCACCCACCCCTCAATTTTGTAACATTCGAAAAATACACAAAGGACGTCTTGACAAACTGTTGACCTAAAGAGCGTCCATCCTCCAGTTTTACATAATTATCTCTACGAGTGGGCACTCGCTCAGAATTTTACGTTATATATACTTTGATCTAACAATAATTTAGACTTTTGTTTTGTGCATTGTTTTTAGTAGTTTTTGTTTGTTTGCTTTCACAATTGATGAAACTTCAGCAAAGAATACCCCCAAATGTAAAAATAAAATGCTATTGTTGCATTTTCATTTACCGTAGCATGTCAAAAAGTGCTTAGCACCATTGCACAAGTTTCTCCTGTACAGCTTAAGCATGGAGATTCACAAACCTGCAGTGCCACATCATGTGCACATATGTTGCACTGCAGGTTTCATCAGGAAAAACACACAATCTCTCCTAAATCAGGAGCCCATGTCAAAAACAAAAATTAACTGTCCAGAGCCATCTCAAAGGAAAACTCTTCAAACCTTTCGAGGCAATGTTTGATCTCAAATTGAACTGTTGTTTCATGATGCATCCTGCCAGTTGTTTCAAACATACAAACTGTTTGCAACAGTTGCAACACAGCAGCAATAAAAAATTTTAAAGAATAAACACAAATTTTGATTGCGAGTTAAAGTGTTAATGCAAGCTCTTGCAGAACGTCGACCTTGAGTGCCATGACCGCCGACATCGGAAACATTTATTAAAAATTTTATATATAATTTTCATGATAACTTAAAAACTTAACAGGAACAAAAAACTGTATATAAGCTTTTTCAACCACAAATACTAAGAGACTCTCCTTCAGCTATTCTGCTACAAATATTGCATTTGACTGCTTATCAAAAAGCACTGTCCATGCAAGTGCACAAAAGCTAAGCCAAAAGGCAACTAAGTCGCTAGAAACTGCTGGACTCACGTCGCACTGCTCCTTCCTCAAGACTTGTTTGAGGTCTTTGAGGTACAATCCATGGACACTCGGCACAACCTACGATTGGAGAAAGTGGTGCAATCCTTGAACGAAGGTGGCGAGATTTCAAGTTCCAGAAAAGCATCCCGCACCAAAGGTTCACTCACCAGCCAGAGTATGGAAAGTGCGTTAGCAATGAGCTCTGTGCCACCTTCAATGGGAGCTCGGATGTAGAACATTATGTAGCCAACCTAGATCAACAACAAGAAAGAAAAAGTATGTTTATTAAGAAAGCATACCTGAAACCAATTTTGAACGTGATTCCAGAGTCAAAAATACTAATTCCGCTACCATGTATAGATTTGATTATATGTTACACGTGCAATTCACAAAGGTTAGCCCCAATGTGAAATCTCCACTCAAATGCATTTCACTCGTATACGTTTGAACAGTTATATACCTAGAAATGAACCGATAAATTGCAACCCAAGACTGTTTGGTTCTTCGAAATAATTTTTAAGCGGCGACATCGGCAGTCTGAAGAGAACGAACAAGAAAGAGAGCAACGGAAGACAATAAAAAGAAAGCAAAAGAAAGGCTGGGCAAGGCTGTTTTGCCACAACTTGTACAGGTGGGGCGTTTTCTCGCAAAAGGAAGCTAAAAAAAAGGAAACTAGATACCGACCCTGCAAGCGACATTTTGCCACTTCTTTGCGTTTATTAAGGGCCCGCCAGCAATCTGATCCCGCCGGGACCACTGGCATCTGCTTCTGCCATCAAAAGGTGACCAAAACGCACGGGAAAATGGTGGCCCTTTCCCTCTAGCTTTTGTGGGAACGTGTTCCCCGTCTCCCTATCCGGGCCTAGCACGTGCAGGCTGTGGGGACCACTATGGCGGCGGGCGGTTTCCTGGATATGAGGCGAGGTCGCATTCCTCGAAAAGGGCGGTGTCTCCCTCGCTCTTTTGGGTGAACGTGCCTCTGGCGCACTCTTGGGAATGATCACGGACGCAACCCATCTTCGAGATAAGCCAGACCACCTACCCCAGGTGCATCCATTTCCCGCAGGCTAGACCAGCCGGCCCGGAATCGCTGACCGAGTCTCTCGCTGGGAGAGGCTCGGTCCTCGGAGCCGCCACTTTCTTTTTATAGCTTTCCCCTTCCCACGAATCTGCCTAGTACGGTATCATGGGCCCCTCTGGGTGAATCTGTCGAATATGACGGCGCCGACCTTTTTAGTCTTTTTTTTTCTTCGTTGGCCGACGAGCAAAACGAGCTGGCGTATCTGTCAATAAAGACATCGTTCTACGGATCCACAATGTAGGAAATTGCGTACCGCCGCCGATTCTCCATTTCCCACATGGTCCGTCAACAACCCGAGTCCAGCCTGGTTCTTTCCCGGGAGCAGGATTCCGCTCCCAGTTTATTGGCACAATAAAACACAACGCTACAAAACACTCAATCTAAACTACAAATACAAGCTACATTACACAAATATTTTCAAACGCACGTTAAGCCCAAAGCTAAACACAAAGAAGGTCCCCAGGCCTTGTGTCTCGCGATATCCTAGATCCGGTCGCCACCCACCTGCCTGCCTGCGTCTCGGTCTCGTCCGGAGTTCTAAGAGGCCTCTCACCCACTGGCCCACCGAGTATGTATCTCGATCGATGGGCGAGGAAGTTTCTCCTCGCCCGCCACGGGGGCGCCTGCAGCACCATTCAGCGGCTAGGAGAGAAAGCGGCACGTCGGGAGCCGAATTCGAGATCCTGATCGACTCCACGGCGACACGACCATGTGATCGTGTCTGAGGCGAGGCAGCTACATAACTGCCTCGCGGCCAAATTGGCAGAGTGGTTTGATAGGCGCCCTCGTGAATGCATGGTGCGCCATAAAGACATCCTGCGCTCCTACGCGGTACCCATTAAAGAGGAATTCACACTTTACTGTACAAACTCTGTAGACGACTGAGGTGACACGGTCGTGGGGGGAGAGAGGCGAAAAAAGTGAACGCCTCTTAAATGAGGCCGTAGTGCTGGACTTCTTACATTAGTTGCCCGAGGCCAGCACGAGGCACAGACTGGATACGACTAAACGTGGGTCCCAGCCGAATGCCGACACAGCACTCGCGTCTAATTTGTGCCCCTCGCTGGCCTCCGGTAAGTGTTGTAGAAAATCCGGTGCTGCAGCCCTGCTCCACCCGGGGGGGGATGTTGGAAAGGGCTCCCCGTACCAGGTAGTTGTAGAGGGTGTGGGCGGCCTGGGCGGGCAGCCGGGGAACGAAGCGCAGCAGGCGCCTCAGCACCTGGATCACCGTGTCCTGCTTCTCCCGGGTCAGCCGCTCCAGGAAGTGGCGCAGGAACAGCGCCGTGTCCTCCACCAGGCAGCGCCACACCACCTGGTACGCCACCTCGTACACTGCGCAAGAATGAGGCCGCGGCAACACCGTTTATCCCTAGGGGGGGGCACTGGGTTCCTCACTGTGGGTGCTTGCCTCGGTCGGGTTGTCGTGTGGGGTCGTAATGATGCACCCCAGTAGAGCGTCCCAAATCCCGGAGCGAGCCACCTCGGTCCGGCATTTGGGACAATCCCGGTGCAAGCCACAATTCAGGAGAGCGCGCCCGTGGCCGTCGGCCGCTACTTCAGCAGTAGCGAAACATGGCCGTCCATGCCACTACGCCACAGACAAACTGAGGGAGCGGAAGAACGACATTCGTTCTTCTGCTCCCCCAAATGCACCTTGCAATATTCAAATTCCAAACGTATATATCTGAAATTGGGCATGCAAACTTAGCTTCCTAAGAAGTGCTATGTCTATTTTTTTCACAGCTCGAGTCAGAGGTGATAAAATATTAAAAATATGGGGTGAAACAAGGAGATGCCAGGCTCTTTAAATCGGCCGGAAAATTTGGTTTCTTAAACTATCACGCTACGACTCTGTGCAGCGTTCCCCACAGATGGGGCATTTTTTTTGTTAGATTTGCGAAGAGCAAACTTACCTGAGGAAAAAGTGAAGAAAAAAAAAGGCTTAACTCCTATGGAAACGCAGCGACGCCACCGGTCTACAAACCACACGGCGCCGTTTCGCACGGGAGACAAGAGATGGCGCAAGCGGTCGTAATGCCAACTGCCGCCAACGAACGAGCAGACGACGCCGAGAGCCAGCCCTTTAGCGGACAAGGAACTGCAGTTCCTTGTTGTTACCGCGCCTGTTTTTGTTTCTGCGACTGTCGCCGCCTGCGGAACACGCGCCGCTTTTGAGTCGAAAAGATTGTCTGCTAAAAAGACCTGCTCTCGGCACCGTATGCTCATTCGTTGGCGGCGTTTGTTGCACCATCTCTTGTCTCCCGTGCGAAATGGCGCCGTGTTGTTTGCAGACCGGTGGCGTTGCTGCGTTTCCATAGGAGCTAAGCCTTTTTCTTTCTTTACTTTTTCCTCAGGTAAATTCGCTGTTTGCAAATTTTACACAAAAAAAAAAGCACCATCTGTGGGCAACGCTGCACAAAGTCGTAGCGCGATAGGTTAAGAAACCAAATTTTCCGGTCGATTTAAAGAGCCTGGCGTCTCCTTGCTTCACCCTGTAGAGCAAAAACGGTGGCAGTGCAGTTGCTATGCCCTATACCGGATGTTCTTCTGCACATTGGCTCGTGAGCTTGCTCCTGGGTGGTCATTGGTCATATATTTCATTCAAAGTATTCATTATTGCGATTATCTTGCTCATCCCCAGCCTCCGCTATCGCTTTTTAGCATTTTTGCATCCAGCAAGCCACCCGGGAGCGAACTCGTGTGCAGACGACAAACAGGCTAGTATAGGCCATAAAAAATATATGGCCTCTGATTTTGCTGTATTTTTATTATTTTACTACCTCAGAATTAAGCTCTAAATAAAATGGACATAAAACTTTTGGAGAAACTATGTTTATTATGTGCCCAATTTCAGGTATGTACATTTAGAATTTGAATTTCTCAAGACATGCATATTGCGTTAGTCCTTACGTCTGCACCCCGTACATTTACCCTTTGTTTCAGTAAACTATTTTTGTTGACTTCCCACATCCTACCGCAACCCAACGTCTCGCAGCATCTGCTACCGTCTGCTGCAGACTGCAGTTTTCTTTCGTGGGTCAAGGGTACTCAAACCTTCTGCCCTGAGCAGAGCAGCCAGGGAAGCTTTCCTTTCCCACTGACATCCATGCAACTAAGCAATTACAAGTCGTACAAACCCTGCCGATTTGTAAGGGTGCACGGTATGGCACCTTTCAAAGAAACCGAGCGGAGTCCATTCAAAGAAGCGAAACTTTACCACAAAGTTGCTGCAGCAAAAACGGTTAGATACGAAGGTAGTTAAGTATGTTATCCACATCAAAAGTTAGGAGCAATTTCCCAAAGATCCTTGTTGAATGAAAGGTTGGCATCCTTGGTCAGCAACAGATGTAAAAGCTCGCTACTTAAACACCATGGCTCGTACAAGTGGCTCAATTCTGAATATTTATGACAAAAAAAAAAGTATCGCAATGCTGAATTTTATATTGTCCTCTCGAATGACGGAGTCACAGTCGTATACTTCGTTCCACCATAACTTGACAAAGAGCAAATTCTACGGCTCCTTCGGGCCAATTAGAGTGATGGATGCGATCCACCTGAAAGTAGGGGTGTGCAAATATTTAAATTTTCAGATATGAATTAAATATGATTATAAAAAAAAAATTATTATCGAATATGTTTCTACCATCAGGAAATAACAAAAGGAAATATGTGAATACTTTCTTCATTACCTTAAAAACCGAAAATGATGTTACCAAATTCAATTAAATGAAACTATCTGACCAGGGAGCGTAGAAACAATGCAACTGGTAACACAGCTATTTTAACTTGACTAGTAATCACCTACAATGCCTACAACGCTTACAACAAGAGTAAACAAAACTGTGCATGTGTATCTGTTATTTATCATACAAACTGGTAGTAACCTTTTTAGGAAAATGATTGGAATTACCCTTGACTAGCCAGCAAGTCGGATATCAGCTGCTAACGCAAGTAGTATCATAAATTATCATGCAAGAAAATTAATTGTTCCACATGTTCAGTACACAAGCACTCCCTTTTCAGAGTGACAACTCCATTTGCACCAGAAAATATAAGGTCATTAGAAAAGTGACCCACTATGCAGGCTTGGCAAAAAAAACAAAAACAAACTGCATCCTTTGTCGTGAGCGAATAATGTAAACGGCAAGAATTTATAAAAAAAATATGGCTACAAGACCCGCAATTTTAGGCGACTAAACACGGCTTTTAAAGAAGCTCTGAATGTTCAGGGAACGTCCTGCATACGGATTATTCACTATTTGCCCGAATATTTGGCCACAACCGAATATTCATAAATTTCCGAATATGCAATTCTCGAATTGAATACGAATTGAATAAGAAAAACCTCTGATTCGTATTTGACATCTCGAATATTCGAACACACCTACTTGAAAGCCATTACCAAAGGGGGTCAAGAGCATAACCCAAGCAGTTGGAGAAGAGAAGGAGGAACTCCCCATTGCCCTCTTTTGCGTCCCAGATGCTGCTTTTGTCCCTCTCCGAGATTAGCCTGTCACTCAAAAATCATACCAAAGTGGCATTCCTCTCCTCTCTCAGCCATGGTTCCAATAGTACTGGGCCAAATTAGTGAGATAAAGTATAGTTATGCATGTCCCTCCAATGTACTGAACGAATCACTGGGAAGGTAGCTTTTGCCGTCTGCCAAGTTATGGCGAGACGGAGTAAGCCAATGTCTGCTGCCGACCGCGACTCAACACCCTTCAGCCTAGGACCCTGTGCTGAATAACTGCAATGACTGTGATTAGCCTGCAATTGATCGGGCGGCAGCAGTAACAATCTCTTAAGTTTTCTACGACTGCTGTGGCAAGTGTGGCCTTGGAAGGCAGAAACATCTACCTGATCCCATTTGATTGTCAATTGCCAAACCTATAGTCATGGCGGCTATAAGTTTGAGGCGCACTGTACATTGCAGTAAAATTTTCTAAATCAGACCGTGGCTAGTATGCAAGAGTATCTGTCTGGCAGAGATGCCCTCACAACCTGCATTCATCAGTAGTGATTGTCTTTTCTTTTTTAGATTCATTGAAGAAAGGTTATTTTCATATGGCGAGAAGATTTATAAATCCCCTCAATCAGATATAGCTGGGCATCTCTAGAGGTCGAATTATATGTCAAATGTTTCAATTACTTGTTATCCCAATGTTGGCATTGGACTTTCTGAGACCACAGTCTATAACTATAGTTAGATCAAAATGAGCTTAGCTTATGGAAGCTTGGAAAGCTAAGGGGGTACTATGGCGTTTTGGTCATAGTCCCCAATTTTTCTGAAACTTTGCTAAACACACCAACAAATGTCACTGAAATAGGAACCTGAATATTGAGCCCAAATGAATTTTTGTTTTCGAAGTTATTGAAGTTAAAATTTTGGTCCTCACCGTGTCTTTCAAAGTGAAGGTCTCTACTGGCAACAATGAAAAAGTGATGTTAGCAGAAGACGGGTTCACTCTTTGGACTGTAGACTTTGTTCCCAACAGATTACAAGCAGTTTCATGGTGTCAAAAAAATGCCTCGGAAGCTTTGCTCCAGCACCCGTGCAGCAGCACAAAACAAAAGCTCGGCGTAGTCCGTTATTAGACTTCGCGTTCGACCTGCAAGCCTGCCTTCACCTGACGCCAAGGCATTGTAAAGCGCAGGTATATTTGAATGCTAATTTTGGCTTCATTTTCACTCGTCGATTTCACAAAAACTATTCTGAATTTCGCGATACTAAATGGCACACCGGAAAGGATAAAGGCCGACAATTCCCAAAAATATAGTTAGTCGGGGTAGCTCAACAAGTAGAAGCTTGGAAAAAACCTTCACAGGTTCACCTGGGCTTTCGTTGAAGCAATAAGCAATAATGAAAGGATTGGAAAAACTATTCAATATTCAATTCTAAAATACTTGGACAAAGCCACCATTCGCTTCGAATTCGCTTTTAAGTCAGAATCTGCTTTTCACACATGCATAATATCCTCACGAGATGTCAAAAACTTAGGAAATGAGTAAAAGAAAACCGGCTTGCCAAAGTTTCGATTGGTAGAAGGTCAACCCTGCTCTACCCATGTCCCCCTCATCACCTCAAGTCACCAAACAATCATCAAATTCCTATAAAAGAAAAATAAATTGAAGGGAGATGCACTACCGGCAACGCCATCCATGTTGACCTCGGCGTCATTGAGGAGGTTGATGATGAAGACGGCAGCGGAACACAGGCAGGACGGGAACAGGGCATGGGCCACGTGGATCGGATGGGCCGCACTGCGCTCCGCCAACTGGTCTTCGTCCCCTGCAAGGACCCGACAGTGGAGAACGTCAGGCACAAACACCCTAGCAGCCCCACCACTCACTGTCATGGCAAAACTAGTGCAACAACACCCGTGCCCAGTGTGCACTGTAGCATAATTTTTACGCAAAACATTCTTTGGCTAGGTATTCGGCATTTCGTGAAGCCGAAAAGTGAAGCCTGGATAAAAGCGTGGCCGCGAGGCTCGACATTGATTGGTTGATGGGTGGGAGAGGAGGAGTAAGGTGCTCGATTGGTTAATGGGGAGGTCATGTGACCAGAGGGGTAGGCGAGGAGGAGCTCGACCATCTATGCGCACTGAGGGTGACGAGCTCGAGAGTAGAGATGGCTCTGGAAGATCACCAGGTGTATCAACTTGATTAGCGGTAGCACTGGTTCCTTCTAGGAACAACTATCAAGTGTACACATGGTACGCTTTAAACTACCTGGTGAAGAGCGCCGTGAACGTACGAGTCTGGAAACTCGGAGTATCGCTAAATGTTTGTGATGCTAGAATGTTTCACATGGGCAATGCAATTGCCTAGCAATTTCCCCTATTGCCTTTTTTAATGTAGAATGTTTTTATGGGCTGGTGTTTTCAAAGTCTAGGGAGTCGCCAAAAGTTGCTACTGAAACATGATAGTATAAGCAGTGCGGATTGTTAAGCGGGTTGGTGCCGACTGGTGATCAGTTACTGACAAAGAATGATCACATGACTGGTGCCACTATGGCGCTATGAATCAGATGGTCACATGGCCACATGACGCCACTGCTACATCATGGTGTCATGTTACGTGGTCACATTAGCACGTGGCATCACAGTGCCAGAAGACGTCACGTTGCGTGATGCAGTGTCACGTGACACAACGTGACGTGACGTGGTCGCAGGGTTGGATTCACGTGACCTCTGTCGACCTAACGACACCACGTGACCACTGTTCACTACACTTATTTGGAAAATATTGTATATTGCCCTGTAGAAGCCCGCCGGTCCACATTCTGCGTAATTCTGACTTTATACATACATCAAGCCATCTTTGCAAGAATTAAAACGGCAACGTCTGGCATCATTTGTAAAAAAATTCTAAGATATCAAAGCTGCCTAAATATGCATGGAGCTGGATACAGAGGCATCATTTGTATTGCAAATAGACAGCATTCTCCAAAATGCAGAGGAAGTGCCCATTTCCATACAAGCCAGGAAGTAAAGTTTATAGCGCCTGTGCACATGCCATATTTAGAGAACATCTTTTTTGAGGGGAGGGCAAGGGACGAGGAGTTTTGGTGGGGGGCACCTGGCATAAATTTTTATAGTGCCCGAGTGCTTCTGGGCCTGCCTGTCATTTGCCAAAGTCATATTATCAATATGTCACACTTCACCAAGTATGACATTTGTCTTGTTTGTTTGAAAGGCAACCTACATATGAGCGTGGACCGACAGCTTTCCAGCCAATACCACAGAGTAGTTTGTCTATTCATTGAATAGAAAGCCTAATGCAAACCTCTATCCCGAGTCACCCTTGTCTCGGTGAAACTCCGAGGGCACCACGTCACAAATCTACATGCCGCTTCCGGTGAAATAGAACAAGCTGATTGGTTGATTGATCAATCAATCAATCAGCAAATCAATTTGCTCTATTTTGCCGCAAGCAGTATGTACATTTGTGATGTGGTCACCCGCGAAGTTTCACCGAGACAAGGGTGACTCGGGATAGAGGTACGCATTGGGCCTTCTAATCAATGCACAGAAAAAATATGTACTGATTAATTGTTTGGTCTATTGATTGATTGATTGACTGCTGAACTGAGCGCACCTTCCTCATGTTCCTCGACGGCGTGAAAGAGCGCCGGCTCGTAGGCCGAGAGCACGTTGACGGCCACGGCCGTGATGTGGAAGTTCTCCCGCTCATTGCACTTCTTCTCCTCCTCTGCCTGAAGTGCCCGATGAATCAGCTCCATCTGCTGCTTACGCCGTGTCTGGGTCGCTGTCACAAACGACCGCTGCAGGGAAGCAGAGAGAAAGGGTGGTCAGCACGAGTGTCGGCATGGTGCCTGGAACACATCTCCGGCTGGTGTGTTTGCGGCATCCTCAAATATTGTCCCTCGTGACATCATAATCGTACAAGTGTTGCGCCGTGCCTGCTACAATCCTGAAGGTAGATGCAGCAGGCACCTGTTTTGCTGGAGATTGTGCTCCAGTGCAACAGTCCACGAAAGCTTCGGCAATAAAAAAGTTGGGACACTGCAATGACAGCAACATTCGCGCTTGCTCGCAGTTTTTGCCCGTAGAACTTCAAAAGACCAACTGTCAGGATCACAACATCCGACGACACGACGTGCCGTCTCCTGTGATGTCGTTAGTTGCCACTTTGGGACCATTTCGATGCATTGGCAAGACTGGACGACAAACACATCAGCCAAAGACACGTTCCAACTGTAGTGCCACTATAAGAATGGTGGTTCCGACGAATAGTCTTCGAACTTCCTCTCTAGATAGGCCACAATATAGGGCAATGCACTTATAACGATAATGAGAAAAAAAAAAATTTAATCGTTAAAACCAATTATTATTGTATCAGGACAAGAAACTGATTGTTTCTACTCTAGAAACTCTAGAAATTGATTGTTATAAGCAGTACATTAAGTGGATTGCACTGTATTCATACTTTCCAGAGCTTTGGAAAGTCATGGTAGTGCTGGGTTAATTGCCGCAATGAGCACTCTTTTCGTCAAGCAGCAGTGCAATGCAGAGGGGCAATACTCGCAAGCGGACACTGCGATTTTCAAAGTTGCTCTTTGCCTTGCCGTAGCCATGAGACTAGGGACAAAGCACGCCTTCAAAACTGGACGGTGCATGTGCACACCTGGTGTACTGTCGAGGCTGGTTATAAAGAAGTCAATGGGAATTGGAAATCGCTTCGCTATACAATAAACTTTTGTTAGTTCGACTTTGGTTAATTCGATTTTTCGTTTAATTCGATCGTTTTCAAAAGTCCTGGCAAGGCCCATACATTTTTTTGGGAGGAAAAGTTTGATAGTTCGAACTCGGGAAGACTCTGCTTCAAATAATTCGTCCCGAGCGAATGCGCGTGGGCTCGCATTGGGTGGCACCACGGCAAAAAAACCACCAACGTACGGCGAAACACGGGCCCCTTCCTGCAAAGCCGAACGTGTGCAAATATGCGTCTGGTCCTCTACGCTGTTGAGATAGACCGTAGCGAGTGACACGAGCCAGCGCAACCAATCTGGCGTGGAGTAGCACGGAGAACATAGCACGTGATCGGGCGCAGAGACAGTGCGCGCTCTCAAAATGCTTTTCTGTAGCATCATGAGCGGTCCATCTTGCACGCTGAAAGCACAAGTTCTCTTTTCCTTTTTTTTTTATTTTACCGTAATATCCCGAGTTGTCGCCCACCCCCCTACTGCCTGAAACTCATTAAAAAAGTGGGGTGGGCCATGTCTCGGTGGGTGAGCACAAACACTTGAAAAAAAGCGGAAAAAACCGCCTATTTTTCTCTGCGTATCTAGCGCTGATGCACAAGAGATACATCAAACTCAACACTCGTTTTAGTTTCATTGTTTTATAGAAAAAAATGCTCACGAAATATTTCACTATAGCGAAGTCCGTTGCTGCATATAGCACGAACGTATGTTCCGTGAAAGAATGTCACCACTATGTTCTCCTAGTTAGTAAAAAAAAAAAAAAGAGAGAAAAGTCTACAAGAAAATAGAAAAACCGACCAGGCGCAACGAGCGAGCGAGCGAGCGGACCAAAGATGCGACCAAGAGCAACGCTGGGAAAGCGGGAAAGCCGGCGGTCGCATTGGCAAATACTTTGGCGTCGGGCCAAGTCGGGCGCCTTGTCAATCGCAAGCTCTTGCACAACTTTGTTTGGTGCATACATACGTGCGTCCGTGCACGGCGGGCTATCAATGCACCGTTGGGACGCTCTGCAAACGTCTGTGTGGGGCGTTCCAGCAACGCTTTATTTGCGCGTTGACTTTGCCTAAAATATTGCACAACCGCGGTCGCGATGGGCGGGAAGAAGGAGCGGGTTCGCGGTGACCTTACTTCGGCGGAGACAGACCTTGACCTAAAACTCTTCGGTTACATTAACAAACTCTTATTTTGTTATCTCCATCGTTTTCTTTTTGCGCGGATACACGGCCACTTTGGGGTCGCTCACGGAGGAAATACGTAAACAAAAAGAAGTGTCTTTCCCTCCTTCGTTTTACTTTGTCACGGACGTCCTCCAACTGTAAGGTCCGCGGCCTCGTCATTCGGGTAGAATGAGTGTTCGTGGATCGCAGAGTCCGCGCTGGGGTATTTGAAGGGGTGGGCAATGACTCGGTGTTTTTTCGGAAATCAATATTTGCCCTAAAAATGGGGTGGGCGATGGCTCGGAGATGGGCAATGACTCGAGATATTACGGTTTTTTTTTTTTTTTTTTTTTTTTTCCGACGGTCTGGTTGCCTGACGCCGAAGTCGGCTCGTAAAGCTTTCTCAGTGCGTGCTCTCAAAGCGCTTTTCTGTAACATAGTGTGCGGTCCACCTTGCGCATCACAAAAGAAAAGTTCTGTTTTCCTTTTTTTTTTTTTTTTTTGCAGTTATTTTTTTCTGTTGTTCACGGTCTGGCTGCCCGGCGCCAAAATCGGCTCGTCAAACTTACTTTTTTTTTTTTTGTAGTGCGCGATTTTCTGGGGACGTGACGTTTAGTTACGCTGCTCTCCGGAGCATGCTTTTGGACACGTGTGTTAAGCACAGATGGCACCAGACCATCCATGAGTACTTTGGACAATAAAAGAATGCCTGAACGTGGTTCAGGCATTCTTCCTCGACGATGGTGACTATTAGGTGAACATTCTCTTCCATCAAGGCCAAGAAAGTCCTGCTGTCACCCTTGGAGATGAGCGTTGTCTATCACAGGTCATGCTTCTAAATGGATCACTTGGAAAGGGTCAAGCCTTCTTCCACTTCCATCTTCCCTGATCTGGTGCCGGTGTTCTCGCATATGTGATGCTGGTGCATGTTGTCATACCCTAGGTATCCATGCTGCGGTCCCGTCTGACATCCAAGGCACAGGTTTGAGAACACCACTGCATCCAAGATGAGGTCTGTGTGGTACTCGATCACTGATCCAACGCCAATGTGGGACATATGCCCACGCTTGTGACACGTCCCGTCGAACACCACAGTTATGTCCTTGCAAAAACTTGCCTCCACGTTCTCGTAGGCTACCTTTACAGCAGTATATAACTGACTTTGCATAAAACGCACACCCAAGCGCTGGGACTGTAACTCTCTGAAAGAATTCTTCCGGTGCTCCTCGAAAGTCTTGTGACGAATGCCTCTGTGAGGAACATTCATCGCTGCCCAGAAATCATTGAGAGCTGTCTGCCCCTTCCCGATCTTCTTGATGACCATCATGGCTCAAATGTCCTCTTCAAAAGCCATGGAGTCTTGCTGGCGTGGCAACTCCGAGCAGAAGACAAAATACTAGGGGTGTGCGAATACTCGAATATACGAATTCGAATCGAATAGAAAGTTCCTGAATAATTTGATTCGCGGATCGAATTCCTAGTATTCAGTTACTCGAATATTCAATATATTCGGCCAAAGACGCACGGTGGGCGCGGAGCAAACAAAAAAGCAGTTTTTTCTCCCGATGTAAGCGCCGTGTGACAGACCATGCGAGAAACACCTCTTGGTCCTACCATTCCACAAAAATCTAACGCACAGGTTAGAAAACAGAAAAGTAACGAACGCCACAAACTTTACAGCACGAAGATTTACTCACGATCATGACACAATCTACCCTTGAATCACAACTGAAACATCCCGTTTGCGCTACTTCCAGAGAGGAATTGTTGGGAAGCCGGAATTCCGTGCCAAGCCTAATTCTTTTCATGAGTAAAGCCCCTCGTTTCAAATTGAAGCGCCGATGTAAAACACACTTGGCTGCACTCGCAGAAATCGGCTACTGCACCATTGCACGATCCCAGAAAGAAAACCAACGTTACCACGCCGGCGAAACCAACAGAGTTATCGTCGTCATTCTTTTGGAACCGCAAATTCTGATTCCGAATCAGAAGGACAACTCGGTTGGTTTCGCCGACGTGGTAATGTTGGTTTTCTTTCTGTGATCGTGCAGTGGTGCAGTAGCCGATTTCTGCGAGTGCCGCCAAGTGTGTTTTACATCGGCGCTTCAATTTGAAACGAGGGGCTTTACTCGTGAAAAGAATTAGGCTTGGCGCGGAAGAAACGGAACGGAAAAATAGTGTGCCTAGATTTGAGAGGGTTTTTAACAGCTCGATAAGGTGCCGAAAAGACGAAAGCGTCGGTTGGGTTCGGGCAGGCAGGGCAGGCGTCGTCGCTCTTCTGTTTGTTCGCCTTCTTTCCACGCGACAACACAACACATGCGCATTCACGATCAATCTGCGATGGAGCCGTCTCTGTGGTTTCAGTTTCGGTTGCTCCCTCTTTTAAATCAAGGCTCTCTAAAACAGGATAGATAAACGGAAAAGTGGATGCGTAGCGGCAGTTGGACGGTGACTTAAGCCACCTAACCACGTTTTTTTTTTTTCTTACTTTAGATTATATTGTTTAAGCCAGTTTACCTTGTTGCTGTTTACTCAGATTTAACACCTATCTATTTATTTATGTAAAATCAAATCACAGGTGCCATTTTTTTTTCCTTAAAATGGAGACAAACTATCGTAAAATGCCCCTTTTCTGAGATATACAAATATATTTTGAAAAAAAAGTTGCGGTGTTAGGTTGTGTTTTTAAAGAAAAAAAAAGGCACGCGTGGCTGTAACTTTTTTTTTTTGTGACGTTTAGGGTAGATGGATTATATTTGCACCATAAAATTGGATCTTTGATGCCCAACGTTCAACAGCAACTGCTTTTTTTTTTTTTTTTTCACCGGAACTTTTTTACATTTTGGCTTTTGTTTTGTACAAGACGTATATTCTGCACCCAGGCGCATACTCTGCACACATAATAATCGCATTCGCAGCACACTTTGAAAAATTCCTACGAATAAAATCACTATTCGATATTCAGCTTTATTTTCTTGATTCGATTCGGTATTCGATTCGAAAGCTACTATTCGGTATTCGCACACCCCTACAAAATACCATAAATGGCACACACAACCTCCAGCTTTGTGGCCAGTCCAGGCTTGGTGCTCCCTTGGACTGCCAGGCTGGGTTCCAAACAATGCTTGCACAGTGTGGGGCAGAGCAGAGTGTTCAAAACATCCACCTGGATGAGGCAGAACTTCGCATCTGCATTTGTAGCAGATGAAGTAGTGGGGGCTGCTGAATCAGGCTGCATGGCCTGAAACTTCCTTTTGGTCGCCGACATAGCGCTAAGCTTAGCTTGAGCAGCAGCGCAATGTTTAACAGCCATTTTGATTTCTTCTTGCATCAGAAAATGTGTCAACAAACAAACAGTGGATGATATGCTCACACTCAAAGTGGTCGGCGTCGGCACTCCAGACGTTTCCGGAGTACGGTGATCTGGGGTGACGAATGCATCGTCGGCGATAGCCGATGGCACGGAAAAGTCCCCATTAGAAGCATTGACGTGACGCGCAGAGGTTTCCAATCTCGCCATCCGAAGAAGCTTCAAGGACTGCTTTCGCGCAACCAAAGCGTGCACCGTCTTGAACTTTGTTGCCGGTATCGTGAACGACCACGAAACACCAAAGAAAAATTACGCAAAACTGCTGAGAGAAAAGCATAGGAAACGATATAAGAAATGGCGAAAAGCGAAGTGGAGCTGATGAAAAAAAAGCAAGCAGACCACTGCCGTAGCAGACAGGAGCGGTAGACAGGAGAAATGGAGAGAGGGAGGCAGCAACGGGGAGGGGGAACACACGCGTCGAGAACAATGGCAGTAGGAGATTTCGTAATGAATTTTTAGGGGTGAAGTTCCTTAGGGTCTAGCCTTGTCCGGCGTCCATGCTCACATCGATTGCCATCCCATCTGTCTTCTTAAGAAAAAAAAAAAATGTTTGCGCAGTCGACAGGATTCGAGCCTGTGCGGGGAGACCCCAATGGATTTCTAGTCCATCGCCTTAACCACTCGGCCACGACTGCGGGACAAGTAAGGGGCTCTGAGATGTAGTAGTAACTCAAGAGCTGGGGTTTCTGTCATGGATGAAATGTTGCATGTAGCCGCTCAACGTCTATACAGGAGAGGGCACTGCGGTCAAATGCGTATATAATCGCGTTGAACTTTGCATGCATTGGCTCAACGTTTATAGACGAGAGGGCGCTGGGGTCAAATACTAAAAAAAATCAGTATCATCAGCACCAGCAGAGCTTCGCCCCTATCAACATCATTCACCACGTAGAGATGGGGTCATTTTTTTTATCATCTTTTTTATGAATTAGGGGTTGACAATTAAAAGGAAGATAGCCTATGTAATAAAGAACCCAAAAATGTAATTTTCTAAAAAAAACTTTTTTTTTGCAATTTTTCGTTTTTTAAGGCCTGCATCCCGACGGCATCTACAATCCACCATGATACATTCACATCTACGATCATTAACACGTTGCCAATGAAACTACCCATGCACATAGAAGTTGCATACACAAAAAATACTGAAAGTCTGAAATGAAAAGATCCGCCAATACAGACGATTCCCCAAGACTGCCCTGTCCAGGACAACCAAGACGCCAAAATATTTCAGGCTCTACCTCAAAGCAGGGACATCTGCTACAAATGAAGGATAGGACCTACCGACTGGTCCTGGTTGATGGTGACCTCCTCCACCTTGGTCTTGACCTGGGGCATCCAGGGCGGATCTGCCACCGGAGCGCAGTCCAGGGCAATGCGGGGGCTCGGCAGGGTGAACTCAATCGTGGGAGGGGGCACCTGGGAAGAGCAGGTGACTGTCGTACGCCTATCCGAAGGCAGGAGTTCACAAACAGGGTCTCTAGCAAGCCAAGGGCAGATGTCAGTGAAAACGTAACCGATCAAGATTACATATCTTCAAGAAGGGGTCTAGGACATTTCGGTGTAGGACTTTTCAGCGTAGAAAGTTTCGGTACAGACATTTTGGTGCATGGAACGTCTCGGTGTGCAGACATTTCGGTGTACGGACTTTTCGACGTATAGACTTTTAAGTGTATCGTATGATATCTTGGTTAATTTTTATTGTCTAAACACACTGCACATAATTTATTACTCAAAGGTAGACTTTTTACAGCGAAGCTGTTATGCGCTAGGATGTGGGAAAAAATGTGTCCGCGGATGTTGACAGAAAACTCCCCATTGGTCGTGGCAAGTATGAATAAATAAAAATAAAAAAAGGGGGCAACCAGCTGACACCGTTCTAAAAGGGCAACAACAAGAAACGAAAAAAGGTGGAGATGGGCGAAGCGACGAAAGACCGAATCAGGGGACCAAGTACAGTAAAACCTCGTTATAACAAAGTTGAAGGAGCGGTCATAATTGTTTTGTTATAACCATTAGTTTGTTATAGCCAATATCTATTTCTTCCCACTATAGCAAGCAAGGGGAATTATGATTACTTTGTTATATCCATTAGTTTGTTATATCCCATTTTGTTATAACGAGGTTTTACTGTATAATGAAGAGAGCACCGCTGCGACCCGCTGTAAGCAGCCGCGAGTAAAGGCAACGCCGCAAACTGCCGTCAGCAGAAAGAAGCAAAACCTCTGTATTTTCTTTTGCTGCACATCCACGAGGGGGAGAGGGAAGAAAGGAAGGGGAGGGCAGGGGTGCATTGCATCCCTATTTCTCACTTGCATTGCGAAAGGCATGTGCAAGCGGTGCCGGCCGCGGCAGCCACGGACAGGCGCAGAACCTGACACCCAAGGGATGCGCGCGAGCGGCGGCTTGCCAGCTGCTGGTGTTTCCATTGTTTTCGTGCACCAAAAGCTTTCTGAAACAAAAAGCGGCGCAGTGCTACGGCGAAGCCGGGTCGGTGACTTGTTAGCTCCATGCGCTCAGTAGGGTCGCAAAATTTGGTCACGAATGTAGGTCGAAATTCTCTGGTCATGATTGTGGGCCAAACCTTAATTTGTGACACCTCCGAAAAAAAAAAAAAAAGGTTGACTTATATTTGAATACATACGGTAAGACAAATCTGAAATCCCAATTGATACTTTTGTTTATCAATATAATAAAATATACAAATATCCACAATGCCTGCTGGGAGGTTCAACTATTCATTTCCAACTGCTGAAATGCCTGCTCATCGAAATGTTCATACACCAAAATGTCCGTGCACCGAAATGTCCGTGCACCAAAATATCCGCGCACCAAAAAATGCTCGTGCACCGAAATGTCCGTGCACCGAAATGTCCCTTCACCGAAATGTCCCTGCACCAAAAAATGTCCGTGCACCGAAATATCCGTGCACCGAACCGTCCATGCACCGAAAAGTCCTACACCGAAATGTCCTGATACCCTCAAGAAGTATGAAATGCATAGCATTTATAAGGCTAACTCTTAGCACTTCCATGTTTGTCCGTGGGATGTAGACTCGGTTACATTAAGGTGCAACGTGACGACCTTGACATGAGTGTAACAATCAAGCGACAACATGACATCCCATGACCCTGGCATCATGTGACACCATAATTTCATGTGGCATGCAGTCACATGACGTAAGGTAATGTAACCATGTGCTTTCCTGATGGTCATGTGAGGTCACAGTGTCGCTGTGATGATTTCAAATTTAAAAAATAGTCCAATCATAAAAAATCCACACTACAAAAAGTTTGTAACTCGATGTAACAAGATCCTGCTACAGAGGGCTCGAGGACACGATTACGTCGAGATTTTTATTATCTAATAATAGTAAAAAAATTATAGAGTAAAGTTAGAACAGTGGTTGTCAAACTGCCACTTTCCTGGTTCGGAGAAACCATAGAGTTACTGTCGAGACCGGTTACAACGAAGTCGGTTATAACGAAATAGCGGCTACAGCAAAGTGATCCCGATTTCCCATTCCCTTTTGCACAATCGGTTATAACCGAAGTCAGTTATAATGAAATAGCGGATATAGCAAAGCGATTTCCGATTCCCGTCGACTTCGTTATAACTGGTCTTGACAGTATTATAATGTATGCTAGAGGTTCAACTGGCGCTAGTGTCCATGCAACTTCAGGGAAGCAAATTAAATTTACTTTTGCGATGCTTCTGTGCATTCCTATGGGAAAACGCGCATGCATTTTGTCTCTTCGCCAAAAAATACCATGGATCACTTTTGTTATTTTAGGTTGTACCGAATAGTATGTACCTTTATTAGCATTGTAAAAGTGTAATTGCTTGAGTTAGGGCGCTTTGCTTCATCAGTGAAAAATGTTTAACTTCGCTATATTTCAGGCCCAAACCTCTGTTCCACAGCAGGTGTGTAGAAACAAGCGACGATACTAAGCAAAGTAACAATTGAAAGGAATATACAGTGTGTTCAAGGCTCGCCAGCATTCCGGTGACGGTTATATATTGCTAATATGCCAGTCCTGTCATTATATTTATGCATATTTACGAGCGGTTCAAAAACATTCAAAACGTAAAGAATAAAGTTTGTCGGCAATGAAAGGTGTCTCTTTTTACTATTTTCTATGCCGAGCAGCTTTTATCAGGCACTTGTTCTCAAAGATTTCAAATGTGCGGCGATTTTTTTTTTAACGTAGAACAAGGATCTTCGTACAGAGCAGAAAAAATAAAGCCGTACTTACTATTGAAGATCAAACCATACTACGTGGCTCTCAATTATTTTTGATTGTACATGCACAGAGAGTTACTGATCCAGTGTTACTGCACAGATTCGCAGCTGCTTATGACCGAGTGCATTAAAACCGTGAAGGTTTTTCAAATGCTATTGCAAAACTTTCGCACTAATGAAGTGCAGTTTCAGGGCCAGCGCATTCTCTCGTCGTAAGAGATCGCGAGAACTCGGTCGTAAGCAACCGCAAGTGCGTGGACCAGTCTTTAGAATCCTTTCAATCTGGATAAAACTAAGCTGAAGTTTTTTCCGAAAACTAGACTGAAGGTTTTTCAGAGACTGCGAGATCAAATCTATGCACTGTTTATGAGTAATGGCTGCTTTTAACCTTGTCCAAGTTATTTCAAGCTTGTGGTGAGCTTGATCTGTATAAAGTATTTGCAGATGTGAAGTGCTCCAGGGCCATCCAATAGACAGTGGCAGTGTGTAATCTCATTGTAAGCCGTCACGAGGGTCGTAGCGCGGGCAATTGCGATCAAATGCAATGTGCCGACCAAGCTCAAGGCTACCCTGAGGTGCCTCTCTGAAGATGGTACAGTAAACCCCCCTTAACTCGAAGTCATAAAAACCGAGAAACATTTCGAGATAAGCGAAGTTTCGAGATAAGCGGAGTACCGAAATTTCCAAAGTACCGACCGCGGATTTCGAAAATCTAGCGCTTCCGAAAATCGTACCAATCACAGCTTCGTTTTAAGCAAGAAATCACTTACTAAAACGAGAAAAAAAATGAATTAGAAACAAGCGTCCAGCGGTCCAGCGCACGCACATATTCCTCAAAGAGCGCCGCCGTCATCCATGTGGACGGGGTTGAACGAAGGAGACGCGACGGCTTGGCGGCGTGGCGACTACGGCGACCACGAGATCGGGAGAGCCGATAGAACGCCCCAAGCCAGCACAAGCGTAGAGAAAAAGAGAGAAAGAAAAGTCCCGGGAGATGCGGAGAAAGCAAAAAGCAAGAAAACAAACGTCCTTGAACGCTCGTCCCGTTCTGTGCGCCCTGGACGCGTTCGCGGCGCTTCCTTCTTTTGTTTATTTTTCTCGGCGCTTCCTTCTTTTGTTTATTTTTCTCCGAAGACCCCCCCCCCTCTCTCTCTCTCTCTATCTCTCTCTCTCTCTCTCTCTCTCTTTGTTAGCGTTATTTTTAGGTCGCGGTCGCTTCGTCGGCGATGGAGATAAACTTTCTCCTTCGGGCCTCAGTGTCCTTTCAGGAATATTTCTTTTTTTTTTTTATATTTTTGCCAGGCGAAGTTTCGAGATATCCGATGCCCGTCCCGGAAACTTTTCGAGATAAGCGATGTCGAAATACATGGTGCCAATGGGGATTCATTTCGCAACGCACAAAAGTTTCAACTTAACCGATCTTTCGAGATATCCGTGTTCGAGTTAACGGGGGTTTACTGTATTGAGAAGTGTGCCACTAGAAAGTGCTCCGAGGCAGCGGCCGACGAAGGGACTTGCCTTGAAGACCAAATGTGCCGCCTCTTCCATCCTGAGCCAGCACTGGTAACGGAACTTCCACAGGGCTTGAAACCTGCCGGGTCGGAGAACATGTTTTTTCAGCCACAACTGTGCTGTCCAACACCCACCTATACCGCGTTTTGCAATAACCAGGAAATCGTAGAAGCAATGGCCAGGTGAAAGCATTAGTCGGAAACACTTTGTTTTTTTTATTCGAAGCACGTTCAATTGTAAGGTTTTTGCAGATCCTGCGTGCCTTGAACTCTAGAGTCGGCTGCGATGGTTTCTTTTGAAAAATTGCTACACTCGCACGCACTCGTAATGAGCAGGATGAACGGTCCATTGAGATGAGAGCTGCAGTGGCCACAGCACTCACACTATTTCTGCACCTCTCTTTTTGTTTTTAGCAATGTTGTTCATGATTTTGCAGTACCTCAGTGCTTCGACAGTAACGTTTTCTCTTTTTACATTGTTTTTTGTTATAGAGATTATTATAGGTTACGTACAGCTTCCGAAGATGGCATTTGCGGGGGCAAACTTTGGAACATTCCAACCCCACTTTAAACACTGCTCGGAGTAACTAGGGAACAGATATGTGGTGTCTGCTGAGGTCTGTTTTGTTGCATTGCAATATGTTAAGCTTAGAGATAACCGCTCCGTTGGTTTTAGCAGCATTGTTTATTAAAATGGCGTGTTTGTTGAAATGGCCAGCCCCCAGACATTAAATATGTTTCCACTTTGCAAAGCTTGATTTTATTGAGTGGGACTGCCCCCGCTGAGATGCCTTGTGGGCCACCGCAGGTAACTTAGAAATAATTTGATAAAAAAGAGAATGCCGATAGTGTATTTGATTACATCTTAAAAAAAAAAAAAAGGTGAATTTTTTCTGTCAAAGTGGAGACGAGGCAGTGTAGGCTTAGCAGCTTGCCAAGCAAAGGCAAAGCATAGACCACACTAACCTGAGTAGGGCGTTGACCCTCTGTGTCGTGTCCTCGCTCTTCAGTTCCCTGCTCACGAGTTCGGAGGCGTGTTCGGGCGCCTTGACGGCAGCCAGAATGAAGGTTACAGCTGCAATGCAAGATACACAAGCAGTCCGGGCATTCTCTTTGACTGGACATCTACCTAACCGCATGTATAAAAAAAAGCAATAATGCTGCTGATTTTTTGCAGACGGGCCAATAACAAACATCAGATTGTGACTAAAAACACCATTGGTGTGATGTCCTAACTGCTTAAATTTTTATCCGAGTGTCAATGGTGTCCCTTTGCGAGAAATTGCTTGCGGTCAATACTGCAGATCGCTGTGTCATCCAAGCGCTTGTGAACAGTGAATGATCAAAGAGAAGGACTTGAAGACTTAGTAAGACATCTATGCTGGGATTTGCCATCTTTTTTGCTTTCCAAAAGCGGGAGGCGATCTTGTCCAAGACAAGCCGAGAGAGACGGAAAACGAAGATTGAAACCCTTTTCCCGCCGACGATGGGTGAAGGAGGTTGCACAGCCTCCCACAAGAGTGACAATGTACTCCGGCACTGTTCGGTTCCAGCCATATCTAGCTCATTAAATCATGCCAAGAACACAACAAAATGTCAATGTATGCGGGACATCTCTAATCACCCATCGTGAAATTAAAATTTTTAGTTCTTCACTTTCGTGGAGAGTTCGTTGAGTTCACCCGAATTTTCAGTAAAATGTGGGATGTCGCAAAACTGGGAAGGTATAATCGGGGTTCCATCGCAGCACCATCATCTTTCACCTACCACAATATCCCGAGTCATCGCCCACCCTTCTGCCGCCTGAAATTCATAAAAAAAAGTGGGGTGGGTCATGTCTCATACCGAGTTCGTCTCACGGCACTCGTGTCCACGCGTGCCCACTCGCGGCGTAAAGCAAGTTCGTTTCGGCAGGCACTCCACGAGTGACTGCACTCTCCGAGTTTGTTTCATCGCTGACACCTTATGCGTGCATGCACTCGCTGCACCGAGAAAATCGAGCTTGCGCCAAACTGCAATCCCGTCATGCCTCGCTCCAGCGAGGCCAGCGAGGAGCAGGAGCAGACGACGGAGGGTTCGTCTGCTACAATGTGTCGCGGAACTGAAAAAAAAAAGTAAATTTTCTGATAAAAATTGCGTCCTGAGGGCAACATAATGAAACAGGAGCTTGAATTGTGAGCGCCTGCTATTTCATGAAAGAAGCAATTAACAACCCATGCTTTATTTGCAGGTTTTAAGTCGCTCTGTTGCCGTACAGACGTTGAAATATACCAGTGTGTCAGAAATGCCCAGAACAAACGCATCAGCGGCCCTCGAGATGTTTATCCCCATCCGTGTGCGGGTGAACAATTGAACATTTGTCGACAGAACTCCCCCAGCAGAAACCTCGGACTGCCCAATGAGCATACGAGAAAGCTAAACATAGTGACTTTACTCGAGGCTTGGGAAACATCATCATGTTTAACATTTACCTACGTCAGCTAACTTGCTCCGTCGTATTTTGTTCGAGAAAGCTCCCGTTCTCGACGTCCTCATCAAGACTAATATCTGATCCACCTGTAATGACGATCGAAATCGAAAGTCCCACTAAAAGTTTTGCTGGATATTCTAACAGACTAGTTTTAAGTCGTACCCTTTCAGTGGTTTACACATAATACCATGCTCAAACGAATCAAGCTTCTGCTTGGACAGCATCATCAGTTTTCTTCTATGTAAACGGTTATCAGAATTGAAAGATCGCTACCAGGTTCTTTGTAGACAGCTGGATGCGGAAATTTACGCCGTCTGTAACTCTCTCTACAGCAGCCTAGTCGCTCGAAGTCATCGCGAGTCTAAACCACACGTTGATGCATTCAACGTTTGTAGATAGGGGTGTGCGAATACCGAATAGAAGTTTTCGAATCGAATACCGAATCGAATCAAGAAAAAAAAAGCCAAATATCAAATCGAATATCGAATAGTGATTTTATTTGTAGGAATTCTTCAAAGTGTGCTGCGAATGAGATTATTATATGTGCAGAGTATGCACCTGTTGCAGAATATGCATCTTGTGCAGAACAAAAGCTAAAATGTAAAAAAATTCTGGTGAAAAAAAAATAAATAAAAGCAGTTGCTGTTGGATGTTGGGCACTAAAGATCCAATTTTATGGCACAAATATAATCTATCTTCCCTAAACGTCACAAAAAACCCAAAGTTACAGCCACGCATGCCTTTTTTAAGCCCAACCTAACACCGCGACTTTTTTTTTATAAATGTTTGCCTATCTCAGAAAAGGGGCATTTTGCGATATTTGGATTTCATTTTAAGGAAGAAAAAGGGCACCCGGAATTTTATTTCACGTAAATAAACAGATAGGTGTTAAATCTTAGTAAACAGGCTTAAACAATATAATCTGAAGTAAGAAAAAAAAGCGTGGTTAGGTGGCGCAAGACACCGTCCAACTGCCGCTATGCATCCATTTTTCCGTCTATCTATCCTGTTTTAGAGAGCCTTGATTTTAAAGAGGGAGCAAGCAAAACTGAAACCACGGAGACGACTCCAGTGCAGATTGGTCGTAAGTGCGCATGTGTTGTGTTGTCGCGAGGAAAAAGGCGAGCAAACAGAAGGGCGACGACGCCTACTCTCCCTGCCCTGCCAGCCTGCCCGATCCCGATCGACGCTTTCGTTTTTTTGTCACCTTCTCGCAGTTCGTAATTCAAACGCGGCTATCGAACGGTTGGAAACCCTCTCAAATCTAGGCACACTATTTTCCCGTTCCGTTTCGTTCCGAATCAGAATTTGCGGCTTGAGGTTCCAAAAGAACGACGACGATAACTCGGTTGGTTTTATCGGCGTGTTTAACGTGGTTTTCTTTTTGTGATCATGCAGTCGCCGATTTCTGTGAGTGCGGCAAGTGTGTTTTACATCGGTGCTTCAATTTGAAATGAGGGGCTTTACTCGTGAAAAGAATTAGGCATTCCGCGGGATTTCGGCCTCTTAACAATTCTTCTCTGGAAGCGGCGCAAACGGGATGTTTTGGTTGTGATTCAAGGGTAGGTTGTATCACGATCGTGAGTAAATCTGCGTACTATAAAGTTCGTGGCGTTCGTTACTTTTCTTTTTACTAACCTGTGCGTTAGATTTTTGTGGAATGGTAGGACCAAGAGCTGTTTTTCGCATGGTTTGTCTAACATCACGGCGCTTACATCGGGGGGAAAAACGGCTTTTTTTGTCAGCTCCGCGGCGACCGCGCGTCTTTGGCCGAATATATCGAATATTCGAGTGACCGAATACTAGGAATTCGATTCGCAAATCAAATTATTCGGGAACTTTCTCTTCGATTCGAATTCGTATATTCGAGTATTCGCACACCCCTATTTGTAGATAAACGTTGGTAGTGACTGTACTCTCGTATTCCCACCCATCACTCCGAACAGAAAGGCGCTAGTTTTGGCTTGAGGTCGGTACTCTTTCTACAACATAGATGGCGGCAGCATCAGTCTTCTGCACTCGGTGCATTGGGCGAGTTCGTTTGAGTCCAGCTCTCCGGGCAACACTCTGCGAGTGCGATGCATTCTGGGAGAGAACTCAAACGGTGCCAGTGCGTGTGAAATGAACTCACAATCAATGGGTAAGCACAAAAAATTTTAAAAATTGGAAAATAAACATTCATTTCTTTGTGTGTATCTAGCACGGCTGCAAAAGAGATACATTAAACTCAAAACTTGAATTAGTTTTATTGTTTTATACAAGAAATGCTTATGAAAGAATGCTTTACTATCGCAAAGTCCGTTGCTTGTGTCAGCGCCATGAACACCGCCGAATGGCATACAGCGCGAACGTTTGTTCCGTGAAAGCATGTTTCTAAACCGCTATGTTCTCTTCGTTAGAATAAAAAAAAAAAGAAGACCACAAGAAAATAAAGAAACCAATCAGGTGCAACGAGCGAGCGAGTGGACCAAAGGAGCGACGAAGAGCGATGCTAGGAAAGCGGAAAAGCCGGTGATCGCGTTGGCAAATACTTTGGCGTCGGGCCAAGTCGGGCACCTTGTCAATCGCAAGTAGGGGTGTCGCGAACTTTTGTCGAACCAGATTTTTTGGTCGAACTTCCGGGGTTCGACTGAGTCGAACCGGTTCGACGAACCTTTGAACTTTTCACCAGATTCGACCGGTTCGACTTTATGGACAGTGTGGCCAGACCTTAATACAAGCATGTTTAGGTTTGGAGCATTTTTCTTTTTATGGAAGGGGTTATTTTATTTTGTGAACAGCTGCAAATAAAAGAAACTAATTCTAATCACTGAAGAAGTTAATAACTTAATTTTTAGTACTGTATTGACTGAAATAGCCAATCAGCGCTGCACTTAATTCATCTCTTAGCCATCACCATCCAATCCGAAGCCAACTGGCCAGCCTGTCGCGCATGCGCACAGGAGTCGAACCTCAATACAAGGTTCGTCGAACTTTCCACTAAAAGTTCGAAAAAGTCGAATCTGGTTGAACTCGAACCGCGACCAGTTCGCGACACCCCTAATCGCAAGCTCTTGCGTAACTTTCTTGTTTGGTGCGTACATGCGTGCGTTCGTGCACGGCGTGCTATCATTGCGGGTTAAAGGGATACTGAACCGAAATTTGGATTTCGCAAAGTAAGGCTGCAGAAGTGTTGAACCGGACGCTAGGAACTCCAAAACATCACTCGTACATCGATATCTCAAACGGATGGCCATACTTTTGGAAAAGAATGGTGCGATCAAGCGAGCTCTTTGACGTAACTGTCCTCCGGGAGAATTCGAGAATGAGAAGAAGCAGCCTCGCTTCTCTCCTCCTCGCTTCGGTTCACCAGCTTGGCGGGACATAGTGAGGAGGAGAGAATGGGAATCGTGACGTGCCTTGTCTCGTCGGCCTTCTCGGCGGGGTTCAATCGCGCACTTCTCTCCCGAAAAATATGGCGATCCGTTAGATATATTGCCGTATGAGTGATTTTTTTGGTTTTGCAGCTTCCCGTCTATCCGCCCGGCCTTGTTTAGTGAGCTCGAAATTTCGGTTCAGTATCCCTTTAAGGCAGCATTGCTGTGTGGCGTGGACGGCACCACGAACACGGAGCTCGAAATGGAACGCTTTACAAACGTCTCTGTGCGACGTTCCAGTAAAGCTTTATTTACACGCTGGCTTTGTCTTAAACATTGCAAAACCGCAGTCGCGATGTGCCGGGAGAAGAAGCGGGTTCGCGGCGACCTTACTTCGGCCAAGACAGACTTTTACTTTCCACTCCGCGGTTACATTCCAGGATGTGGGGTGTTCACTACCACGCAATCCCTGAATGGGTTACTGCTTCTGTGGCACAGGTTGGAGGAACTTTATTTTTCAGTTTTGTTTTTACTCTCTCCACTTAGAACTCTGCTTGTGTTATCTTTCCAACTTATTTTTTTTTTTTTTTTTTGTCGGGACGATATTTTTGAAAGCAAAACAAACTTTTATTTTGTTATGCCCATCGTTTTCTTTTCGCATGGATACACTATGATTTCGAGGTCGCTCGCGGAGCAAATGCACAAGCAAAAAAAAGAGGCGTCTTTCTTTCCTTCGCTTTACTTTGTCCTGGACGTCATCAACTGTAAGGTTTGCGGCAGCGTCATTCGGGTAGGATGAATGTTTGCAAATTGCGGAGTTTGCGTTGGGGTATTTAACGGGGTGGGCAATGACTCTGTGTTTTTTTGGAAATCGATATTGGCCCAAAAAGTGTGGTGGGCGATGACTCGGGATATTACGGTACTAGTGGGGCCTGTGAGGCTCTCCTGTGAAGGTCACTGTATGGCACTAATCTATACCGATAGGTGTCGCACGAGTGTGCAAAAAATATTTTAAATGCAAGAAATATTTTTTTTCTAATTTCAGTCTAAAGGTTAATAATAATAATAATAATTTGTTAATTTAATGTGCCCAAAAACAACCACGCAGGTCTTCACATTGGCGCACACAAAACAAAAAGAAGAAACACAGCACACGCTCAGCTTAAAATGTACAAATTAGCATGACAACAAATAGGTCGCACACTTCACGCAGAATGTAATAGTTTCAACTTTTAACTAGACTTGACAAGTTTTGGCGAAAAACTAGGAGATCTCTGAAGATGTCCAAGCTAGACGATGCGATTGTATTATATGAAATTTGCATACGGGGCAGTGGTGAGAGTTTAGACATGAATTTAGTATAAAAGACAGTAAAAGTTCTGGTAACACGACAAGGAACACGAAAATCGACAGAATTCAAAATCTGGTTAGCATCAGTCCAACCATTTACCACCCTGCGCAAAAAAATCATATCACGCTCGAATCTTCTATTTGACAAAGACTTAAGTAAAACGCTCTTAAGAAGAAATTCATAATCATGATAAAAGCGACGGTGAAAGTGTCTATCCTATAAAATGTGTATCATTCTTTTTTGCACTGATTCAATACTTAAAGACTGTGTACTTATTAGAGAATTCCAAACAACAGAGGCAAATTCAAGCCGTGAACGAACTCAAGCACAAAATAAACGAATCATACAAGCAGGGCGCATAAACATTTTAGTTATACGAGATATGATACCTAGAGTTTTCATCGCACGGCCAACAATAAAGGAAACATGAGCATTAAATGACATAAATTATATGAGGGCAGAAGTTATGCGAGTAAGGCGTTTTCAAATTAAAATTTTAATTTGGCAAGATATCTTTATTATGGGGAAAAAAAAAAGTCTTTGCAGGCTTAAAAGGGTCACCCTCTCCATAAGCCTTCCGTGGCTCCTTGCAGAAAATTTATCGTGTTTTGAAACTGACTTTTGGCAAGGTGCTAACAAATTAAAAAAGAAGCTGAGCCGATCTAATCAAGAACGAGAAATAAAGAGCGTTATGTTTACATTGTGGTCCCCGATGTTCTCGTCGCTAACTCCAAACACAGCGAAATCGTGCCGATTTTCGATTGCCGCCAATAAGCATGTGCGATGAGCGGCTAACTGATCGACCAGGAACCCAGAGCAGACCTGAAACTGCAGCCAGCTGCTGATCGCCCTCGAGCAGGAGTTCCCAGGCAATTGGCATGGCTTCGACCAGGGTCTCTTCCGAAGCCACCACGATGCCCTTGATGAGCGTCGATAGGGGGCTGTGGAACAGGCCCATCACCTGCGCACGAGCACACTCTGCTGGAACCAGGTGCAAACATGCCCTTGTCTCGAGCAGAAGTAGAGCAAAGCCCATTTATACTTCGTCTTTTTATGGAAACAAAGAACAAAGACGAAATCAATAGAAGCTACCCAAATACATTCGGGTGTTTTCATAACGAATTCCTCTTCCCCGAAAATGCCCATTTACTTGAGTAAACAAGAGCAGTCTTGGGTAAGTTACTTTTAAAAAGTAATTTGTTACAGTTACAGTTACTTTCAGAAAAAAGTAGCAAAGTTACCGTCACAGTTACCGCAACAAAAGAGTAACTCGTTACAGTTACAGCTATTTTTAAAAAGTAACGACATTACTTTTCAGTTACTTTTCTATAACAAAAAAAAAATGAGAAAAAAACTAGAAAATGCTCTCACGTTTTATTGCATAAAATTAATAAGTATGCTTTTTATTTCATATTGTAACTCGGCAGCAGTTGCTTCTCCAAGTTAGTGTTTGAAAGTTTTCACGCCAGAGTAGTGGCGCGAATCAAAATAGGAAACATGCCCAGTGCCCTCCACGTGTATTGTTGTTTCACGGTTGATTCACCCGATTAAAATGCGTTTGCACAGAAAAAAGAAAAACCACAACATAGATAGTGCTTCAAGACACTAAGATGTAAGTGTTCAGTCACAAAGTACAAGTGCGTGCGTAAAGATAACTAGATATTTTTTTCATATAATCTACACGTGGCTATATTCAAGTCGTGACTCGCGAGAAAGAACGTAATCACAACTTTGTGCAAGGCCAACTTAACACTCGCAGTGATGTGATTGGCCTAAGCCATTTTGGCGCACGTTTCGGAGCAACCAAAACAGTGTTTTGGGGCACAAATGTGGCCTTTGGAGCAACCATAACAGCGTTTTGGACCAGCAAAAATGGCTTTTGGAACAGCAAAGACTGTTTCGGAGCAGCAAAAGTGGATTTTGGGGCAGATATTCTTAGGAAAATAAAAATATTTGTTTGAAGTGCTGTACAAACGAAGGGCACTTTGTGTTGTGTTGTGTTCTGATGTGATGTAAGGGAACTCGGTGCTTCTGTTTTTACTGCTCAGACATCCTACAAGTGTAAAGTGCTGTAGGCATTGCCAAGCAATTTCGAAAAACCGCTTGCCACCGTTTTACTGGTTCCCGACGTGCCAGATTTTCGTCAAAAGTAAGCAAATGTAAAACAATGAATTGCAAGCGTCCCAGCTGGTGCCTCAGTCAAGCAATCATGTTTGCATGCACGTGAGGCCAACTTCGGCAGGCTTGCTGTTGGGCATGCTTCGTCGCGCGAGCGCAGACAACGGCTGTCCGATCGAAACCGAAACCATGCCCCTCAGCTCCGCCGCTAACTTATACCCAAAATTGTACACAATATGTAACTTTCGAGCATGCGACAAAAACAGTCCAGTGGCGCGTTCTTGCCAGGCCGGCAAACAAGGTACAAGCTAAACACACAAAAAATAAAGAACCTGAGTGCATCGATGCAAGACATTGCAAGCCAGCCTCAAAACGTTTTTGGAGCGCTTTGTGCAACGACTGAACTCGAGACAAACAAGCACGCTGTGCGGGTTCAGCGTGCAGACATTGTCTTCTTTGCTTTAGCTCACTTCTCTTCACCAACTTTCTTTCACGGCAGATTTTTCACGTACCGAGGTCCCTCTCGAAAGGAGGCCCACCGATAGGAATCTAGATAATCAATACTTTGACAGCAGTCTTTGAATTAAAGATGGATTTCTGTAGTAACGTATGAATTAAACAAGAACAGGAATGTTGATGAACATGCGGCAGTACTTAGTTTCATTTTAGAAAGTACCATGTCTGCAGTGATGTGGGGACAACAACACTCGACGTCGCGCGACCACGGTGACTGAAAGGCAGTGACCGAATAGTTTTCCCATGGCCGTCGATTCAGCCCACAAAGTAACTCCTGCCGCGCAAAAACGTGGTTTCGTTTCACAACATGACGGCATGGCTGGTACCCGGCACGCTAGTGTCGGAGCGTCTGCACACGTCCGTGTCTATCTCTGAAAATATTTAAAAAAAAGAGACGAGAGACGAGACCCACACGACGAAAGTGCGAAACGCCGGGAAAACCATGCAAGACCAGGTGGACAACTGATGCACGGCACTTTGTGTCAGGCGGCCGCTTGCGCCACATAACACACGCCTGCTCAATTACAGTACTCAGTTTAGTTTCGATTTTAAAAGGTGACCTAAATTGGCCCTTTGGCGCAGGCTTGGCGCAGATTACCCATATTTTGGCGAAAAGTAGCAGGATGTAGCAGGGTTAGCCCCTTGGCGCAGTTTGGCGCAATTGGCGCAGCAATCACATCACTGCACTCGAAACGTCGGAATAGAAGTTTTGGAAAGTGCAAGGAATGGCTAAATTGCACTCGTTCAGTGATATATTATTCATAAAACACTGGAGAGTAATGACAAAAGTAACGTCGTTACTTTCATAGTTATTTCAGAAAAAAGTAATAGAACTACAGTTACAAGTTACATTTTTAAAAAGTAACTCGTTACAGTTACAAGATACCAAAAAAAGTAACGAAATTATAGTAACGCGTTACTAGTAACGCGTTACAACCCAAGACTGAACAACAGTCCCAGCCCATATCTACCGTATTTACTCGCAGAATGAACACACTTTTTTTTTCCGAAAAATCTATGCGAAATTGGGGGGCGCGTTTATTACGCAAAGTAAAATTTTGCGTCGGTATTTACTTGCATAATGAAGGGACCTTTTATCCTGAAAAATCGAAGTAACTTCTTATCTCTTTGCGCGCAACGCGGGACCCGCGCCCGACCCGGTTATCAAACTAAGCTGTGCAAAAAAAAAAAAAAAACTCAATTTTTTTTCTTTTAGTTCCTTGGGTTTTTTTCTTTGCCGCCTTTCGCAAGCTGTTTTGTTTGCTTAGGCGTTGCTTAGAGGAGGGCTCTCCGCTTATCTTTCTTATCTCCTTGCGCGCGACGCACGACCCCCGTAGCCAAACTGCGCTGTGCAAAAAAAAGAAAAAAAAGAAGAAAAAGCTCCTCTTTTTCTTTTGTTTTTTTCTCAGTTCCATGGTTTTTTTTTTCTTTCTTTCTTTTCGCCCCCTTTCGCAAACCATTTCGTTTGCTTAGAGGGCTTCTCCGCTCCTCTTTCTTACCTCCGTGCGCGCGGCGGCGCGCGAACCTAAAGTCCAGACTGCGCTGTGCAAACAAAAAAAAAGCTCCTCTCCATGTTTTTTTTTTTTTTTTTTTTTCTTGCTTTTGTTGGATCTGTGCGAATTGTTTTCGCCCACGCTGCCCATGCATTCGCGACCTCGCTGCACCAGGATAGAAAAGCGCGTTCATTTCGCGCGCGTGGGGGGAGGGGGTCAAAATTTTGACCTCAGAGTTGGGGGTACGTTTGTTACACGAGTGAAAAAAAAAAGTCAAAATTTTGAGAGCCGACTTGGGGGGGGTGCGTTCATTACGCGAGTGCGTTCATTGTGCGAGTAAATACGGTATATGGTTTCAACAAGAGCCAGCGAATAAAACCTAAGCGTAGTTTATTGTTGGCTGCCTTGCCTGAGTCCTGAGGTACTTGAGGGTGGGGTTGTCGTCCCTGGCCAGGGGGCGGGGCCTCTTTCTGGGCTCCGCCTTACCCTCTGCCCCTCCCCCGGCAGTCAGCCCTCCTTCCACGTCGTGCACTAGGCAGGTGGCGCTGCTGTGTAGGGACCGGGCTCCGTCCAGGGCACGTTCCAGCTTCTCTAGGTTGTGGGCCAGGCTCGCCTTGCGTCGCAGTGGCGAGCTGGGGCCCGTGATGATCTGCAAGGCACCGGAACAATGCGAGTGCCCTGTTTTCCAGACTATGCACGTTTAAAAGTTAAAAGTTTACACAATGCAGACTATGCAACGATTTGTCTTTCAAGGTCGTTCATTATCACGAGACGTCGTGAATTTTGCGAATGACAGGTTATGTTAGTGATGATTTCTGTATGATAAGAGCGTTTTTGTGAATGAATTAATAAAGCCGCCATTTTTTAAAGTGCGCCGCATATGAGAATTTTACGTGCAAGCTATGCACCTGGTCTGGACCATGTGTAACGCATGTCTGGACTGTCTAAAAAAAGTAAACTTCTATTTTTCGGTCTAACTTTGTCCTGCGGACTATACGCCGGATGAGGAAAAATAGGCTACTTGAAATGCTCATTGGTGGGAATGCCCAAAGCCTTTTGAAGCAAATGTTGTAGCAGAAAAGCCTACTTTAATTTTTTTTTTTCTTTTTCAGAGAGTTAAAGTTTAGCTATCTTTTCTTTATCATTTTCTAATGTATATATATTTTTTTTTCCTTCAATTCCTTTTGACTAAAGTGGTGTTTGCAGTGTGATGGGCATCCATCGCACTGCATGAAACGGCGGCATCCATGAAACTGAAACGGCGGCATCCATGAGACAATAGGGGAATGGCGGCTCGAGGTGGAGGAATCACTCTAAAGCTCAATGCAGACACCTCTCTCACCTTCTTGAATTTCTTGTCCTTCTTTCCACCTTCCTTGTCTTCCTGCTGCTTCCCAATGTCTTGGATGAGTCCAAAGTCGTCTCCGTAAACCTTCAAAAAGGAAATGCCGCAGATGGGAGCAGCAAAAAACCTTCGGCTGCCCGACCCAAAAAGTGCTGGCTTGCGAGAGCCTGTGCAGGCGTACCTTTCGCACGCTCTTTGCGAGGCGGTTGCAAGCTCTCATCTGTCGCCGGTAACACGTAAAGTGGCAAAACTGCTGGTGCGTGCAGGTGAAGTTCAGGGTACCACACAGTTGGACTATGACCTGCAACGATGGCGTGGGAAAACCATGACAAGGTTGCGGGAACCGATATTTATGAGACTCCAACACCAGCGTCCATAATTACGATCCCCCGGATGGCAAAGAGAACTCCAAATGTTGGTTCTCACAACTCCAATTGAGTGTCGTCGGCACTGTTGCAGCCGTTTGTGACAACTCAGGACGGGGAAACGCACCAACACAGTCTGTCCAGTAGCTCTGGAACCCTCCCAATTTGAATATTATTAGACCGGAGGCTTTACAGTAGGTATTTGCAAGTTAGAATCACCCTACGAAAAATGGTCACTTATAACATTGTCAAAATTATTTCAAGTGCAGGGTAGAGAAATTATGCGTAAAATATGTGCAGACTGGAAATGTTCCAGGGCTACCTGACAGGTGGCGCTAGCGTACCCTCTCGTCATGAGTGGCTTTAAGGGACTGAGTTGCTTGTCTAAGTTGAGCATACGGTCACTGATGGTTGGAAAACAGCTTGGAATGATTGCACAAAGAGACGAGACAAGACAAAGTTGACTATATGTACTATTCTTTAGTTTAGTATATTATCTGCCTCGTGTAGCGTGAATGAGGAAGAAGACTAGACCGAGGTATGAGGAAAATGAAATACTAAAGAATAGATGAGAGTCAGCTTTGTCCTGTCTCTTTGTGTAATCATTTAATGTTCAAGCCGTTTCCCAACCATTGGTGGCCACAAGGAGTCGCAACGCAGTCAATAACACCCAGATAAAAACCTGTGAAAGCTCGTGCTGCGGAACCAAGAGCGTTTGAATTGTGTTGCCATCCAGCCAGTTTCTGTATGGAAGGGTATCATACCGGCATGCATTCACGACATCATTACTGAGGTGATGCATATTAACCCTTTAACCATTCTTGAATTTGGGGAATTTCTGATCCTTAACTGCCTCTTGTCTTTACCTGTTGTCTTCAAAATTAGATTTGTTTCCAACAAAATCAAGTTTCTAGTCACAAACAAGATGGGAGAAATATGTTTTCTAAACTTCAGCGCTGCCATCTACCTTAGTTTAGTGCTGCCATGGCTTAGTTTAACGCAGAGCTTCAAACTAAGCCATGAGCGAGCCTGGTTCGTCCAAAACAGTTACGTGCGTTAACTGGGGAAAGCAGACGAGCTATACTCGTCCAGAACAGTTTGGTGATGGCCCCACGTTGACAAGCTAAGCTTGTCCAAAAAGGTTAAGGGGTTACAGACCTCAGGAAAGCAGCCGTACTGCATTGAACAAGTACCACCTCTAAAGCATTGAAGCAGTGCCACCAAGCCTCAAAGGTGGATCGACCTTTCGTCGTATGAACATTCGTAACATCCAATTTCCTTTGCTTTTACTTTAGTATACAGATAAAAAAACACCCTTGACTATAAGGAGCAGTGCCCCGAGCAATTTTAAGTATGGCAGACACCAAGCACCAAAACAAACAATCTTCGATATAAGCATAGTTTAGAAAAGGACTAGCCACGTCCGTGTGTCAATCGGAACAACAAAGCAAAGATTTTGGGAGACTCCCCTAGAGAGGAGCGCAACCGACGGTATGCTGCTCTGCGCCTCACTCTAAAGCTCTGAACAGCACACTGGGATTAACTTTAGACATCTGCAAGGTTTTGAAGAAATGGTGTATACAAAGAACAAAACCTGAGGCAAATGCCTCTTTTGTGCACTGCTACCCTGTCCTGCCTTTCGATATTGCACCAGAGTCTCTTTGACACGTTCACGGTTGGTGCATTCTCTTGGCTGTTTCGATCCCAAACGCAGGTTCTGCTGAACTCCCATAGTAGGTGTACTAACCCTTTGAGTGGCATGCCCGAGTATACTGGGGCACAGTTGCGGTTCGCTCCCTGCCCTCCCATCTGGGCTGTAATTTCATTTTACTTGTAGCGGCGTGTAAGGGCAAGCAATAAAAACAATGTTTCATCTTGTGGTGTCACTTTTTGACGGCATAACATTTTTAACAGCAATAGCTGTTATCGGCTCTTCCCACCCCTGGAAATGATGTCTGTTGTTAAGATGTAGTCAATGTTGCAGTTGTAGTTGTTGAAGTTGCAGTTGGCATAGTAGGGCATAGGGTGTGTGTCATCGATGTTGCCAAATCTTTAAAGAAGATTGCCTGCAATCCAGAGAAATCAAACCTGGGTTCACCTCATGCAAAGCGGACGCATTACCACAGAGCTATGCCACAGTGTTAACAACCTGCTTTATACTACTTAAAAATTTTGTACTACTCATAAAACAAATTCAAAAAGTGCCAATAACAAACATTGTTGTAGCACTGTCGATGCCAAGAGCTTGTGCCGGGACATGAGCTTTCACATGCTCCAGAACCAAAAAGAAACAAAAGCGTTTGGAAGAAAATGGTCAGATGTCTATTATGTTCCGAACACTTTATTTCATGCACCCCACAGTGGGTGAACACGACGTCGATGCTTAATGACTTCGCCGTGACGCACCATAGTTAGTGCTGTGACTTTACTCTGGATTAAACGCAGGACTGCCCTATTTTTTGTTTTTGTTTTGGTGACTTCTGTTCTGGTATGCTCCTTCGCTGTTAAAGAATGGCAAATCTTAGGTCGTTCACCCTCGTGCTTCCTGGCGAATATTAAGGTCTAGAAATTACTAATGAACTCAGTATTCGACAACTGTGACAAGACCACTGTGAAAACGAGGAAGTTACAGTTCCGAATAAACAAAAAAATGACCGCATCTCCACGTGGTGAAGGATGCTGATTGGGGCAAAGCTCTGGTGGTGCTGATGATATTGATTTTATTGTTCATAAATAGTGCTAATGGTGCCAATTTTTTTTTATTGCTCATAGGCAGTGTTGAGTTCCGGGTTGCGTTACAACTTCATTATTACTGCTTTATGGTCGGCAAAATGCAGAGCTGAAGGTTCTTCTAGCGGATCAGCTTGGATCCGCTAGAAGCCGTGGGAATGCATCTCCACTGCTTAAGTTAACGGTCCATGTCAGAAAGAGAATGTGTGGTATGGATCGTGGTTATATATGCAGTTGAGCGCCCTCTCGTCTATTGAGCCAATGCACGCAAAGTTTAACGTGATTATATACGCATTTGACTGCAGTGCCCTCTCCTGTATAGACGTTGAGCTGCAACATAGACGTTGAGACATGCAACGTTTCATCCATGACAGAAATTCCAGCTCTTGTGTTACTACCACATCTCAGAGCCCCCTACTCGTCGCGCAGTCGTGGCCGAGTGGTTAAGGCGATGTACTAGATATCCACTGGGGTCTCCCCGCACAGGTCCGAATCCTGTCGACTGCGCAAACTTTTTTTCTTTTTTTAAGATGACAGATGGGATGGCAATCGATGTGAGCGTGGACGCCGGACAAACAAGGCTAGGCCCTAAGGAGCTTCGCCCCTAAAACCGAGTAAGACCGCTCAAAAGAGACCTAGGGTTTGACGTTGAGGTGCCATTGCATAGTACCGTTTCTTGAAAACAAGAATATGAGAAATATATATCATAGGTTGGAGGCATGCAGATGTCGATTAACTTTTTACCCGTAAAATAAGGTGTCTTCTATAAGTAAAAATTCGCCACACAGCATGCTACAGTGGGTCTTTGAGCAACTTCTTGCAGAAAGTGGGGGGTTTCCCTCTTTCTCGAATGAAAAGGAGGAATTGAGGGAGAGTTTTCTCTTTTCTGCTTGTTAACCGACCTTTAACACACTGCAGCTTGAAGCATATCAAACAAAGCTTCATGCAGTAGAACCCAGGCAACTGTAACAAGGTGTGTAGTTAGGTTAATTGGTTGGTCACACTGAAATGGTATTAGAATGGCGAAAAAAAAAAAAAAAGGAGGACCAGAGGAAGGAGAACACAGACAGTGTTGACTTACAGCTGAAAAAATTTACTTCTGTCCGGTACAGCAAGTAAACATAAAAAGAACAGGATAGGCAAAAAAAGAAGCAATCAACCCGATAACACACCCCTCCCCCACCATGCCGACACACACCTACACATACTGGCAGATACTGGCAAACTCGCTTCTGTGCTGTGATAAAATCTTAATGTCATCAAAGAGCAGAGAACGTGTACATCTATCACAATGGACCGTGAGGCAGCCAAACCCGAAAATCCTGGGTTCGGTCCCCACTCCCAACAAATTCAATCTGGATGAGCATCGTACCACCGTGCGTGGTCGTGTCCCACCACTGCATGGTGCATGTTAAAGACCCCAAGCTAGCGGTCATACCACAATGGCTAAATTCCTTGTCTACAGAGGAGACACCAGACTAACTTCCTGCCGTCTAAACGTACATAGGACGCAGTCACTGTGCGACAGAGCCGTTCGTGGGTTGAGGTTTCCAAGGCCTCCGAAACCACCCCCTTGCAACGAACTGAGGGGGCACTCGCCTTGAGCCAGGGCATCCTGGCGGCGATGGCGGCGGCGTCCTCTCCGTCTGCTGCGAGCAGGTCCACGGGGCTCTCTGGTGCTGGCTCGTCGCTGAGCACTCCCGGGCTCTCCTCCCCACTCACATCCGCCCGCTCGCTCGTGTCGCTCCGGTCAGAGACCGCGCTCACCTTGCGCCGGGACTTGATGCTCTCCGTCCTCCTCAACCCTGTGGACACCCGAGCATGTCCCTGAACGTGGCTGAATGAGCTTAAAGTATCCACGCTCTGTTCCCAAGAATGTATCGTAGAGTTAATAGAATGATCTGGATGGAAAAGTCCTGCAAATTTTGGCCACTTCAGAACAGCGGGACATAGACGTGGGCGTTGGTGGCCCCCATGGGACCGTGTTGCTGGCTACGCTCTGGTATACACAAAGAAGAAGGAAAACGTCACTTGCAAGGTCTGTACCTACGATAGTGTTTTTCTAGATTTATTCTGCAATAATCCGCCGGCGTCGCGCATTGTATGAGAATAAATGAGGTTGACGAGCACTCTAACAAGTTCCACTTGTCACGGCAAAGCAGACACGCCAAACCTGTCGTCTGCTTTCTTTTCCCAGTTTTCTGCCACTCTCTTTCTTGTTCTTCCTCCCGGGACAACCGATGCCAGGCGCTTATGATTTGCCACACTCTGCTCGTCTCTTTACCGGCCCCGTTTTGTTGCCTCATGCAGAGCAGGAGGTGCAGATGGTGACAGTTATGATTCAAAAATGCAACTTCCTGGGCTTTTGGTATGCTGTCGAGAAGCTCAGACAACATCGCTTCGATCTGTCGCCGAATGCTTCGATATTGCTAGAGAAGGGAAAAGCGCTTTTGTCACAGGGTGAGGCGTCGATCCTGTAGGTGTAACTTGCTGAAGGGAAGCCGTAATTCTGCAGTGCCAAAAAATTGCTAAAAATTGTTTTTCAGGAATTATAGCGATTTTGAAATCTACAACTATTTTTCTTCTGATCTGCCAAGTTTCTTAATTTCTGGACAAATATTTATCAATCAATTTATAATATCTAAGCCGGCTGATATTGCACTGAAGTTGACGCTAAAACAGTGTTTTTGTAAAACACAAACTGTGGACTTTTGCTAACGTTCACTAAGGATATCTCAGCATCTAGGGCAAATATAAATATAACTTCTTCCGTAATACGTAGCTAACTGTGTGAACCATACTATGATGAAAGCTTATTATTCGATATAGGCGTAAAAAAAATTTTAAATGACCTATTGTTTTATTAGTACAGTCACACGTTGAACATTGAATTTCAGCGAGTTGTAAAGTCACTAATAATGGTTTAATCTATAGAGTACTTCCAACATTGTGTTCTTAATACTTTGAGTATCTATAGTCTGTTGCAACTCAAGAAGACAGGACGACGGAAGGGCAGGCCGGGGACGAGGAAGCGGACGCGACGCTGCAGAAAGGAGGTTTCCCCCTCTCCTTTCTAGCGTTTCGTCTGCTTCTTCCTCCCCGGCCTTCCTTTCCCTCGCCCTACCTTCTTGAGCGGTAACTTATTACAACCATATGTTAGGACATGATTTTCTTAAATAGCTTTTCCCCTACTGTGTTTGCAAACAAAAAATTACTGGTTAAATTATCCTGAAGACTGACATGATTTTAGAAAATTATCAGACATTTGAAAACGGCACAAACAACTGAACAGGCTTGTGCAGTTTCATTGGGCTTGGTAACAAAGTAAGCAAGAAAGCTCCGAGACCAGTGTTCATACTTAGGCGGCTCTAGCCGACCCTACAAGGAAGGCCACGGGCGAAGTGTCATGGGCTTGGGGCACTAACCTCCTTCCTCCTCATCTTCGGCGAACGTCGAGGAACGTGCCCGGGACTTGCGGTCGCCGGGCTTCTTCAGCTTGAGGCTGCAGCGCTTGAAGCTCGAGTTGTGGCCCGCACAGGAGCCCCCCGCCCTGCGCAGCAGGTGGGGACGCCCCTGGGCAATGCGCCGGCCTGCAGCCGTGGCTTCCGTCAGGGAACATTCTTTGATTCGTTTCGTTCATTTCGAGAGTACTCTTTTTTATGGCGATAGATGTTATGGGCTCTTCCCTCCCACCACCCCCCTCAAAACGATGTTCAGTGCTCGTCTTGGTGTCACGGGACGATGTGGTGACGTCATGGTGTAACGTCATGGTGTAGCGCAACATAAAATTTAAAAGAACGTGAGGGCGCAAGTAAGCTGGTGTATACTGAACATTTTGAAGCAACTTGACACTGAGGAAACACTAAAGTTGACACCAAAAAAAGAGGAAGAGAATGTCTCAAAGAGATGAAGAAGGTCTGTTTGAGATTTCCTCCTTCTCGTCTCTTGGTGTCACCTTTCGTATTTCCTGCCTCGGGTTGCTTCAAAATGTTAAGCTCCATAGAATTTCTATAAGCGCTCTATAAACCCTTTTCATTAAAAGCAATGGAAGGAGGCACTGTTGTCGATTGACATTCCCACGAACTTTCGGTCATACGAGGACAAACAATCCCCACCATAATGCCACATCTTGCGATGTTTGTGAAATATTTTATGACCAGGTGAATATCTAAAGGACCGGTTAGCGAGAGATTTCTTGGAGATTTTTTTAATACTCCCGTAAAACAATCTATCCACTCTTATGTGTCTTATAGCGCAGCAGAGGGACATCGCTAGAACCCCAACTTTGCAATTTCTGTAGAACTTTATCGTCCCAGAAATTTTGACACCATCAGGCTTGGAAAGCCTGCCGAAATGGAGCGGTCGAAGCCTCTGGGGGTCAAGAGACGGCTTGCGTTTATGAACAGTAAAGGTCCATAGAACTTATATGAAAACTGTAAAAATTAATATTATAACTTCTACAAAATTCTATAGAAACAATCTATAGACATAAACACTCTATAGAAATTCTATATAAATCAAGTCTAGGGAAATTCTGTGTGAATCATCACTTGAGGTCATGATGTCACATGACTAGCCACGCGACATCTAGCTACCGTAAAGTTCTGAGAGAACGCCCGCCCCCGAGAAATCACCCATCCCGTTTTTTTGGCTAAATATCTGTAACGTGAAAATTCCAATACGTCGCCCACCCCCCCCGGTTCCCGTCGGACGTTACGCAATGCCCAAGGTCAATCGCAATAACCGAACGAATTGCTGTACCGGCATGTTTGACAATCGAGTTCATAGCAGGTTCCTACGTTATTCTTCAAGATCTGCATGCACGATATCGGCTTTCGTAACACGCGAGTTGTTCTTGCGTGTATGTTGCACCGTGAACTGCTGCGTCCGCAATCTGCGATATCCGTTCCCGTTACAAAGTTTGTAGCGGATTCCCGCGTTTTTGTCCGTGATCTGCGCACGCAATCTCGATTCTACGCGAGCTGGTCCCATGTGTATATTGCATCATAAAATATGATTCAGCTGCATTTGCGGTGTTCTTTCCCGTGAGATGAGAGTTCTCAGCAGGTTTCCGCGAGTCCTTCGCAGCATGAAACGCAACCCGCGGTATCAGTTCCCACGTCACGTAGTTTGTGGCCGGTGCCAGGGTGTTTATCAATAATTTTTCATAAAGTTTTGCTATGGCATCCCCAAAGATGGCCCAGCCCATGTTTTTCACCATTTATTTCTTCATTTTGGATGGGCGTTCTTTCGGAACTTTACGGTAGATAGTTTCATAGTCATAGAAAAGTGTGTCACTTTCCGGGCAAACGTAGGCGATGGTTTCACCACGTAAGGTGCAACATACATGAGTGTACAATAGGGTCCGATAAGCTATCACAGTTGTCGCTGTGACTGCACTGTGGATTCATGCAGGACTGCTCATTTTTTTCAATTTGCAGTTGAAGAATGAACTTGACCATAGCACAGTAATACTGTATAAAAGATTCCAAATTACTTATTTTTAATATTTGATAAAGGAACGTGATTAATGCTTTCATTCCTATGTTATAAACTGCCTTTTCTTAATAGTCGAGTTTAATGGTTGTATACTTGTGCACAAATGTGTGCATTTCTGTGTACACATGCAGAATGTGTTTCCTTTTCCTTCAAATGATTACTACACACCTTGACCACACTCCTGCAAAAATGCTCTTTGAGCATGCCTTCGGCATGAATGAATAAATAAAGGCATTCAGTTATTTCCAAAGGTCCACGAATAGCTCGAAGCCTTTTTAATGGTGTGAGAAAACAAAGAACCACCACGAGACACACGAGGCCTTAGAAAATTCGTACTTCCCACCACTGTTATTTCTTACCTGAAGACGAATAAATTAAACGAGCGGAAAGACAAAAACAGAGCTCCAGGATGTCTACCATAGAAATTATGTTTCTAAATACCGTGACAATTTTACAAACTCCCTAACCCAAAGGTTCTCAAACTTTTTGGCCTCACGAAACCCCAGGAAGCCTCAAAAACTGCCGCGGAACCCCCCCTCCTCTCCATATTTGTCAACCGAGAAGAAACAGATGCACAATTGTAGGCAAGTTTGCTTGTGTTGCTTCCCATATATCCCCACCATATCAATCGAGATGTCAGCACAAAGTGAGATGAAGGCACTTTGCATGGTCCTGCCATCTGCCGTGCAGCCTGCGGCATGGGGGTGTGGTTGCAATTTGGGTGTTCACGGAACACATGAGACCAGCTCGTGGAACCCCTGTGTTCCCCGGAACCCAGTTTGAGAACCCCTGCAACCTATTTGAAAAAAGAATCATGACTCTAAAGCCAAAGACATCCGATGCACAGGAACAAAACATCCGGACATCCTGAGGAAGTCCGCAGAAGTATGAGTGCTGCCAAGGATCCCTAGTACAGAGCAAACAATTTTATTATAGACGAAATGAACTAAAATACACATAAAAAATCATCTGAGAGACTGTCTTACATGTTTCAAGCAAGGTCTCTCAATTGTAAAAAGCTCACCACCCCAAAAAAAAATATTTTTTCATCGCAAAGATAAACTAAGCATCATCAAATACTCGGCTGTCTGGACCAGATGCCAAAGTTTCAGAATTTTAGCACTTATCACAAACTTATTCATAATTACGAGTGATTTCCTGAAAATTTCCATCAGAAAATGAAGCCCACTCCCGAAAGTTGACGTCATTCATCCCCACATATTCGTGGGCTTTGTCAGCCACGGTTTTGCCATCTAAAATTTCCGAAAATCGCTTTTAAATTTTTTCAATAAGACAACGGTTCATCTGGAAACCTTGGCACCTGGTTTTGACCGCTAGCGCTACAACTGGGTGGAAACCGAGTGCTCGACGACACATATTTTATTTTTGCGGTGAAAAATATAATGTATGCTTTTGTTACGGGGACATCCTGTGTGTCGGTTTAACAAGAAGGGAGCCTCACCTCGTTTTTCGTCTGGAAGGACAAGTTCCTCTGGCACGTTGACCGTGTTGTTGCTGCTGTTCTCCGACTCTCCTTCTGCGTCTGCTTCGTGCAGCACAAAGCTGATCCTTCTCTCTCCTACCACCACTGCAACGAGACAGAAAACACGACCCAATGTCAGGAGGGGTCTACCAACACTGGCAGCCATGCTGGAAAAATGACATACCGCAAACAGAGCACCCAAATATTAGGCTACAGTTTAGAGTAATGACTTTTTGGCCATTTTGGTACACAGAATGACCAAAATGGTCATTTTATGCACCAAAACATACACGATGCATGGAACGATTTCAGTGTAAAGAGAGTAGAAAAGAAAACTGGAAAAGACGGGGTATCGGATTCTGCAAATTGCAAGAAGAAGAGAAGTGACAGCAACTAAGTTTGGCAAGTGGTCACCCGCCTCGCTTTGGCACGGCTGGGATACTCTATCCTGCAGCCCAGATTGCCACCAGTGCCAACGTCACGTGGACTGCCAGTCGTTAGCGATGACCAAGTAAACAATGGGGGGGACGACGTGAATATAGGACTTGACTTTGGGACGATGTTCAGTTCGGGTTTCTGACATTTCACTTAATTTCATTCTTCTTGCAATCATAGTCGTTTTTGTTGATGCGCGTGAATATCAGTGTTCCATTACCATCTACGTTTGTCTCTCCTCCACTTATTTCGTGTGTCGTTTCGGGCGAACGTGACAATTGGCGAGTTTGCCAGGATCCCTTCTTCATTCATGATGTGCCACTCTTGCCAGCACGTTTTCGTTTGAATACAATTATTTACTCTTCAAGAGCAGCTGCGGTATGCAACGTGACAGTGTATTTTCCGTAACCGCCACACACGGCTGCAGATGAGCAAATAATGTTTTTTCTTTTGCAATAACGCAGAATAACAGTCTCTTGGGGCAAGATGAAGCGTTTTTTTGCATAGATTTATATAATGTACGCTAGAGGTTCAGCTGCCACTAGTGTGCTGTCGCAAATTGAAGCAGAGAGCAGCAAGTCGGAAATTAACTTCCAGTAATGCACTTCCATGGAAAAAAGCTAGTGCATTTTCTCCCTGCAATTGATCATAAGAGCAAATATCATGAATAATTCATACGTACTAGGTAACTTGAAACTTTTCTCAGTCAAGCAGATGAAAGAATTGGCCAGTTACAGTGTTTTTTTATTTCAAATTCATGGCATTAAAACGTTGCTAAAATGGCCTCAGACATGTATTTATGTGCACTGTCGGACACTGTTAGCACGAACAGAGCATCGGCGCTTTCTAGCATGGCGGATATACGAGCCAAACGAATGAAGGACATCTGAGAAATTAAGAGAGATGGCAAGAACTATGCAGTAACACTGGATCAGTAACTCCTTATGCAAGCAGATGATCAAAATAAATTGAAGGCTACGTAATATAGTCTGATTTGCCATAAACAAGTGCTTCTTTAATCTATCTGCTCATGAATATGTGCAAAGATGCTTGTTCTGCGTTTAAATTACATCACCTGCACGCTCAAAATTTTTTTAAATATTGAGAAGCCAGAGGACAGGTTCCCGATAAAAGTTGCCCGGCATAGGAAATAAGAAGACACACCTTTCATGTAGCTCACATACTTCATTCTTTATGTTCACTTTATGTTAGTGACAGGACGTGCATACAAGAAATATATAAGCGCCATCGGAATGCTGTCAAACCTTGAACACACTCTACATTCCTTTCTAATGTTATTAATGCGAAAGCATTAACTGTCCCATGGAGCGAACCGACGTCATCAGCTTTGAAACCAAGCCAAATGTTGGCTGAACGATACCTAAAATCCCCTTTCCCAAGTGAAGCCGAATTCTGATGGATTATGCTCCCATTGGCTGGCGTGCGTCATCAAGGAACGAGGCTCCCATTGGCTCTCGTGCGGCACAGTTCCATAAAAAGCCACCAGAGCAGACGAACTAAGGGAGCGGAAGAACGACATTCATGCTTTTGCATTCACAATTCATAAGTGCTTATAGTCCGTTGCAACCTAAGAACGAAGGGCGAGGGTAAGACGGGCCGGGGAGGAGGAAGCAGACAGGACGCTAATGAGAGAATGAGGTTTCCCTCTCTCTTCTCCAGCGTCCTGTCTGCTTCCCCCTCCCCGGCCCATCTTACCCTCGCCCTTCGCTCTTAGGTTGCAGCGGACTATAGGTGTCCTCGGATTTTTTTTTGCTCAGAATCGTCGCTCGTTTTTACATACCTGCAATGGAACCGAGGTTTGGGCCAGAAATAGAGCAAAGTTTAACCTCGTTCACTTTTACAATGCTAATAAAAGTACAAACTATTTGGTACAACCAAAATACCAAAAGTGATCCTTGTTATTTTTCAGGTAAGAGACAAAATGCACGCTCGTTTTTCCATGAAAATGCACAGGAACACTGCAAAAGTAGGCTGTTTGCTGCCTGCTTCAATTTGCGTCCCGGAAATAGCATAGACACTAGCTCCAGTTAAACCTCTAGTGTACATTGTAATAACCTTATGGATTATTGTCGCTTGTGCCTAGATAAACAATATAAAAAATAAAAACTGCAAATTCTTTCAACATTAAGACTTTGCACTACACTTTTAAGGAAGGTATAATTTTACTCTTGCAAACAGTAAAATGCCTGTCAAGTAGTTTTCAAATCAAGATAATCCATAACCCTTAACTGTCGCTCCCGGCGACCAGTGCGGCAGTGGTGTATGCATCATCAGTTTCACACGATGTAACTGAAAGATGTGGTAACGTTAGATCTGAACGCTCTCTATTGCACAGCGTCTATGGAAAGTTCTGCAACTAAAGTCTTCTAGTGCTGTCGAGTTTTTAACACCCTCCATCGTACAGCATCCATGGGAAGTTCCACAACTGAAGCCTTCTAGTAACGTTAAATGTCAAAAGCTCTCTGTTGAACAGCATCTACAAAAAATTCCACAACTGAAGTCATTGGCTTTCGAACGCTATCCATTGTACAGTGTCCACGGGAAGTTTCGCAACTGAAGTTATTTGGTAACGATGTATTTGGTACCCTCCTCGTGTATGGAGTCTAGGCTAAGCTCTGAAACTAAAGCGATCTATAGCAACGTCGGCAAGAGAGAGGGTGCAACCCAACAGACCTGGGTGGGTCTGCTCGGCGAGCGAGACCAGGCTGTGGGCCGAGGTCTGGCTCACGCCCAGAGTGCTGAGGGCCATGCTCCAGCGACGGTTGGCATTCACACTACGAGGCTCCATCGGCGGGCGCTCCCGCGTGGACGTGCGCAGGCCGGCCTTGTGGGGCAGCAGCTGGTATGTCTCTCGCAGGAACGCCGTCACCTCCAGCAGCAGCTGGCACGCTGCCATCTTCAGGGCAAATGGGCACCCGCTGCCCGCCGGGTCGATGCTCGCTGCAAGCGGAGGGTCATGTTCAAGGCACCTCATTTTTCGTACATACCAAGTTACCCCCAAAAGTAGCCTTTGAGCTGGTTAAATCGTAATCGAAAGACACAACAAAAACTCCCCCAACAGATGTTATCAAAAATGGGGGAAAACCGACTAAACCCCGAAAAATATAATTCTCGAGCCGGTTTAACCAATATCGGGGGAAACGGAGAACCCTTCTCAAAGTAACCTCCAAGCGGTTTTGTCAGAATCTGATAAAACCAACAAACCACAAAAGTAAACCCCTATGCAGTCTTGTCAAAATCGTGAAAAAATGAAAAACCACGAAATTTTATCAAAATGAGAAAAAAACGGAAAACCCTGATTGGAAGCTGTCCGTGCACAAGAAAAACACGAGTTTCATGGGAAGAAATCTTTATCTACTGTTTTATCTGTTGTTGACAAGAAACATCATCCCCCAACTACCTCATGAAATATCTACGAAGTATTTTTTTAAGTATTCAAATCACCCATGTTCCCTTGAAGGTTGGGGAACCTAAAGCCCCATCTTATACGTAAGCACCGATTAATGCTGATCTTTTTGTCCGACACCAAAGTTTGCTGCTGAAAAACACCATATCTAGCTGTAGGAGGAAATAAACTCTACACCCCCACCCCCCCCCCATTTAAAGAAAGCCAAACTCCAAAAACAGGAAACCCTTGAGAGCCATATTTATCTTGGATCAGGAGAACCGCGGCACTGCATCCAACGATGTTGAGATGACACAAGATGGGCACAGAACGAGCTTCTCGAAAGATTACCCGAGTAGCCCTAATTCTCCAATAAAAGATTCACCTCATATTTAAAGGGTGCGCACAACAAACCCTAGCACTCTAAAAGCCGAAAAAATAAGTGCCTGTACATAGAAAGGAAAGGTGGATATTACCTTATTAGTTGCCACCGGCGTAACCGTGAGGTCACGTGACCTTCGAGACGTCGCATGACCCTCAGGACCCCCTGAGGGGTCACGTGACCCCCCTCAGGACCCCCCTGAGAGGGTCCTGACGAACCCCTGAGGGGGTCAAGTGACCCCTCAGGACCCTTTTCAGGAAGGTTACGTGACCCCCCTGAGGGCGGTCACGAGGATGTTTCGGCACAGTGCCGAAACGTCATCACGCCGAAACGTCACCGCAATTATACCGACGGCGACGGCGCCACTATTTACGCCACGAACGGGCGCCTAAGAGCTGCGCTCTAAAGTAACTCTTTGTACATGGGTGAGTACAGACTTGCCGGTATATATGGAGGTATTCTAAAGAAATATATTAATTCACGGTGCCGGATCTATTTCTAAGGTGCAGAGTCAATCTTCTCACAAAACTCTGTATTTATTTGAGTAATAGAAACACCGCTCATGAACAAAGCCTGCACGTCCATTTTTTGGTGTGGATTGCCAATCATCACAACTGCATTCTTACTTCATGTGGACACACTTCACCAAGGCCAAAAGTAAGCACTTGCTTGTTGGTAGGCCACAATTCCTCCGCAAGTATGGTGGGCTAGTAGGTGAGGTGTGGTGATTGCCTGCTTCTCCCAACGACCGATGGCGGTCCCACAATTCAAGCTTTACATGTCACTATACCGTGTTACCATCTGCAAGCTGGCAGCAACGCCACAATGGCACAAACCAGGTAATTCTTCACAAACTGGGTTCTACATCGAAAGGAGCTAGACAAGAAGTACAAAAGTTTGAGGACACCTAAGCACTTCTTATGAGTCGTGAATGCGAAATCATGAATGTCATTCTTCCACCCCTTAGTTTGTTTGCAGCGTAGTGGCGTGGTCGGCCACGTTTCGGCACTGCCGAGGTAGCGGCCAACGGTCGAGCGCACACTCTCGTGCTGTGGCTGCGCCGCACTGAGCTCGGCCATGCAACCTCTGCAGAGTTTACCCGGGCAAGCTCTGGGGCCAGGCCCACACCGCCGCACCTCGCCAAGCCGGTGCGTACGCTGTGCCGCCACGAAGGGGGCTTCTCTGGTGGCGGTTTTTGAAACTAAACTGCACAAGAGCCAATGGGAGCCTCGTTCTTTGATGACACGCGCCAGCCAATGGAAGCCTATCCATCAGATATCGGCTTCCCTTCTCTCCTTTTGGAGAGGTGAATATAGCTGCCATTTAGCGTGGCTTTTTGCGCAGCTTCAAAGCTTGGAGGCTTCATATCGCGGCTTCATTTCGCTTTATTGGGACAGGAGAATTTAGCTACCGTTTGGTGTCCCTTCAAAGCTGATGACATTAGCTCGCTCCATGGGACAGTTAATGCTTTTGCACTAAAAACATAGAAGGGGTCAGTTCCCATTTTGCAGCTGAACTCAACAGAATGAGATAAAATGCTCGACCAGCCGATTTTTTTAGCACCTTCCCCTCCTTTTCTAGCTCTGGAGTACAAGGTGGCACAGCTTCCTGCACACAGATGGTGCCACGCCCTCTAGGCTCTAATCGCATTACCCCCACTATGGCCGCAGCTCCCCCTTCTAGCCCACAGTACCAGGAGAAAAACCTGGTCAAGGCAAGAGGAGGGGGTGAAAAGAGGCCGGAGACGTAGCGTACCCTCGTCCAGAAAGTCTTCCTCCTCGTCCTCCATCCTGCACTGGCGACGCTTTTGTTCATCTGCAGCCAGGGCTGCCAGCTCCAGAGGGTCCAGCACCTCACTTTGGAGCATCTCCTCGAGCCTGGCCCCAATGGCCTGGACAACCGGAAGACAAGACATCAACCAACCACCCCGAGTTCTTTTCTTCCGAGATGTGAGGTACGTCAATGCGACTAAAGACAAGTTCAAATTACCTGAATACTTTGCATGAAGCCAAATGATGCAGAATGTGCCACGTGTTTGTGTCAACCTGTTTGAATTTGTTTCACCTGCTTTGCCTGTTTGGCTTTTAAGGTTTGTGCCCCTATCGGTCACATAGTCACGTGACCACACAACGGGACTTCAGGCCAAGTACGTCGAAGTACACAACACAGTGTCCCGTGATGGCAGTGTCACATGACACCTTGACATCACTGTGTCATGTGACATCAGCGTCGCATGACAGCTTGACATCACCGAGTCACACAACATCCCACGGCCTAATTTTGAAGAGAAAACCCAGGTTATCATGTTAACACAACAACTTCTCCCAATTCTCTTTGGAAAACAGCCTATAAAGGCATTCTGCTTTAACAGCTTTTGCAATTATTCCCCTGCATGAAGGCTACACTTTGCACGAGACAATGCTGTTGAACATGGGTACGACATTCCCATTTCTGCTCACGACTCGAAAACACAAGTACTCTACCGAACGTGTCTTTCTAGAGAGCCCCCCCTTCCCCACACGAGCACTAGCTTCGGCTGCTTTCCAAACTTCGTGGCATCGTAAAGATGTGCCTTAATTCCCCTTTTCTTTGCGTTCGGAGCAAGGGATCATTCAAATTGGTGTGCTTGTTTGTGATTATGGCCAGGGTACACAAAAAAAACTGGCAGAGGCAACTATGGAACATGTCATCTAAGTCTTCTGTTTGCTCTTGCCATACGTAAGATGAGGACGGTAGTCAGTATGATCTCCATTTGAAAAAGGACAAGAAATCGCCTCCTTAGGTCACAGATGGTCAGTGCTGTCTGTGCGACATAGGCCTAAAGCAGGGTGTAAGAGAGGCAGGTGGGGGAAACAACCACTGAAACAAGCCGCAGCAGTGTGACCAGATTGTGTTCTCCTGGTGGCTTCTGCTCGGCAAGTAGCTCCAGTTTACAATAGATGGTGCCGCGGAATACGGAAGGCAATGGACTCGTGTTTGTTTGGAACTCCGCAACAAAATGCACCGTGTCAGCGATATTCTTTAATTTAAATTACCATTCACTAAGTCCCGGCGAAATAAAATTACCGCACGTTTATCTATTGCCATTTTTCTTAACTTTAATGCACTTTTCAAGTCTCTTAAGTGTCTGGCAGCGTGAGGTTGTCTGCAAAACGTCCGACATGCTCTTTGCTATTCGTTTTGTTTGTTTTGCTCCCACAAGCACTAGGAGAAGATGAATTTGGTGGTAGCACACTAAATTGGCATTTCTCGTCGTGTTTTGGTGCCTGGATTCTCAAGATATGGGCCGCTACTGTTGTGTTCCAAACCGTCAAACGGGTTAAGGTGTGAAAAACAGAGCGGCGATATTTAACGCAGGCAACGTTCAGTTCGCGTGACTCTGTCGTGCTGGGTATAGTGTGACTGGAGTGTGGTGCAACGGTATACCGCAGGCTTCAAATCACGTCGAACTAGAACTAACCTCGCTTGCACGTAAACAGCGGAAACTTATACGCCAGACCGCCCAACACATCTGCTGTCGGAGTGGAATCAATGCAGCCGAGGCCATTCACAACACGCCTTAACTGACTTCTCGGCTTGCCCTCATTTTGTTGCGCTGCGTGCCCCCTCAATTATTTTACCTCGTAAGCTAAAACTACGGGCAAAACAGAACCTATATATTAAATACATTATTAGTTTACTCAATTAAACTTGCGTGGCTCACGCGCAGTTTACGAAATAAATTACCAGTGGGTCGCGTTGCCTGTAAACTTAAGGGGGATATTTTGTCGTTTCTTCTTTGCATGGCACCATCTATGCAGAGTGCTACGACGAACCTTCCCGAAGCGGGGCAAACCGTTGGGTCACCCAATCGGCCCTCGTTACCCCACCTGCTCGTCTTACACCCTGGCCCAAAGCAACAGATGCAGTATGTTCTGGGTACGGTGCCTGCAGCACATCTTCGACTGGCGTGTTCAATGTCCCATCCAGCTCGTACATCAAGAGGGGTCCCGAAGAGGCAACATATGATGTCAAAAAAGCCAGCCTGTCGTGTTGCCAGATGTCGCGACCCTGGTGGTTAGTACGATCCAAAAAAAAAGTGTGGGCGAATAGGACTGCCACGGCATCCCAACTCCAGGCTGCCGAAGCTTGCATCAACTGCCAAGCTGGAGAGCGATTCGAGGGACCACTTTCTAGGATGCGGTATGCACGCCAGCCGAAGATGGCACTCCGGGCACCGCCGGGGCGCTTTGAGGAGGGGCTCACCTCCGCCCACTGGAAGAAGAGCTTTCCCGCGGCCCTCTGCAGGATGTGGGTGCGGTGCATGCCCGACGGGGTGCCCCGGTTGGCCAGGGGCCCCGAGGGGCGGAACACCGGCAGGTTCAGCTTCATCCAGGTGGGCCACTGGCCGCGGTTGCACCGGTGCACGAAGTGGGCACACTCCAGGTACAGCGCTGCCCGGGACACCACGGGAGCCTTCTGCAAGACGACGGAGGCAGGCCGGACAGTGCACGTGTTGTCAGAGAGCACTTCGGTTTCTTCAAACCTGCACGTTTTTAGTCACATTGTTAGCGCATAATTTCTTAATTTTTTATGTGGCCTCGATGACGTCACAGTGTCACGTGCCATGTCACAGTGTCTTGTGACACTGGGATGTGATCGGAAAGACACCATAAATCAGCAGCATTGCGGAGCTATCACCTAACTGTCGAAGCAACCTTTTGTTTGTGTGCATTGTATGTGCCTTGTGTATATGTGCATGCCTGCCCTGTATAAATCTGTGTGTTGTGTATAAATGTGTGTGCACGTGCTTGAGTGTGTGTGTATGTGTGCCTATCCATTTTCCCCATGTCCAACTTACAGCACCGCCTGGTCGATGTCAGGGGCGGTGCAACAAGTGCGTGGGCGCAACGCCTTTCCCTGCTCACCCAGATACCGAGCAGCGCTATGCAATACGAAGTGCAATAAATTACAATTACCAATTGCATTTACCGTATTTACTCGAATATAAGTCGACCGCAAGTATAGGTTGATGACTTTATATTAAACTCGCAAAGAATAAAAAAAAAAAGAAAATTTGAATATAGGTGGCTTTGGCCCAAAGTCTCAACACTCTCTCCCCCAGTGGGTCCGATGCTGGGGCAACGGCAACAAGGTTTGACCAGAAAAAAATGGGCAACTTTCTCGCCGGGAGGAAGAGGCGGGGGGGGGGGGGCGATTTGTTCTCTCGTTTTTTCACCCAATCCTTTGAAGGTCATCCTAGCGATATCCCACACTGCCCGGTGATAGTTAAAGGAAGAAAATTGGCTTAGAAGGGGGAGAAGAATCATTGAGCCCGGTTACCGTATTTACTCGCAGAATGAACACACTTTTTTTCTGAAAAATCGATGCAAAGTTAGGGGGGCCGTTCATTACGCAAAGTAAAATTTTTAAGTCCCTATTTACTAGCTTAAAGGGGCCCTGCAAGCACTTTTTTACTGGTTTTTTATTTGCACCAAACCTGAGCGCACTGATCGTAGTTACTTAATGTAACTTTTCTTTTCTCGAATTTCGCTTTATTTTAAAAGTTATAGGCAAATTAAGATTACAAAAACAAGCAAAAAATAACCTCCCTCATGACGTCCTTGGTTGTTTGAGAGCAGCCGTGAAGTAGGAAAGAGATAGTGAGCTCAGCGAGCGCACACGGCTGCCGCACTCCCTGTCGACGGCGCGAGAGGGCGCCACTAAAGCGTGTTCTGGATAGGCTGCATACAGCGGGCAGCCAGAGTGGCTCTCATTGCATTTGCTGCGGGATAAAACACTAATTCGGCATGACACTTCATTGGCCACAAACGACAGCAAACACGGGGTAAAAATCAGTTCAGAATATGAGGCCCTTCGCACTGTTGTACCGCGAAATGGCCAAAACGCAGGACAAAGCTACTCGCTGAAGGCCTTCGGAGCGCTCGGAGCCAGTCGGATCCTCCAGTCCGTAAACGACCGCAGCGCCGTCGCGTACATCCGGGACCTTTCCGAGTCCGGTGCCTGATCCCACTACTCTTTTCTAGTATGCGCCGCCTTTTCCACCGCGTGGTGGCGGGTATGTCGACGGGTCTTTTCTTGTTTCCGTACTTTATAAACTGCATTTGTTTCTTTTCTGATCTAAACTACTTTTATAAATAATTTAAACGGTTCGCGCCACTTATATTTTGTATTTCGACTGAAAAAAAAGCTTTTAGCGGCTCTGACCAGTAGTAAGCCCAGGACCAAAGACGTCACATTTTGCGCGCTTTCGGTACCGCGGGTCGCCCTCGTATGTGGAGGAGGTTTCCGCGTCGTCCGGTTAAAATATAATGCACTGATATTTAGTTACTCTCTCGGTGCCCGCTGGCTTGCCCGAACCCTAAGAGACTTGGAAACAGCAAAAAAGGTAGACGCTTAAATATGATTGCAGGGCCCCTTTAATGAAGGAACCTTTTATCCTGAAAAATCGAACTTCTTATCTCTTTGCGCGCAGCGCCCGACCCGTAACCAAAACCAAACGGCTGTGCAAAAAAAAAAAACTCCTCTTTGTTTTCTCATTCTCTTAATTCTTTAATGTTTTTTTTTTTTTTTTGCCGCTTTTCGCAAGCTGTTTTGTTTGCTTAGGCGTTGCTTAGACCAGGGCTCTCCACTTATCTTTCTTATCTCCTTGCGCGCGACCCAAGACCCTCCTAACCAAACTGCGCTGTGCAAAAAAAAGGAGGAAAAAAAAGCTCCTCTTTTTCTTGTTTTTTTCTCAGTCGGGTATTTTTTTGGTTTTTCTTTTCTTTTTGCCGCCTTTCGCAAGTTGTTTCGTTTGCTTAGAGGGCTTCTCCGCTCCTCTTTCTTACCTCCTTGCGCGCGGCGCGCGACCCCGGTAACCAAACTGCGCTGTGGAAAAAAAAAAAAGAACAAAAAGCTCAACTTTGTTTTTGTTTCCTCTTAGTTCGGTGGGCCTTTTTTTTTTCCTTTTTGCCCCCTTTAGCAAGCTGTTTTTTCGTTCGCTTAGAGCGCTTCTCCGCTTCTCTTTCTTACCTCCTTGCGCGCGGCGGCACGCGAACCCTAAAATGCAGACTGCGCTGTGCAAAAGAAAAAAAAAAAAAAAAGAAAGCTTCTCTCCATGTTTTTTTTTTTCTTGTTTCCGTTGGATCTATGCAAACTTTTTAACGCCTTTTGCAAGGCATTTTGTGCGCCCACTCGCCCATGCATTCGCGACCTCGCTGCACCAGGATAAAAAAGTGCGTTCATTTCGCGCGCGTGGGGGGAGGGGGTCAAAATTTTGACGTCAGAGTTGGGGGTAAGTTTATTACGCGAGTGAAAAAAAAAAGTCGAAATTTTGAGAGCCGACTTGGAGAGTGCGTTCATTACGCGAGTGCGTTCATTGTGCGAGTAAATACGGTATATTATACCAGGGTATTTCGAATTATTGTTTATATCGAACAGTCCAAACTTCCCTTTGAAAATCACATGTAATAGTATAGGCGCGTTGTTTTTCTGTATCGAACTTCCACTGCGGGACACTTGATATAGTGAACTAAAACGGCCGCCGGTCGCTTCTCCCGCGGTCGGATTGCGCTGGCTGCACGCACATAGCTCGCGTTGCGGGGCTGGCAGACCATCAAGCCAGCATAGTGCACGGAGATAGGCAGCGAAAGAGCAGTTCTAAGAAAAAAAAGAGCAACCATAAAGAAAAAAAAAGGTGGAGGATGGCAAAAACAAGAAAAAAAGTATGCGCCCGTGCGCGCGTGTGCAGAGTATGCAGGGAATGCCAGCTGTTGGAACGGTAGCGTGAGTCTTTCGCCGAACACCACTGTCCCGCAGCACTGTCAGCACTGTCGCTGCACGACTCCTAACCCCAAAATAAAAATAAGCAAACAAAAAAAAGTCTATGTCAAGTCGAGCGCATCCACAACGGTTGAGCAATCACACTTTGAACGCCTTATCTTTGTTTACCTTTTCCCTTCCCCGTGTTTGCTTTGCCCGTTTTTTTTTTCTTTTTTTGCTGCCTGAATTTAGTAAGGTTTCTTTTTTGTTGCTTGCTTAACTTTATTCTATTGATGAAGAGTTTTTCTTTTATGCGACTCGCTTTTTCCGTTCTTTCATTTTTTTTTTTTATTATTTCCTTGTTCTGTTGTTGGCGCTGTGTGGAAGTCAAACACCGTCACCTGAACGCAGGGGTAATTGGGATCTTTACCAACTAAAGTCTACTGTATTTAGCGGCTCTTAGAGGCTCCATTTGGTGAGGTCCCGTTTGTCACAGCCTTTGGTTTTAGCAGAGACGCGTGAAAATTTCAATGGGAGCCTAAGTTAACATATTTTTGTCTATCAAATTATCGATATATTGAACTATGTTACAATCCCCTTTGAATTCAATATATCTGGGTTCGACTTATGTTTGTCTTTTTAGACTTGGGCTAGGTGGCGCAAGCTACCACCTGTTACAAAGGGTATAGCCATTAACATCCATCCAACCACCATCCAGGTTGACTTTTCTTTTTTAAATAACAGAGGAAAGTTTTGGCGGAAGAATAAAACAAACCTTTATTTACAGCGCTCTCAGTGAAATCACAGCGCGATGCCAAAAACTTAATTATCGTCAGAACTTTCGAACACGTCATCGTCGCCAGAAGCTTCGTCAGCTTCCTTGACATCCTCACAAATTCGCAACAATACCTCACTGGCACCGTTGCAAAATGGCAACAAGAAACGAAAGAAGGTGGAGACGGGCAAAGCGACAAGAGACCAAATATAATGAAGCAAGCACCGCTGTGAGCTGCCACTAGCCGCTGTGGCGGCTAGCTGCGAAAGGGATGAGGGAGAGCGTCCGTTTGCTTCTTGTTGCTTACGGCGGTTTGCGACGTTGCCGTTGCTGGCAATGCCGTGAGCGACCGTGAGCAACAAGAAGCAAACCGACGCTCTCCCTCATCCCTTCCCCTGTACTATGGCCAATAAACGCTTTCTGAACTGAACTACGGCAGCGCCGGCTAGGTTACTCGATAGCTCTGTGTTCGGTAGAGTCGCAAAATTTGGTCCCGAATGTAGGTCGAAATTCTCTGGCCACGATTGTAGGTCGACCGTTAGTTTTTTGCATTTCCGAAAAAAAAAAAGGTTGACTTATATTCAAATAAATATGGTAGAGCTTTCCAAAAATAGCTTTCCGGCCGACGCCATTTTGTTAAAATCATGCTAAAATGAAGCGATTCTCGCGACCCCTATCAGCCACAAGTTTCTGCCACCCTCCTCTCCTGGGCCGTGAAAACCTGCTCATCACGGCTCGCCACCTGCATTTTGCATCTTGAGCTTGCTGGCTTCGAAAGTTTTTACTATATCTGCCATTTTCAGACTGCTTCCTCTTCACGCTATCTTCCAAAGTGACAACCAGGGCTTGTAGCCTGAATGCCTTCCGTTCAAAGATTTCTGCTCGGCCTTCGCGGGAGACAAACGCGGAGAAGAAAGTCAAACGACCCAGGACATGGGCCTTTCAACATTCTTCGAGAATTACCTCGTCTAAGATAATCACGGGAGCCTTCTCGGTTTTTGCCAAAAACAGCTAATCGGGTTGTGGAGGGGAACGAAACAGACGTGTTCATTCCTTTGCTTTGGTGCTGTGAAAAAACTAAGCTCTCTCCAAAATGCCCCAAAACAAGTAAAAATTCTGTCCCACCATCGTAAAATGACTGTCGTTGACAATGTGGATTGGATGTGTTGTGTTATTTGAAATCTTTCTCAAATCAACCTTGTTGAAATTATGGAGCACCGTGGGGTACGTACAATATGTTGTTTGAAGGCTGAGACTTGTTTATTGAATTTCATGTTGTGAGCGGGGAACACCCAAGTCTTTCAGCTATCCAGTGGGGTCAAATATTTTCAACAACTAAGAACTTTGTCGACTGACGCGGCGATGTGATTTGGCGATGTGAAACATCCGCGTAAATTGAAACAAATATTCCAGTTGTATTTGTTCTGAAGCGTACGCACTCACCAAAAAAACTTTCAGCCTTTCCATTCTGGTGAAGAAGGAAGACCAGCGAAGCTGTACATGGTGGGAATGATGTAATGGCAGGCCGCAAGTTGGCAAGCAGTGGAAAGGCTCGAAAGGTTGCCGCCATCTATGAGCAACGGCTGCAACCAGACAACTAACAAGCCAGTTGTTTGGTTGCCGCCGTCACTTATAGATGGCGGTAGCTGTCCAGAGTTCTTTGTCATCATTTGTTTGCTGACGGACATAATCCTGGGAAAACCAGCCCTTCACAGCTCCGCCGTAAAAATAGCCTACATTTGTTTGGCGGTGTTCCCCAAGATGGTACAATATTTTTTCAAGGGCCTCAAGAAAGAACATTCGCCATACAACATAAAAGAGCAGCTACTTAACCGCTAGCTAGCAGTGTCCGAGATTGCCTCTATGCCGGCTGCTCACTAACGAGAAAACCTGGCAACGTCGAGCAACAATGAGGTGCACTTTTGAAGTCAGGGATGTGCACTCCAAGTCACATCACTCAAGACTGCAGCTGTAAAGGTGTATGGGTCCTCTGTGACGCCGCATATCACCAGGTCATGTGACATCACGTGTCATGTGACACTGTGACGCTATGAAGTGACATTGTGAATTCATTTGACATAGCGACATGCTTGACACCACAATGCCATGTGACACTGTGACGCTACGACGTGACATTGTGAAGTCACTTGACGTGACATGCTTGACACCACGATGCCATGGGAAGTGTGACGCTACGACGTGACATTGTGAAGTCACTTGACATTGTGACATGCTTGACACCACAATGCCATGTGACACTGTGACGCTACGACGTGACATTGTGAAGTCACTTGACATTGTGACATGCTTGACACCACAATGCTATATGACACGGTGATGCTACGACGTGACATTGTGAAGTCACTTGACATTGTGACATGCTTGACACCACAATGCTATGTGACACGGTGACGCTACGACGTGACATTGTGAAGTCACTTGACATTGTGACATGCTTGACACCATGATGCCATGGGACAGTGACGCTACGACGTGACATTGCGAGGTCTCTTGACATTGTGACATGCTTGACACCACGATGCCATGGGACAGTGTGACGCTACGACGTGACATTGTGAAGTCACTTGACATTGTGACATGCTTGACACCACAATGCTACGTGACACGGTGATGCTACGACGTGACATTGTGAAGTCACTTGATATTGCGACATGCTTGACACCACGATGCCATGGGGCAGTGTGATGCTACGACGTGACATTGTGAATTCACTTGACATTGAGACGCATGCTTGACACCACAATGCCATGTGACACTGTGACGCTACGACGTGACATTGTGAGGTCACTTGACATTGTGACATGCTTGACACCACAATGCTGTGTGACACGGTGACGCTACAACGAGACATTGTGAAGTCACTTGACATTGTGGCATGCTTGACACCACAATGCTATGTGACAGTGACGCTACGACGTGACATTGCGAGGTCACTTGACATTGTGACATGCTTGACACCATGATGCCATGGGACAGTGTGACGCTACGACGTGACATTGTGACATGCTTGACACTACGATGTCATGCGACACTGTGACACCATCAGGGTCGTTTGACGCCACGCGACGTGACGTCAAACGACACTGACGGCTTAATCGGGACACAAATCTCTTGCAATGTGGCCTTCAGTCTCCTGTTTACTCTGCCCACAAAAGGAATATGCTATGCATTTAGAATGCCTTTGAAGAATGCCAAAGAGGCACCCCTTTTTATTTTTATTTATCTCAAACATACTGCCAGCTGTGAACGCAAAACAGGTGGATAGGCATGCCAAAAGCAAAAGCACCCTCAAGTATTAATAGGGCACCAAAGTGGATTTTGAGATGATCTATTGATGGTGATAACTCAATCTACGGGCTGAAGCATCCTAAAAAATTTGTAATTACACTCATGGGCGACCAATTTCACTATAAAAATCCAATCCAAGATTGCGACAAGCCCCTCTTCCTGCATTTTGGAGCAGACACCAGAGGGTGCCGTCAGACGGCGTTTTCAAACAATAATTACTGCATTATGTCTCCTAAAGAGTTGATGCTTTTGTCAAGATATAATGCACTTTACACCTAAAAAAAGCAATAATAGTAAGGTTCGAAATCTCCGTGCAATTAACTATTTTCATTGGTCAAATTTTATGGAGGTGGTGGGGACCCGGGGATGGTTCCCCCAAGACAAAATAGGGCCTGTGTATTTCTATTGCTGTGGGTTTCCTAGGACATCTTGCCATCTAAAACTACTAGTCATTTTTATTGACTATAAAACCCAACAAACAATATGCCATCAAAAACAAGCTTCTGCACTTACTTGAGTGCCCCTTTAGAAGTAGTATCAAGAAAAGCAGACACAGTTGCACTATATACAGCGGTCACCACAAGACAGTTCCATTTGTCAATATGTTTCGCAAAGAAAGAATTCCTAAACGAGTTTGTGTTAAAGTAGTAGGGCGTGAAAGATTTGTTATGTTCTGTTCTAGTTACATTATCACAGTTTGCCTATGTAACATAGTTCTGAATATCAATAAAAGTACTGCTTTAATGGTCCTTTTGTTTTACTTTGAAACCCAGTCAAGTAAAAATATTTTGAGTGTGTGTGTCTTTTAATTGTTTGTGTTGTTACCTGCTGTCTCGTTTTTTTTTAATCATGTTTAATGTACATCAGCTTGTTTGAGCCCTAACATTTATTTCATATTTTACTGCTTGGTTTATTATGCTACAAAGCAAGAGTTCTCAAACCTTCCCCTCTCGGAAAACCTCTATTCATCTTGATTGAAAGCCAAGGAACCCCTCTCAGTCTCAGCACTGACACAATATTGCAGTGCAGAAGCCTACAGACCATGCAAGCGCAGGGAGTGTTTCGAACACAGTTAACCGTTAAGACTGTAAAATAGTGCTTAAACAGGAAACCCACTTCATTACGGGGCAAGCAATGTTGAGAAGATTTGGGAGTTTGGGGAAACCTGAGGGTACTACTACCCATGCTATAAAATTAAAGGATTACAAAAAAAAATTAGGTTTGCTAACTTAAAATGTTTTTGGCTGCTTCAAAGTTTAAAACCCACGTCCCCCTTGAGCCTCATCTCGCTTGCATTCTGAACTGCAAATAAAAAAGAATTTGTTGCATCACCTGCATCCGGGCAATAATAAAAGTTTGTCTATGCTTAGCAGTGCCGCCAGAAATGACAGAGAGTGGTGCCACTGGGTGGGGGGTCGCGGGGGGGAGGCGCACTTACCAGGTCGAGGGCTGCGGCCAGCAGCGGGGCATCTGGCACGGTGCCCGGCTGGCAGACCTCCTGGAGGAAGGCGAAGCGCAGCATGCCGTCCTGCACCAGCTGCATGTTCACCAGCTTGCTCTCCTTCAGCATCAGCATCTCCCCCTCCCGCTGGGCCGGGTCCAGGTCGAACGAGTTGCGGCGGCTCAGGTCTGCAAGGCAGGTCCAAACCATCTGCAAGGGGTGTCTCAACTGTCTAGAAGAAGGTTCAAACTGTCTGCAAGGTCGGTCCAGACTGTCTGCAAGGGTAGTTCAAACTGTGTGCAAGAGGGCCCAAACTGTCTGCAAGGTGGAACTAAACTGTCTACAAGTAAGGCAACTTCACCTGCCAGGGAGGTTCAAACAGTCTTCAAAGAGTGCCCAAACTGTCTCTAAGGGGGATCTAAACTGCCTTCAAGAGGGTCCAAACCACTTGCTAGAAAAGTTCAAACTGTCTGCAAGAGTGCCCAAACTGTTTCCAAGGGTAATCAAACTGTCTACAAGTGGGCCCAAACAGTCTGCAAGAAGATCAAACTGTCTACAAGTGGGCCCAAACAGTCTGCAAAGGTCTAACTGTCTACAACAGATGCCCAAACTGCCCGCCAGGAGGACCAAATTATCGGCAAGAGTGCCCAAACTGTATGCAATAGTGCCCAAACTGTCTGTTTGGAAAGATACCTTTAAACCGTCTGTTTAGAGGTATGTGTCTCAACACTTGGCAGCTTTCTGCCTGGACACACTTGTTCCGACGTGATGTTTCCTTCGAAAGTATACTCAGGAATAGTAATATCGGAATGAAGAGAACTCACTTCATCTAATATTAACAAGAAAAACAGCTATAAAGACAAGAATTACATATTTGAATCAGGTTTCTGAGTCTAAAGCAACGTATTAGGCTAAAATAGAAGATTGTTCATTCAAAGTGAGAGAATTCATGCTTTTGGCTAATTGAGGAATTCTAAATATTTGGTGGATTGGTTATTAATCGATGGATCTGCATGTTCCTTAGTTTGTACGTAAGTCAGTTATCAATCATTTTCCTGCATTAGGGTGAATGAGTAAAGCCAGATTGTCGGTGCTACAGAGAAGCAGCGACTAACAAGAGTGCTGGGCCGTTCTCGAGGGGTCCAGAGAGCTCGGATGGTTGCTACACAAGGCCAGACAAGACTATGTGTTTTTACAGTTTGGTGTGTGTGTGTGTGTGCACTGAATGCACACACATCAAGAGCACCAGCATTGCGGCGTTCATTTTTGGCACCCGCGGCACCGCCATCGGACAGTGGCATCTTCCCATCAACATGCACACATGCGGCCATACAATGTACACCCTTGCAGGTGTACACCATGTGTACATACGAGTGTGTGCATTCACAATGTTGGTGAAACGGTTCCCCTCAAGGGTGCTTTTCCTAAACAACTTCTCACAGACCACCGCAGAAACGGCAGTCAATTTTTTAAATCTTTTTTTTTCTTTTGCTTTCAAGTTGTGCACAGCGGGATTGGGCAACTTAAAACTTTGCCCGTCAATTGTCCGAACCCGTTGCTACGTTTCCCTTCCTTTGCAACTTTGGCATATAGTTTTGTTTAGTGTTGCTTGTCATTTTTATTTTTCTGTATTTTTCTATACACGTTTGGACGTGAAAAAGGCAATGGGGGTGATTTATTTTTCTTAGCGAGCTGCCTAGGCCTGCAGATTGATCCAACTAATAATAGCAACAACAAAAAAAAAATTATACTTATTCCAGTGACTATTGGGCACCATAGTCGACATGTATGGCAGTGGTAAGCGAGCTGCCACACATGCTGCCACGCAATTTGTGAGCTATTTATATGGCCCAAGAGACAGCGGGCAGGGCTGGGCCGGGCTCCTAAATATCAGTCTTGGGTAAGTTACTTTTAAAAAGTAATTCGTTACAGTTACAGTTACTTTCAGAAAAAAGTAGCGAAGTTACCGTTACAGTTACCGCAACAAAAAAGTAACTCGTTACAGTTACAGTTACTTTTAAAAAGTAATGACGTTACTTTTCAGTTACTTTTTTGTAACACAAAAAAATTTAAGAAAAACTGAAAAACGCTTTTCACCAAGTTTATTTGCATAAAATTGTAAAGTGTACTTTTTTCTTCATATTGTAACTTAGCAGCAGTTGCTTCTCGAAATTAGTGTCTAAAAGTTTCCCTCGTTTGATAACGAACACGTCCCTGCCCTTGTTGAACAGGCGCTCGTCTAACGCGCTGGATGGGATTGCTGTGTTGTTTCGCCGGAACAGGTTTTTGATTGCCGGGTAGGCGTTGAGGCAACAGAGTGTCATTTTCTGCGGTCAAGTTGTTAGTAACCACCTCCACCACAGCAAAATACTCCCTGTACGCCGGCCATGGTAGTTCTTCTTTGTTCTTATCAACATTCATATCCTTGGTAGCACTAGCACATTGCTGGCTCGTTGACGGTTGCGCTGGGTTCATGAGTCCCTGGACATATTTCAGTTCGTACCCGGCAAGCCAGAAACAAACCCCGCGCAAACGGCAGTAAATTTTGCCTCGACTGTTGACACTACCATGGAGTAGTGGCGCAAATCAAAATACGAAACAAGCGCAGTGCGTTGTGGTGGCGCTAATCAAAATACGAAACATTCGCAGTGCCCTCCACGTGTATTGTTGTTTCACGTTTGATTCACCCGATTAAAAAGCGTTTGCACAGAAAAAAGAAAAACCACAAAAAAGATAGTTCTTCAAGGTACTAAGATGCAAGTGTTCAGTCACAAAGTACATGGACATACTAAAGATAACTAGATTTTTTTTTTCACCAAGTCTACACGTGGCTATATTCGGGTCGTAACTGGCGAGAAAGAACATGGAAAAAAGAAAAAGAAAAAATTGACACTCGAAATGTCGGAACAGACAATTTGGAAAGCGCGAAGAATGGCTAAATTGTACCCCTTGTTCAGTAATATATTATTCATAAAACATTGCAAAGTAACGACAAAAGTAACGTCGTTACTTTCATCGTTACCCCAGAAAAAAGTAATAGAACTACAGTTACAAGTTACACTTTTTAAAAAGTAACTCGTTACAGTTACAAGTTACCAAAAAAGTAACGAAGTTACAGTAACGCGTTACTAGTAACGCGTTACTACCCAAGACTGCTAAATATCAGCCCATGCACACCTCTAGCTTGGTTAGCCACTAAAGGTTTGTCTCAATTTAAGGGGAAACCTACTCCGGAAGGCTAACTTTTAAACCACTTGTCTTATTTGCATGAAATTTGCAGGGTGTACTCATAGAACTGGACAAGGATGCTGTAGAAATTTGCAACCCTATAAATTTATCCCACGATGAGTTACATAAAAATTGATAGTAAAAAAGTGTATCTGCTGAGGAAAGCTATCTTTGAGAAAGGGTAATGAAAATGGCCAGTTTTTTTGCTGGAACATACAGCAGAATACTTGCTTCAGACGACTATGAAAAGAAATTTCAAAAATTATAAAATTTATTCACAAAAAAATATAGAAAAGTTTTTTTGTGTGTACATTTGATTTAAAAGAAATAAAAACTTTTCATAACAAAAGAGCATAAAAATGCAGAAAGTAAGTTCACAGTCATGTTCTCTAGAAAATTTCAATATAGAAAAACCAGAATATATCTGCACAAATAATTCGATTATGAAATGATAGCTTCCATGAATTGATATTTGACACTAAAAAGTGAAGCTGAGATAAATGCACTTGAAGTTTCATGACAACGTTTTAAAAATTTATTTTTGCGTCTTAAATGTCAGAAATTCTTTCCAGCAGTGTAGGTGATGTCTTCTTCAAACTTCTTCTGATATACTGACATTGCTTTCAGCTATTTTCACTTGTGAATGACAAGTGCTACGCAGTGCAGCACGCCTCACCAACATATAAAGAATAATTATTTTTGACATGGTTTGTCAGTGCACATTGACAAGACTTCGTGAGAGTGTTCCTTGTTATCCATACAGCCAAAAACTTTGCAGTTCTGAATATGGATTTTTTTAAAAAAAGGTGCAATTCAAAGTAGTGTCCCCCCTTAATAAGTGGCATCAACCTTTAATAAAAAAGAAGTATTGGTATATTGCCTTTCCATGTAGTCTGCATTAAAGCACTGTGGAAACAGAGCCCTATTTTTACCGAGACTATCTCCAAATTTTGAATAAGTGCTTGCTGGGTATTTTGCGTATTTACATACTTGCGTCAGTGTTTCCTCTGTACAACTCACTCTTCCGACGTGCTGGAGCCAATTCTTTTACAGCGGTAGCTCTCCAGCAGCTGATTGCGAAATACCCACGTGGTTGCGCTGTGCAGACACACTCCCTCGCCTCCCCACTGCCAACACCCAGATTCCGTTCTGGCGTGCTCTCCGCGCCTCTACAAAACAACTCGCGTACATACTTCCACTTCTTCCACTGCAGGTGCAGTCAAGGGCATCCTCGTTTTGAAAGAGTTTTTCAGCCAAAAACAAAAAGCATGTCTCTATGGCCCTCTCCGACACACATCTCACACAATCGTTCCACCAAAGCACACATCTCCTACATCAATTCCACTGAAAGCAAAGGAACTCATTGCAAACATTGTACAGGACACTGAATGAAGACGAATCTTCTTCAAGGTGCCCTTCCACGACGCAGCAGCTACCGCCGTCAATCACAGCACACTTTTGTGCAGTGTTTTCAATTTTCATAGTTCAAACAGAACCAACGTGTCCTTCTGAGTGCGAATGAACGAGGTCCGCCATAATCGCTACGACGAACAGGTTCCAGAGGCCGAGAAAGAGAGTGTCGCATACTCTCGCAATTCAAAAAGGGGCGACCCTGACCTGGGGGCTCCTCGAAGCTGCCGTGCTTGCTCTTGCTGCGCCCGAAGCCGAGCTTGCAGAGCTGGTCCTCCATGCGCCTGCGTGCCCGCAGCAGGGTCAGGCTCATGTGACTGGCCGACTTGGGCGGAGGCTTGGCCGGCATGCCCCGGTTCAGGGCGCTCGAGCGCCGGGGCACCCGGTCCACGGCGCCGGGTGAACTGTCGGCCGGAAGGCCTCCAGGGGAGGACGCCTCCTCCTCCCCCGTGTCCGTCCTGCGATCCCCCCGCAGCCACCCCACTGCAAGAGAGAGGGGTGCCCAAAGCAGTGATGTGATTAGTCCCGAGTCATTTTGGAGCAGCTCTTGAAGCAGTCAAAAGTCAATTTGGGAGCAGCACGAATAACTTTTGTAGCATCACTGTTATTAGTACCAATGCAGACATTATGTTAAGATTAATGTCCAACTAAAAGGCAATGTCTTCATCCACTTCTCACTTACGTGCAACTCTTTGTTAGAATCAATTGTGCAACAGGAGTGAGTCCCTCAAACACAGAACTAGCGTTTAGTTGTGTGGAGAAGCATTAGAGGGGGAGATGAAGGACAGCACGAACCGCCGCGAGTGTTTTTTTTTTAGGTACTGAATCCCACTGAAATAATACAATAATATTAGGCCCATAAATTAATGGTTTCTTCAAGTTCTAAAGGTTGTAATAAAACAGCAATTTATATTTCAGATAAAAACAAAGCACTTGTCATTTGATTATGAACGTCAATTACATTTTATGTGTAGAACTTCATAACAAAGACGGCATGCAAACGAAACTTAAAAACAATACCGCCGAACTCATTAAGGTTGCTCCCGAGCTCCCATCCACTGCTCCTGCCAACTTAGTTCTAATTTACTCCCATCTATACACGCTTGCAAGTCCGGTTCCAGGGCACTGCCATCTTGCTTGGCTGGGGTGCGCTTGGACGCGTCCTAATCCAATTATGAAGCCCTGCTAAGGCGTCATAATTAGATTATGGCCGCGCCCAAGCGCACCCCACTGCGCAAGATGGCGGCACTTTGAGACCGGACTTGCAAACGTGTATATAAAAGTGATAGCTAAACAAATAAGTTGGCATAAATAGATAAACATATGAAAGAATGCATATAATGTTCTTGCAATACCGAAGTATCCTAGCTAAATCTCGATTTGGAAAAAGGTACCGCCAGGATATCGTAGTCTATCATATATACGAGCCGAAGTTGTTTCCAGGAATTGTGTCACGTCTCAATCTGGAGGAGTGATTTCCCCTTAGCACAAGTGTGCACTGTGGCGAAGCAAGACACGCAAAATCGCAATGCTTACTCTGCGGTTTTCGCTTCTCTGCAGTAAAAGGGCAAGCACTTTCGCGCAGCAATCATATCACTGCCAAAGTCAAAACCTCACACCGTGGGCACAATGCCAGGAACGCATCTACGACCAGAACGCTCGGTGTCCTGTCCCACCTGCACCTGAAAAGTGGTCCCGAAGCATCAATGGATGACGTCACAAAAGCCATCGTGTCGCGCTGTGTCTGACATCGCAATTCTGGCAGTCGGTCATAAAAATGCTGGCAAAAATCCCAAACCAGGGGTGGAACTCATGAAATATACTTGGGAGCAGCCACGGGAGCAGCTGAAACAGCTGTTTTGGAGCAGGTTGGGAGCAGCTAAAACTACGTTCTGGAGCAGGCTAGGAGCAGCTCAGATCAGCTTTCATTGCACTTCAGCTTGTGTCTTAGACAAGCACGGGAGCTATTTCAATTGTGCTTAGCAGCACAGATGAACATGAGTGTTTAGAGACCTAGATAGATGGGATAACAGTGTAACAGATGCGAAAACTTGAAACTTTGTGAGCCTTAATGAGAATCAAAAAGCAAGTACAATATGTTTCTGAAGATAGTATCCTTCATATTTTCTGAGTGGCTTACAGCTGCTCAAAATGCGAACAAGCACTGCTTATCGCACAACCCACACGTGCTCGACATAGTAATCATATGCGCGAACCACGTGACGTGCGCAAGCAACGGACGTGCAGTTGCGTGGAGGAACAGGGTAACAAATTTCGAGTTTATCTTATTGTGGTACTCAATATTGAAGCAGCAGACTACGATTAACGGAGTTATTGTATTCGAAGCGATAAGCAGGAGCAAGGTTAAAGTACACCGAGCAGATCTACCGCTCGCGTGAGAGCTGCTGGCCGGCAAGGTTTCCGTTTGGACCGCGTTTCAGTTCTATCAAATCACGATTTATCTTGCGGGAATGCGGTTCCAACTTCTAACGATGAAGTACTAAAAGGAATATTTTGCTCATTTGTTTTCAACTGGCTGACGTCCGGATCCCCGGCCGCAGAGCCTCAGGCGATCTGACGCTGAACGACTCGACCTCACCTCTGCCGACTTGCTGAACCACCGATGGTTGAAGAATAACAATCCAGTCGCAGGTGCTGTAGCGCTAGGAATCCGACCCCCAAATTGTTTCGCACGCTTCCGACTCGAGATACGCAGGGAGAATAAACAGAACAAAGGATTGCAAGGCCGACCAAGCTAGACGCGCTCATTCTTGCCAACCGAGTCGATAGAAACCGAAACAAAGAAAAAATACAATTTTTTTGGCGCACGTTTTGCGATTTGGTGCATAATGGCGCGAGGAATTGGTTGTGGCGCAGTTTCCGCAACATGGCGCAGGATGGCGCAGACAAATGCGCCTGGCGCAAAATGGTGCAAATGGCGCAGCCGTTCCACCTCTGCAAACAAACGTAAGTGTCACCGTCGTCACTGCTGTACAAGGAAGCGCACAATTGGGAACGCGCATGTAAAAGATACGAGACCAAGTTCGGAGTATCAGCGCCATAAAAAATGGCACTCCAAGTTCCTCTCGGCTCCGAGTGTTGTTTGCGTGCCTTTCGGTAATGCGGTAGTTGCGACGTCCCAAATCCTACAGTTAAAGTTTGCGTGGACTGTCAAGATGCAGAGCAAACTGTGGCAGAACGGCCGTCTGCCACATCCACCACCACTGATGTGACACCGCAAGGATCTTGGCTGGCGACAACACGATCCTTGTACGAGGTTATGAGATGGACATCCGAGACACACCAGTCGGAGACGCATTCCAGACTCCGTACCTTCCAGGCTTTGTACCGGGGCCATCTGTGGCTAGACTTTTAGAGCGCAGCTCTTAGGCACCCGTTTCTGGCTTGAGCGATGTCGCCGTCAGCGCTACCGCACATTGCGTTATGGGACTTTTATCATAATGACATTACACGTGACGTCACGAGGATCACGAGTGACGTCAAAAAGGTCACTCGTGACGTCACGGAGGTCACTCGTGAAGGTCATGACCTTCAGTGATCTTCACAAGGCCGTCGCGAGTAAGGTCACAAAGGTCACGACCTTCAAGAGGCTATCACGAAGGTCACAAATGATGTTACAAAGGTCACGACGAAGGTCACGCCCTTCACAGTGACCTTCACAAACGTCACAAGTGACATAAGGAGGAAGGGATGAGGAGGAAGGCAGGAGGAGAGAAGGAGAGGAGGAAGAGGGGCACACCCTCCTCCTCAAGAGCTGCGCTCTAATTCAGCACTACAGGGAATTGTGAACGTCCTTTTTTTTTTTCACAACAGCTTCCACAGGTTTGGCATGGAAGACGGCAAGAGACTGGAAGCTATGGCCACCAATGGGGTGAGAATATTAGGGAGGCGTTCTTGTAGGCCCCGACCTTCGCACGACGATCGGCTCGCAGCCTTTTCACTCGCTGTGCACGGGGCACTACTTGCCCCGACAAATGGGTTCTGCGAAATTTAACACGACATGAAAATCGCAAACATCATGAAGGCGAAATGATTGAAAATAAGAGAATACAGTATTTACATTGATAATGCAATTACTGCAAAGGTCCAAGCAAGCTGGACAAGAATGACGATAATAATCCCTGGAGAAGGAATTATTATAGTTCAGGGACCCCTCCACTGGAAATGGAGAGGTCCCTGGTTCGATACCAGGACCAGGCAGATTTTTTCGGTCGCGCACCAGTCACCTAGCTGTGTTTGGAGAATTGTGTTTGTCCTTCGTCCCCATGGTTCCCATTCTCCAGCGATTATTATTGCCAGTATTTACGTGATCGTCAAATGTGACGTGTGGTGTGCTGTTGCAAATGCAACAGCACACCACACGTCACATTTGACGACTGCTCATTGCAAATGCAACATCAACGAACGTAAACAAATTGTCTTGGTATGCAAATGCAAAAGGAGACAAGGGACACACAAAAACACGTCAGACAGGGACAGCATCGCAAACAGGAACACTGTCAGTGTCTGACTTGTTTTTGTGTGTCCCTTGTCTCGTTTGGCATTCACATGCCAAGGTGTTTAACCGACATGCCCTCCTAATTCCATCTATGTTAACAGATTGTTGGCGCTATCCGCTGGTAAGCTATGTGAAAAGCCTAAGCTGGCGACATGTTCCTGTTTTTTCTGCGTTGTTTCTATCATTTATATTTTATAAAACCTAACAGAGTTTCATATATTGTCAGTGTGTGCCTTTTCTCATACCGTTGTGGTTTAAATCGCCTGCAATGCACTTTATACTATTTTAAGCAACAACAACATGTGTGGGAGACGAGGGTGGACGACAAAAAAGCAGAGCGCACGTGAGAAGCGGTCGGCCGAAGACGCAAGAGCTAGTGCATGACAGGGCGTGCTGCACGAGGCTGGGGCCGGGCAGGAACGACGCAGCCGGTCTGGCCCATGGCGATCCCTGGAGCGGTCTACCAGCGAGGTTCGGATCAGGACCGGCGGGAACGGCAAGCCCTGGCCATACGGGCCCAGGCCGTGATGATTTCAGAGTCGTTCCGAAGCAAGATCGGGCTTTGATGGCTTGGAACAGCTAGCCTATGCAGTGCTGGCATGGGAAAGCCGATCTGCCGGCGCGGACTCCGACTGTGAGCTCTGAACGACGGGCAACAACCAGGATCGGCGGGCCCGGACTACCGCCTCTCGAGGACAAGCAACTGGGAAGTACAGTAAACCATTCGCTGTCTTTTTGTTGCATCGTCTCACTCCTTGGGAGACGAGCGAAGCACAGGCCAATGGAGCGGCGATTGTTAGAGCGACCACACACATGGAACCCGATCCTAACGGCAGAGTCTACAGTTGAACCCGGATATATTGAATTCAAAGGGGATCGTAAAATTGTTCGATATATCAATAGATTGATGTATGTTAAATTAAGCTCGAGTTGAAATTTCCTAGCGTCTCTGCTAATGCCGAAGGTCGCGACAAACAGGGGCTTAACAAATAGAGCAATTAAGAGCCCCTAAATACAGTAGAGCATAGTTGGCGGAGACCACAAACACCGCCAGCACAAGCGACAAAACACAAAAATAATTAAATTAATGAAAGAAAAATGGAAAAGCGACTCATAAAAAGAAAGTCATAAAAAAAGTTAAGCAGGAAACAAAACAAAAGCAAGAACCAAACAAACAAAAAAGGCGAAAGAAAAGAAAATCAACAAAGCAATAACGGCAAAAGAAAAAGGTAAACAAAGATAAAGCGTTGGAAGTGTGATTGCACAACCGTTGTTGTCCACACTCGACTTGCCTTGCGAAAACCTTTTTTTTCTTTCTTTTTTGATAATTTTATTTTGGGGCTAGGGAGTCCCGCAGCATCAGCAATGTTCGGGGAAAGGGCACAGGCTATGTTCTGACAGCAAGCACTCCCTGCTCTCCCTACGCATGCACGCACGTGCCCTTTCCCTTGCTTTTGCAATTTCCTACTTTTTTTTGTTTTGTTTATTTTTAAAACTTTTTTTACAACTGCTCTTTCGCTGCGTATCTTACCGCGTGTATTCTGGCTTGGCAGTCCGCCAGCCCCTCAACGCAAGCAATCCAACCGAACTTTGTTCCCTGTATCGAGTGTCCCCCTTATGGTAGTTCAATACAAAAAGACAAGGCACCTATACTAGTATTACATGTGATTTTCAAGGGGATGTTTGGATTGTTTGATATAAACAATAATTCGAAATACCCGAGTGTGATATAATTGGGCTCAACTGTATGTGGAATCGAAACACAACCATGATGAGCGGAGCAAGCGGAGCGTCCAGTTTTCTTTTCACTGCTCTCTATAAAAGAGTGCAGTCTTCTTTTGGTCGCAGCAAGGCAATCATGCTTGATGGGCAGTGGTGGTGTATATTGTTGCAGATGACAAAGGATCGACAAGCGTAAAACTAAAAACACAAGATTTAATCGGCCAACTTGTGACAGAAACAAAAGAAAGAAAGAGCGTCAAGAAAGCAGCAGCGAGCTTCGAGACGTCCGCTATGTCACCGATGGATGTGATGCTCAGAGACCGCTTGGTGTGCAGGGTGCAGGACGAGCGTCTGCAGCGACGGCTTTCCACAGAGAAAACGCTCACGTTCGACCGAGCCTATGACGAGGCAATAAGACCTGAGAGGGCGGTTCAGCAGCAGTGGGAGCTTACAGCCCCCAGGACAGATCTACATAACAAAATTGGAGTTGGAATGCATCAGATCGGCATTGGACTGTGTCATATTGGCGTCGGACCATGTCATATTGGCGTCAGACCGTATCATGTTGGCGTCAAAGCCGTATATTGGGCGAGTTTGGCCAGTGGGTGTGGCAACGAAGGCGCCGGAGAGGAGAAAAGTAAATGAAAGGGAGGAGAGCGCCGAAGGAGTGAGAGAGAAAGAAAGGAGCAGAGAAGAGACGACCGCCATTTTTTCGCAACGCTGTCGGAGACTGGTCGGAGAAGAACACTGCTGAGGCTACGCGTCGTCTGCTACGGGCCGACTTTCTTTTTCGCCTGAATAAAAGTTTGTGGCCATACGCCGAAAAATCTTCATTTATTAGCTTTTTAACCCACCGAGGAATAACAGTACAGTATAGACCACTTACAACGTAACCGCTTATAGTGCAGGACCGGGCATAACGCGGTTTTTTTAAACCACCGGTTCGCCTCCCATAGAACTCCATGTAATTACATACCGCTTAAAATGCAGGCGCGCGAAGGGAAATACCGGTTATAGTGCGGTTTCTGAAACAGCCCGCCGACCGTGCCGACCAACCGGCGCAGCGAGCACGCTTCCCTGTGCAACACTAGATAACGGCACTAGCCTCAAGCTACACTCGCGGGGCAAGGAGGTTGCTCGAAGCGTGGCTCAAAGAAGCGGGGAGAAGCAAAGAGAGAGGCTTCAGTTGCCATAGCGACGGAGGGACGCACGCACGTGTCGTTCACGTGCGTGCGTACCTCCGCTGCGTTGGAAAACAACCGCAACGACAGACCAATTGCAGGCCGAGGAGAAGTGTTCGCACGCGTTGCTTGCCGGTCACAGGCTAGCTTCTTCTAAATTTATCCGCAAACATGGCGTCGGCTGTGATCATCGTCGTAGACAGCCAGTTGGAAGCTTATCGTTCCGCATAAAAGCGCTATCCTTGACTGTGAATTTTCGTTGTGTGTCGCTATGATAACTCAGCACGTACTAGAAGGGAAGATCCACCTACTCGTGTGGCGATGTCGTGGCGGCACTCTCAAGACGGCAGAAACGCTTGTGTCGTCGTGTTTGTTTACTTCGACTACAGTGGTGCTTTCTAAGCATTTGCGTTTTCGAACATCGCCCGGATTTCATATTTGGCGCATTTCATGCGTGTGCTCAAGCTGAAGGTATTACTGGCGCGTACCGTATGAAGGATGTGAATTTTTATGCGTTTTCATCATCGGAGAAAAGTGATTAGGGTTAGCAATCCTGAATGCTCACAAAGTCCGTCCGCAACCCGCGACGCCTTTAAAAGGCTGCGCCAGGCAAAAGCCGCTCAGTTCTTTCAAAATGTGTGACACACTTGCGACAGAACTGTACTATAGTCTGGTGAAATAAAGACTTTCCTTAAACTAAGCTTTATTTTTCATCCAACATAAAATAAATTCTTTTACAAAGGTAAGTTGTCTCAACGCATGTATTTTGGCCTGAAAAATTGATGTTTTGGTTATAGCGCGGTACCGCTTATAGCGCGGATTTTCGCGACTCCCGCGACATACGTTATATGCAGTCTACACTGTACGTCATTTTCTTGCCCGAGCCAGCGATATAAAAGGAAATAATCGAGATTTAGATGCCGATCCCACGCATTCCGCTGGGAGAATGAACGAAAATGGCGGCCCTCGCCGCTCAGCTGGGAGCAGCCGGGAGTTCACGCGCATGAGCTCATGCCTCTCGCTCTGTGCCGCGTGCTGATTGGCTCACTCGGGAGGATAGCGTTACGGCGGCGAGATCATAGACTGACCAAACTCTCCCCATATACGGCTCTGGTTGGCGTCAGACTATGTCCCATTGGCGTCGTACCGTGATCCAGAGACTGTCGGCAATCATGGAGGAAAGAGACGCACCCAGGGGAAACTTTGAGCCCTTGCTGTGCTTGGGGGTGAGGGAAATGTTGTCTCCTTCCGAAACACTGAGCCTGGCGGACAGGGCCCGGTGTTGCCGGGGAAACGACGGGGTGGTCTGCCCTGGCAGGGGGCTCGGGCACGCAGAGACGTCCTCCTTCTCGTCCAGAATGCTCTGTAAGCAAAGAGGGCGTCCCAGGGAGTATACGCTTAGCTAGAGCCACTAAGTAAGCTATGCCTTAGACATAGAGCTAACATAATAATCTAGAGGGAAAGGTCCCACGCACTCGGGCCGCTTGGGAACGGCGGGGCATAGATGCGGACATCGGCGGTGCCAGTTGGCGGTCCCGATGGGCCCGTATCAGTGGCGACGTCTTAAGGTACACAAAGAAGCAGCAAAACATCACCTCTAAGGTCTCTACCTTGTTCTTTTCTAGCTTACTTCGCAAAAAAAGCCGGAATGGCGCATTTTATGAAACTAAATAAAGTTGACAGGTGCTCTGCAACTTCAACTCACTGCAGCGAAAGGAACACGCTTAACTTTCTGTCTGCTTTCTTTCTGTGCTCTTCTGTCACTCTCTTTCTCGTTCTTTCTTTCGGGACTGACGACGTCACCACCCAGGGTTTGCTGCGTTCTGCTCCCGCCTTTCCCCCCAGCTTCAAAGTTAATGACACTTCAGCAATCTTGGCGTTTATAACCACGATCGCCAGTTGCCTGAAGCTTTGTCTGATATCGCAGAGAACGCTTTTCCCTTTGTCCTCTCAAAATCTGAAAACAGTCCGCAAAAGAATAAAAACAATATTCCCTGAGTTGCCTGACAACACATCTCAAACTCAGAAAGCTGCGCATCTTCAAATGGTAACTATTGCCAATTGAGAGAGAGAATACTAGTTGTTTATTTACAGTCACAAAGAGGTCAACCTACTGAACAGCTGATTTGCTACTTCACAAATTGTCAATTGCGTCCTCTCTGCACTAAGCACCAGAGTGGGGGTCCCCACAAAATAATCGAAGAATGGAGTGCCGATACTACAAGCGTAGCTCATTTCATGGCTCTAGGCTTAACGAAAGCTAGGACGTGCAAGCCTGTTTCTTCCAACACCTCGTAGACGACAAAGCCGTAGTGCTGGACAGGACGGACGGAGTGTCAGCCTCTCGTATCCGATCAGTCATGACACGAGTCCTAGCTGAATGCTGATGCACCAATCATGTGATGCTCTTCCATTAGGAGAGAGTGTAACTCTAAGTGGCTAGAAGTCAGCCCTATAACATATTCTGCATTAATACATTATTGGTTTCAGGTCTACCGTATTTTTCTAACTTAATTTCACGGACTACACAGTTTTAATATGGCAAATTGCTAGGCGACTCTGTTGCACACGTCAAACGTTCTAGCATTACAAACGTTAAGAGATACTCAGAGTTTCCAGATGCCAGATGCCTATGTCCACAGAGCCCTTCATCAGATAGTGAAGCAATACTACCGCTAATTGGTCTGATAAATCTGGCAATCTTCCAGAGCCTTCCACACTCACGAGTTCCTCTCCCTCAAAAAGCACAGGTGGTTGAGCTCCTCCTCACCTACCAGTCTGGTCAATGACCTCCCCATTAACCAATCAGTGTCTGACACCTCACTCCTCCTCTCTCACCCATCAACCAATCAGTGTCGAGCCTCGCGACCACGCTTTTATCTGTGCTTCACGAGATGCCGAACACCTGGCCAAAGAATGTTTCACATTAAGGTTGTTTACGCGGTACGGACTACATACAGGTGCATAACATAAAATAATGTTTTTCAAGAATGTTCATTATAACGAGACGTCATGAACTTTGTGAATGAGAGAGTATGTTAATGATGATTTCAGTACAATACAGGCTTTTCTATGTGCTAATAAAGTATACGTTTTCAACGTGTTCTGGCAGCAGATTATGCACAAAAAGATTTTTTTTCTCTCTTTTTGCTCAAAATTTGTTTTTTCAGATTATACACTGGGTGTGGACTATAGTCCAGAAAATATTGCACTTTTTTTTTAGGAATATATTTCCAGTTTAACAAAAACAGCCCGTAGATGTTATGTTAGCATTCAGTAGAGTTACCAGAAACCCCATTTTGGCTGGGATAGTCCCACGTTAGAGGTTCACACTGGTCATTCTATCATATTTTGTCCAAATAAAGTCATATGCCCCGTTTACGTGGTAACTCCTAAAATCAGTACCATGCGAGTGAAGAAAACAATCAATGCTTACTCGTGATAGTGTATTAAAATAAACATAGTATAAAAATGTTACCTCCACTAAAGTACTATATTTAGCTATTTCTGTGGCTCCACTTGATAATAAGTTTTGTTCACACAGACATTTGTTTGGGGAAACTCTTCCATATTTCTAAATTTTCTAGGCTGAGGTTTTTTAAGAATGAAGTAAGCGAGGTGCTTGTGTACTCCCCCCAAAGAAGCGAGCATTTTCACAACAAATTGAATAGTAGCAAAACTTTTTCTTTCTGTGTCGCTTTGCCTTTCCCCTCCTTTTCCCCTTAATGTCTTGTCTTCTACTCTCATTGAGCGATGAGCCATGAGACTTCTGCCAATGATTCCAAAGAAAGCAGATGAAGCAGGGCTCAATACCTGGGCACTAGGCACCTTCCTCACACCCCTCTTGCGGAAGAAGGACTTTCGGCTGCTCTTTTCAACCGCAGTCTCGTCGATGATGAACACGTTCGACGAGAACAAAGGGTCTCTCATTTCCTCGTGCTCCAGAGACTTTGTGTGCCTGCAGAAACATGGAACTCAGTTTGATTCGAGGTAATTTCAACGAGCATTTGTGAGTTCGAGCACATACGCATGCTCTTGCAACGAGTCAATGTTCAGCTGAAATCATCATAACTCAAACAGACCCCCCAATTAACTTTTACAGAAGATAAATTAAATGAGCAGTTGTGGGTTTGAAGACACGTGGACCTCACTGCAACAACTAGTAAATTTTTGGCCAAACCCACCAAGCCTCAAACAGACTTTGCAATGGACACGCACAGAATTCCAAAGTTGTCCTCTAATCCCCAATGGACATCTCTCAAGAAATGTGATCTTGAAGAACACATAACGACAATGAGCGGTAGCCAAGCAACCGCTCCCTTTTCTCGACACTCACTGCAGTTAAAGTTTTCCAGTTAGACACACAACGGTACTACTATAGACACAATATGAAAAGAGATGGAATTCGGCGATTCCTGGTTTTCAGTTGCTCAAATATTCTATATCTGGCAAAGGGCATCTGGCGTTCACAAAACAAAACAACTTTTTCATGAACAGGGTATGTCACGGTCACGCATCACTGAGTGTGGCCTTGCCCAATGGCCGCAGCCCTATTTCTGTCAATTTTTGAAGCAAAGTTTTTTGTTACAAAAACCAACTCATAAGCTAGCGTGTTAACATAGCTAGGAGGGCACTTCTCCCTCCACCCGATTGCATGGCGCAGCAAATCAGAAGAACCATAAAGAGTATGCGAGAGACGCAAACTCTGGCCGGCACGCCTGGGGAGACTGTCGGTTTGAGATAGGGTAGAACCTGGTTGCTACGCTTTTGAGTGGACTGCGACAAAAGCATAAGATCAGACAAAGCGCAATAACCGATAATGCTCTTGGCAGGAATAAATGAAGTGGAACTCTCACACAGTAGTTTATTCTGCACATATAGAATGGTTCACACATCTGTGTTTGAGTGTGAGCCACTCTCTTGTAACCATGTTTCGCAAGAGTAAAGCACTGGATATCTTGACTTATCCAAGTACTGCCATCGTTAGATCGTGTCGCGGGTGCTCCTACTGGATGCCGGCAACGCGTCACCATTTTTGGCTCATGGCGCATTCCACATCCAGATGCGCATGCTCTTATTAATGTGATGTGCCACCGTTTGTGAGCATGCTCCTATTGGTCTACTGTAGATGTCGGAGTTGTGCCGCCACGCCAAACTAGGTTGCCAGAGACGCTCTGCCTTTTTGGCTCAAGTGCGTCCCAGCGTGCACCAGCTTGGCGGTATTTGTTCATAAAATTTAAATAAACGACATTGTAATTATTAGCCCAAAAACCACTTTCATCATTTACACTGATGACACAACACTACTTTTTTCAGCTAACATTATCGACACACTTGCAGAAACGACTAACAATACATTGGAATATTTACATGAATGGAGCGAACCAAACTCTCGACTAATTATTACATCGAAAACAAAAGCGATTATTTTTAAGCCACACAATAAATTGGTAAATATTGACTTGCACCTTAAACTTGGCCCCTCTAGCACTGAAGTCGTCCCGAATGTAAAAACCTTAGGTGTAATGTTTAATGAAAACATGTCATGGGACTCCCACATTGAAATTGCAATAAAAACAATTTCAAGTGTTGTCGACATTCTCAACAAGTTTCGTTTTAGTTTACCAGTTAAAATTAAGCTTCTCATTTACAATTCTTTATTCATGTTACATTTGAATTATTGTCACTTGGTCTGGGGCACATCAACCACAACTAACTTGGACAAGCTAACGATCCTTCAAAAGAAGGCAATTCCAGCTATAATGAATGTACCTCAATCAACCCACACGAAACCATTGCTTAAATCATTGAATGTTTTATCCTTAAACAAACTGTATGAGTACACTTTATTCATTCAATATATAGCAAGTATTAAACAAAAGACGCTTGACATTAGTAACATATCAGAATTAAGAATAAATATTAGACCTTATAAGGTACGTCACGAAGAAGTATGGAAGATATTATTCAGGCGAACCACCTACGGAACTCAAATGCTAAAACATTGTCTTCCTTTTTTACTAAATCATTGAATTGAAAATAACATTATCATCGAACATTTAACATCTCATTCTTCGAAACTCATGTTTCTGTGAATATTGATGTCATACAATTGTGTTTTAGAATATAGAGTGCATTTGTTTTTCCTTAACATTGTAATGTTTAGCCCACTTTTAAACGTGTAGTTTGACTATTTTTACAGTAATTGCTTTTCTTGAATACAGTAAAACCTCGTTATAACAAAGTTGAAGGAGCGGTCGTAATTATTTCGTTATAACCATTAGTTTGTTATAGCCCATGTCCATTTCTTCCCACTATTAGCAAGCAAGGGGAATTATGATTGCTTTGTTATATCCATTAGTTTGTTATATCCCGTTTTGTTATAACGAGGTTTTACTGTATTTGACTTCTTTTTTTCGATTGCTTGCCGTTTGCTAAAAAAAGGGGGCGTGAACATCGTCAAGCCGACATCTGTCGGCTTTTTGTTTATGCCTTCAGTGCCTGCATTATTGTACAGACGCAAATAAAAATGATTGATTGATTGGTTGATTGATTGAAAATTCAAATTCATCCAGTGCTTTAGGCAAGATGACAAGCTGGCGTCACCAATCAGGTATCCCTGGAACTTTTCCAATCTATTGCATATCTTAATATTTTTTTATGTATCATGCTTTCATCTGGTGGAACTGAACTGGTAGAGCTGAACTTAATTGGTACAACTGAACTTAAACCTTTTTCAATTATATAAGCTTGATCACGCCAACAAAGACTGCTGAGCATGAAATGTGCGATGGGCCTTCCAGGGAAGAGAAGGGCGTCCGAACGGCGCCATCTATTGAAGATTGACTCTCATTTCTGACACACGCCTTGAGATGGCGCAGCATGACAAGAAAGGTCGCGAAGCGCGTGACCGCGCCTTTGTGCGCCGTGCCACTAAGTTTGCTTTTGCATGCATTGACCATTGACCCTGGGTAGCTTAGTAGGCAAAGCACTTGACTCACTCTCTCAAGATGATGAGTTAAAATACTGCCAAGGGATCCAAGACTTTTTATATGGGCATAACACTTTTCGGTGTTGGAATTTGATTTAAGTTAAATGCTACAAAACTGCATGAAAATCGGCTGATAAAACACATACTGTGTTACAAGCAACAGCCATCTTGCAATATACTGGATGAAGAAATACAAGAACAAGTAAAGGAGGGGCACCTGACAATCCTGGTGCCTGGGACGTAGTTCTTCTTCTTGTTGGGCCGGTCTGCACTGTCCAGCATCCCGCTCAGAGCCACTCTCCGAAAGATGCCGCCATGGTTGTCGTGAACGTAGCTCATGAGCTGGCGCAGGTCACAGTACAGCGACTGCACAAAGGATGCTGAGATTGGCCCCTGCCCCTCTCGACTCAGTGGAGGCAATTTGCCTCTAGTCGACCGCAAGAGTTGGCTAATGGCCCAAGATGGATGCAAGTATTGTATTTTTTGGGCTATAGTCTGTGGATTATCAGGGTGTCCAGCAAATTATTCATTTGAAAATCCCTCCTGACTTTTCCAGGTTTTCCCTGACAATTTCAGGTGAAATTTCTTGACCACTCTAGAGGCAATTAAATATATAAGACCATTACAACACAAGGCATTGAGCGTTGAGCACACAATTATTTTGCACGGGCCTAATCTAACGTGCATATTCCGAAATATTTGGGTTCGTCCAGTCCGAATTAAACGAGCACTTTCTTGCCGCTGACATCGTCAGTGAAGAGGCCACTTCCGGAAACACGATGAAAACACGACGCTCAACCACACACAAGGAGAATAGAAGGGTAGGAGAGGGCGTGACATCAGCCGTGTAGCCTGCATAAGCCATGTAGCCTTGATGCCTCGCCTCTTTCTCATTTTCCTCCTTACTCTGCTCACTTATCAGCCCAACACAAGGAGGTTATAAGTACTAGGAGGGGACACGTTGCAATATTGGTGAAGCCTAGTCATAAAAAGTTTAAACAATATTGTGCCCCACGCGACCGCAGATCTCTCTGGCGATTGGTGCGCGTAACATGTCACGTGCGAGATGGATGGTTGATTGTAGAAGGATTCCTTGCAGGCTTGTACGCGCTCCGTCTTGTAGATTTTATCAGATCGAAGGCTAGACGAAGGCTAGCTACGGTCACGTGATGTGGTCATGTTGGGCTGATAAGTGAGGAGAGTAAGGAGGAAAATCAGAAAGAGGCGAGGCGTCAAGGGAGCATGGCTTGTGGAGGCTACGCGGCTAACATCATGCCCTCTCCTACCCTTCTATCCTCCTTGGCCCGACATGACCACATCATGCGACCGTAGCTAGCCTTTGTCTAGCCTTCGATCTGATAAAACCTACCGGACGGAGCGCACGCAAGCCTGCAAGGAATCCTTCTACAATCAAACATCCATTTCGCAGTGACATGTCACGCGCACCAATCGCCAGAGAGATCTGCGGTCACATTGGGCACAATATAATTTAAACTTTTTACGACTAGGCTTCACCAATATTGCAATGTGCCCCCTCCTAGTACTTATAACCTCCTTGACCACACATGTCAATAACCAAATGGCAACGTGGCCGCCAGATGCACTTTCGGATACTTTCGGCTGAAGGCTTGGATTGGATTGGAGTCTGCGGCTTTCCCGATTGTTACTAAATCTAGCAGCTCTAACTGGATCTAGTTTAGTGTCGTGCTGTCAATCCAAACCAATCCATGGCTCGGACTGGATTTGTCGGTTGTTTTCTTTGGATCGGGTAGCACACTCTACATAGGGGGAGCAGAGCCCACGTTTCACTCTAAGCAGAATTTATAGCCTATATTTCTGCCCTGAAGTCCTCAAGTCTTTGCTCAGGGCACTCGATGGCGTTTCCGGCTCATTTTTCCTGACTGGGCTCGCTTTTTGACAATTCTCCTGACAATTCCCTGATTTTTTCCGCTAATTAAAATTTCCCTGACAATTCCCGGTTTTCCCGGTTGCTAGACACCCTGATTATACATGTCTAAAAGTTGAAATTTTACCCAATATGGACTATCTATAGGTGCAGGCAGTACAAGGATATGTATTTTTCTAGATCAGTCACTGTGGCAAGACGTGAAAGATTTTATTAATATTATGTATGATACAAGCTTCTTTGTGAGCTTGTATCAGACTAGGCACGGCGTGCGTGTGCTTGTCTTCCTGACTGTCTGGTGTGAGATTGACTTTTCCTGCGCTGTCACCGTCAAGTAGGCACGGCATGCATACTATGCACCGGGTGCAGACTATCTAAGGAAGAATTTTTATTTTTGACCGTAAATTTTCTCCTGAGGACTATGCACCAGGTGAGGATTATAGTCCAGAAAATACGGTAATCAGAAAGGCTACCCTTCCCAGTAAGCAAACCCTGCGTGAGGCAGTTTGGTGACTTGATCTTGACCCCTTTTCAAGGTTTGCACAAAAAGATCCCTTGTGATATTGCTACTGAATTTGAGGTTTCAAACGCCTGGGAGCCGCTACTGGTAGCCACACAATGCCAGTCTCTTCTGGTTTATACCAGTGTGACCGAAGGCTTTCGGAGAGCCGCATCCTGTAGCATACACTCGAAATTGAGAAATGAGCGAATTAAGCTTCCTGACCAGTTCGTGTCAGCCATTCTGATGCAAGAAGAGAAGAAAAAAGGATGTAAAATACAAATGCACAAGAGCTTGTTGGCTTTTGGTAAAGCTTTGTGCCAAAAAATCGCCCCACCCAGTATCAAATTCACGCGACGTCTGACAGCACTCCCTGTGCTGCCACAATACCGGTTGACAAAAAGTGTGCTAGGGTTGCAAACCGAATAGATGGGAAGCAAATGATGGCAGTGCTTCTAACAGGATTAGGTGATTCATTGCACTTTATGTCGCCCCGACCACAGAACAAAAAGAGCAGGACAGAGAGCGTGGACGGTGCGATGAGCACGCACTTTCTCAGAGGCAGGCTGTTTCCACCGCTAGGGGAGGATTTGGTGCTGCAGGCAAGCTGTCTAATGCAAATGAGTGATTCTATCACTAAAATATTGCATTTTCTAATGATTAAGCTTAAGATTTTTTTCAAAGTTTTCGCTGGTATGTTTTATCAGACGGTGCAACTTATATGCATATAATGCGATTAATGCAACCTTTGCATTAATTGCATTATAAATTTATATGCACTTTTTTTTCTTCTTTCTGTAAGCATGAAGTGGCCGAATTGGCCCCTTCATTTATTTACACGCCTGGAAGGAGTGGTAGCTGGTCTGGGAGCTCTGCCGTTGATCAAAGGAGCCGGCTGGTATCGATGCTCGCTCTCGAGCTTGCCGGCCTCAAGTGCCCCCGCGACGCGCGCTGCTAACGTGGCTCGTTTCACGAGCCACATTATTGTTGGTGTCGTTGCTTAGCAACTATAAGTATATACTCGATCTGCACATATTTACTACAAGGTTTCATGTTTCTTGCTCGACTCGTTGGCGAGAATAATGAAACTGGCTCTTGCTTGCACATATGTCGCAATCACAACAGACATACGCGGGATTATAAATGCTGATTCGCCACGCCGACCATATAAGTATATAGGTGCGATTTATGCACCAACATTTTTTAATGAAACGGCCACTTAAAGGAGGGTGAGACGACAGCGACTAAGAGAAAGGAAACTGCTGTTTTCGGCCCCACCATGTTGTCCTGGTTCTTGAGGTCCTTCCCACAGCGTGCCAGCCGGGTAACCAGGGCCTTGAAGGTGCAGGTGACCACGACCCCCTCGATGCCCTTAGACGAAGCACCCCCGGGGCCGGCTCCAAAGTTGTTGGCATAGCCGGTGTGCGTGGCACCCTCCTGACTGCTCGTCGTGCTCGTACGCTTCTGGGCTGCACACCAGGGGGCGCCACAAGGCTGCAATGACTGCAGAGCCTGGAGCAACTTAAAAATGTTATGGCCGAAACAGCTGCGCAGATTGTCAATGAAATGCAACGGCATTTTGCACCAACTTGCACTGCGTGAACATTTTCTTCCGCTTAGGAAGTGCCGTGGAAATTCTAGGAATATTTATCAATGCCTTCCAAAAAGCTTTTTATTATGTTTAAAACCAATTTATATAATTTTCTGATTAACTGTATACTTCCTGCAGATGAGGCTCCCACAACTGACTAGGTAACTTTTGTTGTAGCATTACAGCAATTTAAACGTTTTTCTCTCACTATATGTATTTATACCCACATAATAAGACCCTTGACAACTGTAGTTGCCAATAAGAAGCTAATATATCATATTAATTTCGTTGGGCACATTACCCCCTGTATGCATAATTGAAGTAGGTATACCGGGCGTTTCAGCGGAGACTGAAAAATTGCTTGAGATAGGGTATTTGAGAAAAAAAGAAACACCTGGGAACACACTGACAGCCACAGTGGACGTCTGGGATAGCAGAAAACATACTAAATAGTTAAATAATTACATGAAATTTAAAAATTAACTTCCTAGTTAGTGCAAATAAACATATGGCTTCAATAAGGAACTTTTGAAGCTTCACTGAACACCACTCAATCAACTCATTTTAGAAAGATATAGGATATAAGGCAAGTACAGCATTTTACAGCATTCCAAAAAGACGCTCACTTTGAATGCGTTTCTAGGTTTCAGTTTTCTGCTGAAGTGCACCTTTGTTCCAGCAGCCCTGCTCCCCGGTGGCCAAGGCACAAAGCTACCGCCCCGCCTCTCTCGTGGGATGGAAGGATAACGCACATGCTTTCCACGTCTCGGTCACCAGAAGGCAGGACCAAGGGTGGTGCAAAGATGCGTTTCAATAGAAAATCGAAACCCAAAAACGCGTCCCAATTTTGTTTTTTTGGAACGGCACAAAAAATATAAGGGACTCGAACCATAACCGTAACCCGAACCGGAAACCGTTTACAGTATAGACCACTTACAACGTAACCGCTTATAGTGCAGGACCGAATATAACGCGGCTTTTTTAAACCACCGGTTCGCCTCCCATAGAACTCCATGTAATTACATACCGCTTAAAATGCGGGTGCACGAAGAGAAATACCGGTTATAGCGCGGTTTTCGGAACAGCCCGGCGACCGCGCCGACTGACCGACGCAGAGAGCACGCTTCCCTGTGCGACACTAGATAACGGCACGAGCCGCAAGCTGCACTCGCGGGGCAAGGAGGTTGCTCGAAGAAGCGGGGAGATGCGAAGAGAGAAGCTTCAGTTGCCATAGCGACGGAGGGACGCACGCACGTGTCGTTCACGAGCGTGCGTCCCTCCGCTGCCTCCGCTACGTTGGAAACGGTGGAAACAACCACAACGACAGACCAATCGCAGGTCGAGGAGAAGTGTTCGCGCGCATTGCATGCCGGTCGCGGGCCGGCCGGTCGGCTGCTTCTATCCGCAAACATAGCATCGGTTTTGATCGTCGACGGAGACGGCGTGGTAGAAGCTCATCGTTCCGCGTAAAAGCGCTATCCTTGACTGTGAATTTTCGTTGTGTGTCGCTATGATAACCCAGCACGTACTAGAAGGGAAGATCCACCTACTCGTGCTGCGATGTTGTGGCGGCACTCTCAAGACGGCAGAAACGCCCGTGTCGTCGTGTTTGTTTACTTCGACTACAGTGGTGCTTTCTAAGCATTTGTGTTTTCGAGCATCGCCCGGATTTCTTATTAGGAGCATTTAACGCCTGTGCTCAAGTTGAAGGTATTACTGGCAAGTACCGTATAAAGGATGCGAATTTTCACGCGTTTTCATCGCTGGAGAAAAGTGATTAGGGTTAGCAATCCTGAACGCTCGCAACGTCCGTCCGCAACCTGCGACGCCGTTAAAAGGCTGCGCCAGGCAAAAGTCACTCATTTCTTTCAAAATGTGTGACACACTTGAGGGAGAAGTGTACTAGCCTGGTGAAATAAAGAGTTTCTTCAAACTAAGCTTTATTTTTCATCTAACATAAAATAAATTCTTTTACAAAGGTAAGTTGTCTGATGGCATGCATTTTGGCCTAAAAATTTATGTTTTGGTTATAACGCGGTACCGCTTATAGTGCGGATTTTTGCGCCTCCCGCGACATACGTTATATGCGGTCTACACTGTACAGTAAACTTGCGTTAATTTGACCCTAGAGAGACTTTAAAATTAGAATCAAATTAACCAAAAGATCAAATTTAAAAAAAAAAGCGAAGAACGGCCAAAGTTGAACTTGATTTTACTAAAAGTAGTTAGCAATGTTGTTCTGCCGTTTACACCTGAAATGCGCACGAACAGTGTGCTTCGGAAGGTGCCAATATATTTCAATGCACATTCATTTGCACTCGGCTGCTCGGTTAAGATGCTCTCAACAGCCTCTTCCTCGCTTACATCTCCTGCATCCATTCTACGGCCGGTCAGGTTGACTAAAATGTCATTGTTCGTAAGCGGTTCGCAGACTTCGACGCTGCTGTCCAGATTCACGAAGTCTTGAAACAAGATGCCAACCGGGGCAAGGAGCAAACTAGAGTCTTCAGTGAAAGACAGCTCCACATCGGCGGCACATGCATCAGCGAAACTCATGTCCACGATGCGTTGGCATTTTCGGCCCTCTCCTTTCTTGATAAATAACCCTTGCCAACATCCTGAATAATGGCTGTCTTTGTATCGATGGACAGCAAGGTTTACTTCCTCCGTGATGTCATACACAGTCGATGCCGTGAAACACTTTAGCTTGACGATATAGAAGAACTGCAGCCCATGACGGGTCCAGTGAAAAACACAAGGACTACGCTCCACGCTCTCTCGTGTGGCCTTTGCACTTTCTGTTCAACATTCAAAAACGTGTCTCAAAGATCCGGCGGCGCTTTTAATAAAACCACTACATAATCGAGCTAAGCAAACACAATAATGCATACTCCTGCCAATTTCCCTCCATGCCACGGGCAACGAAGGGAGAGAGCAAGCTCCGTTGTGATTGTGCAGCTGCGTAAACAAAGCGAAAACGGTCCTTTACACAAGGACAAAAAAAATCTTAACCCAAACTAAAAAAAAAAAAAATTGTTGCAGCTTTGTTTATTTGACTAAATGCAATGAAATGCGGCAGCTTTACAGGAACATCATGAGTGAAAATGATGAGGAAAGGAAATGATATGTCTAGGACGGCGACGAGAACAACGTCAAGAACGACGTCTAGGACGACCTCAAAGACGACGTCTAGGATGGTATCAAGGACGACATCATAGAGGACGACGTCAAAGACGGCTTCGAGGACAACATCCTAGAGGACAATGCCAAGAATGACGTTTAGGACAACCTCTAGAACAACCTCTAGAATGACCTCAAGGACAACGTCCAGGACGACCTCGAGGACAACGTCAAAGACAACATCTAGGACGACCCCTAGGACGATATCAAGGATCACCTCTAGGACGAAATCGAGGACGACGTCAAGGACGTCAGGTCACTTCAGCTTCAACTACCGGCGCTTACGAGCTTATGCGACTGGCGCTTACATGACCAACACTAACAGCTTACGCGACCAGCGCTTCACCCAAAGGTGCTTGAGCTACGGGTGCTTCAGCCACTGGCGCTTCAGCCATATACACATCAGCCACCATCGCTTCAGCCATGAGCAATTCAGCCACGAGCACTTCAGCCACGGGTGTTTCGTGACTTTGATTACCGTAAAATCCCGTGAGGGCGCCCTTCTTTGAGAGATCACCCATCCCATTTTTCTGGCTACATATCTGTAACGTAAAAATTCCGAAACATCGCCCACCCCTCGATTCCCGTTGGACGTCAGGCGATGTCCTACGGGAATCGCGCCGCGTCAGGAATCGCCTGCGACGGGAATCGCAGGCAGTACCGGTGTGTCCGAGAAGAGAGTTCATAGCGGGTTCTTGCGTTTTCGTCTGCAATCTGCGCGCGATATCGGCTCGCGTAACACGCTAGTTGTTCCCGCATGTATATTGCATTGTGAAATGCAAATCTGCTGTGTTCATGATTTGCGGTATTCGTTCCCGAGTTCGTAGCGGATTCCCGTGTGTTTGTCTGCGATCTGCGCACCCGATATCGATTTCTAGCTGTAACACGCATGAGTTGTTTCCGCGTGTATAGTGCATCGTGAAATGCGATTTTGTTGCGTCCGCGGTCTGCAGTATTTGTTTCTGTGACGTGCGAGTTTGTAGCGTATTCCCGTGTTTTTGTCCGCGATCTGCGCATGCGATATCGGTTTCCGTGACAGGCAAGATTGTAGCGGGTTTCCGCGTCTTTATTACACCATAAAACTTGAATCTGCTGCGTCCGCGATCTGCGGTATCCGTTCCCGTGAGATGCAAGTTCTCGGCGGAAAAAAAGAGCACAGGGAAGAAAAGCTGCTCTGTACTGTCTTCTCTTTCTTTCTTGTGTTCGTCCCCTGTCGCGCTAATTGTGTGTACTATGTTAAGCAAACTTTGTCCTCCTGACTACCAATGTCTTTAATGCAAAGTATAAAAATCTAGATAAATTGAGCTTCTTGCAGGTCTAGTGAACATTAAAATTTGGCATTAGATTACAAAAAAATACCACATCGGAATAAAATTTAAAAAAATCAAAATTATTCTAATTAAGTTTTGAAATATTTGGTCGTTTTTGACAAGGCACTAAACACTTTTTTTTTTTTGTCAGTGTCAAAAAATGTTGTGCACACTTTTCTCACAAGGCCATATGCTCACTATGATTGCTGGTTTCCTTCTCTCTACTTGCCTGCTTCGTGGCAGCAGCCTGTCCTGCTAATGTAACCCAGCTGCAACAGATTAAGACGCAAGTATTATCGTACCCTTTCACCAATAACAGTCGCGAAGAATTTCGTGCTTATCCTGCTTTTCTTAATGTGCAACAGACTACAGCTAGTGTGGCGAGGATAACTTGGAAGGACAGGGGCACCAACATGCAACAAACAAGTAGAAAAAATAAACGGCACTTGGTCTGCTTGTTCCTTCCATTTCTTTGCGCTGCGATCGTTTCCAGTGAAACTGTCGAGTGGAGCTAGTGCCGCAAGGCCGACCAGAGATGGCGTACGGCGCCCGTCGTAGTAGGCGCGGGAGGCAAGCTGCACTTGACTCGGTTTTAGCATAATCCAGCACGCACCAGAAGCTACGGGCACCGAACAAGACACGCAACGACACGCCAAAGGAGGCGATGTTAGGAGGGTGCTTTCGCCTGCCTCCCTTCGACGCTCAGATTGGTTCGTGCGGGGCCATACTCCGTGGCTTTAGGCGCTTGCCAAGTTAATGCGGGTGCCACGTGCACCTCGAGCTTGCCGTTATCTCGGCTGTGGTCGGACCTCCCCGGTCACCGAAGGCTCAAAAAACGCGAGGTGTGGCCAGTCCTCCATCTATATTACCGTCGCTCCACGGCCAATGAGACTGCGACATCAGACAGCTGAAGAACGAATCACGGAGCAAGCAGTGTGACCATAATAGGCCACACCCCGTGTTTCTTGCACAGTCAGGGACTATAGTTGGCGGAGTATATGTTTTTTGCAGTCCCTGGCACTGGCTGTGGCTGGCAGTTTGTTCCTGGAAAGAGTCTGTTTCTTTTCTCAACCACCCTATTTTTAGAAATTTCTGAAAGTCTTCATTAAACCCCCCATAACAGATGCATGGAGCCTGCTTCACTGGTTGCAAATTGAGCCCCAGATGCAAAAGTGCATAGGGTTGGCTCAGAAATTATATGCACGTAATATAAACCTTGCGTCAAATTATCCACACATTAGAGAAAATGCTTTGATTGTAGGCACTACATGGACTACACATGCTCGCCTTATCAGCATAAAAGATTCAAATTAAATAACTAAAATAAGGCGTTCACGATTACACACAGAAGGTGTCATTTGTTTTCGATTTTTGCTTTAAAAAAGCTACTGTTTCAGGCGCCAGCACGTGCAACGCATACTCGCAGCATGCTCCTTGGTGGTTCGTTAATTTAATAAAGTAGTATATTGGAAATTCATAGCATGGTCCCAGGGAAGATGGTGTCAGAAATGTGGTAATGCCCCTGTTCACCGGAAAAGTGCAGCTCGTTATGCGAATTAACGCATTCGGGGCAAAGGGCCTCGCCCTTGCCGGGCTGACCGCAATGTGGGGGTCGTACGGGAAGCACTCACTCAGGGGCGAGAGCAGGGACGAGCCGGTCTCGGCGCAGAAGCCCATGAAGGCATGGTAGACGTCCACCACTTCCGGCAACGAACGCTCACGCACCAGCTCCCGAAGGAACCTGCAAAGGCACGACCCTTTCAACAATGGGAATGAACACAACCCGCTTTGTTTTCCCCGTTTGTTTCAGCTTGTCCCCAAAGAGGTTCCACGTCGAGCACGGCTCAGAAATGAGTAGGTAAAACAAAAGCCTATAGTCCGTTGCAACTCAAGAAGGTAGGGCGAGGGAAAGAAAGGCCGGAGAGGAGGAAGCTTAAACGCTAAAGAAAGGAGAAGGCCTCTCCCTCTCCTCTCCAGCGTTCTGTCTGCTCCCACCTCCCCAATCTTCCTTTCTCCCGCCCTACCTCCTTGAGTCGCAACAGATTATAGCGCAAAATACCAAGCATGCACCAGTGTCACAATAAGTGCCCACCACCTCCTTTCGAAACATTTCAGATGTAGGCAAAAAACATGTCGCCGTGTGCACACGTGGGAACCGCACGCAATCTATGTCATTCCATGACATTCCGGTGCCCCCCATATCTACCAAAGTGTCACAGATGAAAACGTAGGCTCGTGTAGAAGCTAAAAATTAACATTTAATAAGGTAAACGTGCACCTACAAATTAAAACAGACGGTAATGAGCATCCTGTGTCGGCAACGATGGGCGACTGTTTCAATGTTGCCAGTCTTAGTTTCTTTTATACAGACCATGTAGTCTAGTACACTCTGAACAGGAAGAAACTATATCTTACAAGATGCTACTAGAAAATTTTAAAAGAGCTGCACGAAGGATTAGGCTGGCGGGATTCAAACCCCGTGCCTTCGTATGAAAACTACGCACGATGCCAACTTGGCCGGGCACACGTGCTCCTCCGCATCAGCTGCCCCTCCAAGAAGTCGGTGCAAAACAGTGAAGCCTTATGCATGCATGTCGGTGTGAAGCGGCAAAGCTTGACGAGACAGTGCCAGTGACAAGCAGGTTTGACAAGACTAACGAGGCTGCTTTAAAAATTAACACAGTTCCGTCAGACCAAACAAGGGCCCACCCTCTTGTGTGTACCTTCTGCTTTAAGGCTTATCACGTATTCATTCCCAGTTTCTTGTGGCTATCTCCAAGTTTTGTGTGAGCACTCGGTGATTTACAGCATGTTTTATGTCATGTTAAAAGGTTGCACTTTACCGGTTAAATGAAGTCCAGAAGCTGTCGCCTGTTTGTATGTGCCTGCTTATGTGCCTATTTGTATGAGCCATACGGAAGTTTGTATGTGCCATAGGGACCATTCGTACAGGCTTCATACAAACCTGCTAGTAGATACCAGACAAAAAAAACTAAAGGCAGTGACTATTTCGGCGACCACTGTCAAATGATTAAAATGTCATTTTGACGTCTGTGACATCGCTTCAGTACAACGTCAAAATGGTGGCTTTATTCGTTCGCCGTCCCCCGTCAACGCAGTTGTTACAGTGGTAGCTGTTTCGTGGTTTCGTTTTATTTCTGATGGTGTTGTTGTCATTGTCTTGACGTGTTGACGGAGTCATGTGTCACTGTGTCGCATGCCTCAGAGGTTTCTGTCCTACGTGGCAATGGAAATGTTTTTTTCAGCGTGTGTGTGCTCGACAGTTGATCCTTTGGGACGCGACACGCCCGGCGGCGAAGTTCTCAGTTCTTGCACGTCATTCCAGCACACGTCTCACTTAAAATTTGAAGCCACTACAGAGCTGAGCTGGATATCCCTCTATCTTGCCTGCACATACAAGTATAAGTGTGTATAGTATGTAACACTGAGAATTTGGAATAATTTTTGTGCCTCCGTCCTTCCACTTTCGCGGGAGCGCGTCTTCGAACAACTGTTGTTCACCAGGCGCTCAATATGATTGTTTATCCTCGGCCACCACACTGATACATTTGCCTGTGCTTTGCATTTTCCTATGCCCATGTAACCTTCATGAAGTTGTTGCAGGATATGTGGACGACAGGATACTGGTACCACTATTCTAGAACCATTCATGAGAAGGCTGTTTTGCACAGCAATGTGATGACAGTACTCGTAGTACTCTTTGAAGTCTTTTCCGAGATCTCGACAACTTTAGCTAGCGAGTCTTTGGCAAACATGGTCTTTTTTCTGTTCTGCCGTTAGCCGTTGAAGACCGGTTTGCATTGCGGGTAGGGACGTTTCTATGTGTCGAATGAAGCAATTGGTTTCTTCTTGCATCTCTCTGTCTTGCCGCTGTGGCAGAGGGCTTCTTGACAACGGGTCAGCTGCTTGGAGTTCCTTGCCCGGAACGTGGACAACTGCGAATGAGTAGCGCATTAGACGCATGCGCAGTCTCTGAAGACGTGGGGTTAGGTCGTCCAATAACTTTGATCCAAACAAAGAAATGAGAGGTTTGTGGTCAGTTTCCAGTACAAAGTGTGTTCCCACGATGTAATCTCAGAATTTTTCGCATGCCCACGTGCGTGCCAAACTTTCTTTTTCGATTTGGGCATACCCCTTCTCTGTTTCGGTGAGTGTCCTGGACGCAAAAGCGGTGACGCGATATGATCCATCCTCCTGCTCTTGACGCTGCACTGCTCCCAGGCCGTAGGATGACGCATCTGCCGATACAATCGATCGTTTGTTGGCGTCGTAAATTCCAGTAACGGGACAGGTTGAGAGGATTTCCTTCCGCTAAGATATTGAGGTGGGCTAGTTGGATATTCATGATATAAGAATTAAATAGCGCAAAGGTTAGACAAAGGACAGAACATGTAGACAGGACAAGCGCCTGTCCTGCCTACATGTTCTGTTTTTTGTCCTTTGTCTAACCTTTGCGCTATTTAATCTTTATTTCCTTCCACTTTGTGAAGGCTTTCTGCTGAGGATGATCCCACACAAGGTCCACTTTGGAACTGAGTAGTGACGATAATGGATGCAGTAGGTCAGACAGGTGTGGCATGAATCGTCCTAGGTATGTCACCATACCCATGATGTGCTTGAATTCTTGCTTTGAAGATGGTATGGGAATCTGTTTCACAGCGTTGACAATTGTCTCGTCTGGACGGACATCATCGCTGTCTACTTGATGACCTAGGAACTTGATACTTGTCACTCGAAAGACGCATTTATCGTCATTGGGCACGAGTCCTGCAGATGAGAGTTGCCTGAGGACTTCTCGCCGACGTTGCTCGTGCTGCTCGGGCATGACGCCCATATCAAGACATCGTCCATGTGGCAAAGTACTCCTTCCGTTCCTTGAAGAAGTCGGGTAATAACTCTCTGGAAGTGTTCCGGAGCCGACGTGATTCCGATTGGTGGGTAAATAAAACAAAAACTTACAAACGGAGTGATGAATGTCGTCAGGAGTCGTGACTTCTCTTCTAAAAGGAGCTGCCAGAACCCCGAATTCGAGTCCAGCTTTGAGAAGATTTTGGCTTCCGCTAGCCTTCCCAGCGTGTGCTCCACTGAAGGGATGGGGCGATATTCACATTGAATGTGCTTGTTTAGTTGGATGAGATCAACACAAATGTGAATTTTGCCAGACGGTTTGGGGACGATGACCATCGGCGCGCACCATTCAGTAGGTTCTTCTACTGGAGAGATGACAACTTGCGACTGCATGTTTTCTAGCTCTTTCTGCGTTTTACGATACAGCGAAAACGGTACTCTTCTCGGTGATACGATAGCAAACGGCGTCACGTTAGGTTTCAGCTTGAGAACGTGAGCACCTTCAAGAGCTCCCAGTCCTTGAAACAGGTGAGAGAACTCTTTCTTCAGTTCGCAAGCTTTGTTTGCAGTCATGCAGATTTGAGGGCCAAGCCGATACTTTGCGATAGCTAGCTTACCCAAGAGAGGTTTGCAAAGTCCTTTCACAATGTAAACTTCTTTGAGTGCTTGTTGCCCACGGCAGTTGAGCTTCATCCAAGCTGAGGGGTCGTCCATCTGGACCATGAAGTCGGCGTTGGGGCTCGGAGAGCTTGTGGCACTTTGCAAAGACCTTTTGAAAGATGGCAGCTGGTTACACCGTTTCGTCTGCTCCAGTGTCTATTCGGAAAACAACAGGAGTTTTGTCGACAAATATGTAAATGTCCCATTTTGCTGTTTGAGGAAAAGCTACAGCTCCTACGAATCCTTGTTCGTGTACGAGGGAGTTCACGGTAGTTGAAGATTTGCAGACGGTTGCAAAATAACCCTTTTTCTTACATCTGTTGCAGCCTGCGTTCCTCGCCAGACACACGCTCCTCGGGTGAGCTTCTTGACCACAGCAATGGCAAGGTTTGCCTTTTGGTTTGGGTATTGCGGTCTTCTTAGTAGGAGTTCGAACATTTGAACGTTCAGCTCCTCGCTGAGCAGGCCCTGATGCTGTCTCAATTTTGGCTGCTATACAATCAACGTTGGCATCCTTTTCTTTTGTCGGCTGGGGTTCCACTTGTTGCTTCTTAATCACTTCCAACTGTAGCGCAGCAGCGATGGCCTTCTGCAGGTCCAGAACACGATCCAGTTGAAGTTTTTCCGAACTCCTGCCATCCCCAAGACCAACAATCAGCCTGTCGCGGATCGATTCTTCCTTCAGTGGTCCATAGTTGCACGTAGTGGCTAGTCCATGAAGAGCAGTGACGTACTCCTTGACAGTTTCCGTCTCCCGTCGACGGGGAATGAAGTAACGTTCAAAGTTCTCCTTTATCTTGTCGAAGTCTTGAGCTTCGGTGTCGGACAGCTTGAAGGTCTGTAGACGTCTTCAGCTTGTGGTCCCATGACGTTAAATGAGAGCGTCGACTTGGTGTGATGATGGTTGAGATGCCAGGCCTGATGCACTGTGGAAGCGCTTGAATCTCTTCTTCCACGCCGGCCATTTGTTAGGTGTTGTAAAACTGAAGGCTTCGGGTGGAGAGATGCGAAAAGTTGCCATTACCGATTGTTGCGTAGCACCGATGTCGGCAAAAGTTGAGGGCCTGTTCATTGTTCCTTCGTTTGTAGTCAGTCCTGCGCTTTACTAATTATTAGTAGACTCGCGGAGCAATCCCACTTTGGCAAAGAGAACACACAGACAACCTTTTGTGGCGGAGTGAGGCTGAAGACTGAGGCCTCATTTATTACAGA